GGGGGGGGGGGGGGGGGGGGTCCTTCAACCTGGGGCTATCAGTCTGGACGAATCGCGGGCTGCGGAAGAGGAGGCCTGGTCCTGGTCCGTTGTGATCGCTCGTTTCGTGGCTTTTCTGGAAAACTTTGTTCTCGGGGGCTGTCGGGTCTTTTCCAAAACGAGACCAGACAGAGGTGTCTTGGAAAAGGGGCAAGATTCCACCTTGGGGCTGGCTGCGGTCTCCTCTTTCGCTACTCCTGCGGGTTGCATCCGCCCATCTTGCATATCACGGCACTAATACGCTGGCGCACACTATCTACACGATCATGCAAATCTAGCTCAAGGGTGAAAAGAATGACGATCAATCATTCATTGACTCTGCGCTTCTCCGCCCCCTGAAGGTCCAGCAGGCGGAGAAATCACCAGAGCAAGAGGTTTTCTGCAACGAGTGTCAAGAATGATAATGATACATTTGATACTAACTCATGGTGTTCAGTCTGGCTGGCCTGAAGTTCTCTTTTTTGTCATCTCCCAAACAGTGTAGAAAGGCAGCCCTGCCACCAAAAAGTGACTTTGACTCTGTCAAAATGTGGCGGGCTGCAAGAAATATGTCTCTTGCGTTAAAAAGTCGTTGCCCGTGAACCGTGATAGCTTAGATCCTCCCAGGCACGGCTCTCGTCATAGAAATGAATATTGATACAAGTGGTTGGTATGAAAGAGCAAAATGAAGACAAACGCCAAAAAGATCATCAAGTGACTACATCTCTCGTATAACGCCGTAATCCTGAACGCCTGTGTGCCAGTCTTTCTGATCAAACTTTAGATGTGGAAATTTCAAACCCAAGCCATCCTAAGTCTTTCCAACAAGCAAGACGACAAGAAACCAAGACAGGACAGAGAAACCATGAGTCATTAATAGTTATTGCAGAGGGGTATTTGTTTTTGTGGCTTTTCCAGAAGTGAGGCGCGAGCATCGGAAAAGAGAGGAGACAGAGAAACAAGAGTCTAAATGAAGCGGTTGCTGCGCGGCGTCCCCTGGGCGCTGGAAATGTCGTCAACGTGGTTGCAGAGAGCAACAAACAGGTCGAAGAACAGCTGGGTGCCACCGTTGAACATTTCTAGCTGCATGGTGCCGCTGCGCTTGAAGGTGCTGCGACTCCGGATGATGAGAGCGAGGTAATGTGCCCGCAGCTTGGAGTCTGTGTCGGGGGTGTTGGCATAGGCGTAACGCGCCGATGCGAGGATGGTGCTGCATTGAATGCCGGACTCTAGGTTTTGTCAGCTTCATGTCGTTGTGAATGCAAAGGTTGTCTGATAAACTTACGAAGTCCTTGCTTTCGCAAAGCGACGCGCTTTAGCTCTTCCAGTCCGTATTTCTCCGCAGCACAGTAGATGACGGTGTCTTTCAATAAATCGCCATCGATGCCGTGGTGGTAGACAGTCGACTCGACCGTCCCACGACCGTCATCGCTCGGCGGCTCAATCTCCCAAGAGTTGCGTCGCTTATTGTGGACGAGGCGAGGATAATAATCGCCTTTGTACAAATATTCCAGCACAGACGAGAATATCTCGGGCTCTTCGTCGGGAAGTGAGATGCGTTTTGTTTGCGACTCCATAAATTGCCCCCTCAAGGCAGAAGTGAAGAACGGCGAAAGGCAGAGAACATCTTCGTGTGCAGCAAAAATGCGCTGCTCCTGTCCGACAACGAGTGTGACGATAGGAGAGACACTGCTTGGGGAAGCCCATATAGTCAATATAGTTGAAATGAGTGATAGGAAATATTCTGTGGATGCTCACCTTCCCAGTGGTGGCGTCTCATCGCTGGCTGCCGTTGTTGCTGTAGTGGGTCGTCGACGAGGTTCATGGCGACGCTTTGTGACTCCAGACTCTTTGCTGAAGGATGCACTCGATTTGTTCAGCTTATGGCTCTTGGAAAAGCTCTGCTTTGTCGACTGCGACCTGAACATTTTGGCTGGCTCCTCTCAAATCTCATCGGCAGGAACAAGAGTAATGTTTCCTGTCGGGCTTATTTTGCGTGCAATCGTGGACAGTCCAAAATAACCAGGTTGATTTACGTGTGTTGGAGGGAGATTAAATGACGAGAGAAAATGGACCGCGCGATGGTATTAGTGAGACACTTGACCTACCTGAGGCGGACGCCGAATGAGAGGATGAAAAAAATGAGAGCGAGGCGGGAGGGACGATATATATATAGTCCCCGTGCGCCCAAGGAATCCATGCCTGCAAGAATGCCTACGGCAAGGTGGTTGCATCGGCTTGCCTGACTGAGGCAGACGCGAAACTTTGGAGATAAGTAGCGACCCGCGTTGAGTGGTGGGCCGGGCCTGACGGGATACTCGCGCGGTATCACATGACTGCGCTAGGCAGTTTAGGGGGAAGATGTGAGAAAGATGGCTGGGCTGGCTGCGCTTCGCCTGGAGGGCCTCCTTGCTTGTTGGGGCCTTTTTAATTGCTCCGACAGGGTTCAGAGGGGTACGAGACGGGGCCATGGCGGGCCCTCGCTCTGTTTGTCAGACGACATCGGCTTGGACTTGGGAAATGGAGGGGAGTCATAGCACCGAATCTCAGGGGGTTGGAACTTGGATTGTGGATGGAGGATGGTGGAACCCAGCAGAAAAAAATAAAAGTGCCGTTCTAACCTGACTGAATTAATTCCTCACGGCGAATTACAGAGAGGCTGCCTCGCTGCCTCGTTGCTTTTTTGGGCGGCGGCGGCCACTCTCATCCGGAACGTGAGCGAACATGGATGCTGCTGCGGGGCTGAGGTGATTTACTCTCTGCTTAGGTAGATACGGTAGATACCTGGTAATTGCGTACAACATCTTGCCTACCATTGGAACCTGCTGCCGTCTGCCGCCTCGCCTCGGGTTTGAGGTGAAGAGTGTGTGCCGCCTCTGGGAAGGCTGCACGTGAAGACAAGGTGCCGCCATGTTAAGCTGATAAGGCACCAAGAGGCTCGGCGGAGGAACAAAGAGGACTCAACCAGGCTCGACAGATTAGACAAATGCCACACATGCAGGATCAGCTCAATAGCGAACAAACTAAACTGTTTTTCTCGCATTACAACTGGTCAATTGCACAAGATGACCATGGTCCGCCTCTGCACCCCGCCTTGGAGGTTGTGAATGATGCACCGTTGATCCTCCGTGAACTGTTAGTGCATCATCAGCATTTCACTTTCTTCCACTTCACAATCGCGACCCGGTGGCAACTCGGCCTCACAGTGAACGGCATCGGGTTAGAGAAATCAATTTGGTGCTGGTTCACTTTGTCTCCACACCCCACCAAGCTGAACAGCCTGGCTTATCCTGATCGACGCCAAATCAGGCGTACCTTGCACACCTAGTGTGGTGGCTTCCGGGCTCGAGCCAGGGTACTTCGTTGCCACCTCCTGAATTGTCAATCTTGTCGTCACAGTTGCCTTGATCAGAAAGAGTCGCTTTCGCCGAAAGTCAGAGGGCATTTAACTGTGTGGGGAGTTCTCAACCCCGCTCATAACTCTGACGGCCTGTTGCGTAATGAATTTCACCAGTGGCGTCCTGGCTCGGTACAGAGCATCATTGTGGTAGGCACGAGGGGCCTTCTTTCGCTCGACCGCCAAGCCCAAGTCACTGCATCTCCTTTCCAGTTCGGCTGCGTGGTGAGCGGGCACTATCTCATCCCTAGCAGCTTGCAAGATGAAAACATGTGGTAGCACCCCGGCTTTCTGTCTTGCAGTAGAAGCCATCACCCCTAGATTTCTCCAGCTGTCGAGGTGATTGCGAAGAAACGGATGGAGGTAGCGGTATGGCAGCCACTTCTGGGGGTACAACGTTTCCAGCATCGTCCGGATGGAAAGAAACGGAGTCTCCAAAATCATAGCCTGTAGGGGCAGGCTGTTTGGAATTGTGCCAGACGCCGCTAGATTGGTAGCAAACCCAGCACCGACACTTTGACCCCAAAGCACGAAGATGGGCTTGGGGCGAGTGTTCGCTTGTGAGTAGGTATTCTTGTGCAATTGAGCAATCCATTGAACTGCCGCCACTGTATCTTGATTGATACCAACCTCCGACGGCCGGCCCCGCGATGTCCAGTACCCGCGGTAAGACAGGCACACCATCGTGTACCTCATCTTGATGCCCACCGCATCGTTGGAATCCCTGACTTTACTCAGAACCCATGATATGTCCGGTAAACGAGGAGGGATGGAATTAGCATTGCCTGTGAGTTCAATCAGACCGATTTAGACAATTTAGTGTACGTTCAATAAGTACCCTGCAAGTATAAGATGTAGACATGTCCGGCAACACATGGCTCAGACAGTGAAGATTCAGACGCTGCGGGGGAGGTAGGCGATGAGACAGAGGCCACAGCCAAAGCGAGATCGGTGCCATCCGCAGCCCGGGTCCTGGCCTCTTGCCACTCGATCCCCGAGACGAGAGTTGTATAGTCAGAAAGCTTCTCACTGCGGGCTGTGGGGGGCAGCCCTGGCATGTAGATGATCTTGTTCTGGAACAAGACCATCATGAATGATTTCCACGTCCATAGCGCGATGAGAAGGCCCGTGAAGACCACCGGCGGCAAGACGAACGGCTCGAGGTGGATGTGTCTCCTAGCACACGTGGCCACGAGTGGGAGATGAATGTTACACACAACGCGGGATGTAGATGTGTAGGATGTAGGTCGTTGGGACAGCGCATGTAGATGAGCGAGTCGGCGGGACTGAGGCAATTTCTTGGGCGCCAGAGGGCGGACAAGCATTGCTAGTCACGATTGCTTCATTGGATGTTGCAGGTGATCAATCATAGGAGACTTTAGGATGCGCGGATAGGCATATGGAGAGCAATGGGAGGTTTGGTAAGGTAAGGTAAGGTAAGGTAGGGATGCAGGATGTTAGTGAAGGAGAGTTGCTTTTTAGGGCCCTGTAGGTGCAATTCGTCGACAAAGCCAAGGTACCGGTATTACATTATTACATGCGTCAGGTTGCGATCAGCCAAAGTGGCATCGCACGCATGGAGGAGAGTGTGTCCCGTTCCGACTCGTCGAGCGCACTCCTTGCTCCTTGCTCCTGCTCCTGCAGCTGCATCTATCTGGTTTCACACAGGAGGGAAGCCACGATGGCGCACAAGGTGTCACTTCCCAATTCGTCAATTCAGAGAAGATATTGAAAATTGAGATCTGTCTCTTGAGAACCGAACCGAACTGAACTGAACTGAACTGGCAGGGACTGTACCGCATTTGGCGGGGTGAAATCGAAGACACACGATAGGCAGTTCCAATGACGCAGGAAGGGCCCAGAAACACCTACCATAGGTACACCATGCAGATGCACAAGCGATATTAGCTGTTAGATAGCAGCAGGCATTACAGGCGAGGACAATGGAATTGAAGGTCTTAGGCCGCCTGGAACATGTGGAATCCCCGCCAGCGAACGCCCGTTACGGCCAACGGACGGGTACATTGGTACATCAGTCATTGACCCCGCTCCACTTCCAGCCTTTTCGCCCTGGTAGGTAGGTACCCAGTGAATCGCCTGCCTCAGCACGCCTTCTAGGCCTGGCGGTGCCAATGCAACCGTACTGGACTTACTCAGTCAGTCAGCGGATCTGATCGCCGGTTCCCGCCAGTTGCCTAGAAACAACTGATAATGACGATGGTGCCCCCTCCACCCTTCTAAAAGTCAACAATCACCGGTCTCCCCATCCCAGGCCATCCCTCCTCACCAGCTCTTACAACACAACACAATACAAACGCAAACTAAAGTCAGCCACCCGCGGCAGCCACTCTCATCACATCCATTCCAGTGCCGACATCCCCTAACACCACCCGCAACCACCGTCTTCGGCGTCCCACTACAAGACAGTATACAAACCGACACTTCTCTCCTTCTCAGTATCTCGAATCCTCGTCCGCTTGGTCTGTCAGTCATTGTCGATAGGCACATTCGTCCTTCGCACTCCCTCACCATGCCCGCTCCCGTCGAGCAGGAAGACCAGCCCCATGCTCACATCGAGCTCGTGGACGACAACCCCTCCCCCAGAGCAGAGGGCGAGCCGAGTCCCGGCTTGAGGAACAGCAAGGGTTGGGACGGCAAGTTGCGTGTGCCGAAGAACGCTCTCCTCGCAAACCCAGAGGCCTTGTCCGACCCGGAATACTCAGACGAGGACAATGTCGTGCCCGGCGAGGAAATCGAGCCTGACGAAGGTACTATATATCCGTTTCTTAAAGACGTCACGTTTAGCAGAGGGGCACTTACTAATATGACCATTTTTAGATCTTCTCGACGGCGAAGACTCGGATACGGACGAGCTGATCTGCACCCACTCAAGAATCCAGTCCATCCCCAACCTCCGGCTGGAGCGGTTCAAGAACGTGGCCCGGCTATGTCTCAGGCAGAACGGAATCCAAGATATCGAAGGGTTGGAGTGCCTCGCCGAGACCCTCCAGGAGTTAGACCTCTACGATAACCTCGTCGCTCATGTGCGGGGGCTAGACCAGCTCACACGCCTAACGTCGCTCGATCTCAGTTTCAACAAAATCAAACACATCAAACATATCAGCCACCTGAAGGACCTCACAGAGCTGTTCTTTGTCGCGAACAAGATCAGCACGATAGAGAACCTGGAGGGGCTGGACAAGCTACGCATGCTAGAACTCGGGTCCAACCGAATTCGCGAGATACAAAACCTCGACTCCCTCAAGGAGCTGGAAGAGCTATGGCTGGCGAAGAACAAGATCACCGAGCTGAAGGGCCTGGGCGGGCTGCCAAAGCTGAAGCTCCTCAGCATCCAGTCCAACAGGATCCGCGATCTTTCGCCACTCGCCGAGGTTCCGACGTTGGAAGAGCTGTACATCTCGCACAACGCCCTGGAGTCCGTCGCCGGTCTGGAGCAGAACACCAAGCTGCGCGTCCTCGAGATTTCAAACAACCAGGTGAAGAGCCTCAAGGGCCTGGCTCCCCTGAAAGAGCTGGAAGAGCTCTGGGCCAGCTACAACCAGATAAGCGACTTTGCCGAGGTAGAGAGAGAGCTCAAGGACAAGGAGAACTTGACGACTGTCTACTTCGAAGGCAATCCGCTGCAGCTCCGCGGCCCGGCCGTGTATCGCAACAAGGTGCGCCTTGCGTTACCGCAGGTACAGCAGATTGACGCAAGTAAGTGCAAAATTCCTTTGCTCAAAAAATAATCAGCCAAGACTAACGAATTCCAGCATATGTCCGGGTATGAAAGTAACGGACGACAAGGCGGATGTATTTGTTCGCTAGGAACAGCATTTCTCAGGCACGCATGAGACTGGCGTTCAGGGTGTTTGGTGTCTGGATGCAACGACGAGGAGGGTTACCAATCTGGATTTCAAGGATAATGTATGCATGCATGTGGTCGGAAGTGATGATTAACGAAGGGAACTCGGCCGTACCAGGCGGCACCAGACAGCATGAAATAGAAGCAATACGGCAAGGCAAACACAGGGTCAAATCACCAACATGATCAGATCAGGCTCTAATATAACTGCATATTGTATTTGTCTACGGCAGAAGATATTTCCAACTATATGCCATGGTTCGAAACCCTTCATTTCATCATCATAAGATACACGAGCCGGGAGTGTGCAATAAACAGGGCCGGTATATGGAATTATTCCCCCCTCCTTTCCCGATTTCCGCTATCTCTCTAATACGCTGAACACCGTCTGATATGTCAAGACCAAGTAAGGGGTTTGGTTTAGTTTCGCTTTCTAAGGAGGGGACGGCCTGCCTGGTTGGCTGGTTGGATGATAGGTAGGTAGGCAGTTAGTGGTGGGAAGAGAGGGGGGCTCTAAGGACCACCACTAGGTTCCTATCTATCTACAGGCGACTAAGGAGCGCGGGCCTTTCTTGGGTAAGGTATTTAGCCAAAGATCCAGAGCTTCTCGGTGGGGAAGTACTGCGGGACATCATATACGTTAGCTTTGCTGATCTCTCTGGCTTCTTCTCGATGTGTGTGTGTGTGTGTGCGTGTGTACTTCTTCGAGGCACTTGGCAGAAAGGGGGCTCAGGGGAGGGAGAAGAGAGGGGGGGGGTTCATATGACAGAAAAACTCACGTTGCTGGGCTGGTTGAAGCGGGTCTTCTTGTCGAGGGCGCTGATGAGGTCGACGTCGAGGGGGTCCATGTCGAAGGACGTGCAGCCGATGTTCTCCTGCATCTGCTCGACGCGCAGCGTCTTGGGGATGACGGCGAGGCCGCGCTGGGTGGACCAGCGGAGCAGGATCTGGGCGGGGGGCTTGCCGTACTTTGCGGCGAGGCTGTTGATGGTGGGCTCCTGCAGCAGGGGCACCATGGCGAGGGCGTGCTGCATGTCGAAGTCGACAAAGGAGGCCGGGCCGAAGGAGCTGTAGGCGGTGACGGCGATGCCCTCGTTCTGGGCGAGCTTGACGAGGTCGGGCTGCACCAGGTACGGGTGGTGCTCGACCTGCAGCGTGGCGGGCGGGATCTTGGCGTAGCGCAGCAGGTCGTAGACGAGCTGGCCCTGGAAGTTGGACACGCCGATGGAGCGCGCGAGGCCCTTGCCGACGAGGGCCTCCATGGCCGTCCACGTCTCCTGGATCGAGGCCTTGCTGGTGCGCACCTCGGACACGCCGTCGTAGTGCCAGCCGGGCGGGTAGCGCACCGACGGGTCGACGTAGGCCAGGGCCACGGGGAAGTGCACAATGTACAGGTCGAAGTAGTCGACGCCCCAGTCCTCGAGCTGCTTCTTGCAGATCGGCTCGACCTTGTCGCCGTCGTGGAAGGTGTTCCACAGCTTGGACACGATGAACAGCTCCTCGCGCTTCACGATGCCCTCAGCCAGCGCCCGGCGGATGCCATCGCCGCACTCTTTCTCGTTGCCGTAGTCTGCATAGCGAGAAAAATAGTCGTTAGTTTACACTGCTTCTTCAGATGATAATAAACAAAACAACAAAAATGTCTGTGATATTCAAGGATATGACGAAATGTGGCACCGGCACGGACACCACCAGCAGTAGCACCACCAGGTGTAAACCTGTGTGTGCGTGCGTGTAAGTCATGCCGCCGTGGCGTGTGTCACGCCAGGAACAGGGGAGGGGTCCCAGGAGAAACGTGCTGGCGGGGCGGTTGGGGGCGTCGCTTGGCGCAATTACAGCGGGCTGGTGGGTGGTGGGGTAGCAGGAATGAGACGGCAGGGGAGAGCTTTTTTTGAGTGCAGTGAAGAGGGGGCGGGGTAATTCGTTGCTTGCTTGCTTGCTGTCGCCGAATTCTTCCATCCGCTGGCGCATTGCTTGGCTCCTTCGTTGTCTCTTGCTCCCTCTCAGTGCGGTGCCTCTGTCTCCTGCCATTGCCCAACACCTAGCTGGTCTTCTTTGTCTGTTCTGGGCAGGCCGAACTCGCCATCAAACCAAGGGGCAGGGTACGTATGTTGCTTACCGCATGCGCCGTCAAATAGACGGTATCCGACCTTGATGGCATTGTAGACAGTGTCAGCGGCAAGATCGTTGTCGACCTTCCACAGGCCGAACCCGACCTGGGGCATCTCATAGCCGCTGTTGAGCTTGATATTCGGGACGGTGGGCGCCATTGTTAACGAAGCTGTTTGTGTATATGTTTGTTGTGTCTAGTTGCTCTCGTTCTTCAGGTTTGTTTCTGAGGGTGTAAGTCTCTACGAAACGAACAAGAAAGGAGTTCTTCAGAAGGTCGCGATCCAAGATTGTCGCCGTGTAAGTCGACTGACTGCCTCTATTAGGAGCTTCTATGGTATCACAACAGGAAATTCGTCAGGGAAATGGAGAAAGAATCAGGAGAGGGAGCGTTCCTGGCGGGAGGGAGCTGTGCCAGCCACGGGACAGGCGTATTTATACGGCGACGACAAAGCTCCTCCTCCTCCTCCTCCTCCTCGTCAGTCGCGCCGAATGGAAGAATGCGAGCAAGCCTCCCGGGCTGGACTCTTGCCTGCTCTGGGTGCCTCCACCTCCGACTGAGGATAAGGAAAGTACCTCATGTGGTTCATCAAGATGTGACGCTGGTGAGGAGATACCTGCCGCGCAGCCGTGTGCTCGTGCGGGTACTAGCTATAGCCAGACAGCTGCTACTAGCAAGACTACGGGCTGACTACCATATTATCCGTAAACTTGCAGGGACCTGGGCGTGGGCGTGGGATATCAACCGCCTTAGTCTGGCACGATTCAGGGTCCCGGGTCTCCACGTAGGTAGGTAGTAGGTACACATGCGAAGTTACACATTTGCGTCCTTGGAGACACATTCTGCTGCCAATTAGGACGTGGCTTTTCACTATCACGTATTGAATAGTATCTGCGAGGCTCCGCGAGCACTGCCCACCAGCAGGAGTCACGAGAAGAAGTTGATTCTGTCAGTCAGTGAGTCCGTTACTTTGTCCCTTCCCCGTGGCGTCCGGATGCAGCCAGCAGGGCGATCAACCTGTCAGGCCACCAAAAACTGGGGGTGAGACACCGAGACATCGGCGAGAAAATCAAATGCGAGCTTAGTGGTGCGTCTAACAGTGCTCTGGAATCCGGCGTGTAGTTTGCAGAGTCTTGTCTCCGTACTATGGCCATCCTGACAATCCCATGGTCTGCTCCACCGAGGCAATGGAGAGCGGACTGCGGTCTCAACTCGGTGATAATCTCTGTGGTCCCTCCGGCCACGTATGAATGTACCTCGCAGGCCGGTCTGCTACGTGACCGGGCATGCTGAATGTTCCTTTCTTCAACCTGTTGGTCTACGTCACCGACTTTGGTAGTAAGAGAAGAGAAATGCCCGTCGGTATTTTACCATAGCCGTTATCACGACCTCGCGATGTTACTGGGTTCGGGGCATTGCAGGCAAGCAGGCCTCCAACACGACACACGACTGTCCAGGCGAGAAGCGAGTAGGCGGGCCGGCAGAGCGTGCACACCTCTTCGCTGGGAGCCCGAGACGATTGGTTTGAATACCTAGGTAGATACTCTTGTGGTTGTCCATGGGAGCTGTCGACGATGGAGACCAAGCACCTGAGCATTACATTTTACATTGAGCGGGTCTCTGTTGGTGTGGAAAAGTCTACTGCATAGTACTTGAGCCGGGTGGGCAATTTTGTATTTAGCCTGTTTGCACTGGCGTGCGCCACGCGACTTGAAGATCTGGAGTTTCTGAATTAGCCGCAGCGGGCATCTGAACCAAGCGTTACCTATCTCTCCCTAGTTTAAGCACTCATCAGGACCCGCTTGCCGCCCGTAAACTCGAGTAAGAATAAAATCACGTTCCCGGCCGAACCTGCTTGTCACGTTCTTTGGTTCGGCCTACTGTTAACGTTAGTGGCTAGTCTGATGCATTGCATCCCATTGCTCGGGTCTATGTCAACCTACCTTCAAGGTTACTCTCTTCTCACCTCAGATATGCGAGGTTGAGAGTCACCCCTCAATGAGAAAGCATACGTATAATCTGATATCATGCTCTGAGTCTCTCGGGTCGATGCCTACCGAGCCTGGTCTAGAGATGTCACTGGAAAAGAGGGCTGCATGGTTTTGGCCGTCCGGTGACTTGAAGTTTGAACTTAGCTGGTTCAGTTTGTATGATTCTGGAATAGGTACAATACTACGTACTGCATAGCTCAATCACCAACATCACTACCCCGAATTCTTCTAGAACACGAGAATTGACTAGCTCACCCTCATACCGTGATCTCATATCCGCAGCAATGGAAGCGACCGGCTTCTCCGTTTCCTGGGGAGACCCCAGTGCTACATCGCATGTCGACACCACTCCGGCCCCCCTCCTCCTCCGGCACTTACACCTTGGCCCCCTGAATAGAGTACTCGATCGGGCACCTCTAACCGCGTATCATCCGATACTCCCCTACTGCCTTACAGAAGTAGTCACAAGTGAGTTAGTGAGGAACGTACTGCACATGATCCTTGACCTGCCATTTCCGTAACCTATACGCATTACGGCACTCTTAGGCGCCTTAATCTAGGCCAAGCAAAGGGGGATCAACTATATGTTAATTCGGCATGGGGTATATTGGTATATACACACTGTAGCTAAGCGTCCGGAAGTAGAGAGACGCTAGCTATATACACATAGGTCACAAGCAACCTGGATCTAAGTAGACTCCCGCATCCAAAATCGCATGTACCCCGTTCGCTCCCCCCCACGCCCTCCGCTAAGTATAAAAGGTAGTTATCAAGTATGGCCGTCGGGCCTGGGTATCGTTCCGTGTCTATAAATCCATCCATCCATCCTGGACAAGCCCCTAACCTGACGCAACCTCACAACAACCACGACCGTTTTCACGCCCTGGAAGCCGTCCCGTTCGTCGTCAGCGTGTCATAGTTCGAATACGAGCAACTGCACGCCCCGCCCCCGTCGCCCGCGCTGACGTCCCCCACGGCCCGCCCCTGCCAGTCCCGACAGTCCGGGACGTCGGCGCCCGCCGGCTGCGTCTCGGCGATGTCCACCGCGAACGGCCAGGGGTCGAACGTCGAGCTGGCGTTGACGGGCGCGGCGACGCTCGAGATGTTGCGCGGGTAGTCGGCGCGCATGCGCGTCCAGATGGTGGCGCTCAGCACGGTGCTGTTGAAGTAGCACGTCGTGGTCGAGGTGTCGTTGAAGGTGCCGCTCAGGGCCACCACGGGCATGGCCATGGTGAAGTTGAACGTGAACCGCTCGCGGTAGGTGTTGCGGTTCAGGATCGTCAGCGTGATGTTGCCGAACTCTGGCGCGAAGGGGTTCTCGCTTGACGAGATCATGTACTGGTGCTTGTTCTTGGCGGCGATGATCCAGTGGTAGGTTGCCGAGGAGGCGTCTGGTGTAGATGGGTCATATGTGCTGTATGGATAGCACCGGAAGGTGCCTGGGTTGCTGGTGCACGCGGTTGAGACGTTGCGGAGAGCCGTAGTAAAGGACCATGATCCTATGGGGAAGAGTGCAGTTGTGATAGACGGTCCCTTGTTTCTGGGAGCAAGTCAGCCTGCGAGTTCAAGGACTATGATAGTGAAGGGTTGCCTACTTCCGCAGACCCAGCGCAAGGCCAATAGAAAGACCAACCACGACAGTCAAAATCAGGAGAGCAATAAATGACACCCGATACCACCCGCCTCTCTTCACAATCCATGCCTGGTCCTTGAATCCTTTCGCCTGTAACTCCGGCTTGCGATCCGGCCAACTGCCGCTATCGCTGCTCCGCGTCAGGGGCGGACTCGTGCCAAACGACGGAAAACTGCCGCCATATGGACATCCTAGGGCCAACCGCCGGTTTGACCGGGCCGGTATATTGGGCGGTGCGACACCATCGTCATCTTCCACAATGATGGGCATCGGCCGTGTGGTCACACGCGACGAGCGCCTGCTCCCGGGAGCCATCGTGAACACCGAAGCCTCTCGGCCGCCGCTCCTGATTCAGTCTTTGAGATAGATAGAGCTGCCGTTGTGTAGATACGGGTGTTGGGAGGCAATATCAGAACGTATAAAATCCCTTGATTATCTCTTCCCTGTTCTTGCAACGACTCGATGCAGGCAATGGCTAGGAGAGGTGGTGGAGCTAAGCCATCGAGAACACGCCGATGCAACGTGCGGCCGATGCGACCAGGGTTCCGCCGCCCAAGATATCGGATATTAGAGAGGCGCTTATCAAGGTATTAAGCAGCACCTGGGAAGCCGAAAATGGAAATGACCTATGTGAACAATGGCCAGCAGGCGGAGTGTTCAATCGAGCTCTCGTGAGTGGGATCCCGCTTTTTGCAGAATGGATCTCCAGCCACCCCGATACTTCAGCTGGATGGGAATGGGATTCCCACAACAACGATATTTATCGACAATCGAATTCACAAAAGACGCAATCGCCCCGCTCGGAAGATAGGTAGATAGTAGATATTGAGATCTACCACTGGTCGCCGAACCTCGTGGGCGTGCGATAGCCTAGCGCTGCGTCAATGCAGAAGAGCTAATGTAGAGACTGCTAAGTCTGCCTTGGGTGCTCTGGGCGGATGATCTAGACAGACAGATGGGGGTTCATTCCTTTTGCAGCATGTTCTCCGCAACGCCGTCGAACGTGGAGAGAGAGGCGTAGATATCGATCATGCACAATGAGATGAGGGGGGAAGAAGTAACAATAAATCCATCCTTCCAGCCCGCCAGTCTGGGAAGCCAGCTGTGGGCGTTCTCTAGTCCCCTTTGCCAGGCCTCAGCCTCTTCCATCATGAGCGTCACTGAGGAGACCCCGTCCCCAGAAATCAGAAGCAAGGAACCTGGCCGGTGAAGGAGGTCAGAGGTCAGCCAGGTTCGTCGCCCAGTCCCAATCTACGTAGGGCCTGGTCAGTGCAAATTGGGCGATCAAATAGTTCCGAAGTTGGTGTGATGAGTCGAAATAAGATTGGCCGGGGAGCCTGCTCGTTGCCGTTCGGGGCAGAGCGGGCTAAGCTAGACACGGCTGTGGCTTCAGCCGGCTTGCTAGCACGCATCGATGCGCTGTGGGATTGTCGATCTGGACTCGAAACCCAGTGGCCACAGAGCCTCTCCATTGATCCAAATGATCTCAAGCTGTGCAGCCCAGCTTTCTTCCTGGATGGTTCAACTGGGCGCGCGGGCGTCGCCGTGTTTGGCGGGGATGGACATGGCGGGTTTACTGTAGACTACGGCGCTTTCTCGTGAAGTGTCATTGACGACATGGTCGCTGAAGTTGTGATACCAACATATTTACAGTGATCGCCATGTTTCTTTATCCATTAGGAGCTCTCAACGGTCTCCTTCTCCGCACTCTGCTCCGCGTACGGTGGAGGATGCAGAGTTTCGCCTCCTTCGACCCAGACCTGTGCCAGTTCCTTCTCGATCTCCTCGCGGCGCTGCTTCCACTCCTCAACCTTGGAGAGCCGCTCCCGGAGCTCAGCAAGTTCTCGTTCAACATGCATCTTTTCCCGCTCAGTGCCAATGCGCTCAAATTCCCACTCATCTCCGTTTTCGCCCATCCCAAGGACGAGATTGAAAGTGTGATACTTTTTGAGCGAGGCTCGTGTCGAGATAGTGATGAGCGCTGAGAGTCTAGTTAGCAGGCCGTTCTTTGCAAATATGTAGACACATAAGGCTTACTGATGCCCTTCTCTTTACATGTCTCGTAGAGCAGACCCTCGACATCACTTGACACGGCGCTAGTTCCCTCGTCAATGAAGACGTACTCGGGTTCATGATAGAGAACCCTGGCAATAGCCATCCTTTGCTTCTCGCCACCACTGAGGACATCTTTCCACTCCTTCTTGGTGTCCCAGCCGCCCTCGCGATCCGGGAGATAGCCCAGACGAGCAGCATCCAGGACTTTCTTTAGGTCGTACTCGGTCTTCCTCTTCTCTCGCATATCGAACTCACCGTCGGGATAGATGACCTGGTCTCGAAGCGTCCCAACACTAAGGTAGGGTCGCTGCGGAAGGAACATGATGCCATCCTCACCATTCAGCTTCGGCCGGCTTACGAGCCCCCGATAAACGGGCCACAGTCCTGCCAGAATTCTGGCAATGGCACTCTTACCAGCGCCGTTCGGTCCAGAAATGAGCAGGTGCTCCCCGCGGCGAACAATGAGGGAGAGAGACTCAATGAGCTCCTCGCCCCCTTGTGGCCACAAGCCAGGCGCCACAACTGGTACATTCTCCAGCCGAACGCCGTCAAAGCCCTTCTGTATCGTGCCTTGGACATCCGACAGCGAGTATAGCTCGTTCTGTCGGCCCCGGGCATAATATGCATTGGCGTGAACTCTATGAAGTGTCGAAATCAGGGTGTAGACTCGACTAGTATAGCCGGCGAGCTCGGACAGATCCTTGATGGAGTACATCATCCTTCCACCAGCATCTGCTAGAGAGAGCATGAGGCGCTTGTTGGTGATGAAGTCCTTCATGCGACTCCTTTCCCGACCGCCCTTCTCACTGCCTTCTGCAAGCTCTGCCACACCGCCTAGACCTCCCCACGCGGGAAGGAAGACCGGTAGAGAGGAGAGGAGATAGCCGTACGCACTCCAGCTATATTTCAGGATGAAGTCTTCCAGGATGTTATAGCGGATCTTCAGCATATAAATGCCTTCCATCCATGATTTTAGTGATTTGAATTCTTTGTTTAGAAATTGTTTCTCCATGTCTGCTCCACCATAGAAAGCAATTTCTTCTGCATTTGCTATCAGACGAGCATGCTGACTTCGGAAATCGCCTTCTTTGCGACCCTCAACAGCCTTGAGCTTGCCGAAGGGAGGTGATAACCTCCTGAGGATGCTAGCTGTGAGAAGATAGTTGCTCAACAAGCCAGTCAACGCCAAAGGACCTAGTGATCGGTAGAGCTGGTAGTTGAAGACGCAAAGATCAACGAACGGCTTTCCGAGAGATGAGTAGAGATTCGCTGCTGCTGCACAGAACAGCGTCAAATCCTGCGTGATGAACTGATCTGCCCCTTGTCCTACACCGCCGTCGAGATTCGACAGCTTATAGTAGTTGAGGTTCTCGTTTAGATATAGATCATGAATGTATCGTGTAAGGCGAGTCCGGAAGGCGATGGATACTTTCGATTCGAGAAACTTGATCATCGCGTTGGTGTACGAAGCAAATCCACCCAGACCACACCACTTGACAATGCCCCATAGGAACTTCTTGCCGTTCCCAGTGACCAGATCCCGAACAATTTCTCCGTCTAATCTTGCCACGACGAGAGAGAGATATGTCCGAAGCATCAAGAATGCGCCATGGCTGACAAGTAAGCCAGCCTCCTTGCTCGACCATCTCGGGATCATAATGCTCATCAAGCTGAGGAACTGGTGGAGGAAGGCAAGGTTGAGCCCTGGCTTCGTTTGCGCGGAAGGTACATGGCCATCTCCTAGCCCAGAGACGCGTGGCGGGTTCAAAAACAGTCGCCGATGCGCCTCGAAAGTAAGGGGTTTTGTAGAGTGTATGACGACCTTGGAAGTGCTATCTTTGTAAGGCACGTAGATTGTCCTAGAGCCGTCCTTGTTGTGAAGCCACGAATTCGTCCGTACGAGCTTGATTCCCTGCTCCTTCTCGAGTCGACTCCGCTTCCACCATCTTCGGCCGCCCTCGGCGCCGAGGATTATCGAAGCTGTGAGTGCGAGCGTCGCGAGAATACGTGTCGTCCGTGTTGTGCTCCGTAGTTTCGTCTGAATGCGAGTTGTGTACTTCTCGATGAACGCCGCGATCGCTTCTTCTGCGGCTGTATGCCGCAATGTCGAATGCGCGGCCATTTTGGTTGGCCTGGGATGTCGTCCACTCCCCAAGGTGTCCGTTTCTATCGGGCCGTGCGACTAGGTTCGCGTTCCATTGGGATCAAGGGATGGTTACGGAGCGACTACAAGAGTACGGACTAGAGAAGCAAAGCGCGCATCGATATGCACAGTTAATAGAGCGCGAGATGAATAGAAAGTCGTCTGAAGTGGAAGAGAATGCGGTCTGGATAGTGAAAGCTGGGGTAAGTCACGAGCGGTGGCTCTCCACGGAGCTTGAGTGGGACAACGGCGATTCAAGCCGCCAGCACCGCACTGGGAATGATGCCATCATTGGCATGTGACAGCTTTGCAGCTTCCCCAACCCCGAGGCAGCTCGGTCGGACTCGAGCCACCCGACGCCACACATTCATTGAGTCAAGCCACAGCTTCGCTCTCCCCCATCTCGCTAATTGAATTTGTACCCCAAAAGCAATGACTGGAAGGCGCCTGAGCTTTCTTGGGAAGATCAAGAAAACTGGTGGCTCGGACGTTTTGAATTTTACGGAGATCGGTGACAAGCAGTTTTTGGCTAGTCTACTAACTACTCTACCGTAGCATGTCTCTGCATGTTCATGATAAGCAGCTTTCTCGCTTACATTTACCGCCGAGGAGGTCAGCAAACCCGCAAAGAGACGCCAGGATCTTCAACAAAATGGAACTCTCTAAGCTTAGACAGTCCCATACAGTACCCAGGTAGTCTGCCTGTCAACCTCCCCAAAGCCTGAGACAGACTCAGAGCCATGCCGCGCGAGAAGGCGGCGACAACGGCGTTTGGCCACTAAGGGACATTCCCTACACGGGGATCTTGCAGGCGGAATGCCGGAAGTCCCCTTTTTACCACGATGGCTCAACGTGGGGAGACACACAGCGGATACCTAAGGCCGTTGAGTGGCCACCATGTGCTGTGCCCAGCTTTTGTCACTGTACCGGGCGCCAACATGCACCAATCAGACCGCCAGCCCGCCGGATAGCTTCATCCCCATTTAGCTGGCCCTGCAAGCCGGCACACCAGCCAGAGCAGTAAGTGACTGTTCGAGAAACCCATGGGGCTGCATAGTGGAAAGGGGGGCGAAAGGGGAGGCGTTTGGGGCCTTCTCCAGAGAGGCAGTCCGGCGAGTAAGTCTTCATGCAATGAGCGCAGAGAGCGCAACGGCGGCGCTCACCAGGTCGTCTCGATCCCTGACGCCATCCCGGTCACAGCGGGAAGAGGCACTGTGAGCCAGCTCGGATGCGAGCGCAACAGCAGTCTCGTTGGTCGAGGTCTAGCGCTGCAGTAATGCGCTGCACCGCAAGTGGTCCGCTGGGCATGGAGAGGAACACGCTGTTCTCGCCTTCCTTACCTCCATGCAAGCTTGCTGATGCGAGTGGGGAAAATCGACGGCGGATGCAGCCAGGTAGTTCGCCCGGCGTGTTCGTCGCTCTCGGTGCTGCTGAGATGCCATGGACGGGCATCCTGCTTGCTAGATGGCCATTTGGGAGCGAGCGATAAGTCGAGTTGGGAGCCTGCTGATGAACAGAGGTCTTCCCGGGGTCCGATCCGCTGGGTGCTTGATTAGTACCGCAGGTCACAAAGCATCGACTCACCAGACAACCTTCGATTGTTGAGATGACGATTGCATTAGACAGATGGGGGATAATAATGCAATGGGATAAGGCACAAGCTTCTGCTTCTTCTTCAAGCAAGCGGAGGACGGGCGGGCCAGAGCAAGGAACAGGGGCCAGGGGTGGGGAGGGCCACCAAGGGCCACATAGAGCCACCCATTCTGCATCTCTAGCTCGGGAGCACTAGCAACGCTGCTATGATCTGTTAGCCCCGGCCCGGGTGCCCCATACATTCCGCGCCGCACCGCACCCGGAGCCTTAACACCGAGCATCTGATTGTGCCGGATCATATTAGCCACCCGGCCAGCCTAGGCTAAGGTACCTGGGTACCCTCTAGGGTATCTAAGCGTACCTAAGTGGCTGCTGTCCGTCCGTCCCACGCTGGCTGCTGGGTGATTCTGCTTCAAGGTTGTGCTGCTGCTTGGTGCTTGGTGCTTGGTGCTTGCTTGCTACTGTTCTGTCTCGCGCTCGCCCACCATCCACCCACCCACCCGCCGACCCCCTTCTGCGTGCGCTCCCCAGTTCCGCGCAGTCTAGTGGACCTCTCTACCATCCCAGTCCCAGCCAGACCGGACCGTCCATCACCTTCACTGTCAAATCTCGCTTGCCTTTCCAGTCTTCTCAGCCTCTACTCAACCCCGTCCTCACGATCTCCTCCGTGTTTCTTCCATCGCCGACAAGCTCTCCGCGCCCTTCCGCACACCTTGTGCTCTTCATGCGTTGATAGTAGCCTTTATTTATCAATTCCGGTATCCTTTCCCGGACGCAATCACTAGGCTTCGCGCCGCGACAGCCTCCCGCTCGCGCTTGTCCCGGATCGGGGCCCCTCGAGATTACGACCGGTTTTCTGCCTTGCAAACGCGTCGGTCGAACCTGGACAATCTTCATCGCATTTCCTACGCTACGGCTCGGCTTGCGCGAATTGGCCTGCGACGGCCGCACACCGCTCTGCTTTGGGTTGGCTTGATTTGGGAAGGCTGATTGGGGATTTCTCTACAAGAGGTGGGTGACTTCCCAATTTCTTCGAGATAGACGGCGACGAGCTCCACCAGATGACTTGCTCTGTTCTATCTGGAGCCTGAGGGACCTCGGATCGCCTGTCCATCGGCATTCCGTGTGAGAGAATGGCTCCGCGCGATAGCTCTGGCGCCGGACCATCTACTGCGCAGATGGAAGCCGTATCGCTGTTGCGATGTGCAGCGGCTGGCGTGCTCTTTGAAATCTTGGTCATCGTTTACTAATCATCTGTTTAGGCACAAATACGAACACAAATGTCCGTTGAAGTCGAGTCGCAAGGCTCCAACGGCGAGATGTCTCGCGATATCCACGAAACGGCCCCGGTTGGGCAGGAGAACTCGAAGGAGAAGGAGCTTCTGTCGCCAGAAGACGGATCCGGCAGCAAGAGGGGTCGAGGGCTGTTGCATGTTCCTTCAAGATCATCCTCTCAGAGACATCAGCCGTCTCCAACCTCTACGGGTTTGAGTGGAGCGACTGCGAGCGATCCGAGAGATAGCATCGGAGGACACTCGAAAGAATCAAAGGGCAGCATTTTGGGCCGGCACAGGAATGGTAGTGCATCCAGCCAGGTTGATACGGGACCGACCAACACTCCGGGCAACTCTCAGCCCAGCTCTCCGGCCGTGACTTCACAGCAAAGGAAGAAGAAAAGTGGTGGCCTTCTCTCATTGTTCTGTTGCGGTGTTCCTGACCATGCGAACACGGTGGAGGATGGAGAGGATGAAGTCCCAGGTCACAAAGTTGAGAAGATTCCTGCTCGCCCGGCCACGGCGAGCCGGAGGACTGCGACACCCTCTGACCAAACAGCCGGTGGCAGCAAAACGCAACTATACGAAAAAGAATCACAAAATCAGATACAGAATGCGTCTGACAGTTCAAAACCGAAGAGATCATCAGCAGCCACTACACAAGATCAATCAACGGTGGGCGGCCAGACTAATGAGTCCAAACCATCAACACTGGTTGAAAACGCAGCGCCGATTGTGACCGTGGAACCGCCCGTTGCACCCGAATCTGGAACAGCAGATAACCCAGACAACACCGCTGTTAAAGACGGCGATGGAGACGTGGTCATGCATGATGAGGCAGGAACTTCCAACCAGGAACAGCAGCAACCAGCCCCATCCACGGAGGGTACGCAGTACAAACTCCCTCCGCCCCCGCCGGGACCGATCCCGGCAGTGCCCAATCCACCCAACACTTCAGCAGATAATGGTGCAGTTGGAATCATGGTGCCAGAACAACCTCCCCAAAAGTCTCTTCTGCCTCCAATAGCACCGCATATGAAGGGCCGGAAGTGCCTTGTTCTCGATTTGGACGAGACGTTGGTACACAGTTCATTTAAGGTCTGTAGCCATTTCTGTACAACCTATGCTTTGGCAGCGTCGCTAACAGTACTGCAGATACTGCATCAAGCTGACTTCACAATACCCGTGGAGATTGAAGGCAATTATCATAACGTCTATGTCATCAAGCGGCCCGGCGTCGATCAGTTTATGAAGAGGGTTGGAGAGCTATACGAAGTGGTTGTTTTCACTGCCTCGGTTTCTAAGGTCGGTCATGATCGAGACATTCTTGCAACGAAGATTCTAACAGTCAACAGTACGGCGATCCTTTGCTAGACCAACTCGACATCCACAAGGTGGTACATCATAGGTTATTCCGAGAGAGCTGCTATAATCACCAGGGCAACTACGTCAAGGACCTTTCACAAGTCGGACGGGACCTGAAGGACACTATCATAATCGACAACTCCCCTACCTCTTACATTTTCCATCCTCAGCATGCCGTCCCTATCAGCAGCTGGTTTTCAGATGCTCACGACAACGAGCTTCTAGATCTCATCCCAGTTCTCGAAGACCTGGCTGGCTCCAACGTTCAGGATGTCAGCCTCGTTCTAGATGTCACTCTTTGACAGAGCCTCTCTTTTTTGTTTACACAACCCCAATAATATCCACAGCGGTCCCACCATCTCGCCACACCGTCGGGCTCACCCATCATAGCAGAAAGTGCTTGGACTACGCTGCCATTGGCGCGCTCTGCTACTCTATTGTTTAATAGTAAATCCGACGCATGGGCATTTCATGACTCTGTAGCGACATGACAGTCTCTACAGTCATCTCACAGGAAGTTTCCCCGTGCACAAGCATGCTCGTGGTCTCTCCATGTCTCTGGTCCGATGATGGGAGTTCTGGTAATGCCTGAAAACCCCCAATGCTCGATAAGGGTGGGCTAGGTGCCGTATGACTTCACCCGCTCGCTGGCTAAATCGGACATTCGACAAGATCGATTTTGTCCTGTTTGAAGGAACCTTTGTGGATCTGCTCTTTTTCAGTTTTTTCAGGAGCAAAAGCGACATTACTTTGCGGCGTGTGGGCATTTACAACCCCCCCTTTTTTGTTTTCATTTGTTTATTCTACTGTTGCTACCTCCAGGCATACACATACAACGGTCTGCAAGCAGACAGGGAGAACATTAGCATTGCAACTGTTCGTCTTTTCTCGGAGGGGGTTTTTGGTGTTCTTGTTTGACGACACGGATCACTTGTAGGCTTTTGAGATACGGCAAACGAGCGCCATAAAAAAACATCGGAGAAATGCGTCCCCTCGAAAAGATGGATGGGTCTTCTCTCTGGGTTATACATAGCTCTTCCAAATTGATATAAATCCTGTCCGATACCGTCTGTCTTTTCATATGTGCGACTTAGCAGTGACAGCTCCGTTCCAAGTATTGCCGCTATTGAGCTCATACATCACATTGAAGCGCGCCACTTGTTAATCTCCATAACGCCTGGAATCGATGGGCGAACTGGAATTTTAGAGCTAGTATATCTCTTCCATTTACAATCTTGGAATAACAAGTAATTGAAAAGCCTTTGATTGCAAAGCACTCGGTTTTGGAGTGATTTGTTTGGTACAAGCAGCCTGGATCTAAGCTTAACTACTGGAGCTTCGTAGGTGGAGTGGGCCTTCCGTCTGGGGTCGGGTCTCGGTGGAATAAAAATGCGCCCCAATTTGGGACCCAGCCTTTGCAAATCGTGGCCTCAATTGCACGTAGCTTTAGGGGCCCATTCCCAGCTCCATCCCAAGTCCACGCCATACGCATTCGACCCGGAATTCCCATCTTCCTCCAGCGCACCCTCGATCTTTTCTCATCTGTTTCTCTTGTCGGGTTCTATTTCTTGCTTCCTCTCTTCTAATCACAGCCACAATGGTCAGTCCTACCATCCTCAATGCCTCAGCAAACAACCGCAAGCTTCATCAAATCACCCCTGTCGTGCGACATCAATTGGCGACTGCTATCGCGTGACTTGCCTCCCAATGGACACACTGCTAACTCACTCTTCCGTCGCATAGTCTTCTCCTCGGCCTACCTCTCCCGTCAACTCGCCCCCGGCCTCGGGCGTCAGCACCGGCCGCCCTTCATCCCCGCCGCCTCCAGGTGGTGCGCGAACTGCGATCCGCCGCCGAGCGGCTGCTGACCAGAAGGAGAAGATTGCCAATGTGCGGCCCAGCAGCACGAGAGCTGCCGGTGCCGGTGGTAGCTCTAGCACCATGCTGAGTATGTGACGGCCTCACCCCTTAGATTCTGTTTGGGTTTCAGGAGGCGGCATATGTCAAGGGCGAGCTTTTTGCTAATGGTTTGTTTGCGTGAATAGGGCTCTACACCGACGAGTCTCCCGGCCTGAAGGTCGACCCCGTCGTCGTACTGGTTCTGTCTCTGGTCTTCATCTTCAGCGTGGTGGCTCTGCACAGTAGGTTTACCTCGGGGATCGAGAAGGGGTGGGTTGAGAAGCTAACCGAGCACGCAGTCATTGCCAAGATCACTCGCAAATTCTCAAGCTAAGCTTATCAAAACGAGACAGTAGTTTGGGAGGAGAACTGAAGAAGGAAAGAGAGGCGAAAAAAGCAATTGCTTGGTTGTTACCAGGTCATCATATCACTCTGCAGCAGTGACGAATCGGCCTGTGATGAGTGCCTGTGTGTGGGGAGTTTTTCTGGACGAGAGCGTAAAAATTACAAAGACATCTGGGCATGGCATCTTTTATTTTGGTGATCTTGTCTGTCATGGTGGATTGGGGGACTTTGACCTTCCACCCGTTCTGTACGATATCTTGGCTGGGCTACATGGACAATGCTAGACTGGTTGCCTGAAGTGAATGCGCGTCCAAGGGCCACTACTGAAGTGATAATTTTGACCGTTGTCGCAACCCCATCTTCTTGGCCATCACCGATATACTGCCGCCTGTATGGGATACACGAACGTCGAAGGTGTCTCTGCGGGCTCAGTGGAGATTTGGCTACGGCGTGGTCGAGCAGTGGACTCTTCGCATGGCCGCGTAGGTAAGCAGGGCCTAGATCAGCCCTGGAATTGGCCAGCATAATCACCTTAAACCAACCGAGACTTACCTGGAAGAGGATGTAATGTCGCGCGCCCAAGGCTTTGCCCGTGGCCTACTCGCGCTCTAGGCCTGCATCGGGCGTTAGCGCCACGGTCCGCCACACCTTCGTCATAGGTTTCAGCACCGCCTGCTGGCCCGCTACAGCTGCCGATTCTCGGTATCAAAACCGCAAGCGTACATGTTATGAGGAAGGTAGAGCGAAAGGAGGCTTGGCTCTCACATTGCGCTGGATATGGTATTCGGTATCTTGTAAGCTGCATCGCATGATTTGATCGCTCGCTCGCTCGCTCGGTTGCTTATGAGTCGCTTGACAGCCCATCATCGTGGAGTTTAGCGTCGACTGCATTGAACGTGACTAAAGCACAGCACCCAAGCTCCAGATCCAAGTAAATTGGAAAGAAAGCCACCAGTCACCGTCCTCGCATACCTGACCCTGACTGGCAAACTTGGGTTACGTAGCCGTCACAGGCAGCGCATTGTTCTACTACCATTCATTCGTTCCACGATCTCGTCAGTGTGAGCTACTTAGGTAGAGAAGTTTCATCATCATCGTGCTGCTACTTTCGCACTTCGCCCCTCCTTTCTCGCGTCCTACTACCTACTACCCACTACCTACGTACTGGATAAAACTCCAGCTGCACCCTGCCAAGCCTCTGCCCCAGGGAATCCTTTCGCACGAGTGCGAGTGCGAGCTAACGGCAGCTCTTCAGATTCGCACTTTTCCTGGTCGAGAAGCTCTTTTATCATCCGACGCATCTGCGGCGCATTCATTCTTGTCGCGAAAGATATAAGTTTATCTGATTCTGCCTTCCTTGTGAGAACAAGCTACGCAAGACGTGCCATCACAACCTGCCCCTCCATACCCCGCGGTGGCGATTTGAATAGCGGTATATCAACAACACTCTTCACTCTGCTCCGCACATCGACCGTGTAAAAGCTCTCAGATACTACGTGCTACTCTAAAGTAGCCATGGCCGACCCCGGGGGTCTCAGCCGAAGCAATACGGCCGGTCCACGGCCAAGCCAAGATGCTCGCCGTCCCCTAATCTCAGACGGCTTCAACAATGTCGACCTTGGCGCAGATAGCGATGCGCCGCCGGCGTATGGCGACTTTCACGACAAACTTCAACTGTCACATGCAGGCTTTGAAGCAGGCGCTGCCGTCACAGGTAAGATCTTCTGTTCGCGACTCGTTTGCACGTTGCTAAGCCTTGTATGTAGAGGATGGCCGTGTCAACATCAACATCAATGAGAGGGGTCGCAAGTTCTCTGATATGCTTGCGCCGACTCTGAGGAGCCAGATTTTTCGATCAAAAGAGTCTACTGCCCCTGATCCCTTACCCCCAGCATATATCCCGCCTAGTCTTGGTGGCCAGCCCGGACAGACGCCTCCTCCCAGGCTCAATGTCGTCATCCAGATTGTCGGCTCACGAGGCGATGTTCAGCCGTTTGTAGCGCTCGGCAAGGTGCTGAGGGACACCTACGGTCACCGAGTCCGAGTTGCCACGCACGCTGTGTTCCAGAAGTTTGTCGAAGAGAATGGTCTAGAGTTCTTCTGCATCGGTGGAGATCCCGCTGAACTGATGGCCTTCATGGTGAAGAATCCTGGACTGATGCCAGGTATCGATGCTCTAAAGAGCGGCGAGATCAAGAAGCGCAGACAAGGCATCGAAGAGATTGTGCTAGGCTGCTGGAGATCTTGCATCGAAGCTGGCAATGGCCTCGGACCGGCTCCGCAACCGCATGCACCCAGCGAACCTGTCGACGAGCGCTTCCAGCTACCAGGTAACCCGAACGACAAACCATTTGTGGCAGACGCCATCATCGCCAACCCACCGAGCTTTGCGCACATTCACATTGCAGAGAAACTAGCGATTCCGTTGCACATGATGTTTACGATGCCTTGGTCTCCGACAAGAGCATTTCCACATCCTCTAGCCAACATTCAGTCCTCTAACACGGATGTCGTCATGACCAACTACGTCTCATACACACTGGTTGAGATGATGACTTGGCAAGGACTTGGAGACGTAATCAACCGCTTCAGGACCGGTGTTCTCGATCTGGAGCCGCTGTCTCTGATATGGGCTCCTGGATTGCTCACACGTCTCCATATTCCAACAACATACTGTTGGTCACCGGCTCTGATACCGAAACCAAACGATTGGGGGAATGAGATTGACATTGCTGGATTCTATTTCCTCGACTTGGCTACATCATATACCCCTGAACCCGATCTGGCCGCGTTCCTTGAAGCTGGACCGCCTCCCGTCTACATAGGCTTTGGCTCAATTGTCGTCGATGACCCTAATAAGTTAACAAGGATGATTTTTGACGCAGTTACTATGACAGGTGTTCGCGCTCTAGTGTCAAAGGGCTGGGGCGGAATAGGTGCAGATTCTGTCGGTATCCCTGATGGCGTCTTCATGCTGGGAAATTGCCCTCATGACTGGCTCTTCCAACGGGTTTCTTGTGTCGTCCACCATGGCGGTGCTGGAACGACCGCAGCTGGTATCCAGACCGGAAAACCCACCGTTGTAGTGCCGTTCTTCGGTGATCAACCGTTTTGGGGCGCCATGATAGCCAAAGCCGGTGCTGGACCCAAGCCGATTCCATACAAGAACCTCACAGCTGAGACTTTAGCTGAGGCAATTCAGGAAGCTCTGAAGCCCGAGACACAAGCAAGGGCAAAGGAGCTTGGGCAGAAGATTCGAGAGGAGAAGGGTGCTGATTTTGGTGCCAAGAGCTTCCACGATCACCTGGCCACTGACAACATCAGATGTTCCCTCGCCCCTAGCCGTGTTGCGGTCTGGAGAGTAAGGCGTACCCAACTGAGGCTCAGCTCCTTGGCTGCTACGGTCCTGGCCAAAGAAGGAATTCTCAAGTACACGGATCTGAAACTGTATGTATACAAATTGTCCGATCTCATCTAATGCGTACTGACCATGCAGGTATCGCCCTTGCGAATACAACACCGACGAACAGCCCTGGGATCCTATCTCAGCAATCGCCAGCGCGTTGGTGGGAGATATCAGCACAATTGCAATGGCTGTGGGCGATTTCCCTCGAGAGGTGTTCCAGGCAAGAAGGAAGAAGACTGGTAGCGGTGCTGTGACTCCGCTCGCAGAAGGCGCGCCATTAGCAACAACTTCGACCGCATCGACTTCGACAACAGACCCTGGTTCTGCCAGAGCTACAGAATCTGGGTCTATCCGAGCCTCAGAGCCGGCCCGACCGCAGTCACCTCAGGAGCTCCCAGCGGAAATCCCATCCGATACTGCAAGCTTATCGTCCACTCAGCCGTCACTCTTAGTTAGTGCGCCAGGACAATCTGATGTATCTACTGCTCAAGAAGAGACCTCGACTGAGATCACTTCACCACATCGGACTCTGTCCCCCACAGGAGAGCCAAGAAGTCCCGCTCGAAGTCCGTCAAGGTCATCACGATTCTCTTGTCACACACCGAACCGGGAGTCATCACCACACCCTTTCAACATGGATACTGCGATCGCTGCTGGCAAGGGGGTATCGAGGATTGTGGGAACCGGCGTGAAGACTCCCATGAACTTCTGTCTGGGAGCCGCGAGAGGCTTCAGGAACGCGCCGAGGCTCTACAATGATGACACTGTGCGTCCTACCGAGAAGGTAACTGACTTCGCGAGCGGTCTCAGAGTCGCTGGCAAGGAGTTCGGATATGGTATCTTTGATGGCATATCTGGTCTTGTCACGCAGCCGATTAGGGGAGCGGAGAAGGAGGGCCCAGTAGGCTTCGTCAAGGGCTTCGGCAAGGGTTTAGGTGGCTTCTTCTTCAAGAACTCAGCAGGTAAGATTTCACGTGTTTTAGCTCAAGATTTCATACTGATCTCGTCAGCAATCTGGTCCATTCCTGCATATGCAATGCAAGGCGTTCATGCAGAAATCCGCAACCTCTTCACCAAGAGCATCCAGAACTACATCTTCACCTCGCGAGTGCTTCAAGGCGAGGAGGACTTTTCCAGCTCGTCCCGCGAGGAGCAAGAAGACATCATCCTCCGCTGGAACGCAAAGAAGGATGATTTGAAGGGCTATTACAACCTCAAGCAGAAGGAGAAGAAGGGCGAGAGCCCGCCGTCTTCTGAGCGAGGACCCAGTGACACCCCGCCGAAGACGGGCTGGTTCCACACACGACACCTATCTTGGGACGAGAGGAAGAAGCTACAGGCGCAGAAGGAGGAATGGAGGAAGAAGCGCGGCACTGCCAGCACGCCGTCCGTGGATAGAATCTGGGAGGATGACGAGCTGGAGCGGGCCATCCGCGAGTCGGTGCAGCAGACTTCTAGGGGCAACTCTGAAGAAGATGCCATGATCGAGGCCCAGATCAGGGCGAGCGTTGCAGAGATGCGCAGAGCAGCGGATCAAAGTCGGGAGCTACAGGACGTCAAGCAGCCGGTCCCAGAAGCATCCTCTGTTCTGGCACCTCCGGAGGACATCACCGACGAGGAGTACCAGGCCCTAGTCGAAGAGGCTATCAGACAGAGCCTTGCGCACCAAGCTATCGGCCCACCGCCTCCGCTGCCGCCCAGAGCCAACTCTGGTCTGGACGACGAGGAGGCTTTGAGGAGAGCCATCGAGGAGTCCAGAAGACAACAATCCGAACCTCATCATGGAGACGATGATGAAGAAGAGCTGCGGAGAGCTCTGGAGGAGTCGGAGAGGGCTCACAGGGAGCAGGAGGCACGCAGCTCTTCAGCAAAGACGGAAGAGGAGATCATCATGGAGTACGTGAAGAGGCAGAGTCTGGCGGAGGAGGAATACCGGCGCCAGAAAGCCAAGGGCAAAGCCGTCAGGCCCAGCGGCACCGATGATAACGATGACGATGACGAGGTCGATGAGGATCTGAAGAGAGCGCTGGAGGAGAGTCTCAAGGTGAGCGGCCGTGACGGCGCGGGACCGTCGTCTTCTGGCGCTTGAAGCATACGTGCATGCATGGGGGTTTCATATAGCACATGACTGAATGGCTGGCTTGTGTTGCTGTGCTGTGCTGTGCTGCGCTTGGCTGTGATTTTTGTTACGAGCGAAGATATACCCACAAGGTAGAAATAGACGGTGGGCGGTCTTGAGTTTTGACTTTAAGAATCGCACAACTCGAAATAGGAAACGCAATGAATTTGCCCTGAGCAAGCTCTCGCGAGATTACTATGAGTGCTCGAAGCATGAATCTCTTTTCCCCTAAAATACTTAAGTTGGTGTTTGCTCACGATTCGACTGTGGGTTTCCAGGAACAGATCTCATAAGCCAGAATACAAAAAAGACATGTTGCGAGCCGTAGGATACTCGCTCAAACAACGTAAACATCAGATGAAAGCTTCTTCGCAAATCAGCTGATAGCTTCTTTGGACTGGAGGCAGGCAGCCGACTGAGCGTGGCGCCGGTGATTGGTGAATATCCACGAGTTTGACAATTCAAAGTTCGATGTTTCCGAAAACAGGCACGGCTTTTTTCCGAACTTTTTCACTGCAGTTTTAGTGCTGTCGGGCGCCTTCCTTACCCCGGTCTGATCCACGCTTACGAACTGCGTCTCCAAGTGCCACGACTTCTCGGTCGGCTTTGAGAAGAGATATACTTTGACCGAATGTGTAGTCCTATGCGTGTTAGAATGCTTGCAAGTCAAGTCACGTTGTTCAGGTGCTTATTTAGGTGCAGAGGATGTGGTTTGCAACACGACAAAGTCTGGCGATATCGGGACTTCAGATGATCCTGCCTAGGAATTTGTCCCGAGGCCTCATTGTGTTGTTGATAATGAGCAGAGAAAGCAGGTGATTAGAAAGTTATGTGGCATGTTTCCACGTTGATAGCGTCTACAGTATCATGTCATCCTGACAATAGTAAGAGAGACTGAAAACTCTTGTTTGGGGGCATCGAGAATAGTTCCATAATCCCATCGTTGTAACCGGAGTACCCAAGGCAGTCAGTCAGTCACCTGAGATGCCTCATGAAAACGATGAATTTATTCTTCTATGTTCAGAGCAATAATCTCTACATAGCAATACCAGTATACACGAAATGACAAATTACTGCTGTGTCTCGAGTCTTGAAGTTGTTCTCGGTCAATCGAGGATAATTCCAAGTCCGGCAAGGTGCACTTAACTAGCGTCTGGGCCAAGATCCCTCCTATGTCACATCAATGACATCATAGGTAATTCTCGTGAATTTCACTGCAATTTTAGCGTACAATGGCAATGTGGTGTTGCAAACGACGGTTCACTGCAGTTATAGCATCGAGTTTTCGGTGCGTGTCATGTGCACATACCGAATTGCTCAAGACGATCCCTGGGGTATGTGGCGAGTTTTATTCCAACAAGAAGAAAAATGGCTCGGTAGAAACTTCCCATTTAACGTGGAGTTTTAGGTCCTAGTCTGAGAGAATCCTGAAGGAATGTGTGCTGGCAATGTCTAGATGATATTATGGAATATTGAGCGGAGTTGCTGGTTGCAAAGGGTTTAGAGATAGTCAATGGTAAGGGTTACACGCAGGCAGCAAGGTATTGAAGTCTAGTTAGAAGGAGCAAGCGATGTTATACACCGTGGCATCCTCCCGACCATCAAAACACGGGGGTCAACCTCCGTGCCCCGGCTGGGATAGTCCTCTCATTAGCTGGGGGAAGGATCCGGCCGCTTACCGGGCCGGCGTGGTGGGTCTACCTGGGCCGCAACCTGGGCCGGGTCTCCACACCCCCCGACCCGCAACCTATCTATCTATAGGCATGGGAAGGATTAAACCCACGGCCCACGAAATGGTCTCTCGGCCGGCCGCCCGGCCACCTGTGCCAGGTCCCTGCCAATGAGACGGCCACGAGCAGGATCCGAAGACCAACAAGATTTGTTGCATGAAGGGCTGGTGGAACCTCCGGATCCCAGCAAACCGCGACCTCGGGAACCGATTGGAGAGTTCTGTTCTGCAGACGGCCACGCAGCGGGAAACGTGTGTTCGCCGCCGGTTCGGCCTCTGAACGAGGGATACGTTATGAGATGATATTTGGCCGTCAGGTGGGTGCTGCTGGGGTGTTGGGTTCGCAATGTGGCTTGCCGACAGCCACCCGTTCCTTTGTTATCTAGGACAAACGGCCATGCAAGGAATAATATTGGCCATGCCTGCTTTTGTTCTGCTGCTATCCGGGTCGAAGTAGATTGATGGGGATCGAGTCTATTCCGTGAATATTGAGATGCGATGGAGCAAAAAATGACCCTCAGGACGACCAGTCATGTTGAATATTGCCTTACACGAACTAGGCCATTCGGCTGCATGCATAGGTGGAAAGGGCCTACCTGGGTGTTAAGGCTAGGTCTTTGGTTCTTCATGTGAATTTTGTAGTGGATCTCCCGCGAGGATACACCGAACTTACGGTACATAACATTAACATGAGAGATCATCGATGCACAGCATGGACATCAGGAAGCTTCTGACCCACCAGAACAATCAGTAGTCTGGGACACGTGCTATGCGGAATTGCAGCTTCCCAAAGATGGTGCTTGGATCCTCACGCTTCTGACAGACCATGCGGTTGTCCCTATCCCGCTCGAGACTTCGGGCAACCCGTGTGTGAACGGTGTACCGGTCTCGGTTGGCACATGGATGTGTATCGCCCGGGAGGAGGTCAGGATTGAGCCGGAGATGCTTTGTTTGCCCTGGAATAGAAAGGCGAGAGTAGATTCGACCTTAGACTTTACCTTTGTGACCTCGCACCATGCACGCTAATAAACCTGGGAATCGGATGGCATGAGACGGAAAACAGTAGCATCGATGTGAGTTGTTTTGGGCGATGCCAGCTCTTTCATCCCACTATATAGTGTTTAAATCGGAATCTGCCATCGCTTTTCCCCTTTGTCTTGGTGTTTCTCCATTGCGGCAGACGTGCTCCATGCGTGAAACATTGGGCCATACGTGGACTCGGTTGACGTAAACCGAGTTGCGTGATGGGTCTGGGCCTTGCCCAGGGGCTATACAATATACAATCGAGGGAGGTGTCCTCTCTTTCATCTTGAATGCGGTTTTGCGTCAATTACTGTGTTTGGTATAGGTCTGCTCACACGCTCGGTTGACAAAAGCAAAAACGTATGATGCCATTCATTCATGTCAGTGAAGGAGTGGCTAGATGATACCAACCATAAGGCGAAAACAGCCTACATAATCAGTGTCTTTTAGGAATTACCCTAGGTAGGTAATTAGACAGGCTTTCAAGGGTAAGTAAGGCAAAACGGAGAGTCGAGCCAGACTTGCCAGGCCCGGGGCAGACATATCAAATTGATCATTGGCTACAGGACTACAGGACCTGCATTGATGGTCGCCTTCCAACCCCCCTCCCCCCTAGAGCGTGGCAGTCTACTCTGGACAAGATGCCTTGCATCGGTATTTCGGTATCCATCCTTCGAATCCATGGCAAGGAAACGGACGGTGCAGCTGCCGGCACATGGAAGTTAAAGAATCCTCTCCACTAAAACGGGCACGCAAACGATCACCAAGGATCACCTACAGCGGTAAAGTTAGTTGAGTTGGTGGTGGCTCCACCAGCCCGCCGGTGCGCCATTGCATTTGCCCCCCCCCCTCCTCCCCTTTGGCCTTTGGTCTCTTTTAGTGTGGATGGTCCCTTCCACGGCCGCCTTTCATCTTCCTTCCCAGGACTGTATAGTACTAACGTTATGTAGTAGTGTACTGTACCAGGTAGTGTAGCAGCCAGCCAGCCAGCCAGCCAGCCCACCACCAGCATACAGACCCGAGAGACCGCACGGGACAGACCAACACCCACCGCCTCCTTCACACGCATGATCAAAATCCCCCACACCACACACGCAACGCTCACTCACTCACCGGCGCTGGATTGATTCCGTTATTTTACCGTCGAATAGCACTCCTACGAAAACATCTCCTACGCCTTCATTCTGTGATCGAACAACATTACCCAAAAACACTCATTTCCACCACGACGAGCACTCACCCCGCGCTGCGAGTTTGAGTTTCTGTACAGTACAGAGCCCACCCGCCAGGCGTGCTGCATTCGCCCGAAGACGGCACTCGAGAGAAACGGTTTGGCCTCAGAGCGTGTGTGCACCCGGTGCGGCGTCAGCAGACCGTCCACGCCTCTGTATTGTCATTCCACCACAGGTGCCTACTCTACAAATAGCAACACCAGGGGGGACCGCATCTCTTCTGCAACAAACAAACAAACACGTTCAACCCCGACGAAGACACGGCCTGCCTCTCAGAGCCTCCGACTACAACTGAAGAACGCACTTGGGAGCCGTGAAAGAGCCGCACGAGATCTTGTCTTCCACAACTTTCGACCCTGAATAGTCTGTGCTGTACAACAATACAACCGTCAAACTCAAGGCCCAAGCCGCGAAGCCGCGCCTACCAGCAAGATGAAGGGCCGTCCCGTCGATCAGCTCGTGTACGAGTACATGTTCCCGAAACCTCGCCCTTCGGACCCTCAGAACTTCCACGCACTGCTGCAGCGACACCTGATCCTAGAGGTCCGGCAAGAAGTCCACTCCTTTTACGGCCACCTCGACACTCCCGAGGCAAAGTACCCAGGCCTCGACTACTGCCACCCGACCCACCGCATCCGTCTCAGTCGGTGGCAGTGGCACAGACGCCTGTTCCGCGCCTTCGACGCCCTGCGGTTGACAGCCAACGAGATCGCCGGGCTCACGAAATGGGAGGGCACGAAATGGGCAAAGGAGCGCTATGAGAAAGAGCAGGGTGTAAAAATACGAGACACTGTGGCGGACGAGCTGGCAGACTGGATCGAGCCCGAGGAGAGAAGAACGCCTGCCCGAACCATACGAGAAGCAACCCAGGAGACGGAGGACCGCGGTGAGGCGGGAGACGAGAATATGGCCGAGGAGAGCGAAGAGGAGATGGAGAGCGTCGGGTTCGCGCTGAACCAGAGGCTCAGGGAACGTGTGGCCATGCGAGAAACGGGCGACTCGTCCATGCCGCTGGACGAGGAGTGGGAGCAGTGGCTTAAGAACGCCATCGAGACCGGCGAGCTGCCCCTGGTGGCTGATCAGATCGCCCGCATGACGAGCGAGAGAGCGCCCATGTCGCCCGACGAGCTCTTCCCCGCGAGAATGATGGTGGCTGCCCGGGCCGGCCAGTGGCACGAGATCCCGGACTTCCTCCACGACATGATCCGGGCGAGCCTCGAGGCACAGGCACTCCGAGAGCGCCAGCAGCAACGCTTAAGCGCAAGTTCCGAGACTGGGGTATCGACGCCGTCAAGCTCGCGGCTTGGCGTGAATCCGTCGACTATGAGCAGCCGCAGTAGTCGAGGCGTCACTTCTGAGTTCTCACCAACGACCGGTTGGCGAAGGACATACTCGGATCTTCGACTCCCCGTGGGCGATGGCGGCACGACCGCCCCTCCGCGCGTCCACCGCACTGCTCAGCCCGGTGCCTAGAGGGCAGCAAGAGACCTTGTCCGCTCCGCGCCTCCCGAATCCACCACACCTCTAGATGGGAGTCAGACAGGGCGCCGGCGCCTAAGTCGCACCTCCGATGCTGCGGAGTTGCACGAGGATATGTCGGGGTTAAGTCTCGATCCGTTATCCCCTTTTGACGACCTTCCCAACCTGATCTGACTCACGCAACCTCTATGGGGCCGCTCTGGCGACAACAATCATGCCGGAGACTCCCAAAAAGAAAACCGGGCCTTTTTACTCGTTCCTTTGTCAATCATCTCTTGTATCCCCTGCATGGCGTGGTAGAATAACTGGGAAGCCTTCTCTTCTTCGTTTTGTTTGGTATCGGTCGAAAGTTACCCCCCGTTCCCCTGTGTCGAGAACTTGTCTCCGGGAGTTGCATAGGTCATCTGACGGGGTCTGTGGTTATTCTGTTTCTCCTGTTGTTTTGTTGTGCTGGAGAAAAGGCAAACGTTTTATTACATGGGATCAACACGAAATGTGGGTTATCAGCGAAACTTTCCCCCGGGACCAGGAGACAGAAAAGAATCTCTTGGTAGCAGCGTTTTTTTTAAAACTTGGGATTATGGCACAGCGAAACGTATTTAAGTATCTATTGATTGGGTCTAGGTTGATATCAATCCAAGAATAAAAAGTCTGCACTTAAGAGCCTAGCAACGAGAAATGGAGATGATGTGTTATGTTTTAATATTCGTGAAGAGTTATTCTACAATTCCGGCGTCAGGTTTGCCATTGCGCGTGTGATAGATAATTGCATTGATTTCGATCATGATGACGCCAAACTCTCTGATACCGGACTAATGCAACACTCCTCATAACGCCTCCTATCTTGAATGATTCGATCCCACCGCCGTCCTCCTCCTCCTCCTCCAGCAACGCCATACGTAAATGCTAAACAGATGTCATGTCCACAGAGCTGCGGTCAACACCCGCGGCGACAGCGCGGGGATCCACAGCACTCGGGGCCCGAGACGTCGGGGGCCGGCCGCGACGGAGCACAACGCCCTCCTAAGGCTCGAGGTGCGACCACTCGGGTATGGCCTTGATCTGCTGCCACATGTACTTCTCGAGCTTGTTGGCGCTCTTGGTGTAGGGCGTGTTCTCGGAGTTGTAGCGGCGGCAGTTCTCAAAGATGAGCTTGGCGTCCTTGGTGAACTCCTCGGGCGTGGGGTACTGGTCGGCCTCGAGCTTGGACTCCATGGTGCTGAGGTCCATGGGCTCCTTGATGACGTCGTAGTAGTCGGCGACGTCGTCCTTGTTGACGGGGACGAGGAAGGGCCACGCGGACGCGTGGTTCTGCATGTCGTTGAGCAGGTGCAGCAGCTGGTTGTAGTTGGGGCCGTGGCGCGGCTGGCGCGCCAGCTCGTCCATGTCCGGGGACCAGCCCGAGGCGCGGATGGCCTCGATGGTCAGCGGGTCGATGGCGGACACGCCGCCGGCCTTCCACTGCTTCGGGGGCTGGTGCACAATGTGCGACTTGGAGAAGGCGCGGATCTTGGCGTGCACGCACTCCTTCTGCTTGAGCAGCATGCGGCCCATCTCCAGGTAGCGGATGCGCGGCAGCATGCTGCACTGCATGATCGTGCCGCCCTCGTAGTCCTTGATGTAGCCCATCCACACGCTCTTATCCAGCGTGATCTCCTTGGTGAACCCCTGCTTCTTGAAGTAGCCGATAGCGTAGTTGTCGGCGTATGTCAGGAAGTGCATCACGTCCGAGGTCGCCTTGACGTAGTCTTTCAGATGCGACATTAGATGCGCGCCGTAGCCCTTGACCTGCTGGTCCGACGAGATGGCGCAGAAGACAATCTCGGCGAAGCGCCGCCCCTTGAATGGCCGATACGTGATCCCGCCCACCACCTCGAGCGGCTTCTTTACGATGGCGATGGACAGATGCGTCCGGTCGTAGACGAGTCGAGCGATGTAATCCTTCGGCATCTTAGGCAGCTGTTTCTGGAAGATACATTTTAGGCCCGTCAGGATGATCAGACTCTCTCGCTCGTTGTCATTGTTCACGACCCGGAACTCGATCTCGCCATTGCGCTCTTCGATAACGGCAGGCTAATGATGGGCAGCTGGTGTTAGCGGTTTGAGGTCCCAAGGACAGGGCCGAATGCATCTATAGATTACATACCTTCTCTGGGAAAGGAATGGCAGGGAGTTTGGGCTTCTTCTCGGGCTCGGCGGGGGTATCCTGTTTTAAGCGCTTCGAGGCGGTTGGCGACGAGGGCTCCTCGCTCGCCTTGCGCTTCCCGTCTACAGAGAGGTGTGGTTAGCAAATGGGTATATCGCACGAGGAGGATCCGGGTACTCACTTTCATGGGTCATCTTGATGGATGCCGATGACGACCGGGTTGGTCTTGATGGCAGCACGTCGCGCCTTGAATCGACTTCGGAGGCGGCTTTGGAGGCGTTGTGGGTGACAGAGGAGTCAGGGACCCGCTTTTGCGGCTACCGTAATAATCGTGATTGGAGTGCCTGGCGCGTGGTAGAGCTGGGGATCTGTCCTGGGGGTTAAAGAACGCTAGTACTGGATTAGGCAAAGCGTGTTGAAGCTGCCACGATTTGCTTGTGCAGCTTTGGGGGGATCTGGTCTTTGAGGCCTCGTCAGTGCTTTTGTTTAGGAAGCTGTGATCTTTCTGTTCTGTCCCTCAATTTTCACACTACCAAACTTTCGACCGGGCGACAATCACATCCTGTGTATACCTTCTGCAATCACTCTCCTTCATCAATTTAGATTACCTAGGCAAAGCTTGATTGTTTCTCAGGTGAACACACAGGAAAAGAGCAACAGCAACAGCTTCAGACCCATCTTCCTCCCCTCTCCTCCCACCGCACATGGATTCATCACTGCACGAGGTCTGGCAAACTGCATCTGGCAGCCCGTTCCTACCTACAATTGGCAAGGGAACCCAATTTCTCGTCGCCTTTGTTCTCCTGCTTGTGGGCATCTCTCTGACTGGATTGTTCGCTCTGAGTAAGTTTGCCCGAGTCCCAAGGCAACAGCCAGCGTGGCTAACCTCGATTCAGACCGGTCCATCGTAAACCTCCCTGTCCTCGGCATACCGGCATCACTGGCGATTGCGTGCGTAACCAAAACTCCCCTTGGCCTTTTCGATGATTCTCACCCCAGCTAGGTTCGGCACGGTCTACATGTTCTGCGCGGTTGGAGTTTACGTTTAGAGATACCCGAGGAAAGCACGAAGCTGCTGGTGGTCGGCTTCGAGTCTGTACCATAGATCCATCATAAAATCGCGTCGTCTCTGGGGTTCTCGTCAGGTTCTCCCTGAGCTGAATCTATTGTTGAAATTTTGCATTTGTCTGGAACATCCGTCACTTCCTGTTCATCATGGCCTCACCAAAACCCAACCAGCCCCTGCCACTTTTCCGGGCCGTAGCCAGCTCGACCCGGCCGCTGCACCAATTACTAAGATGCATCAGCTTCACAAACAAAGTTCATGTTGAGATTACAGAGGAGGGCATCAAATTTGCGGCTGATCAGTCGCGTGTCATGCAAGGTGAGCTCTGTCATTTGGTTCGCTGCGACGCTTTGCACTGACTGTTTGTTCCAGGGGTCGCAAATTTGGGAAAATCACTTTTCACATCATACACTCTAAACCTACCACCTGCAGAGGAGGAGGATGAGCCCAACTATCCAAGTTTCCAGATCTCTCTGCCCGCCTTTCTGGAGACGCTGCAGATCTTTGGGGCTGCAGATGTCGCCGCCCGCCAGGCAAAGGCGGACGCCGATCCGTACCGCAGCAATCTACGCAACTATCGGCCGGATGCATTTAGCAATCAAACCCTCGGTATGTCCGGCACCTGCGCTCTTTCATATCCTCAAGAGGGCGAGCCTTTTAGCATCATCCTCGAGGAATCTGGCGTAAAGACGACGTGCAACCTCACCACCTATCTTCCCGAGTCTCCCGAAGAGATCCCATTTGACAGGGATGACCTGGCATTCAAAATCATCATGCAGTCCCGCTGGCTTCTAGATGCGCTGGTCGAGATGGCCCCGACCTCGCCGAATCGCCTCACAATCATGGCGTCCAAGCACGAGCCTTATCTACGGCTATCAAGCAACGGCCCACTAGGCGGATCAAGCGTGGATTTTGCAAAAGGACGGGAGTTGCTAGAGACCTTCTCCGTGAGGGATCGGTGGGTCCAGAGCTTCAAGTTTGACATGATCAAGTCTGCAAGCGAAGCTATGCGCATCGCTAGTAAGGTCAGTCTCCGCGGTGACCGACAAGGCGTCCTCAGCCTGCAGTTTATGGTCGAGATGGAAGGTGGCGGGATTAATTTTCTGATTTTCTCATTCGTTCCCTATGCCTCCCAGGAGGACGATCAGGACGAGGACGACGAGGGCCTAGACTAGGTGACGCCAACCACGGCAGCCACGTGCATTGACGGAGCAGTGGTGGCTTGCAGCAAGCAGGCACTGATCCATCACTCCTCGGTTTTAGTGTTCCTTCTTTCTGGTCTGCCCAGCCCAGCAGCGGGAGGGAGGCAAAAATGTTGTGCATTCACCGCTGTATTCATGAAAAACTTCGTTATCTGCTCTGCCTTGCGCTTTCGAGCCCTAGCTACTGCTGACTATTGAATCGATGCCTTTCGTGCATACCAAACCCAGGAATCCGGGTCCGCGCTATTAGCCCTTGGACTGTGCACTGCCCTGCTTCCTATGCAGCCCTATGTATTTTCGGTACTGCTACGCTGGTAAGGCCATCTGCCCTTGGCACGCATGAAAAAGCATCCTGTGACTGCAGGAGTGTCATGCTAACCCGTCCCCATCTTTGGGGCTCAGACGGCTGTGTTCAGCTCCCAGCCAAAGGCAAGACTTTGCAGAGCAACAAAGAACAGAGGACGGCAGAGGGCGTGGTCTGCTGGGCCGAGATGCATCGAATTTAGCAGGGAGTCAATGAGGGAGCAGACCGGAGTGCCCCACCCACAAGCTGAAACTAGCGCGGCCGGCTTGTCTCTCCTGGGATGTTGACGATGCCCTCGCGTTCCCTAATCGGGGCCAAGTGAGGGGTTCAAGTCTCTCAAGAGGCCAACCGATGGGCGCCGATGCCGTTTCTCGTCTTCACTTCTCTCATGGGAGGGCCCAAGAAGGCTTAAGGTGCTGGACAGCCGGGAGCTGGCACTCGTTCAGGCGATCATGCATGCCTCGGCCCTGTGGCCTATCGCGTGTGTCCCGGCAACTGACAGCACCAAAAAGAACGGACTTGGCCGGTCGGCGCGGACTCGCTGTTCCTCCCAAAAAGTCCTCGATCCAGTCTGTCGGGCACGCCTTGGTTTGGTGTGTCTTGATGGTGGTGCGCGATGGTGCTCGTTCGCTTGGGCTCGTCCAATTGGCATGTGAAGCGATGTATTGGAATGTTTCTGCCTCTTGGCTACGCAAGCACGCGCACACACCCAAAACAGATGAGGCTCATTTTGGCGCAATCCCTTGTGTTCCAGCCCGGGAGGGTTCACTCTTGCGATGGCATGACACTTTGCTACTAGTGTAGCGTAGAGAGAATGGACGAGTGAATCAATGGGCATTGTTTGCCCTCGAGCGAGGGCGTCCTCATTCTTCTTAAAAGGACACAAAGACCCTGATCTGTCAAGTTCCAGTCCCTTGGCCTTTTGCTCATTGTCAGACACCCTCGTATACCATACACACAGTCGTCTTTGGGTTCTTTGTCAGACGCGATCTACATTACAGGTCCACAGCCTCGCTTGCCATAGCCTACCCAGTCTTCCAAGATATAAGCGGCGGCCGACACCACGCGAATCACTTATTTACTCGCCACCGTTGGGTAAACGTTCTTATTTCAACTCGAAATATCGCTCTTCAGGTTCTAGAAACCTCGCTGTGCCTTTTTTTCAGACCTTATTGTTGTTTATCAACTCTTGTTGTCTATTCCATATAAGTCAACAACACAAAACCCCCCACAACACCATCAAAATGAGAGGCCTTCCGCTCCACGAGAACGACGACGAGCCTCAGGCTTCCTGCATCTCCTTCAGCTTCCGGCGCTCCTGCTTTGGAGGCATGCTCTCGTACTGGCGGCCACTGGGCAGGAGAGACGCAGACCAGCACCAGCAACGAGACGTCTTTGAGAAGAAATACGTACACGTTCCCACACACGCCGCATCGTCCTTCATGCAGACGGCGACGCCGCGGGAGATGAAGAAGGCGAACGAGATTATATGAAGTTATAGAAGAAAAACAACGACCGTTGCAGAGAAGGAGCGATATCCGACGACGGATACGACAGATCCACTGCATCCTACTTGATGCACGACTGGACCGAGATAGGGAAGAAGGTCATTGATGAATCCCTCATACGCAGGAGAAAGGAGTTCTGGTTGCTTTTGACATCACCATCATCATCATCACGCCTTTCGGCCATGAATAGACACGACGTCTAATTTCCTATGTCATCGTCATCATCATTGGGTTCATCAGGCGTTCAGGAGAGACTGTTGGGCAACTGATTGGAGGCATAGGGTGACATCAGTCAGGGTTCAAGGGGCCTTCGTTACAGGAAAGCGAGGCCATCGTTATAGACGGTCCTGCAAGACCGAGGAGCTGCGGGCGGCTTCTAAGATAGGGGCCGCCAAGCCAACGAGGCGAGACAGGACATGGACGTGGGACATGGACAAATGATACCAAATAGACCATTCGTTTTACGCTTTTCAAAGCCCAGCCTGACCGTTGCATCGAAGGATCCAGCTACGTAATTTGCAAATCTCGTACAAACCGGACAGGGTGTCGGCTGCAGCCCTGCGTGTAAGCGGGCATGTTGATCGTGAAGACTCCCCCCGTTGCCGAGTCAGATTCCAATTCACCCGCATTGCCGCGCTTACTTCGGTGCAACGAGCAGCCACAAGTGCATCCTTCTGCGCAGCTTACAGAGGTGAGCTGCGCCTGTCAGAACCCAATTAGATTATGCTCACCGTAGGATCTTCTGCGCGGTTCACCGGCAGTCCAGTCCAGTCCTGGCCTGTTACCCGCCAAGCGAGCGGGTAGTCGGGAGAAGAGCAATTTACACTTAACCAGGGCAGTCCCTGGCTTTAATCTACAGAGTTGCTATTTTGGCGACGTCTGCACAGTTGGGTAACCGATTATGCTACGCAAGCGAGCTGCCTGTTTTCCTAATGCTCTGTAACGATGGTTTGTTGTGAATCTTTGACCTTGAACGTTGGTTGTCTCCTGAGTTTCATATCTCCAACTTCTGGGGGCCATGCACAACGGCATCCGTCAAGAGTTGGTGCTCAGGTGTGCATGAGAAGACAACGAGACCTTTGACAATTCCAGGCTTAGAGTTGGACCGTCTCATCTCGTACAGTCTGGCCTTGGGGGATGCAGTAAGCGACGGGGGCGGTGCCAGGGGACAAGCGCAACTCGCACCTCGATTGCCGCGAGTCTACACAACAATCTGCAGCACCCTGTTCGTTGGAAGCTGGATATAGAATGAGCACATTCGACGCGAGAGCAATTGGGTCAGAAATAGAGCGCGGCAGCCCTTAAACATGATCAAGTCAAGGAACAGGGCACGAGATATATTGGGCTGGCGCGGCAAGCGGATAGAGCAGCCGCCCGGTCTTTGGTGGTGGTGTGGGTGGGTGTCTGTTGGTGATGGCTGGTGTGAGGCTGTTCAACCGCGCTGTGCTGCATGTCATCAGCGGCAGCCTCTGGGGGTGGATCGATAGCACGGGGAAATCGAAGCACCGTCAGCATGTCCTATCATACATGTTCAGCCAGTAGACAGGCCACGTCGTGAGTGTCCTTTTTTATGGCTGTTACAGCAAGCTTAGCAGGTTTGGTGCATACGGTACTTTAAACCGTCTTCCAAATGCAACAAACCCAACATTTGGGGGCCAAACCTCTCTCAGCTCGAGGTCAAGGATTCTCTCCTGGCTGTGATACAATCCACTCATCTCTCCGTAGTGGGAGGGGGGCTCGGGGGGCTGTCAGGCTGTCTATCAGCGTCGTCATGACCAACCTCTCACTCAGAACCCCCGGTCGTTGTGGATTGAGCGCTGTTCTGTTGTGAGTGCCGGCTCGGAAATATTCTGCTGCACCTCGACGATCTTCCGGCATCCTTGTCCAGCGTGAGCTCGGCTGTCTACAGTGCGATACCTCGATCGCCTGCATATTTGTGCAGTAATGCATTCTACGAGATGGATCTATTGTTTAGGATTCCTGCTTACTGCGGTAGGGTGCTCTAGTCGGGATTCGCGTCAATTGGGGCATGCCTTCTTTCCCGAAGTCTCCTCTACCCAAACATCTGCTTCGAGCCGATGTCAGGGATGTCTTCGGCTCCCTTCCTGCCCAACAATTGGAATTTGTGGAAACGAGCCTTATGGTATTCAATCCTCGGGAAGATTGAACAGAACCCGTCTTTCTCAGCTCGGAACCAGACTTGATGGCAATGTCTGTGTGTTTGCAAACGTACCAGCAGTCCCAAATGGTCGTTTGTCCCGCCTACGTCTCTTCCTGAGATGACCTGCACAGGATCGGATCTATCACCTGCATTTACTTTACAGAAAGAGATATCACCCCCTGGAGATTTAGTCTCCCAGTTGGTTTGTGTCGCCTTCCAGAGCTTCGAAGGACAGGCGAAAGACGCGTCCCAAAGCCACGGGTCTCATATTGTGTCAGACCAGACGGGCATACCTTGCCGTTGATGCAGTGCGCGATGGCAATATCCCAGCATCGAGTCAATGGCCAGGCAGTTCTGGTCCACTTTCTACTGCTTCTGACGGGGCCTGGAAATTGAGACGAGCTCACCGCATTGCATCGCAGCACTTGAGGTACATGGCTAGCCTCGCCGGACCGAACCACAGCAGCGATAGTTGGATGTCTCAAGGCTGCAGTTCGCCGCATGCTGGTGCTACAGTCTGGAAGCGAGGTTGGGACACACGCGAATGAGGATCGCCCATGTCCCGGTGCAGCTGTCCGTCTCGTGTTGCTTGCTCCAGCCTTTCCGTTTGGCCTGGCTCCTGGCCCTCTTGCCAATGAGATGGGCCGGCGCGTTACCCAGTTGCTAAAGCAATGTACAGCACCGGGGCTGGCTGGCTGGCTGGCTGGCTCGAATGAGTGAGTGGACGGATTGGTTGTTGTGAAAATGTCGTACAGCTTTCCTTTCTTCTTCTCCTACCCGACCTCGAGCCGACCCCTCTCGCCCACAGCTCCAACAGCCCGCGCTGCATGAGAGCGGCCGGGGATCTTGCCTGTTTGCAGCCCTGCAGCCCTAATTGTGAGCATCTTGCGTGGACCATTTCCAAACATAACATCACTTAATATGCTCTTAATTAACCCTCTCCCTTCTATTTTGCCTTATCGACGCTGGGCTCTGCGGACAGATCTGGGTATGCATGCGACCCTCCATCTGGCTGGGAGAGCGAGTGGGAAGCGAGGAAAAATAGCAACTGCCAGACGCCGGGCCAATGGCGATAAAAATAACACATTCCTTTGCTGGCTTTCTGGAAGATCGCCCCGGGAGAGCTGCATCCTCTCCCGCGCCTCCATCCCAGGACCCCTGTCTCTCTCTCTCCCCGTCACTTCACCTTGTCGTTGTTGTCGAGGGTCCGGTCTAGTCTGATCTGGCCAAACGGTACAACCACCCCTGGACCTGACCTACAACAACAGCCTCCACGGGAGGTGCCTGCACGACGATGCAGTCTTGCTTGCACACAGCGCCACACTCGGTGCAAGTTGCCTTAGCCTGGACCGTACCTTACCTGCCTCGTGCTTGCTCAGGCCATCGACCCGTCAAAGATGACTGACGTCCATCTCCGGAGGCTATGGCGTGGGTCAATCCATTGCAATCTATATGTACTACCCAATGCAGCTCAAGTGAGGTGACGTTCTCCTAGCCATTGGCTTAACCAGGTAAAAGAGGCTGTCCGTCCTCCTCTCGTTCTGTCAATTTCAGCTTCTTCTTTTCCCTATCTCGTGCGGTGATCCGGTACCTCGTCTCATTCTCCTCTAAGACGGCTTTTTAGAACTTTGCAAGTGAGGTTCAACTTGACAAGCTGCGCGTTTGTTGACGATCTCATGTTTCACTTCCGCTTTGTCTCCTTCATATATGCCATGTAATACCCGACCCGTCTCTCCCTCCCGTTGTTCATTTCCTTTGATCTCTCTGCCCGTGGCATATCTCGGGTGACCCCTTCGCAATCATGTTGTCTCGGTCGGGCCTCAGCCTTCGAAGACTGGTCCCCAAACGACGGAACACAAGTGACGATGAGGATGAGTTTGGATTTGATAACTACGACGACGCGTCGTCGCTCAAGACGGCAAGCAAGCGGCAGCAGCGTGGTGGCTTCTGGACATCGGGGAAGCAGACTACCACAAAGAAGACCAAGAAGAATATCCCCAAGCCGATTGTCGTCATCCGCCGGCCAGACAGCGTACACAGGATCTCGAGTCCTTTGCCATCGCTGCCCGACACGGCTCAGTCATCGGCGAGTTCTTTGTGCTCCTGTGACTGCCACCATTCCCATAATACTCCAAGTTTGCTGTCTGGGAAGCGGAGTCCCGGTCTTTGTTCGGCTGCTCAGTCAAAGAGGTCTTACGAGAGCTCGCTGCCCCCGACTCCGAGACTTGGTGAGCGCGTACAACAGACACTTGTTAATGCACCGCACAAGCGGAGAAACATTATGCACATACGCTCTGCCTCGCCAGAACCGACCCTCGACTTGCTCGAGGCCTTGGCCATTCCACCTGAAACTCAAGATGAAGAGCCGCCTGAGGGCCGCGAAACCCCACGGCCGTTCACCAGAGAACAAAGAGCGCCACTGGTGGAATTCTCCGACAATGTTCAACAACTAATTCGAGAGACGGACGAAGCGTTCAAGGCTGTGGGATCAGCACTGGCTGAGGCAAGACTCGCCGCAAATACACCCACGCAGCATGAGCAAGCCGGCCGTACTCAATCACCGCCATCACGGCCAACGACGCCATCACGCACCGTTCTCAAGAAGCCACCTCAGATAATTATATCCCCTCACAAATCGCCAACACGAACGTCGTCCGTGTCAAAGACGACAAGAAAGAATGCTAAGCGACAAAGAAGCAAGCCCCGCATAACTACGAAGCCTAACAGTTCGAGATGGACACTCACGGATAATGTCTCGGAGATGTTCAATGGGCGTCTATTCAATCGGATCGAGGCAGACGAGATGCTGACGCCGATTCAACTACATCAAATGCGGCAAAATAGGATGGCCCAGCTGAAGCCGAAGAAGTCCACCGAAACTATACGGACGGTGGTAACGGCTGAAACGGACGGCAGCGAGACACCAATCAACCCTTTCCATCTCGAAGACCTGCCGTCTAGGATAGGGAACTCTGGGGTACGGCTTACTGTCCCCTCGCCCATGGCTGAGAAGCCACCACCGCGGGTGTTTGACTTCGAACAAGTTGTGCGGAGGGACTTCTCATCGCCAGCCTTGAGAAAAGACAAGCCACAGCCACAGCGAAAGGACCAGTCCACAGAAGAGAGCGATGATCTCATGACTATCAATGATATTTCCTTCCCGTCACCCCCAGTGAAGAACCCGATGCGCTTCGTTCCCAGGCGACAACTTCCGCCTCTCCCCACTATCCCTGAAGTGACCGTCACGGCACCGGACAGCAAGGGTACAACAGGTTCACATCGACATAAGAACCCATTTGCAATTCCGCCCGCTTCAGACGAACATGTCTTCCTAAAGAGCACTCCCTTCACGCTGACAATGCCGACATACCGTCACGGACCTATCCGCCTCGCCAAGGACAACGGAGCCAAGGAGCCGCGTGCCCGAGCTGACGAGACCACGCTCGACTGGACCGCTTTCCAGATGGCTATCCTCGGCGGTGCCGGCGACTTCTTCTCAGGGACGACTGATTACATCCGACGACAGTGGTGGCGGGAAGACGACGACGACGACGACGACGACGAGGACGACGACTTCTTCGACGAGGCCGCCGACCTGGCCGACTGGTTCGACTCGCTCGGCTTCGAGCACGGCGGGCTGCTCGTCCCCGCGGCGATGCCGCCGCCGCTCTCCACGCCCAGCCTGTCGTCCGTCACGACGGCCGCGACCGCCGACGAGCACTCGCCCGTGTCGCCGACCGCGTCGTCCCTGCTGTCGGCGCAGAACCTGCCCATCCCCGTGGACTCGGAGTTCCCCTCGGGGTTCTGGAACGAGGCCGGCGACCGGCGCGGCGCGACGTCGCCGTCCACGGTGCGCAGCCGGCGCAACAAGTTCGCCGCGGGCGGGGAGCACGGGCTGCGGCGGTGGACGGGCGAGGGCCATCCGAAGCGGTACGTCAGCCGCGCGAGCGTGGACAGCCTGCCGCAGAGCCCGATGCTGGACCTGGTGATGAGCGAGGAGGGGGTGAGCGAGACGCGGGACAGCGGCGGGGTGCTTACTGTGCCGATGGGATACAACCTGGGCCATGATTTGGGGGACTTCCTGAGGTGGGAGGCCGAGTATGTTTCTGCTGGCGGACTGTATGGCTCGGAGTAGAGTGATCGGGTAACTTGGACCAGTCTCCAGCGGATAGTGCATTTATACTGGATGTCAATGGTTTGGCCAGCTATGTTAACAAGATGTTCCCGATCGGTAGGGCTATAGACAGATATCGAGTTGTTCATGATGATGTAGCATGATAAATATAAAGCGTATTTGTATGTCGTTTCACGGTATACATTTCCACAAACTCGGCTAGTGGAACTAGATGAGACTATTATCATAAAGTCGTCGAGGTCGCGCACATTCAATGCCAAGACCATCCCCTGGGCGTTAAAGTACGGCGCCGGACATCTGAGCATACCTCAAAAGGTGGCACTCCGGCCCCCAACTATCAGATTTCTCCTACTCAACTCGAATGTATCCGGCAACATGGGCTCTGTGTCGCGTTCATCATCTACAGCTGAGGCCAACCTGCCACGAGGACTCTCCATGCTCGAAAACTTTGTATCGATGATGCCAAACCTTCGAAAAGGACACCAATAGTCTGCTCAACGTTAGCACTGTATTGTTTGCGTCCACCAGTATGGGTCATAACTGCTTGGACATTAAGGAGCAAGGCAGGGGGTCTTGAATATGTGCATTTGCATACCTTCGCGATGGTAAACACTATTGTACACCCAGCCAACTAGGTCGATGTAGGAAGGGACCCAAGCAAAGACTGCTAGAACCTGCCCAAACCCCCATTCGTCCTCTTCAACCTGGAGCTGTAAGGCAATGTTTTTCCACATGGTCATATTAATGGCAGTGTAGGGCACTAGACAAATGTACAGAAGCAGGCCTGCTGCTACACTGAGTGAAGTAAGCTCCAGCCGGAACATCTTCGTCGGACCGAAACTTTTCCGGTATATCCATAAGGGTAGAAAGAAAAGGAGCATGATCGCCAGCCCTATCGGAAGGACGCCTGCAAGCCGCAGGAGACCTATGACATCTGTAGTGAGGAAGGATGAATAGGCCGTAGTTGATGTTGTGATGCACTTGGTAGCGTATACCGCGTAGAAAGTCGAGCGCTCGACGAGGAAATTAATGAAGATGCCGCCCTGCATAGTGAAACAGATGGCAGACAAAACTGCAGTAGCAACGGGAGCGGCAGTCTGCTGCTTTCACGGATAAACGACTTGAGAGGCAGCATGGGCCACTTGGGGAAGATGTGTGCTCCAGCGGTTCCAAAGAGTTGAGCTGTCAGGGTCAAGCGACCTATCGCCATGATGACGGTTTGGGAGTTCATCCCGCATAGAGACAAGAGCTCCGTAAGACACTGTGACTCCGACCAAGTAGTACAGTCCCATCACCAGCACATTCAGGGTTAACAAGGCCTCTGAGGCTTGTTGCGAAGCTGGATCCAAGCAGCAATCGAGACCGACACCCCAAACAAAGACTGTGCCATGAGGTACTTTCGAACAAGGGCTTCTAACGACTCTCGTCCTTTTGAAGTGAGGAAAAAGCAGGAGGCCACCACGGGAAGACTATATAGGAGCACCAATATTGTTTGGAGCAGATATGAGATCATGGCCTATGATTCCAGATGGTTGTAAGCTGGGGATGTTGGGCAGGCTCCATGACAGCATCTAGACTCATGTACTCACTCCAATACCCGCCAGATCTGGGTTGTTTGCCCCTATGAAGGCAGCACACGAGTCTGGACATGTGTCCAACAACAATGTCAAATTTACGCTACGAGGCGCGTCGTATACAGAGGCATTGTCGGTGTACTCTGAGCAGTTATAGGGCAGCGTCGTATTGTTCATGATTCGGCGAGTGAAGAACATCCATCTGAACTCATAGCCCTCAACAACAAAGCACACAGAGACTTCAGTCGAGTCTGGGATTTCATCCTTGGCAGAGCATGGAAATGCGGGCAAGTGAGGTGATGATCTGACTGATTTCACTGCTTATTAGCCCCCAAGTTGCATCGGTGAAGCCAAGACTTAAGGCGCGGTAGTATCCTTGTTCTAAAGGAACGCTACGAATTTAGTAACTTTAGCAGCTTATGATGGCTGCTCAGGTACCTCAGTCTGTACCGGGCGGACCTCCACCGTAATTCACTATGTTTATGGCCTCAGTCGTTATTTGCGATGTTGCAGTCTATTGCCAAATCCGACTGCTACATTACTGTATAGCTATGAAATGTGTACAATGCCAAGTATATATTGAATTCTGTAACGCGGTCGAGGAGTGACTCCACTTGTTTAGCTGCGGCTGCCGGAGAGCCCCAACTCCCCCACAGCGCTTGTGACGTGAACTCAAGTTCTATTTTTCGACCCCTCCATGTTGCGTCGACGCGACTCCTTCAAGCGCAACAGTCAACACTCACCACCATATTGGATAAGTGCTTGCAATATTGCTTAAAACAGCAGCCATACCGAAGAGCGCACCTTCCTCAAGGTATCTTCAACCTCTACCGTCGAGTCGGCACGAAACACATGTCGCCAATAGTCGCCTAAGTATCTTAACCAAAGGTCTACATCAGAGCAAACCGCACCATGCTCCGCCGCCCGCCCACCGTCCTGTCCGTCACGGCCGAGGACATCGCCGCCTACGAAGACCGCCAGGAGCGCGCCGCCTTCCGCGCCGCCACCCAGCAGGGCTACCAGCAGCACCACCCACAGCAGCAGCAGCGGTTCGTCGACGCGGGCGGCTTCTCCTCGTCGGACAATGACTTCGTCTCCGACGACGAGGCCATGCTCGACGCCTTTGACGGCCAGCAGCAACAGCACCAGCAGGCACAGGCACAGGCACAGGCACAGGCACAGGCACAGGCACAGGTCGCGGCCATGCGCGGCGCGATACAGCAGGTCCAGCAGGTCCCGGGGATGCAGACGCCCACGCCTGCGGGCCAGGGCTACGACGCCGGGCCGGGGCCGCAGGGCCGGAACAACAACAATGGCGCACCAGAGCCGCAGGTCCCGCAGGCACCACAGCGTCAGCGGGCTGGTCGTGGCGCGCAGCCCCTACCTCAACAGCAGGCCCAGGGAAGGGGGCAGGCGGGTCCCGGCCAGGCCCATGCCGGTGCGGCTGTCACGCCGGAGGGAAGGGTAACGCGCTCTCGCGACGAGAGGATAGGGATTGCGCGCGGGGCGGGTCGCCGGTGATATCTTAATTATATGAGCCGGGGCCCGAGAAATGGAGTCAAGGTTCTTCTGCAATACTACTCTGTCATAGTTAGAAGGCGTTGGGCATCAGCAAGAGGAGCATATTTGGCTATAAGGACCGATTTGGACAGGGTTGAATCTATGGCGTATGGCGTACGACACAGATATAGAGACATTGGAGAACACCGACTGGAACAAGTCACGGATGGAGATTACATACAGGAAAGAACTACACAGCTCGACAAGGTGATTTATACTGCATCAACGTCGATCAATTGATCATTAGACTATGTGGAGCTGCCTTGCACGCCGCCACCATTGTTCGCGCTACAGTTCCGACCTCTCTGGTCTCCCCTCAATCGTGATGCCCCAAAAGTTTAATACCCATAGGTATTGCATTAAGTGTACATAGATCATGATATAAGACGACCGGGACTTTGCTCGTCTCTTGTTCAATAACCTGAACGCCACGCGATGTCATTAAAAGCGGATAGGTGGTGAGACCGAAATCGGCCCACCCGATGTCTGTTCTCGAAATTTGCCCGAGACGCCAGCGAACTCTCCTGAAGCCTTTCCTTTTATATTTTCGGCGGAGAGTATACAAGTCGAAGGAGGCCGCGTTACTACGCGCCAGGTGGTGGAGGAGGACTGGCCTGAAATGCGCCCAGATTGCTCGAGCTCTTGAGCTTCAGCTTGATCATGGGCCGCTTTGGTGCTGGTGTTGGTGTGCTAGCGGCGGGTTGAGACGATGATACCGGCCCTGAAGGAAGTGGTTGTCTTGCCACAGGCTTCACCGACACGACCGGAGGTGAGCTGCTCTGTGTGGTCAGATGCGGGGCTGCTGATGGCAATGGTTTCCGCACGGGCTTCGCCTCAGACTTCGGACCGGCTGTAGGATGAGCTGAAGGACCGTCCACAGGCGGTGACAGAGAGGGGGGATGTAGCTTGACTGGTGTTGCAACGATGGTGGAAGTGTCCACCGAGGATGCTCGCGGGGACGAGCTTGCGCTCCACTTGTGGCGATTGGCCATAACGAACTGGTTCAATGGGTTATAGCGCAAAGTGACCATCTTTCGCGGCCTTGAGCTCTCTCCGTCGAGCTGAGCATCATCACTCTTGCGCTTCTTCCCAGTCTTAGCCTTCTGGGGCGTTGGCTTCGGCTTGATACCGTTGACCTGTACCTCGGGGGCAGGAGAAGGCGATGCAGAGACTGGTAACTGCACTTTCAATAGAGGCTGGACAGAGATGCTGTCACTTCTTGCCAAGGGCGGGGGTGCGGCGACGGAGATAGATGATTGTCGAGGTATAGGGGCGGGAGACATAGTTTCCACGACTGTAGCAGTCCCAACCGAGTCTCCATTGATGGATGGCCTTGGCTGCACCTTGATCCGCTTCGGCTCCGGAGGCTTTTGCTCTGGGGGTGGTGGGGGTGCCTCCGGCTCGACCTCAAATTCTCGCTTTCTCTTCAGCGACGTCCTAAGTTGCTGCTTGAAGCTAACCATGCATTTCTGTTCCATGTCAGCAATCTGGCGAGGGCAGATTTGAGGAGGGTGCTTGCTAACCTTTTGAGGAACAAATTCTCCCCGTTCGAGAGTCCAGAATTTCGGGTACTCCACGGTGACCAGTAGAGTATTGTCCTTCTCGAAAATGGTGGCGCAGATCTCCAGCAGATTACGTTTTTCGTCAAGGCCAATGATAGGGGACTCAATGGCTTTCCAGATCTCTTCTCCCAGATCCTTGTTCTCTTTCAACATTTCTTTGAGTGCGATCATGGCTCGAGAGATGTCCTCTTTTCGCTCAAAGTCGGCCTTTCGCTGCTGAATGACCGCCTCGTCTTGCTCAATAATCAGACCGCTATCGTCTTCAGGTTCTTCGGCAATCTCTTTGTCTTTCTCCTTGTGTTCTCCAATAGCAATGGCAGCCAGACCGCGGCAGAAAGCTTTGAAGAGTCGATCTCGCACGAATGGTGATTGGTGTCTGCTCATTGTGGTAAGCAGAAGTCGCATGATGGTGGGCTTGAGCATTAATTCAAGCTCAATGAGCGATTCAAATGCCTTGATTTGGACAAGGTCTAAGGTCTCGTCCGTCAAGTAACGCACAAAATCCAGAGGATTGAGAGGTATGACTCCTGACTTCATCAGTTTCTTCTTGCAATCAAGTGCAGTGACTGTCCAGATGTTTTGATAAGAGCAAGCCCACTCGTCCATTCTGCGATATCGCTCGATCTGTTCCAACGCCTTCTCAAGAAACTGCTCTCGCTCAATCTTCTGTTCATCTGATATTGTGAAACCTGGTTCCGTCTTTCCTCTAACAAGACTGGTGGCGAGAGCGTCAAGCAGCTTTGCAACATAGAAGTGATCAGTGTAAGGGTTGTTCTCATTGTCGTTGAAAATCAACTGTTCAAGAATGAAGTGACGAGCCTCGGGAGGACACTGATCCTCTCCACCCCGGATAAGGGCTAAAGCACCCGGAATAGCTGCTTGGACCATGTATTCCTGCTTATTGAAGAAGTCATTCGGTCGAGGAGTCGATGTACCAGGGAAGCAGTAGAAAGTCTGAAAGACACGCATAAGGTGCCACATTCCACGCCAGCTGTTCTTCACGTGCGCATGATCCGTTAGAATCTCGGCTGCCATCCGTCGAATGCCATGATAGTAACGCTTGTCATACAAGGTCCTCAGCAGAACAGTCGTCTGGATGTTGCTTGGCCTATTTCGACCCAGAAGCAACATGGCCTCTACTTGCGCAGCGATATCTCTGTCTTGCTGAAGCTGCGACACAGTCATATAAACCGCAAGCGAAGTCTTCATCTGGCAGATCCACTCGAAGTCGCAATCCGCACGAATCCACTCGAAGGATTCATTATCCATCAAGTCTTGCTGCTTCTCGTCCCAATCTACGAGTTTCCACTCTGCCATCTCCTCAGGAGTGATGAGAACATCGCCGAAGACGTTGATAGAAGGTCCGTCATCTTCATCCTTGTCATCATCATCTTTCTTCTCTTCGCCCCTGGCTTGGGCGGCCGCTCTTGCAAGCTCCTTCTCCTTTTTCTTTTGACGCATCTTTTTCAAACGTTTGTATTTTGTGTTGTATGGCAAAGGCAGCTTAGAGCCCTTAGTTGCCGCTGCATCCAGTTTGATGTCGAGTAAATGTTCATACGGCGTACCGTCTGCTTCATGGACTCGGAACGTCATAGGTCCCGTAAAGACCAACCGGACTTCGCCTGCATACACTTGATGCCGCTCCTCTTTTAGGTCTCTCCAGAAATCATCCTTTTCTAGAGGTCGTGGCCTTTGAGCAAACTCAACTTGCTCCTGCCTGACAATCAGCTCGACTTCAAGTTTCTTCTTGTTGAATCTCTGTGTGATGGAGAGACGTGGGCATCCGGCACCCATGATATACTGGTCCCAGAATGCGTCTAAACGAATGCGACCCTTCTTCTCGCATATCTTTCGTAATTTGTCTGAAGATACAACAAACGGAGATACGTCAACAGTGTCAATCGCCATACTAGCTTCTCTCAAGAGGCCAGAGATAACGCGAGAAATTCCGGCCGTGTTAGAAGACTTGAGCATCCGTCGATCCAAGATGAAAACAACTAACGGGGCTTTCAGGGCCATGAACTCGACCTCGAAATCTCCAAGGTGTAGATGTTCTCCGAGCTCATGCAACGACGGTCGGCCGAGGTCAGCATCGACCAGCTTATCAGACCAGTACCTCATCTGGAAGCGATAGTAATTGTTGCCACACAATTTCTTCATGAACAGATCCGTCATGTAGTATGCCAGACCGACAACGATCCACGTATCTGTACGCTTATTGGGGACAATGTATATGCCGAAATACTGGCTTGCCAGCGTGTGGATGAGCTTTCTGGTGACTTCGATTTCTGTGTCTATCACTTCCTCAGGGTATAGTAGTCGGGTACTGCAGAGGGAGAAGGACTGCAAAGGAACCGTGTCTTCGATCATATCATCCACAAAACACAGTTTGTAGCTGTCGTAAGGGTATTTAGTGAATGTGAAGGAGAAAAAATCTGTGGCATGCGCGAACGGTGCACAGGTGTTGAGAACCTCAGCACCTCTCCCTGGCAAGCAATATCCATGGACCTTGACTGCGCTCTCTTTGAGAGCCTCATCATCTTCTTCGGAACGAAACGCTGAATGCAAGTCCACGTCCTCGAAAGGGCCAATAGCAAAGCCAATGTGTTGCGCACCACACTGACTGGCCTCGAATTGCATGACCTTCTTTGTCTCATCGACCGGATCAACATGTTCTCCAACCAAATTGCCCGAGCACACAGCAGTCATCTCCAGCAACTTGTCTTCCTCAGTCATTGTGAAGTCTCGATGATCAGAACCTTTGCCTTTCTTCCCTTGCCGTGAAGAGCTGTTGACAAGAGCACTAGAAGAGCTGCCTTGCGTGGCTAAAGGCTGCTTCAAAGCATCTCCAACAGTTCGTGGGAATTTGAGTGCAACAGTCCAGTGTGTTTTCGACCTGTCATCAACACAAGGGAACAAGCAGCTGGCAAACCCTGCCTCATGGGAATGGCGAGTATACACATGCGGATATCGGGTATCGCTATCCTCAACACCAACAAAGTGTAGTCCATCGCGAACATGTCGTGTCTTGAAAGGGATTGCTATAGTGAATATGACTTCTTTGTCATTTGAAAATGACATGCTTGGGTTGAGGGAGTTCCGGTTCTTGATGGTGATCTTCGACTTTGCGGGAGCTGGGGTCGGCTCCTTTGGATGCAGCCACACACGGAGAGATCGATCTATAGGCATGCAGCCCTTGCCATCTCTCCCAATCATGGGCAGCTCAGCCCGTTTCTTCTGCATCAGGGGAGCCATGCGGCTCATCCGAAGGGCATGCTGTTGGTAAGACCACTCGTAGCCTTTGGGGGTATCCAGCAGCTTGTACGGATCATCATACTCCGCCTTGACCTTCCTGCCGTTCACCGTGACATTGTCCAAGTCGATCTCGCACTGGCGGGCATCGAGAGCGATGGAGCCGGACTCATCTGCGGCTCCGACACAGAATACCTTGATAGTGCTCGTGCCTTCGATGCGCTGCTCCCGAAAATTGAGCTCCAGGTCCAGGTTCTGGTCTAGGATGACGTATGGCTCATACACCACCTCTTCTTCGATAGGAGCGCCATTCAGGCCCGGCTCATCGCCAGGTATCACTTCCAGAGCGCCTGGCATCTTGGGCAGGTTTTCGGGCACGGTAGCTGTGCGTCGTTGAATGGTTGGTAGACGTCGCACTTCGAGGAAGCCGTAACGCCGCGGCTCGGAGGTCTACCGAGAAGAGAAAGGCGACTCCTCGGCAAGCTCAGATTCTCATCGCGTCGAGGAGAGGTGGACGGAAGCCCAGCACCAAGAGTCTGCTGCACGCGCAAAGGTGCTGATATCTATTCGGATGGAAATTAATCTTGATCGTCAGAATTATGCGAAGGAAAGATGCCTATCAGGCAGGCAAGATCGCGGAGGTGGACTGGTGAAGTTTTCGTAAACCGTTGGTAATCGCGCGAGGGAAGAGACGTCGCGGGATGAGGAAGGAAAGCGCAATTGCCTCCAGCAGGAGGATCCAGACCACGGCGGGGCAAGCTGCTGAGAACAATAAGAAGAAGAATGAATGCAGCCCACAATAGCTCAGTGAGGGAAAGATGGTCGGTCCGTCGAGCTGGAGTCAGAGCCAGGGTTGGAGGCGGAAGGCAACAAAACGCTCCCCAGCTACCGGACCTCTTTGATGTCACAAAATAGGTGGATTGGACTGTCGCGCGGCCGTGGTACGGTACAGCACCAAAAAGCGACTGGGATATCTTTGCGCCTCAGTTTGCGCACAGACCAACATACCGGTAAGCTCCCGCCAGGCAAACAAACTGACCTCACTAAACTTCCCGCCTACCCCACGCTTCCCAAGTACCTCCAACACATCTCAGCTTCAACACATTAATAAATAAAACATACACCAAATCTTAGCACAGCGATACACGCATTCAGACTCTTGAGCTTCTGGAGAAAACAGTGCTGGCCAGTCAAATTACAGGCAAGGTTCACACGCTTCTACAGTTCATTACAGATCGATATTCGCGCCTGAGTGGACTACCAAGCTATGCTCACACAATGCAATAATCGTAACACCAGCCTGCGTCCCCATCGATCCCCAAGCCCAGGTACAGGAAACGGGTATTCGATTTCGCCTTGGATATCTATGGATACGTACGCCAATAATGTCTCTCAGAAACCATATGCTTTCCCATCCCATGCCAAGGGTTCCACAAAACTCTTCGCAGTATAATATCTCGTACAGCATACTGATTAGCAGCTTCTCACAAGTCCTCGTTAGTGCTTCTGGCTCCTTTGAACACGCCGCCGACGTCGGGCATGTGTCTTAAGCGTCTCCTCGTCGCGATATTCTTCAGGAAGATAGAACTCGACTTCGGGAGGTTCAGGCACTGGTTGACCCCAAGCCAACACAGTCCTCCCTCTTCTGCGGTTTTTATTGAGAGCCGCATCGCGCTGCCACCTTTTCTCAAAGAACGATGTGAACTCCTTGTATGGCTCAGGGGACGGTGGACGTAAAACCTCTTTCGCTGCAGCCTTTGCATCATATCTCGATCTTGCCATAGCTTCTTCGCGAAGCTGCTTGGCGATCGAAGCATCGGCGTCACTGTAATCGGGTGGATCGCCGTCACTCTCGTTGCCTCCCCCATCATCGTCAGCCATTTCAACATCATCGTCTTGTTCCTCTTGATCAATCGCGGACTTCTCTTCTTCTTCTCCTCCTTCTTCCTCCTCCTCCTCTTCCACTTCCTCTCCAGCTTCCTCTTCTGATGCCTGAGACTCGCTTTCTTCCTCGACTTCTTCTTCTTCCTCCTCCTCGGCACTAGCTTCGTCTTCTTCTTCGGCTCGAGCTTCTTCCGCAAGAGCTCGTTCCTTCTCGAGCTTCCGCCGCTTCTCTTCGATGTTCCATCGTCTGAATTTCTCTAGTATAGCCTGGCAGCCTTTGATAAAGTGCGCTCGCGCGGGCTCAAAGGTCTTCTTGCGACTTTCTGTGATTCCACTAACCCCCATTGTCCTCAGCCAGTCTGGTCCCTGCAGGCCTTCCAGCAAGCGAATGATTTGATCTTTCTCATGTTGAGCTCGGCCTTTCTCAGAGTTGCGGATCGATCTTTCGAGCCTCTCGGCCTTTTTGTGGGAGGGCTCAAAGTAAGAGTCTGGCAGGGGGTCATCAAGGGATTTGCCCTTGTACCGCGCTTCTAGAAATCCGAAATCAATCTTCTGGGCCTCGTATAGATCCTTAAAGAACAATGCATCGCTGTAGCTTCGTATCTGCTGCTCGGGTCTCAGGTGGGGCTGGCGACTCCTCTCTGGTGCGGAGGAGATATGAGGCACGGCTGACGAGGTCGGAGCGTCAACGACGATGATGGGAGTGTCAAGGTTGAGTATGTCTGTATGTGTTGCGAATCAGTCAATGCTAGACAAGTTGATACGAGCAATTCTTGAGGATCGCAGGCTTACGTTGCTCCCTTGGGTCATTCCCAATCACCTCGTCATAGTCGGGAAAGTAGGCTGACAGCTCGCTCTTGAACCGCGTAGCCTCCTGCGACCGCAGCTTTCGGCCTTGCTCCTTGGTGTCAGCTGCATTGGGTTGTAGCCGATTGAGCTCGTGTTTAATTCCATTAATGACCTTTTCTTGATGTTTCGTAAGCGACGGCTGGGTGTTGGGTGCTGCTGCTGGCGGCGGTGCTATGGGCGCGGCGGCAGCGGGAGGTGCGCTGACGGGCTTCGGTGGGACAGGCTTCGTGGCGACTTGCCTCGCTGGCGGCGGCGGAGGCGGATTGTGTCGCGAATTGACGTGTTCCGACGACGAGTTTCTCGCCTGGAACTGCTGCTTTGATAGTATTTCGACGGTGATCCTTGCCTTCTTGGACTTGAAGGCATCGAAATCGCGATCAGAATGCTCGTAAGGCCTCTTGCTGTTCCTTGTAGCGGCGTGCTGAAGGATGTTTTGAGAGCGCGTATGTGTCGCGCCCGCCGGCAGGTGATGGATGGGGTAGTGGCCGTCCGCTCGCCGTGTTGAGCGGGTAATGGAGGTCATGGCCATGGAGGAAAATCGCTATCATGTTTCGCCGGTCATCAGAGATGCTGATCCTGGTGGTTTGATGGGGTTTGGATGCTGGTAGATTGAGTCGTTGGATTTTTTTGGGTTTCCGCTTGGCTGGTCTCTGCTTCGCTGTGTTTATGTGAGGGGACCCCAATGCTGGTGTTGTGCGGGACATGGATGGATACCTGCCTACTGGGGAGGAAAATGCACTTCAGTCTCCCAGCACCTACGTACTTCACCCACTTTGGCTTAATTAATCGTCAGCAGATGACAAAAGATGCAACTCTCAATCTGATCATATTGACATATTCGTCAAAATACGTTCTGAAGTCGAGTTTCAAAACGGAGGGGAAAGACACCAATCGCGTCAAATTTGGCGGTCGATTCTTCAGTTGACCTGCTTGACCTGCCACTAACGGCGGTGCGAGGAATGCTCGCCATAAGGTACCTAGCTAGCTAGGTGTCACTTCAGTAATTACAGCCTGTCCCAGTGGCTTCTAACGCATACAACACCTAGATTTAACCATGACAGGAGTCCTGCACCTCACTCTTCTAAGGTACCCGCCAGGTCATAACTTAATAAGACAACTGCTAGCTTCATAATCCATATAGCAAATCTCTCTGTCACCAGGCATCGTCAAGTCGACCCCGTCCTTTAGAGCCCAGGCTTCTGGATAAACCATCTTAATATGAGATGTTGACATGAGAAGAGGCCATGATAGCTCTGTGCTGACACATGATAAGCTATATTTTGAAACTCCAAATCTTTGTCTTCCACACATCAGCCGGAGTACATCTACTCTGGTATTTTCAATCAAAAATCCTCCTTTTAGTACTCAATCTTTCGAATTTCTATAAGCAGACTCTTGCATACCATATAGGACAAGACAAATGCTTGGTTTTTCGTTAAGTCTAATCAAAAGACTAAAAGAAGAAGGGGGCCGGGAGCGGTGCGAAATAAAAATTACAAATAAGGCTCAGTTTGTAGAAAAAGTGACAAGAGTGGGACTCGAACCCACGCCTCTTTCGAGAACGCAATTATGCCCTAGTACAAGGGTAAGAAAGTCTTTCAAGATTTCTTGAGCTGCACACTAGTTAGTTTCCTGCAATTTTACGGTGGGAAAGGGCAAAAGTACTGCGTCGCCTTAACCACTCGGCCATCTTGCCCTATTCTTTTAAGGAAAAATTCCACTATAAGATTATATGTTGGCTTTATTGAGGTTGAATATTTCCCCGGTATGGATTTCTCAGCTCCAACATCTTTTCTCACGAAGCTTCAATACGCTCTATTGATGAGCTACTTATGATGTTGATTCGTGGAAAAGAATGGAATTGCCTGAGTTCATCAATCAGGAGAGTGAGTTCTATATACTACGTACGTAGCGGGGATCGTTTGAAAAGATACTCCTTGGGTGTTGAAACTGTACTCGGACAGGTCTAGGTAGCTACCTCAGCACGTTCCGATTGCAGAGCATCTCCTTCGATTCCTTCTCGTTAAGATGCTTAGCTCCCTTTGCTTTGTGAGGCCTGATAAAACGTTGCCACTAAGACTCATGAGGGCTTGTCTGTCTGTCTGTCTCTCTGTCTGTCCCTGCCCCTGAGATCATTCATATGGTGACGGCAGTGTGGAGGATCCTGATGGTGTCCTATCTGGTCAATGTTGGCCACCTTAATAGACCATCCCATCACGCATAGCAGTCAATGCCAGGTATATGTGTACCTAGGTATAAGCAACAGATTCTGCCGAAAGCCCAAGGCCGCTGAAGATCGACTTCACAGCCACAAATGAACAGCGAGACGCCATTTATCTATTGTATCCTTGGGCTTCCAGCATGTGCAGACATCTCCTGGCAAGACTGGCAGCGCCACGGGATTACGCAAACAAGCAGACCACGTTCCAGAAACTGTTTTAAGCCTACAGACTTGGTATCTCTGATAATGGACCTTGGATGCGACAAACTCCCGACCGCAGCGGTCCCGTTACCTGCAAGCCACGCATCGCATAACACAGCCATTCAGCTTCTCAGGGACTGTCTGGAGCAGCGCCTCGAGGGAGGATCGGCTCCCCATCGCGTGCTCAGCTCACCCCGCTATGGAAGCGCAAGCCAGTAGGTATGCTGCGAGTTCCCAGAGACAATCGTTATCCGACTGCATCATCTCTATTCCTAGTTACCCAGGCACCTACCTTGGTAGAGCGGTTCCTGCTGACCGATTCCCAAGATAGCTGAAAAGCTGCCCGTCCCGTTATTTAGCATCACCGGGGCCAGCCCCCGACTGGAAACCCCTCTTCACTTTCCAGGAATCTCTCCTCGATCGTCCCGCTTCATCGCGAACGGATCTCTTGGCTTTACCCCAAAAGCCAATCAAGCCTTCAAGCACTCGCCAGCGTTTTGCTTTGTCTAACTAAGCTGCTTCCCTCTCTAGCTTCACTATGGCGCAGGACACCTCCTCTGGGGAGCATCCCAATGAACAGCACCCTACGTCATCCGTCCCACAGGGAGCTTCGTCCTCGACGGCCCCTCTGACCCCGCCACAGAGCCCGCCTGCTGTGGTACAGCAGCAGCAGCAGCAGCAGCAAGACAACGCCTCGGCCTCGAGGGTGTCACTGAGCACTACACGATCGGCGCGCTCGCACAGCAAGGCCTACATGGACTCGCTTGTGCCCCCGTCGAACGAGGAGTTCGCGCGCATCTCCAACGTGCAAGCCGACCGGGAGACGCAGCAGAAGCGGCGCTCGCGCGACCTCCAGCGCGAGCCCAAGTCTGCAGATCTCCCGCGCCCCGACGAGCGGCCCAAGTCCTCCCACAGCCGCGGCGGCAGCCATGGCCGTCGCTTCGGCCTGTTCGGACAGGGCTCCGGCCCCGGCCCCGGCTCCGGCGCGGACGACGCGCAGCGCGCCAAGGCCGCCGCGGTTATCCAGCGCACGTACAGAGGCTATCGCACCCGCCGGGAGATGAAGGGCCTCGGCCTCAACGCCTCGACCCGCTGGGTGCAGGCTGTCCGGGAGGCGCAGTTTAGGGAGCTGACGAGGCCGAGGGCGCGTCCGGGCGTCGGCGATGATGCCGTCGCGGCGGGCGAGAGGGCACACACGGTCCTGGACCAGCCGCCGGACGAGAACGCTGCGAGTCGCACGTCGACGGCGAGGCACAACTGGAAGAAAGCCGCGACCATTGCGCGGCGCGCTGGTGGCGACGTGGATGCTGATGATGACGAGTCTTCCTCGAGTTCGTCTTCATCGTCGTCGGACTCGTCATCTGGAGACTCCGCTTCGTCCGAGCAGAGGGAGGCTGCGCGAAAGCGAAGAGAGGAGGCGAAAGCTGCGCGCCGCAAGACTGCGAAGATGATGGGCTTGCAGTACTTCTTGGAGATGGTCGATCTTAAACATAGATACGGATCGAACTTAAGGATGTACCACGAGGAGTGGCAGAAGGCCGATACAAACGAGAATTTTTTTTACTGGCTTGACTATGGCGAAGGGAGAAATATCGATCTCGCTGCTTGTCCTCGCGAGCGCCTAGATAGGGAACAGGTCCGATATCTATCGAGAGATGAGCGGCAATACTACCTCGTACAAGTCGATGCGGAGGGCAGGCTTATCTGGGCGAAGAATAAGGCGAGGATAGATACCACCGAGAAGTGGAAGGATAGCATCCATGGTATTGTCCCAGCAGACGACCCGACGCCGGCCTTCCAACCAGTATCCGGGAACGAAACTCGACTGCTTGGAGACTCTAGTAGCGGGGAGAGCTCTGACTCTGAGGTTTCGGAATCTGAACTGGAGGCGGCGCAGGCTGCCAAGTATGCGACCGACTTTGATAACGCGAAAGGCGTGAAGAAGGTCACACATATGTCTGCCAGTACCATCTTCAACAAGCTCTTGCGCAAGTCAGTCCGCAAGAACACCTGGATCTTCGTCGCCGACACGAGCTTCCGGCTTTATGTGGGTATCAAGAATTCTGGCGCTTTCCAGCACTCGTCCTTCCTCCAGGGTTCTCGCATCTCCGCCGCGGGACTGATCAAAATCAAGAACGGGCGTTTAACCTCACTGAGTCCGCTGAGCGGACATTACCGCCCGCCAGCGTCCAACTTTCGCGCATTCGTGAAGTCTCTCAAGGAAGAAGGCGTCGACATGAAGCACGTGTCCATATCCAAGTCTTATGCGGTCTTGGTTGGGCTCGAAGCATACATCAAGACGCAGCAGAAGGGAAAGAGCTTCATCAAGAAGATTACGCACCGTCGCGACAAGCTCGTCAAGCCGGAAGAGGTCGCCCGGCGCGAGGAGGACGAAAAGGACAAGTCGCAGAGCGCAGCTAAGGAAAGGGAGTTCCTGGAGCAGCAGAGGAAAGAGGAGGAGAAAGAGCGCGAGGAGAACAGAGCGACTGTTCAGTTAATGCAAAAGATGCGAATATCGCCAAGGGTACCGGCAGGTCAAAAAGGAGATAGTAATAGGGAAGAACCGGACGCTGATTTGGCTGCAGTAGACACGAACACACGCTTAGAAAAGTAGGTTTGGGATATCAAGGGCTTGGATATATTCTTTCACGGCGTTCGATACCCGGTTATTGCCTCGACTCTCCATAGGATGGTCGCGTCAAGTATAGATGATGTAATGATATGACACTTTGCTATTCCATCTCAAGTCCCTATCCGGGCGCAGTGGCTTTATAACTTGATTATTCCAAGTTGGTTCGACGATACGAGCAATTTTATACTTGATGCTCTCTAACGACAGTGGTATATAACATTATCATTAAAACATCTTGTAATATATACAAGAAGGCCCCTCAGTCCTCTCACGATCTTACAAAGCCAGGTGGATATATTCAGTTGAAGAGAAATTCCTTCAGGACAGGTGATCCGGAGAATTCAGGGTTCAGTAAAATACAGCTATAAACAACATTAGCATGATAGGTCCGCGGTCCTGAGCAAGGGCCGTACTTTAAGAAGTATTGTAATCCAGCTCTCCGTTTCTCAAGAAAACGGGGCCGGAACTTTGATATGACACTTTTCGGTGGGAGAGATGGCACAGCAGCCTCGAAATTTGGGAAGCTATGTATAAGCTGTTGTCTGAAGTCATCGAATTCTGAATATCGTTTTCGTATGTTCATGTAGGATCCCTATCCACGGTCACGGTCAGCTTTAATCCACAGGAGCGACCACAGCGCCCGATAGCGAGACACAAACTCACACTCAACGTCTCTACCCGGATATTCCACACCACGAATGCGCCAATGTTGGTCGCGCTCCCATTCACGACGACGTGGTCCGTCACCTCGACGCTCTTGGCCCAGCATGCACGGTTGCGGTCTCGCCCGTGCGAGTTGCGAGCGCTATCGCCGCCGCTCCGGCCCTCGTCCTCGTCCGTCGCCTCGTTGTCCTGCAGCGTGATGGCGCCTGCGGGCAGGACGCTCTCGACCGAGACGCTGGACGCCGTCCGGTTGTGCGAATGCACCCAGTATGGCGGCGACGTCACCGGGGAAGTGACCCGCTCGGCGGGCTGCACCCTCAACTGCGCGGCGGCCTCGGGGTCCGTCGATGTGACGATGGGCCGCTGGACGATGCCATTACCGCTGCCGTTGCCATTGGTAGCTGTGCTCATCGTGGTCTCGGCAGCGTCATCGCTGTCCTGCTCTTGTTCCTGGTGGACAGCGTCCGGGTCGAAAGGCGGGAAGGCCTCGATGGCGGAGTCGCCGCTGGGGTTTCTGGCGTGCGCCGCGCGGGTTGTGCTGCCGTTCAGCTTGCCATTGGGCGCTGGCTTGTCAAAGAGGTGATCTGTCGCCGTCGCCATGAAGCCATGTGAGGCGGCGTTCGAACGGCTTGGATCGGGGTTATCAATTGGGATTATTCTTTTTTTCGGTCTCGGAGGTGTGTTGAAGAAACGCGGCGCAGAAGGATGGCCCGCCCGATGATGCGTACTATCCGGGCATTTAGCTTGCGACGGGAGGCCGCTTTCTGGTAGATCTGCCGATTGGCCGCTTACGTATGGTGGTGGTGCAGGGTTCTAGGTTCTGTTAGACCGATTGGGTTGTTGGTAGTGATAAAGAAAAAGAGATGACTTGGCCGCTATCTATCTCAGAGACAACATCATGGAAGTCTTCCGGATAGTATTTCTATATAGAATGATTCATTGCCTTTTCTGACAAGACTATGAGAAATCTTCAAGGTCTAAATACTTCATCAAAGCCATCAAGTACTTTGTTCTGTAGCGGGCCATGCACGGACCAATTAGTCCATGTCAGCCAGGTTTAGTGCGTCGAGACATCGAAACAGTAGGAACTAGAGGTAGAGCTCTTCGAGGTGCTAATTGGAGAGAACTAACTTCTAATAGCAAATGGAATCTGGTGGTCTAAAGCTTACAAGTCTCAAGAATCTCCAGAATCGTCTTGCTTGGCGTTGATAGAGGCAAGAGCAAAGAGTTGTAGAGAGCGATATGGCAATTTCCATCGGCATAACCAAGGACTATATGCCAAGGTAGGCATTTGATCTGATACATAGCAACTCGTTTGGGATGGGGTGTGAATCTCGCACGACTTGCACTCGACGGCTTCGAAATCCCCCTTCATAAGTCTTTCGAAGTCTGGGCTTAGGGCCATCTGGCTGGTAGTCCATTTTACATGTCTCAAACAATATCCGCCATACCGGATCGTTATCGGTTTTCAATTGTATTTCGCTCCTGACCAAGCAGATACGACCGTTTGTTTCTCACAGGTGCTCACGGCTCAGAGGATTTCATAGAAAAATGGCGAACAAATAGGACGCCGACAGTGGGCCGTCTGCTCATTTGAAACTTGATACGACAAGTCGACAGCAAGGAAAGCAGGTTGCAGTAATTGTCTCATTTTTCAGATGTTTCTGACTTATCAGACCTTGAGGTTCCATGCACATCCAGCATATCACTATTTCAACACGGTCAGCACGGACAGGTCATCGGTGCACGTACCTTGGAAATGCAGTTGGCAAACAACAAAAATCGCTGCTGTGTCTGTCTCCGGATTACATTTTGCGTGTCGGTCCTCACAGCAACCAGCATGTAGGTGAAGTTGTGTACGAAGTGTTGGTGGCGCACAGCTTGGAATGCTGAGAGTAGGGTTCGGGCTCCTCGTAACCGCCAATCACTAAACAGCTCGAAGCTCTGCCCCATCAAATAGTGCTCAAGACGAATCTCTATTTTGGGCGATGGTTCTCTCGAGTGGCTCTCAGGCCTAACAGCACCGTCAACAGACTACTTCTGAGTAGTGCGTCCGCTCGGCACATGTATAACTTGACAACGGCCAGGCCAGCTTCTCTATCTGGCACAATTCACCCGCATTGATGCTATCCACAAAGCAGGTCAGTTGGCTGCGGGGCATGCTGAGGCGGCATCAAATACGAGGCCTGAGCCCGTGAGGGGCAAAAAGAATGCTCACATTGTGGATTCCGGGTCTCACTGCAAGCTGCATGATGGGAGTCTTGGTGTGCTCGTAATGGACTGGAAATCCGGACTGTGGTCACACACGAGGCAGGCGATGGAGGCTAAAGTGTCCCGCCGTAGACGGTCTCGAGCCTACGAGGTCTACACTAACATCGATGGCGGTTGGACCATGCAACGCCATCGCCAACCACCGGTCTTTTCAGACTGGATCGCACTGCACATATGCTGGCACAAATGTCCGACAAGGCGCCTTCCTCACAGAGATCTCACGGCTACTAGGCAGAGCATCGGTGGGATTCAAGGTTTCTGAATGTAGAGAGCCTACCGGTATATGGATCAGCCTGCCACAATGATGATAGTGAGACAACAAGAAGATCGTCAAACAGTTCTATCATCCTCAGAAGCCGGTGTCAATCCAGGATTTGTTTTCTGGTGTGCCACCGGCTTGCAGCTAGCTGCAAGCCCCGAACATCCCTGCGTGCGTCTGGAGAGCTGCGGGACGCCCAAAAACGAGGACCCCCAGCTTGCCATTTGATTGAATTGGGCGCTGTGATTGGAGCGAGATTGGAGGAATGGCCTGAGAACCCTGCCGCGGGCCAAAAGCGCCCGGGAGAGCAGGGATTGTAGCTGGGAGGCTGCGAAGTCACTCCTTGTTTAAGGTGACAGTTGGAACGGAGCGCCCCATGCAACACCCTTGGCCTCCTTTTATTTTGCTCCGGACTATGGTTATGGCTCTCGGCTGGTCTGAGGGTCACTGTCTCTCTTTAAAGCTCCACCCCCGGCTCACATTGGGTGCTTCCTCTCGTTCTTTGGTCTCGCAATCTGCCATCTCGACCTTCAATCAGGGTCCCGACTCTCGCTGTAGCTGTTGTGTTGTTGTCGAAGTTGAATCTCTCTTCGCTTTCTTGTCCGCCTCGCTTGGACATTATTTTCATATAATCTTTTTGTTATTTCAGCTGTCGTTTGCTCTCCGATAATATTGTTTATCCTAATACTCTTAATTCATAATACTCACGATCGAACTACTACTTTTATCCCTTCCGAGCTTCTCAGTACACTCCATCTCCCCGATATCCCATCATGCCTTCGTTCAAGACCGCCTTCCTGGCCCTGGCCGCCGCCCTCGTTGCAACCGTGCAAGCCGATTACTACATCAACCCCGACAGTGTCCCTCTGTCTACAAGGAGTATGTCTGATATCTAGTGGCAGACAAATGCCAATTGCTGACGCAAATGCACAGAGCAGTGGTGCCAATATGAGCTGAGCACATGCCCTTCGATCTGCAACGACGAGGGAGCCGGTGGTGCCAAGGAGAACTCGTGTGACCCAGTAAGCAAATCTTCTACCTATGAGTCGAAGCCGAGAGACTAACCATGCACTGCAGAACACTCTCACCTACGCATGCCTGTGCAACAACAACCTCCAGCCCAACGTGTCCGAGTACAGCCTGAGCCTGCCGTACTTCACCTGCACGGAATGGGGCAACCAGTGCGTCAACGGTTGCGGAGGCGACTCGTCGTGCCAGGCCGACTGTCGGCAGGACCACCCGTGCGGTGCTCTCAACCCGACCCGCGTCAACAGCACGACCAGCTCCACGATGGCGGCTACCGGCACGAGTGGTGCTACGGCCACGGGCGACACGATCTACACCGGCCTGGGCGGATCTACGTCGACCTCCACGCCCCAGGACAACTTTGCCCCCGGCACCTTTGAGATGGCGCGTGTGTACACGATGCTGCTCAGCATCGGGGCTCTCTTCGCAGGTTTCACGTTCATGCTGTAAAATGCGTGGCCGGTGACCTGTACTACTTGACTAAAGTCTGAAAAGGCTTGTATCAGACCCCCCAAGCTGTAAGGAAGTATGGCGGTGAAGTGAGGACCATGAAAGAAGTGCTGCGAATGCAGCAGGAGTGTGGGCAGATTGAACTGGAGGAAGACAAGGGACGACTAATCATATTCCGGTGCGAGCAAGTAATGCTTTTAATGTTTACTCAGCCTGTACCTGTCCACAAGGGCATCAATCGGAGCCTTGGTGGCTTGGGGCAGACATCACACTACCTGGGTCGTCCAGGGGAAAGGACAGCGTCGATTCGGCGTTACAGACGTCTGGGCGTATTGGCTAGACTGCTAGATTTCAGGTGTTTTCGGAGAAGGCAGCAGCAATGGAGAAGAGATCCCAATCTTGCAAGGGATCGAAGTCATGCCTCATCACATTGTCATCTGCTCTCCTGTGTTCTGATCTGTCCGTTCTACGAATAACTTATTGTAAGTTAAGGTAACGGGCTGTCCCGTTAACATGTCCATTTTGGAGACGAAAAGAAGTGGAGCCGGGATGTACTATGTAGACCGGCGCCGTCCCAACACATATGACCTCTTTACTACCTGTTACTGGCCTGACCGCTAGTGTTCTAAGGAGAAACTGATAGATTGAGATATGTGAGCACGATGGCATTTGTACATAACATCTACGTGCAGATGCAGCGGCCGATGTCTGCAAGCTTATCGAGACTACTAGATCGGGATGTCATTATGCATTGTAGACTTTTGAGTTGGATGCTCAGCCTAATACGCAACTCTACCAAGGTACTCGTCTACCGCCTCTGATGATTCACCATCGCTTTCACGTGTCAGAAATGGCGGCCGGGAAGGGGTGGAAGATGCGGGAAAGCATCATTGCACTGAAGGAGGTGAGGTACAGCAAGTTTCAGGCCGCTGATTCGTGATAATCCCCCGAGAGGGTGCCCCGGTGTGTGTGCGTCCTCCGTCCTGTGAGCTCAACAGAAAAGCTACGGTATTCCCAGTGGCTGCTGGGGGACAGCTACGGTCTAATTAGTGGAAGCCCGGGGTGGTGGTCGTGTCGTGGACTCGTGGTGGGACGGCTGCCAGGGGCTAAAATTGCCAGATCGGAGATGTCTCCAGTCATTGGGAAGCCCCCGACTTCGTCTCCGTCCAACGTTTTGGAAGCACCGACTTGCATCCATCCACCCAGCCAGCCAGCCAACCAACCAACTAACCAACTAACAACCAACTAAATAGCCAGCAGTCTACCTGTCTGCTGCACCTGCTGCGCCTACTGTACTGCACGTCAACTATACCTACCTACTAAACCGTCTCCGCCGCCGTATGTGCATCGCGCCGTCTCTCTTCTTTTTCTCCCTCTTCTCTCTCTCTTTGCACACATCCCCTCATGTCTCTTCCTATCACAGAGAATGTTCCCGTGAACAATTCCTCTCTTCCCTCCAAGCTCGAGACGCTATACAGCAACGGCCTGCGCTCCCTCAAGCAGCAGGGATCCGACACCATGGCGCCCGACAATAGCAGTGAGTTGGCCCTGAACCCCCCCTGCCCCACCAAAAAATGTCTTGTCGATCCAGGGACGCGCACCACAGCACAGCGCAGCAGACTGACAATGGAGACGCAGAGCGAGCCGTCGCCGAGTGCATCTCGGAAGACGCCCTCATTCACTTGAAGTCCTACAAGTACTCGGCCGTCGACAAGTCGCCCGTCTCCCATTATATCCTGCGACCTTATGTACGAGACCATCCCTCCCCCCTGCAGATCACAGCGCCGCGAACCCGTGCGGCCCCTTGAAGGTACACCGCCAGCTAAGAAATATCCCATGAACAGTGGAATGCGGCCGTCGAATTGCTGCCGCTATGGCTGGCACCGAACATGGTCACCATGATCGGCTTCTTCTTCATCCTGGCAAACATTGTGCTGCTCGTCATCTTCATGCCCGATCTGGTGGGACCGGTATGTCGTGCTGATACCCCCTCTTCCCTTGAGCTACGATATAAGGGTCTACATGCTGACGATTTGCTTTCGTGGAATCAGGGCCCGGCATGGCTTTACTACAGCTTCGCCCTTGGTCTGTTTATGTATCAGACCATGGACAACATTGATGGCAAGCAGGCTAGGAGGACGGGCACGTCAAGTGGCTTGGGCGAGCTCTTCGACCACGGTATCGATTCACTCAACTGCACCCTGGCTAGTTTGCTCGAGACAGCCGCCATGGGCCTGGGCACATCCAAGGTCGGCGTATTTACCGCGCTATGTCCCTGCCTACCGATGTTCTTCTCTACCTGGGAGACTTATCACAGCCACACCCTGTATCTAGGCTATGTCAACGGGCCGACCGAGGGTCTCCTGATCGCATGTGCCCTCATGGCTATTTCTGGGTACTACGGCCCGGCCATCTGGACGACACCCATCCGCGACAATCTCGGCAAGGACCATCTCTTCGGATATGCCGACCAGTTGGGCGATTTGTGCGTGCGGGATATCTGGGTGCTGATCATTGTGGGCGGCTTCTTCGTGCACGTCCCCGGCTGCATCAAGCACGTCGTGCAGGCTCGGCACCGGCAGGGCCTGCCCATCGCCCCCGTGTTCCTCGAGTGGACGCCGTTCACCATCTACGCATGCTCCATCGCCGCGTGGCTGTACAGCCCGTACTCGACCCTCTGCTCCGAGAACCACCTGGTGCTCTTCTGCATCACCATGTCCTTCGTCTTCGGCCGCATGACCACCAAGATGATCCTCGCCCATCTGACCCGCCAGCCCTTCCCCTACTGGACCGTCATGCTGTTCCCCCTCGTCGGCGGCGCTCTCCTCGGCAACCTGCCGCGCTTCGGGCTGCCGCAGGTCTCTGCGCAGGTCGAGCTGTACTACCTGTACGGATACTTCATCTTCGCGGCGATCGTCTACTTCCGCTGGGCGTTCCTCGTCACGAACGCCATTTGTGACTTCTTGGGCATCAACGCCCTGACAATTCCGTACGAGAAGCAGATGGAGAACAAGCGGCTGCATCAGGTCGCCAACGGCCAGACGAACGGGATACTCAACGGCTCAACAAAGAGAAAAGACTAAAGTGGCCGGTGCGACGGCGCTGTAATAGATAGAACCATTACAAGGCTTCTAGAGAAGTGCAAGCTTCAAAACTTGATCGTCGATGACGATCGATTCTGTTTCGAGAGTATGAATGCGCTCGATATGAAAAAAAGGGGGTTCCGCTAGCTGCAAGTCAGCCGGCGCGTCGATTGATACGGGATGCTTATAAGCATTGGGCTTTTTTGGGGCGGGCCGGGGGCATTTTCGAAAAAGTAAGGCATCATTAATTAGCATTCAACTGGCGTTGAGGGGCCTTCATGACTGAATTTTTTGGTCGTCTTTGTTGATGTTGATACAGTACTCCATATAGAGGAGGCAAAGCATTTGTTATAGAGCCAGCCGGCAGAGTGTCGGGATTACGTGCAGCGTTTTTAATAGCTTGAGGTCGACTATACTCAACGTATAAGGCACAAATTGATTCATATAACCTATTTGGTGGTAGGCTGTGATGTGCAGGGTCGTATGGCAAGACCAATGCGTTGGCTGAAACCCCTTTTTTCTGTCGAGGAGGATCAAGCACATGCAAATCAGACAAGAACGAAAGAAGGTAGGATCAAGTGAGATTTATTTATACCAAAGCTAACAATTACCGAACACCAAAGCTTGCAGCGCAGATCACCGAAGTAAGCACTTTATTCAACAACCGATAGAATCCCCCCTTTTTGCCCCCAGTCTAATAGTCCGTCGTCCGCGCAATCGCCTCCCACTCCTCGAGGATCTTCTCCGTCTCCCTGATCTTCTGCCTGATCACCTCGACGCAGTCCGAGCCGAGGACGAGCCTGACGGGGATCTCCCTGCCGGCGGCGACGCCGCGCTTGGTCAGGACGTCGACGATGACGCGGGCGCCCTTGGCCACGTCGCCGGGCTGATTGTTGTTGTACTGCTCGAGGCCCTTGCGGACCTCGTGCGCCGGCGTGCCGTCGTACACGGCCAGGTCGCGCGCCGCGCGCACGCGGTGCACGCTGTCCGTGCCCACGTTCAGGAACCCCGTGCGGAAGTAGCCCGGCTCGACGACGCACGCGTCGACGCCGAACGGCTTCAGCTCGCCGGCCAGGCCCTCCGTCAGCCCCGTCACCGCGAACTTGGTGCTGCAGTACAGCGCCACCGCGGGCCCGGACGACCACGAGCCCAGCGAGCCAAAGTGCGCGATCGCGCACTGGTTGCCGTCTGCGGCCGCCTGGCGCAGGTACGGTGCGGCGGCGCGCGACACGTTGGCTGCCCCGAAGACGTTGGTCGCAAAGGTTGCTGCCATCTCCGCCTGGCTGACCTCCTCGACGGCGCCCTCGAGGATGTAGCCCGCGCAGTTGATGACGTGCGTGATCTTGCCGTAGATGTCGTTGGCCGCCTTGAACTGGGCGTCGAGCGCCTCTTCAGGGGCGGTCACGTCGAGGTCCAGGACGACCGCGCCGGCTGCCTCGAGCTCGCTGAGCCGCGAGGCTTTCCGCGCCGTGGCGATCACCTTGTGGCCGCGCTTGAGGGCCTCGAGGGTTGTGTGCTTGCCGAAGCCGCTGCTGGCGCCGGTGATGAGGAACACGAGGTCGGCCATTTGTGTGATGTTGATGGTTTTGTTGAATGTTGGTATAGGAGTTGTGGCTTGTTGGCTTGCGTATACGAAGATGAGTTGCGAGGATTGCTTTTGCCTCTAGATTGTTGTGGACTGTGATGAACGACAGCCTCAGACTTGATCGCGATGTCTCAACCTTCTTATAGAAGTGTTGTCGATGCAGAATATGCCATTGAAGTGAGTTAGGCCAATCTCCTAAATCCACAAACAACATTACGGACGATATGTCCGCAAGATAAAATCCGCGAGCGTCATGGTGTTTCCTCTATCACATGGCTGGTGATGTAAATGACGCCTGTATGGGGAAGGACATTGGCAGTCCGAACATCGTCGGAACTAAGCCAAGACCTGCGGTCTCAAAAAGCCAACGAATTGCAGCCATTGAGTGAAGAAGCCACCAAGCCAAGTGGAGGAATCGGTGGAACTCTATCAGGTCTTCCCGGTTCTCTCTTTCCAAAATTTAGGAGTTGTCGAGAAAGCCGATGTGTTAAGTAAAGAGAGTGATGTGGCTTGCGAGGGGAGCGTATCGGCGATTAGGTCATCGCCGAAAGGGGATTTAGACGTCAGGAGGATCACTTAGCATCGATGGCGTCGTTTGCCAAGCCAATCCTTCGGCTGTACGAATGTCTCACTTCGGTTTATTAAACGAAAACGATTCACGCGCCCTCTCCCTGATCCCAGAAGCCCGTCCGTCCTGACAGCGCCGTAGTCTGACCCCACAGTTCGCAAAAGTGCGAGGCATCAGCTCGGTCCGCGCCGTGACGGCACATGGATCAACATATCTGACTCCGGAGTCATCGGCTCTTTAACCGACACGGAGTCGGCCATGGTAAGACGGTCAACGGCATTCCCACATGTCTGCCGCAACCGAAGAGGCCATGGATCTAGCTCAAGCATAGTTCCACAGTGATCTCTGCCCATCTTGGAACACGAAGGATCAAGACGACGTGCTCCTCCCGTCAAACCCACTCCTCACACATCTGGTCTTGCCATATCCAGGACCCTGTGCTCTATATGCCCGTGCAGATACGCAGTTACGCTCCTGGTATCGGTAGATATGTTACATGGTTACTGCATGGCATTGAGCAGCCCCTTGATTATATAGTCCTTCTCCCTGATTTGTTCCACAACCTCGCTGTCTCCGCGTTGTCGGGGGGTCAGTTCGGCCCCTCGGACTCCTTAGGCAGCAGAATAAAAGCAGGCTCGGATCGGATAGCACACGAGCGCGCCAATTGATCGACACTAGCAGTATTGCGCCGCATACTGCCCGTCTAGAGGGTGTAAGATTGGTTCTTATTGAACATGTAGTAGTCATTGTCGTTGCATAATGGCCGTGTGTTGGGCCGCCAGGCAGTGAGATTTTCGTCTCCTTCTAAACGGGGCCATGTGAGCGAGCCGTGGTGCTTTTATCGTCTAATCCTCATCACACGAGCAGACACACAATGCGCTCCGGACCGGCGGGACCAAACTCTATTGAGCCTCCAACCAAGGTCTCGACGATCCCTCGCGCGCGCCCCTGAGCAATACTTAAAAGTAGTAGACCGCCGCCGCCCCCAACCTGCTGCTGTTGCCGCTGCTCTTCTTCCCCTCCGCCTCGTTCGGCCGGATCGAACGTCGTCGTTCCACCATGGCGACCGGCACCACCGACTATCAAGCTGCCCCTGAGAGGTTCCCCTGGGAGACACCTAAGCCCGTCGGCGACTTCTGGACGCCCCTCGACGCCGTCCGCCAGCATCTCGGCCGCCAGTTCCTCCTCGTATTCACTCCCGCCGAGACCGCGGCCCTACCGCTCGATCCCAGACTGCCCACGCGCGCCAAACTCGAGCTTCTCTACAAGATCGCCCAGGACCGGGTGGCTCGCGATGCGCTCGGCCCCCCAGGGATGCTGACACCGGAGCAGTATGCCCAATGGCGCCACCAGCAGTACCTGCTCGAGTCGCTGGAGGAAGAGCTCGAGCTGTACGACACGGCCGAGGCGCGAGAGCACACGCTGATGGCCGCGTACGAGGCTAGGACTGACAATGTGCGGAAAGCGCCCACAGATCTCGGCGCCCTGAGCGGGCTAGCGTGGTTGAAAATAAAGCAAGGTCAATATACGCTCGCCGAGATGTACGCAAGACGGTTCCTCCCTATGGCGCAGAACTTTGTCTCGCTGGGACCAGACTCGCCGCAGGCAATTGGCGGGATGAGGATTCTCATCGAAGCGCTAGGGAGACAGGGGAAGTTTGCGGAGGCGAGGCAGTTTAATGAAGAGGGATACAGGGTAATCCAAAATATGACGGTGGGCAAATTCAGAAAATACGCGGCGGAGGAGCTCGAGGCGATGAACGAGCTAAGAGCAAATCTAAATAAATGGGAGGCAGAGATTCAATGGCGATGACGAGGGCTTGTTATTTTTGTGTGTTTTTGTGCCAGCGTTCTAGCATTTTTTGGAGTTCCTGCCATGGGTTCTATCTAGATATCCTCCGCACCCCCTATTTTCTCAACCTTGCCATCTTTCATCCAAACAACAATATCCTTCTCAGGCCGCATCCTCTTGGCGAATGCGCCGAGCTTATGCGTGACCATGATTACAGTGTGGCCGTGATTGATGATTTCCTCTTCAATGATGTCGTACATGTTTGACTCGGTTACGGGGTCAAGCGATGCTGTCACCTCATCGAGAAGCACAATTGGCTTGCCCCTTGGCGTATCCGAGTACGCTGCGGAGCTCCCAGGAAGCTCCGAAGCAATCTTGATCTGCACTAGGGCTCGTGTTAGAGACAAAAGCTGTGACTGTCCAACAGATAGCGATGGCAACGCCACAAGTGGTTGCTCGAGCAGCTCCGAAATCCGTTCCCGAACACTTTCGTCAGTGTCATCATCAGCGCCGCCAAGAATAGAAGGCTCTGCATGAGCAAAGTGTGACCAAAGCGCAGTGCGTTTCAATAGATCAACGAGCAGGCTCTCCGAGGCTTCAAGATACGGGTCGAGGTTGAAGCGGAGTGATGCATCAGGAAGAAGGAACGCATCTTGCGAGACGGTGATAAATGCTCGTCGGCGAACCGCTGCATGGGAAACGGCGCTGATGTCTACACCATCCACCGTGATAGAGCCAGATTCGACCTCTAGCAAGCGGAGGAGAGTCAAAAGCAAAGAAGATTTACCACTAGTTAGTATTAGCATGTCGCATGTACGAATGCCAGTTTTCTTCCCTCACCTCCCAGTCCGTCCACATATTACAGCTGTCTGGCCAGGGGCAACTTGGAGATCTACCTCACGAAGGGCTAAGGCATCGGGACTATGTAGTGTTAATACTTTTCGAAAGGAAAAGAAGCAGGTATAGTACTCGACTTACTTGTACGATGCTTTCACGCGATTGAAATAAACATTACCAGACGATGGCCATGCGGTTGGAACGGTTACCTGTGTTCCAGCAGAATCGTTCAAAGATTCCTTCGGCGTGTCATTTTCGACCTCCTTTAGACGCGCAATAGCACCAAGTCCTATTTCAATATTTGTGAACCATGTCACAAGGCTCAAGAGAGTCGTGTTGGCAACGATAATCAAGTTCAGTGCGACTCCTACTTGGCCACCTGTGGTTGAGCCCCTGAGAGCAACGGCAAGCGCGATGGTGCCAATAGCAAGCATCGCAATCAACAGATCAAGGACAACGTTGAGCCACCTCTGAAGGCAGAAGAGTAAGTAGAATGGCCGCTGTGAATCGTCTAGGTGCTTGGTATTGTCATCGGCGATCTCTTTCTGCCAGCCAAAAGCTCTGATTGTCGCAATGCCTTGAGCCTATGAAATGGTTAGCGCTGCCCAAGCACGATATCAGAGTAAGCGAAAGCCAACCGTCTCGAGGAAACTCGAATAAACCGCTGATCTTGACTCTAGTTCAAGATATCGCAGCTGTCGAGATGTGCGCAAATACACTTTCTGGACAATGTACACAATAATGGCACAGAATGGCAAGGTCAAAGCAAGCCGATATTGAACGACTAGGAGGATCGTTGTCTGCATAATCAGCTTGCAGATTTCTGAGAGAATACTGTCAGCATGTCACTTTCTCATCCCACGAATTCACTTACGAGTAATGAAGCCTTGAGTCGCAGCTGCTAGTTGCTTATCGACAAGCTGAATATCTTGACCAAACCTAAGATGGTCAGGAAACGGACCTGATCTCGCGATGGCATGACGTACCTATTCAAGATGTTCCCTGACTGTGTGCCAGAGAAATATAGTAAAGGTGCACTGATAATGCGTCAGTTCCCGTAATGTTCAAACAAAGGTCGATGTATCCTCACCCCATAATCGCTCGAAGAAGACGTTCGTGAAGCTTGATACCTGCAGTTGGAGCTATCCGGAGACCAGTAGTCCTTTTCACGTAAGAAGCCAGCCAAAGGAAGACAGTGAGGAACCTTACCACATGTTGCCATCTGTGGAAATCCAAGCTGTGAAGATGAGACAAAAATACACGACAATAAACATTGCTTGATTTGCGTCGGACTCGGTCCACCATTTAAGCCAGTATTGTGTGAAGGAAGTGAAGAAGGAGTAAGACGCAGTACATCCTGTCATGATAGCAATGTTTCTAACACCAGCAGACTTGAAGTAGTACCCTGCAGCCTAATTAGCATCTTTACGTTTTCAGATCTCGATTTGCACCTGCCGTAAAGCGATATGTCTCCATTCTTCCGACTAAGGTCCTTTGAGGCATCTGTAAGAGCGGAATTTGGTTGCGGTTTGGTTGGAATCTGTCGCAAAGCAACGAGATCTTCAGCGAGTTCATCATTTTCCGGATGAATGATATGAGCGATCTGCGTGCTATGGTCTTTGAGACTTTCCCACGGTCCCTGCTCCTGAATAGTTGATTGGCCAAGTATTGCCACAGTGTCCGCCAGGGGAAAGTGTTTCGCTACTGCGTGTGAGTATTGATGAAAACGCAATCAATAGAAGACCACTAGGGTAACACATGACTTACTCGCAGTTGTAACCCAGAACACTGTTGCTTGGCTTTTCCTAAATAACCCCTTAGGACCAAGGAGATTATTGACGACTTCGGTCTCTGTTTTTTCATCCAAGCCACTGAAAATATCATCTAGGATCACGATCTCATACCGTGCATAGATGGCCCGGGCAAGCGCCTATTTTGTGTAAGTGAATCTGAATGAGATCGGTTCCGGTCTACTTACGACTCGTTGTCTTTGACCACCTGAAAGGTTCATGCCCTTGTTTCCAACTACTGTATCATCTCCTTCAGGAAGTGATTTGAGGTCTTGCTCGAGACAACATAATTTGACAACCTGCTCGTACCATGTTTTGTCTCTTGTATGATCTGGTATAGGGCCATAAATAACGTTCTTTATCGTCGAATTTGGAAGCCACGCTGTCTGTGAGCAGTAGCTTATCATCTTCGAAGAAACAGTCACCCTTCCGCTCTGAGGAGTAAGCTCCCCAAGGATAGCTCGAGCAAGAGTTGTCTTCCCTGCTCCAACAGCACCAGCACAAATTGCAACAGAGCCTCGAGGAATTTGGAGATTAATATCTTGAAGAACGGTACGAGATGTCGACCGATATGCAAGGGCGACGTTACCAAAATGTATTGCGAATTCTGGTTCGTTGCTGCCATTTGTAGCCAGTGAAGGTTTAATGAGCTCAGTCTTGATGAGACGTCTGTCTTCATTCGGAGAGTTCAAAAGGTAAGACTGGATTCTCTCAAAGCTCGAGAAGGAAGCAATAGCACGCGGCACGATTGTCATGATCATGTTCGCTGGGTGAGTGACCATAGATAGAATGGCAACTGTCGTAAATGCGGTTTCCGTATCAAGTCGAGCCCCTCTCCACTCTTGAAGAGAAGCGTAGAGAACCACAGTCAAAACTGGCGCAAACAAGCCGAGAGCATTTGCTACAAACGTATAAGCGTAAAAATATCCCTTTGAACGATAGCATCAAGAAGACTCACCACTTACACCGTAAGCGAACATCATCCAACGGACGGACCCCGCCGCCTCCATTTCCCTTTTGCGTGTGTCCTGTATATGATTTTCGACAGCATCTTGTAAGCCTGTCATCTTGATAGTCTTGATTGAACCTAAGACGGAGCTCGTCACAGAGATACGGTTCTGAGTTGCTGCATTCCAACGACCTTGCCTGGATTTGAGGTTGTTGGCAACATATCGGCTCACTTGAGAACATACTGTGTATAATCAGCAAAGATGCGAATGAGACGATGCATATCGAAGCGATATTCTTACTAGCGATAATGCATAGAGGCAAGGGCCAGACCCATCCAACTTCTCTTGCCAACAAGATGACACCGATGACGACCTCAAGCACTTGAGCCCATGTCTCATGGAACATTTCAGCGGACTCCTCGAGAGCTCCGACGTCGTTGCTCATGAGAGTCACGATTTTCCCATCCTCGCTGCCTTCATCTCGACCGATTAAAGTTGTGCTATGAATCAGGCCCACAAGACAGCCGCGTATCATGACTTTGACCCGGTTTGAGCCATGTCTGTAGACCGCTGTGGATACCTAAAGAGTCAAGAGTTAAGAATTAAGTTGTCCTAACAAACATAGAGGGTCCGAGAAACCTACTGCAAGACCAACATATACGATGATAGCTGTAATGATGATCCAGTACCCAGTCACTGATGTATCTTCCGAGGTGGATGATTCCACGACATAACGAATTGCTTGTCTTATGAGTACAGGCTGTCCAAGACGGAAGATGGTGAGGAAGAGACGTGGTATTATCACAGCAGAGAATGGCTGTAGAAGACAATGCAACAGGACTCTGAGCAGTGTGCTTTTATTTTCAGGCTTCGCTGTCAGTGGTCTAATTAGCAACCGGAGTCATGACTACGTCTATTCGCAATAAACAAACCTCGTTGGTCCCAGGCGCGAAGAATATTTCGTCGTAACAACCCTGACGAGAGCTTCTGATCTGTCGATGGCAGCTGATGGCCTACTAGCACATTCTTGTACCCTTGGGCGAGGACAGGGTTCACCCACCAGAAGAACACCCTGCCGAGGAAACTAGTCGCTTCTTCAGGAGGAAGTTCTTTATACTTGTCAAGCAGGATCGACTTCGTTTCCTGACATTCGAGTACGCATGCAAACAGCTTTACCACAAGCTGCGTAAGAAGACTCGTAGTAAACGATGTTGAACCGGGTACGGTGAGAGACAGTGTGTGGCATATTGAAGATGCCAAAAGATAGCCAATAATCAAGTCCGAAGGCCGGACCGAACGCTGATGCTCCTGCCACGAAAGTAGACATAGTCCTAGAGACGCAACAGCTGAGACAGAGATGGCGACAAGGTCGAATACACTTCCACCAATTGGCCGAAAGAGCGGTAGTGTGATCTCTACAAGTGCGTAAATAGCAACGCTTGCCTTGGACACAATTAGACTCGAAAGACTAAGGCAGAGGTTTCGACTTGCGCAAGCGGACTCACACTCTTGATCTTTCCAATTCGACTAGGTCGGACCTTGACTGGCGCATGGTGCAATTGCCAAAGTCTCCATGGAATTGACAAAAGGAAAACTACACTGAGAAAAGAAGAGGCAATCGCTATACAATCTTCAGTTGCGAATGACGGATACAGCATTGTTGAAGTACAAAGAGAAACGAGAAAGAGGTCAGAGGTTGAACATGTCTCAACGTCTCGCCTGAGCTTGTTAGGCATATATAATCCTTTCTTCGACGTCTTAATCAGTATCTATGTCGTATGCAGCCATAGCGGCGCAGCTGCCACCATACCGCCGGAGATCCGCCGCATGTCCCTGTAATACGAGATGCTTTTGTCGAATCGGCCGGGGTTCAATGCACGTTCTCCAAGTTGACGCCGACGGATATCTCTTCATTGTGTATATGAAGAAGGTTTGATCAATCCCGATATCGACATGAGGTTGTCTGGAAAAGGCAGCTGGGTTTTGTAGGCAAGTGCTTCCAGCAATACCTAGTTGCGATCAATGTCGATTAGTGCTAGAGATCGACTTATATGAAACAAGAAGTAAAGTGATCTCACCTTCCAGATCCTATCCATACGATTGGTGTTCTTATGAACTAATCTTCAATATTGATACGTATTGTACAGCATGATTACACCTCACCTCGAATCTCAAGCCATCCGTTCGATGCTGTCCAGGTACAATCGAATGTCAGGCTCGGCATTTAGGGACTCTAGTCTAGATGGTACCTGAAATGCAGGGCCTGCCCCACCATCTTGGGCCCCGGCAGATCGGGCCAGTCCCGCGTTTTTAGCGTGTCCTTAGCGACCTGATGCACTTCCAGCCCTTTGTTAGGATGGTATTTCGCGCCAGTCTGTCCTCAACGACGATATCAGACATCCCTAGGGCATGATGCTGCACATGGAGAGGGTCAAACAGTAACCCACTTGTAGATCGCCATAAGGCGTTCGTGTAACCAGAACATGTCTCGCTTCAGTCCTGCCCTGGGGCTCACGCTTCTGGTCATCTGCTCGCTGCTGCTACCCGCGCTCGCTTACACAGTCCTGTCGGACAACAGTCTAAAAAAGATCCCTGGGGCAGGTCTCGACTTTGACATACATGACGGCGCATTGCTTGCCCCAATTTTGATACCACGGGTGCCAGATACGCCTGGGTCTCTGAAGGTTCAGCAGCACTTTGTTGACTTCTTCACGAAGACTTTGCCCCAATGGACGATAGAGTGGCACAACTCAACCTCTTTGACGCCTGCCACGGGAGACAAGCTAGTTAACTTTCGGAACCTCATATTTCGGCGCGATCCGCCCTGGGCGGCTGTTGGAGATGTCGGCCGCTTGACCCTCGTTGCCCATTATGACAGTCTTTATCGGCCAGAGGGCTTTATCGGAGCCACGGACAGCGCCGCGCCTTGCGCCTTGCTCATGCATATTGCGAGGAGCGTGGACGAGGCTTTATCCAAACGATGGGAGGAAATGGAGGCTGCAGGCGAGACCGGTGATGGCTTGGAGGAGGAAAAAGGCGTCCAGATTCTTCTGCTGGACGGCGAAGAAGCGTGGGTCTCGTGGACTGATACGGACTCGATCTACGGATCGCGTGCCCTGGCCCAGCATTGGGAGTCAGAATTGCATCCCGCCATGTCCATTCATAAGAGCCCTCTCGACTCAATCAGTCTTTTCGTTCTTCTGGATCTCTTGGGAGCAGAGAACCCGCATGTTCCTTCTTACTTCAAGTCAACCCACTGGGCATATCAGCATATTGCCAGTATCGAGGACCGGATGCGAAAGCTTAAGCTTTTAGAGACAAGACCAAAGACTCATTTCTTGACCGAGTCGGGAAAGTTGCCAACGCAATTTGGCCGGGGTTTTGTCTCGGACGACCATATCCCATTCATGGCTCGCGGCGTTAATATCCTCCATATCATCCCAACGCCGTTTCCGCGGACGTGGCACACGATGCAGGATGATGGCGAGCACCTTCACGGCCCAACCCTTCAGGACTGGGGTAAAATCATGACGGCATTCGTCGCTGAGTGGATGGACCTTGAAGGGCATCTTCCGACTCCACCAAAGGTGAAAGTGCATGGTGAAGAGAAGTCGGAACTATAGAGGTAGCATACACAATCGATCTGGATGGGCTGGCGGGCATTACCTGACCTTCAGGATTAGCACGGCCTCTCATCATGGCCACCGCAAAGGGGTCGTGATCGCATGCAATTCCATCCCGATCTCTTTGAATGAAAGAGCTGCTGGATTATGTATGCTGTCCAGGACTCACTTTGAGGATTCATTAAAGCAATGCTCTAGCAGCAAGAGCATGAGCCTAGATACACAGGTGGCACATTAGGAAACTAGGGTGGATCCTAAGATTTCAGCCACTGGGAATCATTTGCATGGATGACGTTAAATGTATATCTTGGTACAGGAGCCACATTGTATTGTGATCCTCGAATTGGCGGCATGCTTATGCGTGGGCAGCTATGTTAGATCCGATTCAAGGGGATCTGGTGTATCCACGCTTCCAAAGATAGACTGTTAGATATCCTACATGACTATTGATGCTAATTAATGCAAGTAAAAGGAAAATAATAAGATAATCGTGTCTTGGATGATAAACCTTGCCAATATTCAAGAGAAAAGGGGTGAAGTTGTAGGGCACTCGTGATTGAGCACGTGATTGACAACACCCCTGGATCACTAGCGCATTGAGACGCCTGACGCCACGTAACAAGCTCCAAGCTACAAGAGCTCTGGAACAAGTGTTCTTTGGAACCTCCCCTTCAGCCTCGCCTAACCTGAACCGCCTTCACGGGTTCATAGTGTTTCGCACAACACACAACAACACAAAATGCGGTTTTCAGGGTCGCTCGTTTCCACGCTTCTGCTGGCAGCAGCTGGCGCTGTTCAAGCAGCATCTTCCTGGGGATTTGATGAGGGAAGCATCTCTGTGACCTCTAAGAAGGGCCCTGATGGCATCAAGGAGAAGTAATTAACGGACCGCTCATAGCTCAATTGATGAAGTTGAATGCTAACCCAATTGAATAGACTGAGCCAAAAATCTCCCTTGTCGAAGGTCGTCACATTAGGAAGCCAGGATACCGTCACAATTAGCTTGACTGCGAAGGACAATGGCAAGGCGAAGCGACCACACCAGGCGTTCGTGCTTTTGAAGGACGAGGAGACTGGTTTGGAGGCACCCTTCCCTCTGACTGTCAAGGATGACGGAAAGGCGAAGGTTCAAATCGTATGTTTTGCATTATGCCATTCTGTGTCTGGTCAGATGTAGTTGACAAAGATGGGACAGTCTCAGAAGGATATCCCCGTGCAACTCCTCTCAACTCCGAAGCCTCTGAAGGCCACCGTCGTTCTCGCATCCTTCGGTTCAGCCCAAGGCCTCCTCAGCCCCGTGTTCGACATCGAGTTCAATCTCGACCCTAACGCGGCTGCGCCCGCCGCCGAGAAGCCCCTTCGCTACGGCAAGCTATCCGAGATCCACCATATCTTCCGGGGAGATCCTAAGAGCCCTCCCATGGTGGTGTCATTCTTCTTCACAGTCGTGGTCCTTGCGCCACTGCCATTGCTTCTTGGAGTGGTACGTACCTAAAGTTCTATCCAGTTGCGGGGAGCATGTACTAATTCATCTGGAACAGTGGTTTACGCTCGGCGCCAACGTCGATCATCTCTCGAAGGCGGTCTCAGCGGCTCCCCTGTCCTATGCCGCTTTCATCGGCTCCATCTTCGCGATGGAGTTCGCGTTCCTGCTATACTACAGCACCTGGAATCTGTTCCAGCTTCTCCCGGCGGTTGGTGTCCTCTCGACAATCATCGTCTTCAGCGGCAAGAATGCGTTGGGCGAGGTACAAAGCCGACGACTAGCTGGTGAGCGTTAAGACACGCGGAAGCATTGAAGTTCAGCGTCTCTTGATAACAATATGGCGGTTCTACATCTGTCTGAGAATAGATGGTCTCGATGTCAAGATGTGCGATATAGAATTTGTATCATAGAAAATGGCATGGCAGGCGATGGTTCACAAAATTAGGACAGTACGGTCGTGCGATCGTCTTGAATGAACAACATAAAAAGGTATATTCATGATCGAGGAAGTCCACTCGGGTGTGAAAAGTCTAGAAGTCTATGCTTAACGGTATCATAAAAAAACCAAACCCCTTTGCGCCAATCTAGTCATACAGAAATCATCAAAAGAGAAGAGCCGTCGCTGGAACGGCATTTAGTTCTTCCTGTCGCTCGTCAAGACCTCGACAGATCTCCGTTGCTGCCGTTGCTGGTAGTCGCCCGGCTCATATTGAGGCGGCTGATCAAGGAGATCATCTTCATCAAAGGACGCTCTCCTCGGCGCCTGCTGCTCCGGCACCGACCGGTACTGCTGCTGCGCGTAGCCCTGTTGCTGCTGAGGATAGCTCTGCTGGGGGTAGCCCTGCTGTTGCTGCGGCTGGACGTATCCGTTCTGCGAGTGGGTGTGATAGACGGCGACCGGGGGCGCGAGGCCCCACCGGGCTGCCTTCCGGGCGTGCTTCAGGGCGCGGCGCTCGTACTTGAGCTCGCGGCGGACCTCGCGGCGGGACATGAACACTGGGTCGACCGCACAGAGCCGGCAGGACCCGGGCATCTGGCAAGCACACGGAGCGCCATAGTAGGCGGGCTGGGGGCCGACAACAATGTGGTCGTGATGTCGGTCACGGCTGCCGCCGGTTGCGGCGCGGATGGCACCTCCGACGAGACCGAAGACAAGGCCTGCCATAGCTAAGTGGGATGTGTATGTATGTTTTGTTTGTGAGGTTGATGGGTTGAGAGGCTGGAAGCAGGAAGTGTGCTTAATAGTACGGAGTATTTGCTTCTAAATGGATATGAATGATGTTGATACCAATGATACTGATGACAATGATGAAAAAAAAGGAATCGAATCGATAGGATAGGAGACCATGAATACTTATACCTAAGACCTACCTGTACCGTACCTATCTCCCTCCCAAATTCTGCCAGAGACACCAGTGGGAGAGGCCGATCTCAAATGCTAGAGGCAGTGCTAAACGAGTTGCGAATGCGACGATTAACGTTAAGCTTCGGCCAGAGAATTCGATGCAGGAGCCGGGCACAGGCCAAGCTTTGCGGGGTGGCCGTGGGCCGCTAAGGATGCCCATTGGTCGTCGTACCGAATCCGACAGGCTTGCAGGGATGCTGGAGCGGGATGGATGGCGCAGACGTTCAACTGCGTAATCGTCTTTTTGGGCGTATCCGCTTATCTTTGGACTGGAAAGAGGGATATCCTGCGCATACCGGATAGCCTTCTATGGAAAGGGTCTTTAATGTGGTTATCGCTGTGCCTCGTTGATATTTCAAATGTCGGCTTGGAGCCTCCGACAAGGATCCTTGGTGTTGCTCTACCGTAGTAAACACCACGTGCTAGCATGTCAAAATTATGAGTGACGGTACTAAGACAATATTTACTTGGTGTCTCCTCAGAAGATGAGTTCTATCAAAAACTCAAAACTACTGCCGATGACTGCTATCAAACCCTTACACTTCAACATACACTCTGTCTAGTTCTGCGCTCTCAGCTACGTCGCCCGCAGTTAATCATCGGGAGTTTGCTTCCAATCTACGAGCAGGGCCGAATGTTTCCAGTGAAGAATGTACGCAATAGTGCAACTAGCGGAAATGATGGGCGTCCAATATCTCAAGGCTAGATAGTTTTGATCTCGTGAAAAAGGCGTTGCCATATACCCACCTAGGCACATTTTACATCTCTTGAAGAATGGCACAGCCTTAGGTTGAAGGGTGTATCACACTTGTAATATCTGATTGGGTGGGCTTGGTTGACAGTGTTGGGTTAGCTCAGCTTCCACCACACTGATTTAGCCCCAGCATAGAAGTAACCTCCAAGTCTCTCATCATGCACTTCCAGATGCACTTGTCGAACAAAATGGGTTTTTCCTACTTTGAAAAGTAGTCCAAAAATTCGAGAGTTATAATGAATAGCAATTGAGATGTTCATTCTGAATAATAACTGCATTTCTAATGAGAGCTGACCTCATGAGTGGTCCGCAGCGGGTGTCTTGTCCATACGCACGGGTACCGGTGGGGCACAAGCATTTGTTTACTTTCTCGAACACAGTCGCGTCCACCACACCTTCCCCAGCTTTCGTCGCTTCCTCCATACCACCATACACCATACACCATACACCTACACTTTCGCAGCACCAGCAGCTATAGCACACTGCATCGCACTCACCCTCGACTTATACTCAATTGGACATCTGCTACTGCATTCTTCATAGCTGTCCAACTTGGACAAGAAATTGGGCAGGAGTAACTCGATTGCTCCTTCCCCAAACCGCACATCGCGATCAATACCAACCTCCGATCCACTTGGTCCTTGAGGAGCCACAATGGACTCCAGGAGGAGCAACGACGAGAACCGTCGTCTGCACATCTCACGCCTCAAGCGTGAGATGGACCGCGCACGATACCAGCCATTTGGCTCTCCCCCTTCCTCTGCCGGCTCGCATGACACCGTCAGTACGACGGTCGGCTATTCATCTACATTCTCCTTCGAGCCCGAAGGCGAGTCGACTCCACGAAAGCTCGACGAGGATATTCTGCCGCGCCACCGACGTGCTGCTGGTAGAACTGGCCGATTTGGCCATTCAAAACCCGCGTATACCGTCGAGACCTCCAAGCTAGATCGCTTCTTCCCCGAGTGGTCGCGAAACATTGCCGTTCCGGACAACGGCACCAACAGAGGCAGAATCACCGATGCCCTCGAAGCCAAAGAAAACATTCCCCCAACAATCGGACAAAAGACACCAGAATCACACTATCATCGCGTCCCGCGAGATCGAGCAGGCATGCAGCCCACCGTCGAAAACGAGTCTGACTGCTCAGTGCTCTCACACACTCCTGCCAACGCGTTGTCCACGCGCCGCTCCTCTAGATTCAGTCGTCCTCAAGTTGGCTACTCATCGGGCTCACCACAAGGATCAAACAAGTCTGCTCTCGGCAAGCTTTCCTCCAACATTCGAGTTGCTCATGCCAAGGAAAGTGCAGCAGACAAGTACATGGCAGATCTAGCGTCGAAGCAACGTCATGTGGAAACAGCCATGACCGACGAGCCAAGACTGATGACACCTCCCCAGCAGTCCTCTCCACTAGTACTAAGATCAATGCATTCTAGTAATCATCAAATCATGAACATGAGCGGTATGACTGCGAATCAGACTGCCCGCTCATTCTTCATGCCGCATTTCAACCACCTTCACGACTTGGTCTCTGGCACGCTGAGGCTTAGCACCGGTGCACACGGAGCTCCCGTCTTTGTTAAGAATGGCAAAGCTCATATTCGTCCACAGGAGCCAATTGTAGAGCATGCTGATGTTCGGGCCATCGATCTTCCTGCCGAGGAGCAACAGATCTTCGTGTCTCTGGATAAGGTCCGAGAGGAGGTTGCAGCTCTCAAGGAGCACGATGAAATGCTCCAGAAAGAAGCCGAGAAACTTGAGCGAGAAGTCGATGACCTGCAGCTCGAGATTCAAGAACTGAGATCCCAGAAGTTGTCAGACAGTGCTATTGGCTCTGATTCTGATCAGGCTGCAAACGAGCGTCTCAATACTCAAATTCAGAGTAAGAACTTGGTTACAAATGTCTATCCTAGGATGATCGACTCTGACCGCAATCTAGAATCCCGAAATCTGCAGGAGCGCCTCGATGAAGCCTATCGTACCATCAAGGTCCATGAGCTTCATAATACTTCTCTATCCGCAGAACGCGATGCAGCACTGCAGAAGCTTGGCAATGCAATGGATGCATCTAAGAAGCTTCAGGCAGAGCTTGACTCGTTGAAAGACGAAGCCAATGTCATCAAAACCTACCGCCGCGAGAGGGAGACGCTGCAGCTTGAGAACAAGTCTTTGCTCTCTAACAACAATTCCCTTCGCGAGCAGCATGAGTTTCTCGCCACTGAGAATGTGGCTCTTCGTCAAGAGCAAGAGTCCATCGCGTCCGAGAACATGGCTCTCCGCCAGGAACAGGTGTCACTCTTATCGGAAACTAGAACTCTCCGTGCAACAAACAAGACACTGACAACCCAGCACGACTCTCTTCGTCAAAGCCACATTACGACACAGCAGGAGTTAGAGGATGCCCGAAAGGAAATAATTGACCTTCGCGACGAGCTGGCATCCATCCGCACTGAGCACCAAACTCTAATGGAACAGCATGCGATGGTGTCCCAAGACCATGGTGGCCTTGAGCGCAGCAACGAGCACTATTTCCTCGAGAACAAAAACTTGAAGTCCAAAATCAGTCTTCTTGAGCAGCGCAATCAAGCTCTTCAGCAGTCAATCGCCACAAGAGATCAGGTCATCGAATTGCTGCAGAATGATCCAACAAGAGCAACCAACATGACAGAGCAAAGCCTTCCTGAGCAAGTTCGGCCAGCTGCTCCGGAGGATACTGCTGAGTTGCCGCAAAATGATCCCACTCAGCAAACCGAAGCGATGGAGGAGGAACCACCTCAAGAAGATGATGCCGATAATGACTCGGCCGACGAAAATATGACCTCGGCTTTCTTCATCCCTGATATCACCATGGAGACTGAGAAAGAAACCACTGGAAATCCTACTGTCGCATCTACCAATGACGCCCGTCGAGTTGTGTTTGCTGAGGACACTATTGAAAGCCAGAAGACTGAACGTAATGGCACGAGGAACATGGGTCCTTCACTGTCTCAGCCAGCACGTCGCGTGTTCCACGACCTGTGTAAGCATAAGAGCAAGAACTGCAGCGTGTGCGCAAGACTCTCGACCGAAACTAAACATGTCACCTCGACCATAACATCTAAGACAACTACTCAAAGCAACCTCAAGACGGCTATGAAGTCGGGTCACAGTATCAGAGAATCAAGAAAGACGGTTGGCATAGTGCCGAGACCGATACCGGTCACTGACCGTATCCCACAGCCGACGGGCGAATATGAGGATGAGCCTACTATGAGGCCGGCCAAGTCGCCAGGCCACGCCCTTGCTATTGTCATTAAGGGGCTTGAGGACGAGATTCAGCATTTACAAGCTGCTGCAATGAGCGCACAGGCTCGTTACAACTCATTGGATAAGTCGGCCGGCCGTCGGGATCGGAAGGAGCTGGCCGGGGAAATCGTCGCCTTGCAGCATCAGTTGGAGATCAAGAGTGATCAAGTATACCGCCTGTACGATGTTCTAGAAGGTCAGAAGATGTCGGGTCAAGCGATGACGGAAGATGAGATTGAGGCCACGATTGTAACGATTGTTTCGGTCTAAGTGTTTAGGCAGCATCATGCAGCATTAATGTATTCATAGGACGGCGTTTGTTGGATTAGGATGGCAGGATAACTGGTTTGTTTTCACGGTAGCATGAGTTATGTATGGTTTACCGGCCTGGTCAGAGACCGACAAGGAATTGAAAGAAACTCGCGATGAGTTTGTTCTGCTTAGGAGGTCAACCTTGTTATGATATGCATGTCCATGCCACTCTTTGAGATCCTACATGATCTTGAATTCAAGCTATGTGACTGATGGTAATTACGTAGGTATGAAAGATTTCTAGAGCCCAGGAATTGCGGCTCGTTGATCTAAACGAATTTGTGGGGCACATCTGGTTAGCCCGATAATTTCGTACCTGACAAGGCTGGCTGGGAACCTTACCTCGCCAAACCACTGCTCTTCATCCCACCTTTACCAACAATCTCAGCCCACAACCATTCCTTGTGGAAGTTGTCTCTCGTTCCTATCAACCACGCCTAAAGCTCTAGCACAGTAGTCTCGAGCGCGACAACCTGCTGCTTTCTCCTCCGTATTCTCAGCAGGCAGAAAGCTAAGGAGAACACACACCCCACAACAACATGGCCGACCACGAGATGGACGTCGACGAGCCGGGCTCCCCGCCGCCGAACCAGCAGGGCAGCTCCAAGATCGGCGACATGCAGACGCAGGCCAAGGCGACGGCCGTGCGCTCCATCGAGGGCTGGATCATCGTCGTGACCAACGTGCACGAGGAGGCCGACGAGGAGGCGCTGCAGGACAAGTTTGGCGAGTTTGGCGAGATCAAGAACCTGCATCTCAACCTGGACCGGCGGAGCGGCTACGTGAAGGTACGTGCGCATGTCTATTCGATTTGCTCGGAAGTGGGACGCGGTATGGGCATTGAAGGCTGACGAGACTGCTAGGGTTACGCTCTGATCGAGTACCCTACGCTCGCTGAGGCGCGCGCCGCTATCGACGGCGCGAACGACACCAAGCTGCTCGACCAGACGGTCAAGGTCGACTTTGCTTTTGTGCGCCCACCACCCGGCAAGGGCAATCGGGGCGGTCAACGGGGCGGGCGCTCCGGCAGAGGGCGAAGCAGGAGCCGAAGTCCCGGCGCTGGGGCAAGGGATGACGATATCCAATGATCGCAGCTTGTTACTGGAGGCTGGACTGGGCGAGGGAGACGTTTATGGGCTATCCAAAACAGAAGAGTGACGGTCTTTTGCGTGCCGTGAATTTGATATGCTCTGCGGAAAGAGCAGTTGCAAAGCCGACATGTTCCCGAGAAGGGTTGAAAACGTGTCGGCATGCGATCTTTGAGACTGGCAGTATGTTCCTACTGATGATCGATCGATCTTTGTCTCCCACTCCCCAGCTGACAAGATGCTCTAGGTTATCTAAGAAGCACCGCAGTGGAGTATGTGCGGTCAATATCGGCTTCTGCACTGACTTGTGGTATATCAAGCCAGTCGGCCAATCTAAAATGCAGATGGGGAAAAAATAGGGATTCTACTGAGTAGTAGATGGAGTCCTTGAACTCGCATAGAGAATATACATGCATCCTTATGTCTTAGTGATCTCATATCCTTATCCCATTGACTACATGTGCTGCATATCGCAAACTTGTATCTGGGATAAAATGATGGTATCTATGTATTGAATGATCGCCTACTCAAAACACATTGTCATGTCCTCATTACATCCGAGAAAAGTCAAGATACTTCGTCGTTTCCATCACGCTCCTCGAGATTTCCAAGAAAGGCCTCAGTTCCCACCAGCGGTTTCGACCCCTGGGAATAGAAAGCAACCTAGGCTATGCCAGGAATAAAAGTACAACGCAATCAATGCTGTCGTATCGTCGTAACCCGTCTCGTCTACGTATCATATCATATCCCGCTTCGTACCAATTTGCTTTTCAATTTAATATTCTAGCCTTCAACCTCGTTACCTCGAACGGGTGCCGGCTTATTTCGGTTCAGGCTGAGCAGCCTCCTAATGCCACTCTCCTTCTTCTCTTCCATCTCAGGCTCCTCGTTAGTGTATTCATACCACAGCTTCGGCACCAGGAGGCGGTATGGCACGGTAATACCAGTAGGATCCTTCGCACTGACTTCCACATTGAGGCAGATATCAAGACCGCCTTCAATATTTACCTCGTACTCCTCAGCACGCTTCTTCTGCTTCGTCGACAGACCAGTAGGCGTGCGGTGGAACGGACGGGGCTGGAAGGACTCGGCAGACTCAGGTGCGGGTCCGCCGCTCGTAGCTGGCCTCGTGGGGTCAGTTCCCAGAATTCTCGCGGCCTTGTTCACGCTGGTGTTCCGCGGAGCGCGTGTTGTGAAGTACGAGTCATCTCCATCGGAGTACTCGTCGTTGAAACCACCGGAACCGCCCCGCAGATCAACGCCCTGAGGACGACGCGGAGGAGGATATGCAGGGGTCATGCGATCATCTTCGTCGCTGTCTCCCCACGTGCCGTTGATTCCACCATCGTCAGGGTGTGAATTATTTCTGCCATTACGCCGGAAGAGACTGAAATCGCCGCGTGTAAGGGACAATGTACGGGTGAGCATGCCAGGGCGTCCAGACTCAGAGCTGGAACGGCCACGCGAGAAAGAGCGGAACAGCCCTCCACCGCCACCACCACCGGAGACGGGTGGTCGGGAATCAATGACATCGGGGCGGTAGGCAGGTCCCCGGTTCCTCTTTGAGAGCCGCCGCATAACTTTGCCTGCTCCTCCAGGAGTTGTCACAGGGGAGTTGTCATATGCGGACAATTGAGGAGAGGATGGTGGCGTGTTGCCTGGGACATATTCGCGGATAGAGCACCAATTTCGGTGAGGCAACAGACGCTTGTTGTTTCGCGGCTTACCCTCGACACCGTGACCAAATATGGGCATCATGTCCTCGTCAGTATCTTTGTCAAAATGGTGGACCTTGTTCCGCTTGTTCAAGACGTCGGCCAAAAGATCTGAAGGTGGGGTGTTGACAATCGCTGAAGAAATAACATTAGGCATGTAACGGAAATCCTTATGTTTCGCTAGGCCAAGCTTGGGGTTCGAGAAAAACTGGCCGACTGCTGCAAGATGAACATCGCCACTAAACAGTATATTAGCGGTTGGTCATAGGTCATCTAGATAAAGCCCACATACCTAAGAATAGTGATGCGAACAGACTTGTCCGCAGCAAGGTCTTGCAAGTCCTCAAGCACGATACTTCGTTCATGTTTGTGATTCTTGGCAGTCCAATGGTCGTCCAAATCATCTAAGACTTCGACCCCACCATCGAACTTGTTCAGAACGTTTCCAAAAATGCCCGTCTTTGACAACGCTTTGATGGGGTCCATTAGACGTGATGTCAGGCTGCAAAATGTTAGTATGTGTACAAAGGTCAAGCTACCACCGGACTTACATGTTCTCCAACCATACTAGTCGCGGATACGCAATAGGAACTCCAAGAAGTACGAGCAAATGCTCTGTCTTGCCTTTCACGATCTCGGCATAAGCGCGATCCATTATCTTCTTCCATGTCTCATCCCTGATGACTTCGTCGCGTGTCCGCTCTGTTCGGCAGTCTACCGCTAGTAGAGCAACGCGTGACCCCAAAGACAAGAACACGCTGCGACTGAGCTCATGAATGTAGGGGCCAGGCTGTATCCCCAAGGTCCAGCTCGGCTCAGACTCCTCCGTTTCGTCGATAACGCTCTGGTGCTGAAACAACATGTAATACTTGAATGCAACGTTTCCAAGACCACGGAAGACGGGCGAGTGCATGAAGTGATGCGGGTACGAACCAAAACCATCGATGATGTCGTGGTCATCGTACATGTTGACCATTGGAATCTGGGAGTTGGCCAACCCAAACAAGCCTTGTGAGAACCACATGCAGTATCTCTCGAGGTAGAAGTTTTCAAGCTCATCCTGCATTGCAGCCGTGAACGGCGCATTGTGCTTATGCAAGGGATTCTTGATCATCAGCCACTCCTGGAACAATTTGGTTTGTCGCATGACAGCGTCACAGTAGAGTTGATCACCTCCGCCGATCATGACATGGAAAGGCTGGGTTTGGTGGTTGTTCAGGACATCACGCCAAAGCGGATCCGGGCCACTGAGCTCGTCCGGGTTGACGCTGAGGCTGAATCCGTTGCAGCTGTGGAACATAATGTTCATCGTCTGGCCTTTAGCTGGGACCCAGAAACCAGTTGCAGGCCCACGATTGATCCTATAGGCGATTCTTTGCTGTTTCTCTCGCAGTTCTACCTCGATGCTGAAACGCCAGAAAGTATAGCCTCGCTCGGTATGTAGACGGTAGCCTCTAACGTCCTTATACTTGCCAACTTTCTCGCCGTCTATAGGCGTGCGCTTCCTGCGGTACGCAAAGGAGCCCGGTACTTCGGAGGAGCCATCTGGCGGTGGTACATCAGGTGGACTGCGGCTCTTCTCGAATAGACCGTCATCCGTCTCATCTCGCGAAAGGTCCTTCATCTCCTCCAAGTGCTCCACAGGCCGAACGTAGAGGGTTTCTCCTTTACGGCCCAGCTTGGGATGGCCTGAGATCGGATCTACATATTCTGGTGGCAAACCTTGCCCATCCTGAATTTCTGTTGGCGGCGGTGGGAGAAGCTCTATCGGCTGCACGAAGAGCCGCAACGTCGGGGCGATATCGTACGACGAGTCCTTGTCTTGGGTTACAATCATGACTGTACCTCTCCAGATCTCCCTCTCAGCAACGGCTCCATTTCGAGCTGATCTAGTCGGAACGCGTTCATGACGGATACCGCAATATCTCAGCAAAGGGCCGCATTTCAAATAAAGAGCAGGCTTGAATCGTGTGGGGGCCTGGGTCTCATCATATTCACCATCGAATGCCTCGGCTTTTCTAGGTCTGGATGACATGCTCCCTCGCCGCTTCGACGGAGGTGTTTCCCACCAAGCCTGATCGTTGCCCGCGGCCGCGGCGGCTTGAGCCTCCTGGTCAAGATCTAGAAGAGATCCTGACAGGGTGCCTATCGTCCCTTTCTTCCACTCGTCCAAGTATCGCGGTGGGTTATACATCCCTTGACCTGGAGTGTACTTTTCCCGGCCATGATAGACATAGTCTGAGAAATGATGGTCTTCACTGTCAGAACTATGATCATCGTCGCTGTCAGCGCGCCTCTGTCGCCGACCATGTACAGCCGCAGCAGTTCCAGCTGCCACCGCTGCGCCAGCAACTGCAGCAGCAGGTGCTCTACTAGAGGAACCTCGTGTCGGCTCAGTAGGGAGGGAGAAGGATCTTGGGGGAACTTGTCCAGGGGGTGGAGCTCCCCTTTGACTTGGCGTCTTCACGAATTTCGTGTCTGCTACATGAATGGGAGATCCTTGCTCGACAGGGCCCCGAGCTCCTGAAGGGATTCGAGCTTCACGCGGAAGCGGAGGTGCGGGGACAGGCTGCACTTGTCGTGCTGATCTGGGGACGGTAGGATCGACCGGTGCATTTCTAGCGTCCTCGACCAGCCCATGTCGTGGCTGGACCACAGGATACTTCTTTTCTACTTCAGCTCTACGATTGAACCAGGGGTCTCCGGGAGGATCCTTCTTCAGCTTATTACTCCCGCTCCGGGTGAGGGACGTGCCTCCCGTGGGAGTAGTCGCCGTAGGAGAAGTTGGCGAGGCATCTCCGGAAGCATCTGGAAGTTTGATGTCATTCCTCGCCGCCCGTTCACGAAAGCTCAAGTTGCGCTGGGGCAGAGCAGATCCATGAGCTCCTGAAGGGACAGGAATTCGGGATTCGGGGTTGGGTCCCTTTGGTGACCTGCCAGCGGAGGAGCTATATCGTTTTCCTTCCTCTGGAGGGTTCTGCGACAAAGGACCTCTGTTCGCAGCGATAGCAGGCTGAGCTTGGATAGGATCCGGCAGAACCTGGGGCCGCCGTGTATCCTGATCGATCGAGGGTCTGCGTTCCTTGAAGCGCACCTGTGGCTGACTTGTGCCCCTATCTGGTTCGCGTGTTGCCCGGTCCCGCGAGCGTTGTTCAGCGGCTTCGACACGCGCTCGCTTCTCCTCCTTGGTGATGCTGTCGAGCGTCAGCTCAAGCTTCTGTAAGGGTGATCGGTCGATTGCGAACTTTCGACGATCGGACTGCGTCCCTAGCGACGCCCTCCTGTGATGCAGAGCTTGGTCACCTCCTGCGGGCAGTGATACCTGTTGTCCATTGGCTTGGGCCGCCCTGGGAGGAGCCGCATGGCGGCGGGAGGACGAGTTCCGATCGAGTGTGTTTTGAGCTCGGTCAAGAACAGGTAGGTTAGCCTGCTTATCTGGGGTCGGAGACTTGTAATAGTCCTCAGGATCCATGATGGCAGGTGGGCTTATTGGGTAGTCTTGTGGAGGTCCTCCAGCCTTGGAAAAGGTGTAGGGCAATCCACCATTGCCAAACGGATGTCGAAAGCTAGAAGGAGGAGCTTTGGGAACGTCTGGAGCTGCCGGTGGAGCTGCGGCTGTAGAGTATTCGTAGTCTTCTTCCCGGTTTCGACTCGCTCGGCGGCGGCGTTTCTCTGCGACCTCAGGCGGGTATTGCGCCTGTCCGTAAGGAAGGGTTGGAGGTCGAGGAGCAAGTCCCTGGCCGGCGAAGCTTGAGGCAGTCGGTGAGGCGTAAGGGCTCAGGGTAGAATCCGTGGCAGTGGTGTTGGCAGTCTGGATAGAGACTCTGTTTGCTTTTGTCGGAGGCTGGCCAGCTGGCTCGTCCAACGAGGCTCGGCGGGCAGCACCGGAGCTGTAATCGTCAGACGCCCTGCGAGCTTTTGCGTTACCTGAGAGCTTGGGGCCAGGAAGATTGCCCCAGTACGGTGTAGACATGGCAGACGAAGGAATGATTGGGCTGTGATGGGATGTTCTCAGCTCAACGCAGCATCAAGCGTCCATGACCTAATCTGTTAAGTGTCGCCAGCATGCAGGTGTCCCATAACAGCCAATGCGAACCCGACAACACATGCGAACAAGGCCTGCACGGCGGACATGCATGAAATATATGTATTGCAGTAGCAAAAAAGGATAATAAGATGCCCAAAGCCAGGGCAAGAGAGCTATGGGACTCGGTAGGGCAGGGTCAGAGAATTTGCGAAAATAGAGAGGCTGACCACGCCCCAAACCCATGTCCATGACCTTGACCATGACCGCATTGGAGAGCTGGATATTCCCTGTATGTCTTAGCTTCCTTTTTAACAGCACCACGGACGGAGGGCGGGAGCACTAGTGACGGAGCTTGGAGGTGCGACTTTTCATCTCTTGGCTCCAACTTCGCATTTCCTTGGTTGACTTGTCTTCCTTTTTTCCCTTCCCTCCGTTGCTTCTCGTATGCAAAGCTGCTCTCCAGCTCCGAGGCGTCTCTCCTCGCTTCATAGGTTTCGGTTCGATATGGGCCGTGCATGGGAAGCTCCCGACCGCCATTTGATACCTGGAGATCCCTGTTAGAATTTCGGCTGCCGCCGCCGCTAAACAATCAATTAGATCGTCCTGGCGCATGGCCTGGTACTGGGGACCGAGACACTCTAGGACCGTTCTGAATTTTTGAGTGAGTACAACTCGCGTAGAACCCCGCGCAGGCGAGGATGACCACCAAAAATGGCATTTTTGATTGAAGAGGAGGACCACAGACCAAGTCCTCTGCGTTCTGAGCTTTCACGGAGACTAGCTTCTCGGATACGAATAGCTGAGTTGGTGAAACAGCGCCGGGATGGCGACTGGCAGCCTGTGTTCCACGAGGTGCGGATGCGCTAAGCCAACCAGCCAGCCCACTGGGTCTGACTTGGGAAACATGGTGGCTGGTGAGCCGCCTCTTTAAGCCTGAGATTGAGCCATTGGTATGATCAGGCCTCAGGCATATCATGGTCAATGGTGTCTTGTCCTGTTTCAATGCCTGGGTATCCCAGAGTCAACTGCTCTCGATAGTGTGGCTAGGTTGGCGAAACGCTGGAACGAAAGCTACAACTAGCAGCAGGATTTTCGCGTGAGTTGCATTGTCAAGCAGCATGACGGGATCAAACAGGAGACCAAGTTTCCTGAAGCGCCAATTGCCATTATCTGCGACAAGGAAAACGAGACAGATAATTGTGTGTAGAACCTGGGTGTTGTATATGGAGGCGTGGCAGCGAAAGGAGCCTGTTCAGATAACAGAAGGCAGTCAATGGTTGTTACAGTAATAGGTAGCTGGCCATCCTGGGAAGGGGAGGTGGTAGCAGCGCTGGTGACATTCCCGCAAGATGCCTTCTGGCCCACAGCTGCTTTAGGAAGGAACACAATTCTTGAGAAGGATGCTGCGATGGATGCTAATACACGCAACTCCGGGAACACAACATTCTCACAGCGTGAAAGTCAGATTCGATATCCTATCAATTGCCCAAGCCAATCACTATCTTGAAGTGATCTTCTGTGGTACAGCACATAGGCAATCCGTTGGCTAGGTATGAAATGCATGTTAGGTGAAGTCGTATGCCATGTTTTCTCCCCAAATCACTCGTTCTGCTGGGGCTGCTGATTTCAGCATCTCTATCCCTCTGACAGAGACGTACGCAGTGGGCTAAATGAGCACTGCTGTTGCACTCAGGTTTGGCTTTCGAAGGAGACTTGAGTTGGAGACTTAGGAACTTGTGAGGCGGCGTTGTCTTTGCGTGTAGAGAATGTATCCGGAGCTGACTCGAGGTACCCCACATGCCGAAGGCTGTCAACCTTGAAGGTCCTTGATACGCCCCAGCTGCGGTGGCTGAATCGCAGGGCCACGCATTTGGGGGGATCCTTAGGCGGCGCCTAGGCCCCCTACTAAGCCTGCAGTCTAGGCAATGTGGCTACAAGAAACCTGAAGACGAATTGATACTGTCGCATGCATTCCCCGATCAATAGCAAGGCATCGTCGTTCCTTTTACCTCATCTCCCTCCTCGAAGCTACTGAAACTGTATTGTGGTGCTCTTTGACGACAAGCACAGAGCGCAAGGGGCTCGCTCAGTGGAGAACGTGCCTAGAAAGGGTGCTCTTGAAAGGGACCCCGCCGACAGAAGGGGACATCGCCAAGGGTAAGTTCGAAACCGAAACCCATATCCCTGGACGCTGTTTCCATCCCAAAATTGCCACTATTGAAACACTATCTTGAACACCGTCTCCTCGTCTGCTTCCTGGCTTCATCAAATAAAAGTCTACTCGCGTCGTACAAACACTTGCTCCTAGCGGAGCCTTCGGCCATTGCTTCTTCCCTTTCTCATGCTTGCGCGGCCCCTCGGACTTGAGGTCTAACTTGCCATTCAGCCCGCTAGGCTTCTTTGCTGGAGCTCACCTCGCAGACTTTGGCTCTTCGGATCGAATCGAATCGACTCGACTATTTCTTACGATCGAGTATACCTATGAGAACGAATTGCTAGCCACCACGCTTCCCGCGATCCCTCCCCTCGTCCTTCCTTCCCTCGACGGCTCCCGGTAGCGAGGATAGACCTCGGCTCCGGCTCCAGACGCAGAATGAAGGTCGCTCCGCTCGTGAGCTTGCTGAGCCTGGGTGCTCTTGCTGCTGCAGGAGCCCCTAAGGTCGTGCCTAGGGACTTCAGCGCCAGCGACTACTATGTGCTCCATCTCGAACCAGACACTTCACCCGACCAGGTTGCATTGAGGCTCGGCCTGACGCATGAAGGACAACTTGGAGAACTACAAGACCACCACATATTTGCCGCGACCAAGGCGGAACATGATGTCGTAAAACGAGAGCTGGTGGAGAGGCGGCGTCGGAAACGAGGACTGAATGACCGTGATATACTGGACGGCGTCTTATTATCTAAGAAACAGGAGCTGCGGGCACCATGGGAGAAGAGGATCATCCCTCCACCGCGTGCCGGCCCACAACCTCTGTCCAAGAGGCAAGGTGACGAGCCGGTGGACTGGGCGCTTCAAAAACAGCAGTCAGTTGCTCAAACACTTGGGATAAACGATCCCATCTTCAACGAGCAGTGGCATCTATTCAACGCGGTCCAGCCAGGGCACGATGTCAATGTGACAGACGTTTGGCTACAGGGCATCACTGGCAAGAATGCCACTGTTGCCATTGTGGACGATGGTCTGGATATGTACAGTAACGATCTGAAAGCCAACTACTACGCGCAGGGTTCGTATGACTTCAACGACAAGACAGACGAGCCCCGGCCGCGGTTGTCGGATGATCGCCACGGCACCCGTTGCGCCGGCGAGGTCTCAGCTGTCAAGAACGATGTCTGTGGTGTCGGTGTTGCGTACGACTCGAAGATTGCTGGTCTTCGTATTCTCAGCAAGCTCATCAGTGACGCTGATGAAGCAGTCGCAATGAACTACGATTTCCAGCACAATCAGATCTATTCTTGCTCATGGGGACCCCCCGATGATGGGCGGAGTATGGATGCTCCTGGTATCCTCATCCGTCGTGCGATGCTCAACGCCGTTCAGAACGGCCGAGGAGGACTAGGTTCCATCTACGTCTTCGCTAGTGGTAATGGAGCGGGTAACGACGACAACTGCAACTTCGACGGCTACACGAACAGCATTTACAGCATCACTGTCGGTGCTCTTGACAGGAAGGGCGAGCATCCATACTACAGCGAGGAATGCTCAGCCGGGTTAGTCGTTACCTATTCTAGCGGTGGTGGAGATGCAATCCACACCACCGATGTGGGTGAAAATCAGTGTTATAGCGGACATGGAGGCACCTCTGCCGCGGCACCTCTTGCTGCTGGTATCTTTGCGCTTGCGTTGCAGGTCAGACCAGATCTCTCTTGGAGAGATATGCAGTATCTTGCCATGCTTACAGCCGTCCCTATCAACCTTGATGACGGATCATGGCAGGATACTACTATCGGCAAGAAGTTCAGCCACACTTTTGGCTACGGCAAGATCGACAGTTACAGCCTCGTGGAGATGGCCAAGGATTGGAAGAGTGTCAAGCCACAGGCCTGGTTCTTCTCCCCGTGGATTCATGTCAACGAGGCAATTCCCCAGGGCGAGCAGGGACTTGCTGTCAGTTTCGACATCACGCCCGATATGTTGAAGGAAGCCAACCTCGAGCGCGTCGAGCATGTCACTGTGACCATGAACATTGCACACACCCGCAGGGGCGATATCAGCGTTGATTTGATCAGCCCAAACAAGGTCGTCAGTCACCTTTCCGTTCCTCGCAGAATGGACGCAGAAGCAGCTGGCTATGACGACTGGACGTTCATGAGTGTGGTCCATTGGTCAGTAGTAATCCCTTCAACTTATCTTGTGTAATTTTACTGACACGGATTATAGGGGTGAATCTGGTCTTGGCACATGGACCGTCATTGTGAAGGATACCAAGGTCAACGAGCACAATGGCACTTGGACTGACTGGCATCTGAAGCTTTGGGGCGAGTCCATTGATCCGGCTAAGGCAGTGGTCCTGCCCATGCCGACTGAGGAGGACGATGCAAACCATGCTATTACCTCGACTACGACTGTTGGTGCCACAACAACGACTTTGCCTCCAGTGGCAGGTACACAGTCTGAAGCACCGCTTGTCACGGCGTCTGATCACCCAGATCGTCCAACGAAGCCCAAGCCAACCAACAGCAACGGAGCCTCAGAGACCACCGGTGGAGAAGAGGAGGCCCAGAAGAGCGGCAGCTCATGGCTCCCAGGCTTCCTCCCAACATTCGGCGTGTCTCCCGCAACTCAGGCTTGGATCTACGGCTCCGTCGCTCTCATCGTCATCTTCTGTAGCGGTCTTGGCGTGTACCTATGGATGGCGCGCCGCAAGAGGCTCCGAAACAACCCGCGCGGCGAGTACGAGTTCGAGCTTCTCGACGAGGAAGAAGCCGAGGGCCTCGCCAGCGGTGAGAAGGGCGCCATTGGCAAGAAGGGCCGCAAGACCCGCGGCGGCGAGCTGTATGATGCCTTTGCCGGCGGCAGCGAGGACGAGGACGAGGAGTTTGACTCTGGGGACTACCGCGACCGGTCGGCGGAGCGCGCCGAGGACGGGCGGAACGAGAAGCGTGGTGTGCGGCGTCAGGATGATGGCGAGGATGACGAGGAGGATGAGCAACATCATGTTGTCGGGGGCGATGATAGCGATGAAGAGGACGAGGATGAGAGGAGAGGACTGCAGTCTGGGCGGCGTTAAAATGGGCGGTAACCTCATATTGTCTGCATTAGAAATTGTTCGATACGTATAACAAGCAAAGAGTCTCGAAACGAAGAGCGTTTGTCAGCTCTCAACTTGCATAAGTTCGGTATTCAGCATTGATCAGTCAGAAATGATATTTTGAGCGGCATCATAGCAAGGCAACATGTGTCCCGTCCGTAATGGAAAGTGACTAACTTGGCCCAAATAAGGCACGCAATGCCATTATGGATAGTAACTTCTAACCTAAGGTGCCCTCCCAGGTGAAAACGCCAATTCACGGTGCGATCTGCAGTAGAGATTGGTAAGAGATGATGCACCAACGCTGCCTTTCTATTGCATACGAGACAGCCGAAAGCATTCCCATCCCTGTCTTTCTCATGCCGCCAGGATGCCCTCCTTCTCCATCTCCTCAACGTACTTCTCCCAAATATCGATAACCCCGCCGTAGAAGTCAATGTGCGAATCAGCCAACCCGCCGAGCTGGCGCTTGAACTCGACACGCTTGATGCGCTCAAAGTCGCCGACCTCCTTGACGACCTCCTCGTCGAACATCTCGGACGTCTTGCGCGCGGTCTCGGCCTCGCGCGTCAGCTCGTCGACCCGCAGCTCCAGCTTGCGCTGCCGCTCGCGCCGCGACTGCTCGTGGTCCACGCCCCGCACATCCTCGATCTTGCTGCGGATGAAGCCGCCCGCCCCGGAGAGCGCCCCGCCGCCGCCGCTGCCGTAGTACCCCGACGCCAGCATGTCCCGCTCTGCTGTTGACTTGTTCAGGTACTCGGTCAGCTGCTCGTAGTCGAGCTGCTTCTGCTCCCGTGCTTTGAGGAGGTTCTTCAGCGCCCCTGAGTAGGCTGCCATGTCTCGCAAACTGCCGAGGTAGTCCTGATCGGTATGGTCCTTGAGCTTCTTCAGCCCGGCAGCCGTGTCCTCGACGCTCGCGGCAAAGGCATGCACTGCAGCCTCGACACCCGGTTCTAGAGTAATCAGCTTCTGGAACTGCTCCGCCAGGTCCTTCAGGTCGGCCTCAATGTCAGTCTCGCGGCGCGCCACTCTCGCAACCACCTTCTCCACATGGTTCAGGTCATCGTCCAGCTTGTCGCTCTTCTCCTTCACCTCGATGAACCGCCGGTCCGGCTTGTGCACCTTTGTGAACGCATTGATGAACGTGTCGGCAAAGTTGTCAAAGACGCCGCCCGCGCCCGCATCGGCGGAGCTAGCGGTCGACGCCCGGCTGCCCCGGCTGCGCATCGTGGCGTTCCAGTCCGGCGACTCGAGGAACGTGTGCAGGATCGGCGCCCTCCTCAGGATCGGGTGCAGTGCTATTCTGGCGAGGAAGCGCTGCAGCGAGTGCGCGCGGCGCTGTGTGAAGTCCGTCCCGAAGCGGTCGCCGCGGACGTACTCCATGCGCTGCTTGTCGGGCAGCGGCGGCACGGCGCATGCTGGGTAGTCTTTGGAGAGGGTCTTGGAGAGAAATACGAAGTCGGTGAACCGCCGGCGGACCTGTGTGATGCTTTTCTGAAAAGATGGGAAAGTGGACTATAGAAGATCGGGTTAACATTCAGAACAGTTCGAGTGGACCAGTCTGTCAACTTACGTTTGTGGTTACAAGATATGATACATATGCATCTTTGGTGCCGTCGTTCTCCTTGTGAGGCTCGGAGACGGTGCATTCCAGTATCTCCCCGCCGAGGCCCGGGTCCAGCCTGTCCATCTGGGCTTCTGCCTCGAGCCTCTCATTCGCGTCGGCCTCTGGCACCTCCGTGGAGGCGGATCCCGCGGCATCGCCATCGTCGCTATGCCACGAGACATTTGAAAAGTTGTTGTCCTGACCAATTACCGCCATGGTCAGCGGTCTGTTGGGATTTGCGAGTGTATGTCCGGGTAGTGTAGTGATGAAGGTGTGGTGAGGGAACTGGAGCTGGAGGCACTGAGCTGCGTTGACGTATGAGGGTGGTGGGACGTCAGGTAGCTTGGTTCCCCAGCCTGGGTTGGTAGGTTGTGGGCTGGTGGGGCCGGAACTCTTAACTGGCTGCCTTCGGTTTCGGCTAGCAACGTGTTAGTGTCTCAATCCGGCCTCTAGCTTTCCAAGTCATGTTAGAGCAAGGTAACAGAGACCCCTACAGAAGCCGCCTTTGAAACAACCAGCATCTGTAAATGGGTCGTTGGCTATCTTAGATGTGTTTGCATTCAAGATAACCGATATGTATTCATTATAATCAGATGCGATGTATGACCCAAGCCTTCCAGGTTCATTGTAGTTGGGTAATCACTTCACCAGGGCAACAGGGGATGAGCAATAAGCTAAGTCAAAAGTTGATTTTGGTCTATTGGGTTTCTGTGTCGAGATGTCTTCTATGCTCCCTGGATACCTTGATACCCCTTTGGTATGTGACCATTGTTTTGGGTACACCTTATCCCGCCATCCAAACTCCACAACATATGAGAATCAAGAGATGTAGTACAGGTTTTATGTCGCCTATTTCTCGCTGCTTTGTGCAGCACTGCTCTGCGCGACACGCTTATCCTCCTCCGCTCTCCTCACAGCATCGATGTGATCCTGCTCTGCATCGACTGCCTCGCTTACCTGAGCCTTCTCAACGCCGTTGGCCTCGGCGTTCAGTTGTCTCTCTTCCTTCTCATCGATGTCGTCCACATCTCTTGGCGTGGCAAACCCGCTCTCCTGGTTTTCGTTGTTCTGCTCGTTCTCCTCCTCAATCAGCTCTTGCTGCTCCTTGAGGACCTCCAGACGCTGCTTGTTCGTCGCTGCGCCCTCCGCATTGTGAATCTCGAGCTCGATCTCGTGGTACAGCTCCTCGGGGATCGACGACAAGACTCCCATCAGCGCATCAATCTGGCTCGTAGCCTCACCATCCGAGCTAGTCTGTCCGTACATGTAGGCGTTGCTCAACACGAGGAGGGTAGACGGCACACCCTCTTTGAGTCGGAGATCCAGCCAGGTCTGGAGATCCGTTCTTAATCTGGCAGGAGACACACCGTGACTCTTGATGCCACGGCTGGCGCAAGCAAGCTGTAGCTCACCAACAGTGAGGTTTTCGACGCCTTCATAGCTAATGGCTCGGTCGTCTCGCTTGATTTGCCTCATTCTGTGGCGGACCTGGTATCGCAGCATCATGTCGGTGCCGAATGTGTTGAGATTCATGTACCGGCACATTGACACCAACTGCGGTCTGGAGAGATTGTCCAGAGTAAGATCATCTTTGAAGATCTTGCAGACTTTGATGACATCCTCTGCCGTGGGCTTCTCCCCGGTAGCCCGGACTTTACGGAAGAAGTTCACGAACTCCTCCTTCTGAGCCGTAGCAGTCGTCACCGGCAACCCTGTCTCCTTTAGGGTCTGGCGAAGGAACGAGCTGACTTCTTTCCGGCTGGCCCGGAGCGTTGCCGACTTCTTATCCTTGGACTTCTGATCCTCGTATGTGCTGGGTAGAAGGTTGGGGAACAGCTTCAATGCGACGGGCAGGAGCAATTCGGCAAAAGGAACGATGACGAAGACCGAGAAGGGAACCAGCCGTCCAAGGTCCTGCACAGTGCGCTGCAACTGCCTGTTCTCTCTTCGGGTCAGCTCGTAGCCGGCAGCCATCTTGACCGCAAGCTTGGTACTGATCCTGACTTCGGTCGCAAGCAGCTTAGTTCCATCCCAATAGTGTTGCACCTCCTTCTTGATCTTTTGTCCGAGCGTCAATTTCTTCTCCTCTTTCTTGGTTTCCTTCTTGTCCAACTGCAAAGCCTCCTTTGCTGCTGCCAGCTCCGTCAGGTTTGCGTCCTCCGAGCCAGCTGCGGCGGCATCCTTCTGCGCATCCTTGGCTTCGGCCTCTTTGGGCGTCGCCGCTGCCTTTGCCGGTTGGTTCTCCTTCGGAAGAGGTTTCTTAGCCTGTTCCGCGTTGAATCCGGGGGGTGGGCCCTGAGGCGGACCGCTTGTATGGGTGTCCGTCGAAATGTTGCGAACGGGGATCAGTAAGGCTACGGCGGGGTTCTGAAATTGGAGGTTCCTCGCATTTCGACCGAGCTGGAGCGAAGCAGCTCGCATAGAAGATCTGGGGAGAGCACGGCCTGCGTGATCGTTTCTGTCAGTCCAGGATTCCCTAAACTCCGAGACGGACGATGCAGATGCAGGATGCTTACCAGAGCCCAGAAAAGGGTTGAGCACCACGGCTCGCCGGGCGACACTGGCGGAAGCGCTCATGATGATGAACACTTTGTAGAAAACCAAAAAGCCGTAGACCAAATGCGCTATACAAGGGATTAATACAAGCGAAGAAGTTGGCAAGAGAATACAACTGTAGAATAATGCGGGTTTGGATGCGTATTGTACAAACAAGGACGGACGGATCTAAAGGGAAAGAAGCGAAAGGCCCGAACGCAGGTGCCGGCTAGACCCCTTGCCAGGTTCACGTGATGCGTTTTGGGTAGAGGGGCCAGCTACGTAGGTACACCGTAAGGCAAAAGGCACTAGGCAGGTACCTACTCGACCTACTGATGTCAAGGTTTGGCCCTACGACGATCCGTTGCGTAGCAGCTCAAGGAGAGATCCGTCTCCGTCTTCCTTGACTCGCCGAGACAATGGGTAATGATGTGGAGGGCCCCCCTTTCTGAATCCGTACCTGTCGAGCCTGCCCGCCTGCCTTGCTGCTCTCCTGCTGTTCTACTATGTACTGGACAGGCGGGCGATGGCATGTGAGACCTACAGTTACCGTCTGCCGCCCTTTGACTAGCACGCATTCCAGGTACCAAACACTCAAATCCGGGGGCCCCTCGAAAATACAACCCAACGTGGTACAATCTGAGGGATCTCTGCTACCTACTGCATGGCGTCCAGAGCCAGCATTCTACTTGCATCTCAATGATGATTGATAACTTCCGGTCGGGGCCGAGAGTGACGAAAGTTGGAATGGTCAAGGTCGGACACGGTGATGTTTGGAGCCGACGCCGAGCCCAAATCCCCGTAGCCTCCCTCTCTCAGGGGAAAAGGGTGTGCTGTCAATCGTGCCCGGTAGGAAATGTACCTGTGAGATCCCCCGAACCATTCGGCTTACTGAGCCTCGATGCTGGCGACGCCAGTGGCCCAGTGCGCCACCGTGTTCCTTCAGTGGGGCTAATACTAATGGTGGAAGCTCAACAAACCCTCCAGGCAAGATTTTCTGGTGGGAGATCGGCTGTATCCTCACCAAAAGCATGTTAGTCATGTCGAGGATCTTGCACTCAATTGACTCGCATGTGTCAGCAAAGACTAACAGAAAGTCCCTGAATGTACTTGAGCCCCCAGTCAGCAGTAGAGGAGTGACCGCCAAGCCCGCACTGCTGCATCTTCCCAGTTCCCCGCAGCCTTTTAGGTTACTACGCAGTAGGTTCTTTGCGTGCTGCAGGCGGAGCACTCGGACTGCTCCTAATTTATGTCCGCTGGGCTGGGAATTGGTGCTGGTGTTGGTGCTGCTGATAAACGTCCTGCTTCCTGGTGGTTCGCGCCAAAGCCTCGGTATCACACACATCAGTGATCCTCACAGCACATCCTCGCTTCCCTTACAGCGGTTTCCCTAATCACATCTCCGGCTTCAGTCTCTCTTCGATATGGATATTGTATAAGTATTGCTTATCGCTCGTTGTCCCAGGATCCAACAGGATCCTCAGCCGCATCTTCCCCGCACTCTCCGGTCGTCGGGAATTGCGTCTTGGCCGGGCTTGCGCCCTGGGAGCTCACCAACAATTCGCCAGATAAAAGGCGCTCGCTAGGCCCACCTCGTCAACCTACGAAACTTACGACTTCTGTTGCCATCTGTATATAGAGTGTGCGCGTGTGTACTATGAGGCTCCGAAAGGCCGCTCGTGTCATTCTAGTCGGTGCGCCAGGCGTTGGGAAAGGAACCCAGTCAGAGAGACTGCTACAGCGCTTCCCCCAGCTGTCACATATCAGTTCCGGTGACCTGTTGCGCAACAACGTCAAGGAACGGACGCCTCTCGGTACGTCACTGGCGCTTTCTCCATGCGGACATGGTTGGGGCGCATCAAGGCTAACATCCAGCTCCAGGCATCAAGGTCGAGAGCACGCTGAAGGCCGGTGGGCTTGTCCCCGATAGTCTCATCATCCGCCTCATCGCCAATGAGCTCAATCAGCGAGGTTGGCTCTTCTCGAGCGCAACCCCCGGCGTCATGACGCTCAACTCCTCGAGCCTATCGGCAGAGGAGCAAGCGTTTGAAGACGAAGCCGAGCTGGCCACCTTTCTCTCCTCGCCAATGCAGAGCAAGAGGTACGTCGCGCCACAGCCATCCGACGACCCTGCCGCCTCGTTCGTTCTCGACGGCTTCCCCCGCACGGCAGCGCAAGCAGACCAGCTGGACACTCTCGTACCAATCAACCTCGCAGTGAACATCAAGACCCCGATCGACGTCATCCTGGAACGGATCTCAGGCCGCTGGGTGCACGAGGCTTCGGGGAGGGTGTACAACACGACCTTCAATGCGCCGAAGGTTCCTGGGGTCGACGATGTCACAGGGGAGCCCTTGGTGAGGAGATCCGATGACGGTGAAGAAATCTATCGCACAAGGTTCAAGAAGTTCCAAGAAACCAGCGAGCCTCTGCTCGACCATTACGCACGCCAGGGTGTGTTGTGGGAGGTCGAGGGCATGAGCAGCGACGAGATTAGCCCGAAGCTGTACAAGGAATTCGAAAGACGCTTTTGCGCATAAAAATCCGTATGGGATCTTGAATGTTTGTACGGGCCAACCGGGTGAATCGGGAACCAGCCGGATGGGTCCGAGGACGGCTTCATTACCTTGGGTTTCTTGGTGCACGGCGTTATGGGAGCCGATATATGGCCACTGCTGCGAACAGATGCAGAGGGTTGGGAGCTGGGATTCTTTCAGGTATATTTGTGTACGCTACAAAACCACGGCAGATTGCAAATTGAACTCCAAGTAATTACTAAGACTCAGAAACCCATCTTGTCTCTCTACGTGCATAAAGTCCGGAACCTGAGGTCAATGACAGCACTGTGTCCGAGGTCGAGTGATGGTGCAGCTTATCCATCATTGGAATCATTCTCCACCCAGCGCAGTCACTCGTCGTGGCCTGGTTATCAGCAGTGTTGCCAGATCGGCGACCGACGGCGACGCTGCCGAGTAGTACCTTTGCACGTGCCAGACAGCAAGCAAGAATACCCATATGCCAGGCGCCATCGCCATCGCCATCGCGGCGATGCCAAGACAGGCGTTCCCAGGACGGTGGTGCGAAAGCATGCTGCAGGCCCGGATTTAGGGGTCGATCGGCTTGCATGTGCGGCCGCAGCCCGCCCGCACCGCGCGTGCGCCTGATAGGCCAATGCTCACCTAGCCATCGAGCACGAGTCAAACTTTCCTCCGACAAGCCACTGCCGATATCAGAACAGGACTGCTCCCCCTTTAGCATGGCGAGAAGACCCGTGAACTGGCCGGAGCCAGACTGTAACAGCCTCGTGAGAGACCTTACACGGACGGCTCGAGTGGATCTCTTGCGGTGGAATCTTCCAGCCGTGGTGACGTCCATCATGCAAGATGCTCGGGGATAGAAAGCTATCTGCGGCGCTCAGGAGAGAGTTGCGATGTCTGTGTCTCAGGCTGAGTTGACGGGCCGTCGTGGATATCAACGATGGCGATGATGAGCTCTTCTTTTTCAAAGTATAAAAAGGGCTGTTCTCCTTTCCTAGGTTCGATGGTGATTCCAGAGTCAGCAGGAGCAAAAATTCAGCTCATAATACAATTATTTATCATCTTATTCAGACTTTAAGTCTATTGAGTCACTTACAAAATGCCCGGAAAATACGAAGCAGTTCACAGACATGAAGTCCTCCGGGGCCCCGGAGATGCCCGCCCAACAGGGATGCAGATTCTCCAGGACGAGGACCGACTGAGCGGTGACCTCAGCGACAAGATCGTGATCATCACAGGCTGCTCGTCCGGTCTTGGTGTGTCCACTGCGCAAGCGATGGCCGCAACCGGTGCCACCATCTACTGCACCGCCCGCGCTCTCGACCGTGCGAGAGAGGCTCTCGGCCCGCTGCTCGACAGCCCCAAGGTCCACCTCCTAGAGATGGATCTCGCCAGTCTGGCGAGCGTCAAGGCCTTCGCCGACGAGTTCAGAAGCCGTGAGAGCAAGCTCAACATCCTCATCAACAACGCAGGCGTCATGTTCATCCCGACGAACACCAAGACGGCGGACGGCTTCGAGATGCACATTGGCACGAACCACTTTGGGCACTTCTACCTGTTCGCTTTGCTGAAGGACCTGCTGCTGGCCGGGTCTACCCCCGAGTTCCAGAGTCGTGTTGTCAACTTGAGTTCATCAGGCCATCGATACTGCCCCGAGCAGTTTGACGACATCAACCTCGAGAAGAAATACGACATCATGGTAGCATATGGCTCGTCCAAGTCGGCCAACATCCACATGGCGAACCAGATCGAGCGCCTGTATGGCAGTCAGGGCATACATGGGTACAGTGTCATGCCGGGAGGTATCTACACACCTCTCCAGAAACATATTCAAGCAGAGATGGAAAGTGTGAGAGCGAGTAGCACATACTCTACTTGGATGAGGAGTCTGGAGCAGGGTTGTGCCACGACTGTATGGGCCGCCACGGCCCGCGAGCTCGAGGGCAAAGGCGGCGTGTATTGTGAGAACTGTGCTGTCGCTGTGGAGGCTCCTGAAGGTTTGGATGAGGCTGGCCTTGGGAGATTGCAGTATGGCTATGCTAAGTGGGCGTACAATCAGGAGATGGAGGAGAGACTGTGGAAGATGAGTTTGGAGGCGGTTGGACTAAAGGATGGATTCTGAAGTGTCTATTCAGTGAATCTAAGTCATTCATTTTATTCCTAGATCCTAATTATATCTCGACATATCAAATTAAATCTTCTCCAACGCAGTTCTACGTTGTAGTGCGTATCAGGCTGTTCAACTTTTGCTTCAGGGGTCGGCTTACCCTATCTCAAGATTGTATTCAGATTCCCACCGAGACAAGAAGCCTCAACCATGAGACACTATGACACGAGAGACTGAAAATTGCATTCACTTCCAAGCTTCTACATATAACGGGATCGTGATCTATAAGACCCCGCAATCCAAATCCAGGGTCCTCGCACGAGCTTGCCCGAGAAGAAAAGGAGGGGCAGAATACGGAGCACGACCTGCGATTCTGGAAAACCGGGCGCTGGGAGGGTTGTGGGGTTGGACAGCTCCAGTTGGTCTCATGCGCCGGTTGGTGGCTTTCCTAGCGGTCCCTAGCGAGGCATCGTCAGCCAACCCACGCTACAGGGCGCTGCTGCAGGGCCTGCAGAGTGCCCACCCGGTGGATCACACGCAACGACATGGGCCTCAGATGCCAAGCCTCCCCGCAGCTTGGAAAGGTCGACCACCAGGATTCGGGTATGACATCGCTCACCACATCCTCTCTGGCCTGGCGATCACCAGATCCTCCTTCTTCAGGCCCTCCAACACTCCAGCCTTCCTTCTAGAGAACCTCGTGGCCGGCCATGTCTGCATGTCTCACCGTCGCTGCTTGACATCTTCCTCCTCCTTGTGCATGTCCGCTTCTCATTACCTGCTTTTCATCGCATTGGGTTGTCTCTGCGTAGCATATTAGCGACTCCTAGACATTGTGTTTATCCAACCATTGGACGATGTGTTTTCGAGCTCTAGAGTTCTGCGTCTCCTCTCTTCCTTGAATCGGCTATATCTTCCCGGATCACCTCCCCCAAGCGTGTTACTGTAGGATTTCTAATTGGATCCGTCCAACTTGGTTATTTGGAAACGATTGATCTTGAACCAAGGTTCAGAGGAGGACCACATCAACCTTCGACTCTACCAAAGTGGACGAAAAGACATTATTCCGGCTCAATTGAGATCAAAGCATATCATCATGAAGATGAGGTCCTTCAGCCGTGTCCTCGTGATGGTGGGCGCGGCTGTCTCGACTACGGCGAGCTTTCTCCCATTCCAACCCGACCCTCAACGTATCGCAACTCGGTCGCCAGATCTTGAAGTATTTGATCAGACCCTTGATGCGCTGAGCGTCATGCAGGATGAGTTCTTCGCCCCTTGGATAGGGACGTGGCCAACATCCATAGATTGGACGGCCGCCGTCATGGGGACGCATGTCTCGGGTACTCTCACCTCACTGTCTCTGGGGCTGGAGCTCCTCCGTGGGGCTGAAGACTACTCAGCAAAGGAAAACTTGATAAGCCTGTACTTCTCTCAAGTGCTGAGCTACTATTTCGGTATGGACCATTTCGCCATCCGGAACGAGGCATACGATGACATCTTGTGGGTCGTCCTAGGCTGGCTTGAGACACTCCAGTTCATCGATCTTCACTCTGGGCTGCACTACCCGCCAGGATGGCCAAAGGCTGAGGGCATCTCAGAAATACTGAGGAATCAGACTTGGCACGGGAGCATCTGGATTCCCGCATTCTCTCACCGTTCGCGCGTGTTTTGGGATCTTGCAGAGAAAGGCTGGGACACCGACCTCTGCGACGGCGGAATGACCTGGAATCCGAGGCTGGAGCCTTACAAAAATGCCATCACAAACGAGCTGTACATAGCAGCATCGATATCAATGTACCTTTATTCCCCGGGGGATAATAACGGATCTCCATTTATACAGGACGATTTATCCTCTAGCTTAGATAACGGCGATGTCTTGCCCCCTCAGCCACCACACGACACCAGACATCTCATAGCTGCAGTGGACGGCTACGAATGGCTACTAAGGTCCGGCATGATGAACAGGCAGGGACTGTACATTGATGGTTTTCACATCTCCAACTGGCACAACCCATCACGTCCGAGAAAGGACTGTGATGTTCCCAACCGCATGGTCTACTCCTACAACCAAGGAGTTCTCTTGACCGGTCACATCGGTCTCTGGAAAGTCACCGGTGATCACAGGTTTCTCGCTGACGGTCACAGGTTGATACAGAATGTGATCAGAGCAACCGGATACGACTTGGAGAGGGACCGGCCCATCCATGAGGACCCTGACGACGGTCTACCAGAATGGCAAGGACTTGGCAGATTTGGCGTTCTTGAGGATCTATGCGACATCAAAGGTGACTGTTCACAAAACGGCCAGACCTTCAAGGGGATCTTCTTCCACCACCTCGCCACCTTCTGCGCGCCATTAGAGATTGCTAGCCGCAGGGCAGTGCCAACGATGCACAAGGACGCTTGCAAAGCGTACCTCGGTTGGCTCAGGCACAACGCTGCGGCAGCAGTGGCGACGCGGAACTCAGAGGGCAAGTTCGGCATGTGGTGGACCATAGGGCTCCTCAACATGACCTCTGTCCCGGAAGACGTGGACCGGGACGCCCGTCAAGATCCCGATGCTGTGGATTATCGCAATTACGGGGTGCCTAATGATGAGCTGTGGGTATTGACCGACGCAAACCTGCCGCCTTCGTCTGGGCCGGCTGAAGATTCCCCGTATGGAAGTGCTACAGACCAGGATTCACTGAATAGCAGAAAGAGGCGCTCTTCAAACCGCCCTTCGCCTCGCTTCTCACAGAGCAGTACAAAAGAGCAAGACCTTAATGATAGAGGCCGAGGTCGGACTGTCGAAACTCAGGGCAGTGGGTTGGCTCTTCTCCGAGCCCTTTGGGAAATATCTAGTCGGTAGAGACATTATATATGTTGACGTTCATGACAATTGCAGTGATTAAATGATTGGCTTGCAACTATGCGCTAGATTTTGTGCTTCAATTTGAAGTCAATGTGTAAGTATTGCATTGCACTAAACAATTGAAGGCGGTACTGTTCACTTTCCAATTAATTTAAAGCAGAGTCTTCATGACTAGATTGCCAGTGTTCAGCATTCGAATTTCAGCCCCCGCGCATCTTTTGACCGCTTGTGATAAGGCAGACAACAACTAACCATCCTGCCGGCTCGTCCCACCATTTCACTGCCTGTTTAATATCGAGCAATGACTCTTTACGATGAAAACCACTTCTGTACCGCTACAGGAGGCGATCTCCCTGCCATCAGTGAATAGAGATGACGCGCAACACATCAATATATTTGAAAGGTTCGATGTAAGCCGTTGTGAGTTGGACTGCGCAGCCTGGAGGGACAGGTTAGCCTTGCATCATCGACGGACATCAAACAGCACCGAGAAGCGCCAAAAATGGGCAGATAACAGGGCCCTTGGAAAAGTCTCGATCCGTGAACAGCGTCAGACGTTGAAGTCGGACACAGGAACACCCAATAGTGAGCTCAAGTTCAAGAGAAAGCCCTTCACTTTGAAAGATCTGGAGGCTTCTGGTGAACATGGTTGCGAAGGCTGCCAGTTTCAGGAGACATTGATCCAGAGCCTTGTTTCAACACGTCATAACCTGGATTGCAGAGAATGTGTATTTGAATGGAGCCGCTATAGCTTTCTTCTTAAAGTGAAAGACGCAAGGAACGGAGCGTCATTCTCGTTCCAACTCTTCTCGCCATCCGGTAGGTTCGTCTCAGTATCTGTATCTTGAAATGTACAACTTGAATGCATTTGAATAATCTGTGAATCAACACCGATTAACTTCCATTTAGGGTCTCCTACTGCCATACATGGTCTTCGGTCTGCAAACGTTCTTCTAGGTGATACATCGTCAGATGCGTCTTCTGTGTGGGCTGAAGATTCGATACGCAACTGTGGGACGTCCCATGCGCAGTGTGGCAGCGGCCGTGATGTTCCTCTTCCGAAACGATGTATTGATCTAGAGCCGCAACAAGGCGGCAACAATTCAGAAGTCAGACTTGCCGAAACTGATGGCATCGTCGGCACCTACGCATGCCTGTCCCACTGCTGGGGAAACAGCACGAAGCCACTCCAAACCACGACATCTAATTTCAACGACCATACGAATAGTATTTCAGTCTCGGCACTTCCCAAAACATTTCAAGATGCCGTGGTAATAACCAGACGACTAGGCTTGAGATACCTCTGGATCGACTCACTCTGCATCATTCAAAATAGTGTCCAAGACTGGCAGATAGAGTCTGGCAAAATGGCGGATATCTATCGTAACAGCTTTGTCACTATTGCTGCGGTTTCGTCTCCCGACTCTCATGGTGGATGCTTTTCGCCTGAGATAATGAGCGATGTGTGCCTTCGCTTGGAGGGGCACGACTTCGAGAGTTTTATTGCTGCCAGATACAGCGAAGGCGATGGGACAGTGTCTGACCTTGCGACTTTTGAGAAGGCCTTCCCTATCCTCACCAGAGCCTGGGTATACCAAGAGCGTATGCTTTCACGAAGGGTGCTGTCTTGCAACCATCGTGAGTTTCAGTTTGAGTGCCGAGAAGGGAATACTTGTGAATGTGGAAATCAGTATATGCCGCCTCATACAACTCCGAACACTGTGGCAAGTCTAGAGATGGTGCAAGCAAAGAGTCAGTATGCCGAACTTGAACAGTCGTTTGGGACGACGGATGGGTATACAATAAATCAGTTGTGTCAACACTGGCAAAAGACAGTCATGCAATACGCTAAACTGCGCCTGACCAAGGAGAGTGACACGCTACCGGCCTTGTCAGGGTGTGCTCAAGACTTTCATAGACTGGTAGGAGACAAGTACCTCGCAGGTCTCTGGCGATCAAGTTTTGCCCAAGGACTGTTATGGACTGTCAATGCTCCCGTCGACCAGCCTCGCCCAGACGTCTGGAGAGCCCCAAGCTGGACTTGGGCAAGTCTAAATACATCAAATGGAATCAAATATATCTTCCCCCAAGAGACGTGGGATCGGGATGCTTTTCAAAACAGGATCGAGGCTGCTGAATGCGTACCTGTTGGTGCCGACCAGACTGGGGGCATTGAGTCTGGTTATGTACGCATACGCGGGTCTCTCTGCCCAGTCTATTTGCGTCGAATCTGCCGCAAATGTAGGACGGCACGAAGCCGGGTGAAATACACCATCGAACACGATCGATGGCTTTTGACGCGGAGTCCAAGCATAACACCATGCCCTCGCGATGGAGTTAAATCCCTTCATCTCGGTGCGGCGACTCTAGTTTTCTTCCCAGACTTTGAGTATGACCGAAAAGACTTCGACTTTGTCGACAATGGTTCTCCTTGCAAGCATGCAAGTGTCTTCCTGCTTCATTTATACGACAGCAAGTCTCGCCGCTTAGCAGCTGTTACTGATTTCTTCCTCGTGCTCAGGAAGGCTATTAAATCACCTGGTGATTCGTTTGAGAGGGTTGGTATTGTCACTATCGAGTTCAGAAGTCGTAGGGAAAGGGAAATGTGGTTCAGAGAGGAGTATGACAAGATATGCGAGGGAAATAAACCCGTGACCATTGTTTGAGAAGCCGTATCGTGTTCTCACAGACGAAGTATCAGAGGTACAGCACATATCCGAGGGCTAAGCATCCAGCAACTTATGATGAGCCCATAACTCCTTACGCCGTGTGCACTTTTCCTGTCTGTATAGAAAACCCGAACCATTCGAAACTCATTTGTTATCCACATAGAGGAAAATCCTGTCCATTTCTGTCTCGCTTTTCCGGCCCCGTAGACTAATCGTCGCCGCCAGCACCAACGGTCTCGAGTTCCGTCCACTAGATTTTGTTCTCGGTGAGCATGTACAGGCTGACAAATCACTACGTTTTATAGTTGACAGTTGACTTACGTTTCCAACCAGTATTGCTGAGTCAACTGGCTGTCCACCGTTGGCCGCTGTCGTATCATTGATGCCTGTGGCGTTCTTCAAATAACAAAACTCGGTCGGGCTCTTGACTAAGGCGACGCCGACACATATGCCACCGCCAACTGCAATGTCGTCGCCTACCGCATCGCTATATCCGGCATTATACTCTGCGCAGAGGGTGATACACGTGAGCTGTGATGTCGATTGTGTCAGCCAATTACCGCTGGAAAGGGAACCCAAAAGAGGGTCGAAGCTCACCATATCCGGCGTATACATCACCATGATGTCACGCTGTCCCGGGTTTATGCCCTGACCGGCAGGATAGTACGTGTTGCAAAGCATCTGGAAACTCTGAGCAAACTCATTATTGAACCGTATCGACGTTCCTGAAGCATCATATGGTGTAACGACGCTACCGTTGTAAAATGGACACCAGGGATTGAGCGGTGCTGGTGATGGTACGCCCGGGACTGTCGTTGCGACGGGTGTTGGTGTGCTGCTGGTGTCACTGGGTGTAGTATTGGAACTGCTAGGAGACATATCTTGTTAGAGCTTCCCAAGTAATTTGCCATCTCAACTCAGTGAACGGTGTGGGCGACATACGACCTTTTCAAGCCAACCGCGAGTCCTACGGCCAAGCCGACAGCTACCAATGCTACAAGGATAGAGATGGCGACCCAGAAGACAACGACGCTGAGACCGAGAATGGTTTGTCGTATAGGACTATGATCCTCATGTTCTTCAACCTTGAATTTCTGCAGCGGCGTGTTATTGACCGGCCCACCTCGCAGATGTAGGCCTGATATTGGCGTGCTGCTCGATATCGATGCTGACGCAGGAAATGGAGATGAGTGCAGCGATTGCCTCGAGCTTCTCGATCCGGCTCTTTGAGGCAGCGAAGCATCCGGATGCGAGGCCGCCGCAAAGTGGAGAGTCTCGGTCCTGTTTAGCGGGTCTCCAAGCGGCGTAGCAGAGACGACTTCCGGCGATGTCGACGGCGCCACCTCCGGCTCATGATGAACTGCCTCCAATCCTGGCTGGACGAAAGACCTCAGGTCGGGAATAATGTACTTCTGATCGGATCTATCCATAATTGCCTCCTCCCGATCATTGTCTCTGTTTCCGCATTGAGATTGGTAATGATAGCATGCGGTGACACGATTAGGCGAATAAAGGAATTACCAAACAAAGTGCGTGTAAGAAGAAAATTGATCAAATTGCCGAAAGTATGAACACTGATTTCAAACCAGGCGCCAACTGCGCCTTGAAAAGGGTGGCATAATGTACATTTAGAATCAACGAAAGGAGTCGTATCTTACGTGGGGCGATCTCCGGAGTGAAAGATGGCGTACCAGCCTGCCATGCAGGTGCTATAATGTTCGTTGACATAATGCAGGGGCCATGGTCTGACAACCTTGGGACGCACCTTGAAATCTCCCACCATGCTTTAAGGTGGCATTGCATCCTGACAAGGCATTTACTCCTTTTCTCGGCAGTCTAAATGCTACATGGGTCAGAGTGGGATTGACACTACAAGAGTTTCTACCATTTTCGCTAATCTATGGGTGGAACTATGGTAAAGATCCATATCTTGTTTTAGGACTGATGGTCATTGATCGCTTCGGACAATTCTCAACAGTTACTCGCATCATACCTACTACTCACGAGCACTAGACCAACACGGCGAATTTACTCCTGGAACAACCGGGCCAAAGGAAGTCAAAGAGAATCCGCGTCTCACCAGAGATCCGGTACACCAATCCCAGTCCCCCGGTAGAATTGATTAAGTTGCACAGCCTCTTGGCTTCAAGAAGGCGGGATTAACGGAAGCGACAGCCGCCATCTCGGCCGTTCTTCTGGAATTCCGCAACTGTTGGTCAGCAAATCGGAAACATTAGCGCATCTATATAAAATCTTAATATAAGTCTTTGTCTGCGATATTCTGTTTGATGTAAAAACTGAAGATGTCGCTGTCAGTCCCTTACCGGTCGGTGTCAAGCTTACTCTCGCTCTGTCATAAACTGCGAATGTCAGCCACTCAAAATGTTAATAAGTCTGGCGAATATGTAATAGCGCACTGCCATATACCATATCAAGAGCATTGTAATTGACTGCTGATGCATCATTGGTTTGATACATATTCTTCATTTCCCAGAACATTTTCAGGAGCTAGTGTCTTACAACTAGTGACCGGATACTCCTTATTGACAGAAAACATGGCTCAGTCAACTATCAAACTTGCCAGATACAGACGTTCTCGCTTAATTGTCTTAAATAACTTACATCTGGCAAGCTAAGGTGAGGCGATGAAGATATTCTGAAGAGACTACTTGCCGGCAGAATAACCTGGTCTATATGTTTGATACAGACCTCGATCCCCTAACTCAATATTGTTTTGCGCAATAATACATCAAGCCCTATTACCCTGGCATACGCGCTGAGTGCCTTGGAACTTGCTAATTCGTCATCTTGTTTCCTTCAACTTGGAAATGAGAATGCTTCACTCTTCCTATGGTGGGGAAGTTGCGGGTTAACTTTGCACTTTTACGTGTAAGAGATGCAACAGCAAAGATGGCACGAAGCATACACTATGAAAGTGATATTGTACCGAGACGTAGATCTAATTTTATACAGACATGTGTACGAACGATACCTAAGCGAAGTTCAGACCGACGCTTATGATAGAGCGCGACAGAGAGTTAAAGCTATCCACTGAGACCACCGTGTGCGAACTCCGAGAAATGTAGCAAACATATCCACCTCGTACTCGACTCCCCCTCAGTCATTCCACTCATCGCCATTCCTCACTCCACTCGATTCTCCATTGCCGTTGCCGTGTGTAGACGGCAAGGTGCCATCCTCGTCCTCGTCGTCCAACACTCGAGCCAGCTCGTCGGGATCTTTCATCTTGGCATCCGGGTCCACCAGCCCGTCAGTGATGCCGTGCTCCTCGTCGTCCTCCTCCGAGAATGCCTGGTTGTGGTCGAGCACGCCATCGTCCGCGCTGACAGAGATGCCTCTCTTGCCCCACTTGGACCGTGTCGCCCGTGCGCCGGCACTGCCATTACGGCCACCTCCCAGCGCCGGTGCGCTCTCTTCGTCCTCGGGCTCCTCCGAATCGACGTGCCTACCGAAGATTCGGTTCAGTAGCCAGCCCCGGCGCAAGTCGTCGGCGTCCACAACCCCTCCGTTGCGGAGCTTGACGCGCTGGCGAGTGTAGTACACCCAGGCGAAGTCGACGTATAGTGCAGTCTGTATGATACCGAAAATGACAGAAATCGTGTTGGGGTGGTCGCCATGTAGCTTGCGCCATATCCAGTTCAACAGGTACAGTGCGCGATAGGAGCCGAGGGCGAGCAGGTAGAACGAGTCGATGACGGTGGGCACAGTCGTCTGGCGAAGGAGGAGGAGCTGCGGGAGAACGCAGACAGACTCAAGGATCTGGGAGAAATCCCACAGCCACTGCCAGCAATTAGTTTTGATAGGTCAATTGAACCGGGAGCGTCATACATAGAACAAGCTGTAATTCCCTTTGTCGAAAATCAACATGGCGAACGGTGAGATGAGCAGTGAGGCGCCGAGGACCCCAGCACCCATCTTCCATGCAAGCTCCTTTTCTCGGGTTCTCGGGTATAGCCATCGCATAATCCCTATGGTGTAGAAGGAAGAGAGGATGTAGAATATCTTGAAGAACAGGTTGTATTTAGACCTTTCTTGGGCGATGTCTGTGTATCTGGTGCAGAACACGGCCGCATAGAGGACTTGGGTGATCAAGGAGACACCTAGAAGATGGAAAATCAGTATCCACATGAATAGTACTAAGTCGCAATTAATACGAACCTTCAGCGCTCCTGTTACGGTGTATTGATATGATCAAGATGACCTTCGATGCGATGTGGGAGGCATCAGCCAAAAACCTGAAGATCTAGACAGCAATTAGCTACAAATCCTGCTATGCGAGAGTCGACCATCTCTCACATTCCATGCGCTCATCTTGGCGAGTGCAAGAACGGTACCGCTAGGAAGTTATCGATCCACCTCGGAGCTGGTGATGATGCGTTTGTTTGTCCGATCTAGTTCTTTCGCATGCTAGATACGGCTATGTCGAGGACGGCCGACAAGGAAGGGAGGTCACTCGTGGTATTGTTCGATGCAGAAGGGTCCCTCTAGCTACAATAACTACTGGCCATCGGTGGGACGTGATATTTGATGTAGGCGGAGCTCTTTGGTCGATGCCTAGGAGCTTGCGTGGCCGCAGTTGTTAGGTGGAGGTGGTCAGCCTCGTATGGGCTGGGGGGTTCAGCCGCCTGTCTTATTTAGTGAGAGCTTGGTGGAACGTGCCGCCGAAGCATCGCCCCACGTGGAGTTGGTTGGAAAATGCACGGGCCATCTAGTCCAATTACCCCAGATGATTCGCTAGCCCGAACTAGCATCCCCTATCCTCGTTAAGACCATTGATTCAGTGGTTCCAGCTCAAACCAGATGACAAAATGACGGATTAATTATCCTCAACGATGACTGAAGGTGTGAAGACTGCTGATTGCCAGTTGATAAAATCACACATAGTCGCACAATGGGTAAGTCAAGTCAATGACGAGTCTTTCATGCTTTCCACTATTACCTCGACAGCACCAAGGCTCTCTGGGATGCCAGAAGTGAGTGATCCCGCCCGTGATATATTTCGGGGAAGTGGACTCTCGGGTGAATTGATCAGATCTTCTATTTTTGAGCCTCATGATTAGACGTGTTCACTGGCAAGCTATGATGCGATCTACAACTACCAATATGCAGGGTGGATCTTCTTTGAGTCTCTCTGCCTGTAAATGCTTTCTTACTCGCATTGGCACTTGCCTATCCCTGAGTGCCCATAGACTGGTGGAGAAAAGATAGGGCGTACAAAACACCAACTGGACTCCTTAGTTGCACGTGTCATTGATACTTCCAATGACAATATTACCTTGGGGCATGAGTTGTTGAAGTATTTGCTGAAGCAACTGGAAAGGTCGAACAGAGTACGGAAAGAAACCATGACACAAGCAACTGAAATTTCCAAGGCTGTGAATACTTCAACACTGGTTCTAAGAACACGCTTGACAGTTCCATACACCTACCGTCTTGAAACTTCTGCCACTTACGGGCCAATTTTGCCCTATGATTTATATATGTCACCAGTGTCAGCAAATCTGAAGACCGATGAAGTTTTGGATGATGATTAATTAAATGAATATGTGTTGGAGATCCTAGAGCCTGAATCTCTTCCGGGTAGGACTTCGGCGTTACCGCAAAGAGGCAAACCGGTTCTTAAGACTACGGTTAGCGGGCAATGATAATAGAGCGTAGCCTGCGTGAAGTGGAGGCGCATAGACGAGGAGCCTCAGGGACCATTGACGCCAGGTAGATAAATAGACCATGCTGTGTTCATAAAAGAGGGTAGAGATTGCTCATGTTCAAACCTAGATTCTCACTGATTGAAACAGTCTGGAGTCTGTGGATTGAAACGAACGCGATAGATTTCCATTTCACTATGCTCAAAATTTGTCGAGGGTATCAAACGATTCTTTTCATCCGGCTCGGGCCGCGAAATATGCTTGAAGAGCAGCCTGCCAACGCCATAAAATGCCACCACATGCTATTGTTCTCCTCCGCCGCCAAATCGTGACCAATCTCTCGTTTGTAACGCTATTCGTCTTCGCCGTTCCATTTACTCTGCTTGTCTGGCGATGCTTTAGTGTGGGTATGACTGAAGTTTGTGTGCTCTGCACCCCTGAACTCGTTCCCACCAAGCTAGAAGTCAGAGCTGCCTCTTACTTGCATAATTATGACTGCGAAACTCCTTGCTCAAATTTCAAGTCAACTGGCTCATCCTTCTTGACGTCTCCGCCATCATCGTTTGCGATCGCTCTCAAGGGAATCAGCTTGTTCGTCGGTATCCACTCCATTCTTTCGTCCACGAACACATGACTATGTTCTCATTAGATCGGATTGTTTGGGCTGCTCTTTATGAAATTATACATACTTCTCGTACTCTCTCACAAGCAGAGAGTCTCTTCCGTATTCGTTTGCCAGAACGTCTCTAAAGTTAAAGGGTATCCGTGCTGCTGTCCCTTCGAAGAAAGTCTTTCGCAGGGGGAAAATATCGGTATCCTAGATTGCGCTTGGTCAGAGCTGGAGTTCGGTATCGACTGATGAATCCTACCTTATATTCATGACCGTCCTTACATACGAGCATGTTCGGGCCTCTTGGGTGATCCACATCGTATCGAACTGCAGTGATGTCGATGAAGAGACCGCTCTCGGTGTCGATCCATCTTGCATCAATATGGTTCATGGTGTCCTGCTTGTCGCGGTTATTGTAGTGAGGGTTGATTTCGAGCATGTAGTCGCGCCCATCGGTGATCCTAGGGGTTTTGTAGTGGAAGACAGACATGTTGTGATAGGCGGCGAGATAGTGCATGCTTGTCTCGGACACCTGAACGTCAATGTCCGAGTCCCATGGCATAATCTGTAGTTTGTCAGAGTCACCATAGACCAGAATAAGTGACTAGATTGATGAACCTTTTTATTCCACCACCATCCCAATAGAGTGCCATGCATTAGCCATGTCTGGACGCCGATGTCTGACATTGTCGCCAAATAGGTCTGGAGGAGATTCTTCAAGGCTTCCTTCTGCTCGTCTTCTCCGAGAACATGGTCGGCAAATCTAAATGCAATGTTAGTGCTGTTCGCAGGAGGAAGGAACGTGGATAGTTGGGAAGTGAACATACCGTCCGTCATAGTGAGGATGGAAGCTTAATTCGAAATAATTAGTACACTATGTAACAACGTCGACCCAGGGCTAGACAACTCACGTAGCCTCATCTGTATACAACGAATCGTCAGCCATTGGATGTCTCAAGAATTTCGCACAGAAGATTTCGCAAGAACGATGTAGCAACGAGGTGGGAACATAATGGTCTCTTCCAACATTGTGCGACCTGAATACCTGATGAACTACCGCAAGAAATGCTGTACTTACGGAAATATTTCTCTGGGGGGTCGCCGGCTCGACCACTGTGGTCCTTGAGGAGCTTTTTCCTGACAGAGAGGAAGTCTGCATCTCGCCGTTGTATCGTTCCCGCGACGGCCGTAGACAGGAGAGTAGATAGGTAGAGTACGATATGGAGGCGCATTGTGACTAAGGGCGGCTTTCAGGCAGTTCGCTGGGACTGAACTGGGTGTAAGCTAGCCAGGACTGTAGGAATGTCGATATAGGGTGTTGACTATGTAAGGAGAGGTCACATTGATAGGAAAGTGAAGAGGATAGCCTCTCAAGACTCTTGATGTGTCATTGGAATGGCTGCTCGGCGATGAGAAGAAAGTCAAGAGGAATAGTCGAGAATACACGAGGAAGAAGACGAAAGGTGGTTTGAGCAGATTGTCAAGAAAGCGGCTCCAGAGTCGTGAATATAGCTTTGTCTTACTCGCTAGGGAGGTACACGACGTAAGGCAGGTGGGTAGGGGCAAACATGAGGAAACCGCAACGGCGTGATTGCGCCTTCCTGCTGTTGTTTAAGAACTAGACTAAGTAGGTACTCTTTCCTTCCCCAGAGAACTTGGGAGTTGGAAGGGGCAGATCCTGTCTCATTCGGACCTAATCTATCTGACCTTGCAGGGCTCGCCATACGTAGAGACCCTGCCACGCTTCAAGGTATGCAGAGAGGCACATGCCAACATGCTTAAAGGCGCAATGATATGATAGCGCTATTGCGACGAGGGACGGGAGAGATGCACCCCACATAGCACTGATATTGACCTCCCACTCGTCAGGCATTGCAATCGATGCACTTACAGTATTACAGTCTGTGCTGTAAATGAGCTGTCGTGTGCTTTCCAGGTCCCTGGACTCTCAATACCGGGGCCGGGGCCCGGGACGCGCAGCCCTTTGGAGAGGCCAAGTGGACCACGGAGAACTGGCACGCGCCCAACTCCAAGGCTAGAGCACGGGTGGACCATGTTAGTGAGCGGCAGAGGAGACCATTTGTACGGTCTTGTCTGGTGTAAGGTGGTTTGACACCATCTCCGAACAACAAAGGCGGCATCTAAGGTATAGCCCGCGCCCGTTGTTAGCCTCTTCCGTTACAGAAGCCTCCCACCTTCCGGCTCGTCGTGCAAGCTGCAGCTTTTTCGATGCATATCAGCGACTGGCTTGGCAGTTCCTCGGCCAAAGCTGCCCTACCGAGCCTACCTGCAGTGGCAGTGCATGAAGGGATCTATCATCTCAGAGCAGAGCAGAGCAGCGGAGGTCAATTCCCCTCCAGAGCCAACGGGAAAAGCCGCAGCATGGGGTGCTCAGGGCCCCTTGCGCTTGGCCATGGTGCGCCGGTGCAAGTTTTCTTGCAGTGCTGCCGCGTCATCAGCACCAGACCAGCAGGCCTGTCTTCCGGGACTAAAACGGCAATTGAGACCGTGAGTGCCGTAGCAGACTCTTAGTACAGCACTTCGAACGACGAAAAAACCCTCGACATGTTCGACTCAGAGCCGCTCGAGCCGTCTCGGTGTCAGTTGTCACGAGTCAGAAACGGAGTCCTGGTAGCCCTTGTCTCGCCTTGCCGTCTTTTGCTGATCTGTCCTCTGGTGTTCGTGGTGCCGCCCTCGGTTGCGTTCCTTGCAGCAGCACACTGAGACAGTTGGGATTGCGGATGGCAGCCTCTTTCACCTTTCTCTTCTTCTGGATTGGATGCCAAGAAGAGACACAAATTTTGACGTCAGGCAGCTCGCGTGGTTCCCAACCGTCTTGTGCAATCACGGGCCTGGCTCTCCTCGTTTTGTGGCTGATATGCCGCTGCTGTCCTCACGGAGAACCCCCTCGTCAGGTCCCCTATTCTTTCCAGAACCTTGCCGATGTCACAGCGTCAATGCAACCCATGTTGATTACCGTTTGAGTAGCATCGTGGCTCTCTACCGTAGATTAGCTAGCCAAGCCATGCATGCTTCGGTGGTATTCTCATCTAGCTAAGCATTTCGCTTCCCACCAGGGAGATCTGTGTTTCTTTGTTACGAAATTGTCCGCGCAAGAAGGTGTTTCACGCCATTTTGTGACGGCGCTGCTGGATGTGTGGAATGGCCTCGCCTAGCGCTAAGACGCGGAATGGGGGGGCTTCCACTCTCGAAAGACATTCGTCTTTCTTTTCAACGCCATTCAATGCCTCGCTTACCTACCTAGATACGATGGAAGGCTGTCCACTTTGCCGCTGGCATTTGACATGTCGCTCGTTTCCTTTTTCAACGTCATGGGCCTCTCGAGAGTATGCTGTTACTTGGCGAGCTTGATTGTGAGGTTGCTCCCGATATACCTCACTTGTAATCGAAAGAACACCGAGTACTTTCGCTCTATAGTGATCTCGATGTGATGCCCAATAGTCTCACAGTTCAAGATCCGTTTTATGTGAAGCACGGGCATTGAATTCACTACTATGGGCGAGAGATTACATGGAGCCAAAGACCGATCCCTTTTGAGGTTTCTAATACGCGAGACGTGAGGATCTCGTCCACCTTGAGCAGACACTCGTTTTCTCTCGATCTATAGAAATGTTTCTCAAGTTTGATTCTTGCGGAAGAAAGCTAAACACCTTGAGCATGAAATCTCATCTCAATCCTTGTGATACTCGACAGTTGTAGCTTGGACACGATTACCGAAAGCGAAAACACCGAACGCAAATACATGGTGCTCCATCCGATTCATATGATCTAATGACATCGCCAAGTATAATATCCCATACATCTTCTTAGAGTAACATTAGTTTGCCTAGGGTATCACCCTCCTCTGCAAAGTACCTTTGTTATCAAAGTTGGTCAAACTATAATAATAAACATATCTTCGAGGTCTCGTATCGTGGCCCTCGTCATGTGCAACAGTTCCTGGACCCTTTTCAAGAAATAATGTGCATCCTTGCGAAGGATCACAAGGCATTAATGTGCCCTTGTGGGAGGTGATGGCGGGGTGTTTAGCGCTACCCCGGCTACCACCTAGTAGGACCACCTGCTATAACAGAAAGCTTATCGGCACTGGCCAACTATGTATCAGCGATAAGAGCTCAATAATCGGCAAACTGCACCTTCCTTAACGCGTCGCAAGGCGCGTAACGCCGTGATGATACCTGTCTAGATCGTCGTCGAAGAGAGCACGAGTCCCATCTTTTGATTCAGACTTGAGGGATTAACGAAAAATGGAGACTAGTATGGTATTTTGTCAAATTGTGAGATGGCTCATCTGCTAATTCTCTTCAGGTCGCGAGGCGCGTATGCAGCAGCGCATGCGAGGAGCGCAGTAAGCTCACAACGAAGCCAAGTGAAAGTATATCAAACTGACAGTCTATTGAAAGGCGGCATCAGGTGCAGGATGTCTCTTTTGGGCCCTTCTTCACGATACCGGAGCCAGACCCGGAGTCGGAAGCCCCAGCTCAGACATCCCCTACGGCCACTCGCACAACGCCAAATTCATCTGCGAAAAGGAGACGCTTGGACAGTGATCCAGCTGCTCCACTGCTCTCACCATCGCGACTATCTGCACCACCAGCAGAGGCAGCCTCAGCGCCGAGGTCATCGAAAGGAGACCCCTATCGGCTTCCAGATGGCAACTCGGAAGATGAGCTTGAGGCTGCCCCGCGGACGACGCCAAGGCAAGGCGCGACACCGCGGCTGGTCCCCGGCTCGAGCAGACGAGATGTTGCGCACACGGGGACGCCGCGCGTGGCGGCCTTGATCGAAGCCGAAGAGGTCGGAGAGAGCCCAGCTGATGCCCCTGGAAGTGGCCAGCGCAGGCGGGTCAGGATCAGCGGCGCGGCTACTTCCAGTGCGCGGTTGCACGATGCATTGCTCGCGGGAGAAGAGACGGTGGAGGCTGCTCTGCAGGAATCATCGCCTTTGACGCGGAAGTCGAGGGCGAGCGATTATCCGCGGTCAGCGAGGAGCACGAAATCGACACCGAGGCGAAGTGCGCGACTCTCAGGAGGGAGCGAGGTCGATGTTTCGCCAGAAGCCGCTATGTCTACACCAGCCGCAGGCCGAAAGAGGAGCACTTTGGTCGAAGAAGTGCAGCCCGACGAGGTGGACCTCAGCATTGCCCAGGATAGCTCACGGAACCAGGACGCCGAAGAGGAAGGAGAAAGAGAAGACGACGTGGCTCAAGAGATCGATGACAATGAAGCCGCTCGCCAGCTAGGGAGGAAGCGGCCTCGTCGAAGTTTGCCGGAGCCATCATCAGAGCTAGGTTCAGATCCAGCATTTAAGGAGCCGGTTCCCAAACGTCGGCGTAAGAGCACAGAGGCAAAAGGCACCAAGAAGACAAGACAGTCGAAGGCGCAGAGTGAAAAGGCCAAACCAGCTGCCAAGCGCAGACGTAGTACTGAGGCGAACGGCCCAGCTATTCATATTGACGTACAGAGATTCGTGGAGCCCGCACAGCCGGAGGACGGAGATGACGATGCAGCGCTGCCTGACTTCGAGATTCCGGAAGCCGATCGCAAGGGTGTCAACGCTATCGATGTGCTATCCCAAATGTGCGAGGAGATTATCAATCACAGCATTGAGTCATTAGCGGAGGCGATTTCCAATGCCCAAAATAGTGCTGAGAAGAGAGAGCACCGGACGAAAGCGAGAGCATTGGAGGCCTTCCGAGAGGAAATGAGAATTCGGTTCCTTGAACACGTGCGTGTAACATACCCAAAAGGAGAAGTACCTCTACTAACTGTCTTAGACAATTGCTCTGGATACTCTGTTTTCTCTTCGGAAGCGAGTTCAAACTGCTCAAAAGCAAAAGCTTGCCCTTCGAAAAGAAATTCTCAAAATACGCGCTGAGAGGGATCAGGTTGCCCTGCGCATGGATGCAGCAAGAATTAAGCACGAGGAAGACAGCAAACTTGCGTTGGTGCGTCATCGTTGTTCTCTACTTACGATCGCAGAATACTAACTTGTCTTTTCTCTTTAGCATCATATTCAAATCTCCTCTACAATGCACGACATTGACCTTGCGGTTGAAGCAGGTCTTGGCGCCCCTGAGCTTTCAGCTAAGGAGAAAAAACAAGCGCCCCCAGCAAATCTTGAGCTGCTCATCAGTAGTATATTGTCTCAGGCTTGCAGCCGTAACGGTGGGATATTGAGCGAGATCAAGAATTTCAACGCCTTTCTAGAGCGTGCCGCTGTAGTTCTTGAGGCTAGATAGTGGCGCGGACTGGTCTTCCAGAAAGACCATGCAAGATTCCCAAATGCAAGTGATACTCGCATGTTCTTGATTTGACTTGTGCTTGAAAGTGGTATTGTTCAATATGATCCAGAGAGCCTTACTCCTTTTCCATGCCTGATGATGATAATTACAATAGTACAGTTATAGCGCTACATATGTCGGGTGAGTCTCCCTCAATGAACCCTGGTCTATTTTCCAGAGAGTAACGAGGAGATCTTGTCTGTGACCGTTTCTTTGCCCTGCTCCTTTCGCGCTTTTCGCTCTTCCGCCTGTTCCTGCCAGAGACCTTGGATCTTCGAAACCATCTGTGCCTTCGCCCTGAGCTCGGCCTTCAAAGCCTCTTCCTCTGCTGCTCGATCTTCTTCTGGCAATTTCTCCAGCTGCTCTTTCCATTTCCTCCGGGCCTCCTCTGAAAGAGCTGGTATCTTGGCGTCCTCGGCAGCAGTTGGCGCAGTGAACACTGGCTCAAGCTTCGGTATTGGCTTGCCTTCTTTCTTTGCGGCCTCAATAGCTGCCTCTTGTTCCAGCATGCGGTGATATAATTTGTCAGCATGCATTTGAATATCTTCATCCACATGCGCCGGTCTGTCATATGCAGACAGGTAGCCCAGGGCTTTCAGTAGACGCTACAATCAAAGACGCTGTTAGTACGTGTCCTAATCTTCAGCTCAATGGGGAGCACCAGGCTCTCAAAAGACGTACCGACTGCATCATATAACACCGCTCGAACTTTTTCACCTCGGCGCTGCACATCGTCATTCGCGATGTCCACGTGCCGCTCTTCATGCAATTGCTCCAGTCAAGTTGCTCCAGCGCGCAGTTCTCCAGCGCTGCCCGCCCAATCTGCGACTTGCGGTCCTTGTACGCATCCAGCACGTCCATGAGTTTCTCATGATCGCTCTTAGTTTCGGCCTCGACGGCCGCGAGTGGCTTGTAGGTCTTCCAGAGATGCGCATAACGCCCGTCTTGGTAGAGGCTCTCTGTCGGCAGCGCGGGTGTTGATTCGGTGCTCCGTGTCTCGCTCTCTGCCGCTGATGGTGCTACCGGCGCTGCTGCCGTCGCGTTCGAGATTGGTTTTGCTACCGAGTCATCCTGGCTGCTGGTCCGATATTTCACGGGCGATTCCTTCTCGAGAAACTCGCGGAGCTTGGGGTCAAGCTTGCGCAGAGGGTCATCGTCGTTGCTGCCCCAGCCAAAAATGCCACCTAGCCAGCCCATTTAGACGGTTGATTTGTTCAAGAGGGGATTGTCATCGCATCATTTGAAGCTGTGTTCAAGGGTGTAAGTCGATAACCAGAAAAGTTCATTGTCGGCGAAGATCTTTAAGGGTCCTATCGATTAGGTCACGTGTTACCAGACTTTTGATAGCTCCGCGATTCTTACCTAGGTGTACGACAGAAAGGCATGGGTACAGTGTTGTATTCCTGATCAAGACTAAAACTAAAGAATTGGCGATACACAGTGTTCACAGCAAAAGACTGACACCTTGAAGGAATAGCATTGATAACATATTTTTACCTTCCGAAAACATGCTGAACGTTCAGCACCTGCACCCAGCAGGTATTTCATAATTGGGGTTACCAACAAGGTGGAATGCTAAGGGCGCAAGTCTAGGTTAGTGACATACATAACAGCTAGGTCATGGGCAGACGTCTTGGTGAAAGGGCGGCCTTGGGAGATCAAATAGCCGTAGACAAGGAACCTATACGTGAGGCAAATGGGACGACTGGTATTTGATCAGAAAAGAACACTCGCGAGCTCCAGTTGACAATTTTCGGGTCAGAGATTCGCATATGCCAAATTTTCGATGGAGGAAATGTGGCCGAAACGTCTCCTCCGCTTACTCTTCACATCAATGGAGGTTGCATGTCGAACACCGCACAAAGATAATGCCCAAACGTTTCCTTTTCATTCAATACTGCATCTATAACACACTTTTGTGCTCAGGCAGTTGACCGTTTAGCCGCCGTCCATCTCTGATATAAAGCCATCAAGCAATCGACGCCGGAAATGCCAGAGGAAATCCCCATTCCCATCCCTTAGAACTTGCTGAAAGACTTGACCGCCTTGCCAGTTCGGGGAAGCACACGAAGGACGTTGAATCGCACCTGTGAAACTTGTTAGTCTCCCGTTAGATGTGCTGTTGCCAAATATTAAACCCACAGTCTTGCTCAGAGGTCTGCACTGTCCAACGGTAACCTGGTCACCCTCCTCAACACGGAAAGCGGGGGAGACGTGAGCGGCGAGGTTCTTGTGCCTCTTCTCGTAACGGGCGTACTTAGGGATGAAGTGGAGGTACTCGCGGCGGATGATGACGGTACGGTGCATCTTGGTGGAAACGACGGTGCCAGTCAGGATACGGCCACGGATGGAGACGAGACCAGTGAAGGGGCACTTCTTGTCTGTAGGTAGCATCCGTTAGTACACGTGCCCAAGCCATAAATCATTCAATAGCCATCTGCATTCGATGCGATATCGTTTCGAGATCCTGTCGAAACCAGCAAAACATCCACCCCTGATTCTCGAGAACGTCGCAAACACAGATACCGTCGAAGAGTCGTCACGTACCGATGTAGCTGCCCTCAATGGCAGTCTTGGGGGTCCTGAAGCCTAGACCGACATCCTTGTACCAGCGGCGGCTGTCATCACACGAATGTTAGAAAATCGTCTTCGTAAATCGGTTGCAGGTATCGCAGTCTTACCCGGCCTTGCCAGGTCTGGCAGACTTGGCCTTGACCTTGGAGTTCTGGAAGATGTGAGGCTGCTTCTGGAAAGCACGCTCAGACTGAACAGTCAATTCCGTCGCCATGGTTGCGGTCGGGGTCGGTGATCGCAAGGTGTGGTGGTGGTGACGGGTTGGTGTGTTGGGCGAATGAAGGACTTGAAATTTCAGAGGTTTTGCAGGTCGCACGCTCAATTTTCGAATTTTGGCGCCGTGTGTGGGCTCCAGTGGAGGTGGCTGCCAATGGCTAGGATGGGTTTTGAAGTGGCTGCTCAAATGTGGCTGGTGCAAAAGACAGCACGTGCTTTTCAGGCTAAGCCACTTTCGCTTGAATGCTCGTGGGCTCCTCTGTGCGGCGCTTGCCGCTTCCACAGCAACGCTCACGTGAGTGTTGTCTTACACCAGGAAAGAGCGAATCAGAGGGCGGGCTCAAGTAAACAGTCCAAGTGGGAGCGCAAAGACGACAAGGGCCACCAACAAACACCCCACGGTACCTCCTGACTTATCTTTAAATGACTTCATGATCCGATACAATTGCGACGCGTCCCGGTCATTGGCAGCAACATCTCTTCAAGATGGACGCAACATTACCAGCTACGCGAAGATCGCGTAAGTCAACAACAGGGTTATCACCATCACGAAAAGCAATGGACAAAGAAAATGCCACTGTGGACGTTGCCAACACGCTCGCAGCAAGTCGCAAGAAGTCGCGAAGCAAGAGCATTGGTCCAGGAGGGCTGGATGCTCTGAAATCGGGCACAGGAAATCGCAGAGTTGTGAGTATCGCCTCGAGCGTTCCTATTGCATTAACACTGACTGTTGCTAGTCTCTGGCGGCGCCGTCTCGTCCACCCCCGCGATCAATCCTAAAACCTACAATCCCACTATTACCGGAGATACCGCCGCATAAACCCAAAGCAAAGGCTGTGGAAAAGTTACAAAGTCCCTCGCCCAGCGACGACAGCGGGTCAGCGGGTAAAAAGATCGCTCTGCGTACAGAGGAGGAACAGCAGGCGGCGGCCCGTGAACGCGAAGCACGAGAGCGAGCACAGTTGGAAAAGGAGGTCAACGATCGAAGGGAGGCACGCAGAAAGTCGTTAGCAAATCGTCGCGTCTCATTTGCCGCCGAGGCCACTCTTCACACCTTTCATGAGGTGGAGTTTATGCAAGATTCAACGACCTCCACGGACTCTACGCGACGTGCATCTTCCACATCGGCCGCTTCCACGCCAAGGGCTAGTCAAGAGCATGCTGGATCCGATGCTTCGGAGCCCCCTTCGACGCCTCCAGAGCAGGCGGACGAAACTGTCCCAGAATCACCGGCAGACCAGCGGCGTCTTCATCAGAAGAAGCGAAGGCGAAGCTCAGGAGTGCCTACGCTCAACTTCCATAATGTGGATGATGATACTATGACATCTACAGTGTATGACTCAGACTCAGACCATGGCGATAGCATTGCGGAGGTCCAGACGGAAGAGACTTCAGATTCAAGCAGTGACTCTGATGATGATGGCACCCTGATGACCGTGGAGGCAGAGGAGATGACGTCTGCATCTGTAGCATCAGCTCGATCTGAGTCAAGCATGGATACGACCTCCAATTTGGACGAGGCTCTGAGATTAGCGAACCAAAGAGCTAGCACACAAAATGGCCATGATGATGACGAAGGCCTAGAAATGGTTCCGGGATTGATCGGCTGGGGAAAGAAGAGCGTCAACCAGCAATCGAATCATGGAGAAGACAACACGACACGACATTCCGACCGTGGTGAGGAGGAAGAAACGGAAATGGAGATGGATATGGACATGGAAATGACGAAGCCAATGGGTGGTATCATCCGATCAAAAATAGCTTCTCCTGAAAAGGATGAGTCTGACGACATGTCTATGGATGTAACGCGGGTGCTTGGCGGTATTATTTCGCAGAAATCAGGCAATCCGGCTGGACATACTGCCGGCAGCTCGCCCGCACAAGACCAAACAATGGATTTCACAATGGCTATCGGCGGCATCCATTTGACTCACCAACAAAGCCCTGACGAAATGGACCATGAAAGCAATGAGGACATGTCTATGGAACTGACTACAATTATTGGTGGTGTTCTCTCAAAACCAAATCGGCGGAGATCGAGGCAAAGCATTTCTCCGATGAAGAAACAAGATGCCGAAGATGACACCCCAATGGATATGACCGTTGGTGTCAGCCAAATAATGGGACAGGCCGATGAGGCTGAACCTGACGATGATACTACAGTGGGAATGGATATGACCATGGCCGTGGGTGGAATTATCAAACCTACATCGCCTGGACACACTCGTTCTGCGGCTAAGAAACTCATGGAAGAGGAGGCTAATCAGCCCGATCCATCCCCGATGACCACTAACACTAGCGATACCAGCCAAAGAGTCTCTCCATACAAGGCACAGAAAGCCAGATCCGTGCAATCACCCTCTCGAGACAACACTGAGAGCCCTGGACTCTCTGCTTTTCGTGGCAAAGGACTTAGGCGGAGCAGTGGTATAGGACTATCCTCAGCTCCAAAGTCACCAGCCAAGAGCCCAGGAACTCCTGTATCAAAAGCTCCCACACCATCCGGGAAGGCATCATCTACCATAGCGACCAAAGAGTCTCCACGTCATCCGTTGCCAGGTGCAAAAAGGACGCCCTCCCCATCAAGGAGAAGCACATCACCGCAGTCAAAATTCGTTTCTCGTGCCTCAAACTCACCGGCAAAAGGCAGCACAGTATTCCAGCACAATCCTTCAACCGGAGTAAGCACACCCAAAGTTGTCTTAACACCTCAGCGGCGAAGACTCTCAGGAGTTGGTGCAGATCGATCAGGTCTAGGATCTCCAAGAGTCGCTGATATCTTTGATCGACGTGAATCGATTGGTGATACAGCCAGTGACTTTGTCCCGGGCGAGATGCGCGAAAATCGTCGAGCCGTCACGTTTGAGGATCCTCGCATCATGCAGGAGGAGCTTGATAGAGAACGGCAAAATGCTGAGGACATTGAAAGTGGTCGCAAAATATTGGAGCGGGAAGCTGATGGATCTCAAGACGATAAAGAAGTTACCCTCAACCTCAAGGAGATGATCGAGAATTTGTCGCCCAAGAAGAGTCTTCTCAAGGGTCGCAAGAGTCTACATGTGGGTAGTGCACGTGGTTTGCTTGGGAAACGCCCAGCTGAGCTGGATGACGAAGAGGACGCCGAGGAAAGAGATGGTGTGAAGCGGCTTAAGGGGCACCAAGGCAGCCCTGTAAAAAACGTGCGGCTGCAACAACCACCATCTAAGGCCGAAACGACAGCGCGAATGACCAGGTCAGCCAGGAAACCATTGGATCGGGCTGAGGGCAACATCGCTACCCCCACAACTTCCGAATCACCAATCAAAGGATCAGGTCGTGTGACAACTCCCAAGAACCAAGGGAGGTTTCGGAATATCGAAGAAGATCAACCTTCGATGACTATGGACTTCGATGCCACCCGAACATTCAATGAGATTGAGTTGCAAGCAAATGATAATGAGGACAGAATCCATTTACAAGACTTCCTTAATATGACCAGCATTCGCTTCATGGAATTGACGACTACCAAGCGACGACACACCGTAGCCCCAACAGCACCAAAGGGCAATGCATCTGGAGAAGACAAGGATGACATTTCTCTTGAAAGATGCGTTGTAGCTGGTGCCTGCACAGTACCAATGCTGGAATTATACCAACACGTAAGTTTCGCCTACTCTAGATAATAGAGCGATTGCTAACAGGAAGCAGTCTTGTCGTGAGCTCAAGAAGTACATCTCCGAAGGCAGAAGGATTGTTCGCGAGATTGAAACCGAAACCCTCGAAGAGAATCCACCTCTTTTCCGCGAATACATATCAGCCTCCCCAGAGTTCAAAATTCTGATGGACAACCAGTTCAAGAACGTCAAGACTCATGCACGGCTTCTGAGTAAAGCCATGTGGTATGAGTGGCGTATGAAGCTCCAGGATGGATTAAGAGAGGGTCTCTTGAAAATTGCTGAGGGCATGGAGATGGATGAGAAACTCATCGAAAAGCAGCAGAAACTCCTGTCATCGGTCGCTCCGGCATTGGTCAAACGATTCGAGGCATTGGAGCGTGAACATGAACATCTAGAATCCTTTGCCAGTGAGCTTGCTGACTGCGATCCCGAAGAGCTTCAATCCGCTCGAGCAGAGTTGGAATCTGCAGACAAGGACATTGAAGCTAAGATGCTCAAGATAGCAGAGCTTCGAAATCAATTACAAGATACCGAGGTCAACATCAGTAAGCTCACCGAGCAAAAGGAGCATTGCCAGGTGGAGATCAAAGAAGCTGAAAAAGTCCGGGAAGAGTGCCGTGGCTGGAGCTCAAATGAGATCAGCTCTCTAAAGGGTCAGCCCTTCCCCAAACACTGCCGCGCTAGAGTTGGCTAACCGTTCAATAGTCCGGGTTGATGAACTTGAGAATCAGCACGGTTGGGCTATTACTGGTGTTGTTGGGACGACCATCTCAGTGACGTACCTTCGTGAGATTGAGCTGGTTTTCGACATTGCCTGTTTCCAGCCAGGTCAACCCAATTCCCGGATCGACCTATGGTATATCGCAGCTAATCGCGAACGCAATCCGTTACCTGCAACGCCTGAGAAAGAGTTCTTTCTTCAATGTCTTCGGGACTATGTGCGTGCATTACCACAGTCGTCCACTAAGCTGAGCCGCATTCTTGGCACGGTCCGTGCAGCATGGAGTCAGGCAAATGCCGTGGCCAATCATATCCACCTGCTCAACCTCACATTTCCGACTCGGGTAACTAAGACGTCAGATTCTTCCATCGCTATCCAGAGTAGCCTTCTGTTGGTCCCATTGTCTACTAAAGTTGAGATTGTTCTCAACCTGCACTGCTCGGTGGGCGCTGACGGTCTCGACGTCACGATTATGCCTCAGGCAAATGCTGTTTACGGAGAGCAATTCAATGCCCCTAAAATGACGGAGTTCTTATCTACTCGCATTGGGCATCATGTCTTTTCACAGGGAGAGAAGCAGTCGGAGTATTGGAGTGATGTTGTTGTCGAACTCCAAACGAGACTACTTGCGCGAGGCAAGAAATAGGCCGGTGAAGCCTATTTGTAATGTTTACAATGAGGAATGAGGCAAGGACTCAAGGAGTAACGGTTTGGGTATTGATTTAAGTAATTTCAAGACTAGGCGTCCGGCAATAGATATCATTGTCGCTCACTCCCGCCAGTCACCCCGGGTAAAATACACGAACTAACGCTTGCATTGAAGTGAAAATGTTTCGTTTTGTGACGATGGGAATAAAGGTAATAGGTGCTCATTAGAGGCTCAATAATCTGTAGATATACGCGTGAGAAGGAGCTTGGGACATGGTTTACGTGCGTGAAAGAGACTGTGGACGTTGATTACATACGTGAGAGAGATGGAGAGTCAGGTGTGAGAGATCGGATGTTGATTACCTGTGATGTCTGAGAGAAGGAAAGTAAGGTGTAGGTAGATAACTGGAAAACCTAATCTATCATCACTATATCTCCGTTTCCTTCTGTCTCGCTGACAGTCCCGTCGTCGTCGGACTCGTCCCCAGTACCAGAATCAGCAGCTGACTGCGCGCTTTGATCCTCCTCTGAGTTTTCGGCGATGATTACCGTTACATCGTCAGGATCGTTCTCGGCACTTGGCTCGTCAGCAGACTCGTCCCCGGTACTTGATTCGCTTGCAGAATGCGTATGTTGATTTCCCTCTTCATTACCGGCTTCGCTTGTGACGCTTCTATCGTCAGACTCATCTCCGGCGCTGGGCTCATCAGCTTGATACCCCTCATCGGTTTCGGACTCCCTCTCACCTTGGCCCTTCGTCTCGGCAGCTTGCGTGGACTCGTCGCTACTGTCATTGCTTCCAGCAGGTACAACACTCTCAACCACCAGTTCATCGTCATCGTAATCAACTGAAACATGTGGTCCTTGTGCAGAATCTACTTCAGTCCCTCCACCTACAGAAGATGAAACGTTTTGATCATGAGAAGATATCTCAGTCCCAGAGTTTCTCTCCGCTTCACTAGGTTGTTCGGGTTCTTCGGAGGTTAGTTCTTCTAGTTGTCGAAAGTTTTCAGCCATAGCTTCGTCTATACGATCCACAATGTCTATAGGATCGTCTAGGTCGTCTAAGTCGTCTGAGTCATGGATCTCCAACTTGGCCAAATCTTCAGCGAGATCTTCGTTTATCGGATGCACTATCTTCATAGGATCTTCTCTTGGTGCTTCAACGCGCCCACGAGTCATGTTAGGAAAAGGGGGGATAGGCATCCAATGGCCCAAGTTAAGGAGCTCAGCAAACCATCCTTGATTCTCTGGGGCAACTTGATCTGGTGCCCTGGCATCTTGTATTCCTGAAGTGGACAATGACCCTTGTTCGTTATTCAAGACCCGTGGTCTAGCTACTCTCGAGACTTTTCGAGTTCGCGAACCGTAATTAGCGCTTTCAAGACTTCTGATGCGGTCTGGAAGTGCGTCATACATTTCAATGTCAATACCGCTAGGATTGGGGGTTTCTGACGGGGCGGAGAGCTTCAGCAGCTTGCCACGCGCTTGCGTGTGCCGTTCTTCAACAGAGTCAGAATCCCTAGTACGCTTAACCCCTTGAATCTCGGTATGAACATCTTCAAAATCCTGCAAGAGATGTTGAAGACGAGCTCTGAAGTAAGCAGAATTGTTGGAAGCATTATCGCTGCTGCGGCCCCGGTGGCTGGAGGAAGCTTCTTCGCTCGGCCCTGTCTGGCCGCTCGCAGGCTGTACTTCACTTTGTGGTGGTGAGATGGTGTTGCTGGCGATTGGATTTGAGCTTGAACAAGGGTTGCCGTGGAAGCTTGCAACGCAAACTGTGGCTGCATGAGGAGATTGCTCTTGAGTTTGAACGTCTCCCCAATATCCATTGCCGGCGCGATAGGTGCCTCGCGTCTGCGAGCGAAGAAGCCCTGGCAGTTTCCAGCCAATTATGATCCGGTACAAGACAAGTCCGGCGAAAGAAATGTAATAGGACTGGATGAAGAAGTATAAACAGAGACAGAAAAGTATGATGTCTGGAGAGAAGTGGGTGATAATGGCCAGTAAAGTAATCATCATCTTGTCCACGTTGATCACCCTGTCGGCTGATTCTTGAGCTTAGTAGATCGGGTAGTCAGCGGTAGTCAACCAATTCCTTGGTAAGAATGAGATCGAAGCTTCCGGATCAGATTGACTTCCGTCTTAGAAACCTTAGAATCTTAGAGCGAACTTGGCTGTTCTGTCTCAGGTTAGGAGAATGTCTTCCAGTAAATATATATATATTCATATATGAGCACTGTTGAATCAGCTGTTGAGTGTTCTTGAAAGAGTTATTGTTCGGCTTGAACAATAAAGGATTGTTGTAGGCCGTTTCAAATGACATCTCGAGGTTCCAAGGCTACTATAAAAAGCATTGTTGTTTGTTCCAATTTTCTTCAACAAAGGCTTTGGTGACGGAGCGTTTTCGAAGAGCTTGAGTCAGCAGGCTAACGCAAAATCAGTCACAATTATTTGTTTGATACATAGCAAACGTATTACTAAATAAAAGTTGTCAATACAGGACATGAGCTTATATAGTTGGCACAGAAGCCGAACACCAATTTGGCTCATGAGCTGGTTGAGATCTATATAGTTACCATAATTACTGAAACCTCGAAAGCGAAAGTCTTTAACTTCCATTGTTGTATAATCCTATATTGTTTGGACTGAGATCTATTGTCTTTAATCATAAATCGGTGCCACTAACCCATCAGGGACAATTAAACAATCACCCTTTGTTGCAAGAAGTCACTTTGTTTCTGGAGTTGGCTCTAGCTATGACCACTGTATCATTCTTCTGCAACCTAATAACTCTCCAACGAAATGCCTCAGAGAGACGTTGATGACGGGAACCGTGGTGTCCTGTCCTCAGTGCCCCTGAGCTCGTGGCTAGCCCCTGAAATCATGAGATGGGGAAAAAGCCACGACAGTGGATGGCGGGGAAGTATAGAAAAGATAAAAATAAGTCACATCACATTGCAGTGATCTAATCCCATTGCCCGGGGGAAAAATTTCATACCTAAAGGTACGGTTCGTCTGAAAGTTGTGACTGCTCTGCCAACAATTGTGGGTCACGTCGAGTATCTTCCTCCCCTGACGCGACGACGTCAACACCTTTCTTCCTTCTTTTCTTCCACCCATCCCCATCAACACTGATCACCGAATTGTTAACCGCAATTGCGAGCAACAGATTCCAATCATCAACGTTGACGACGAGATAAAGACGAGTATCACTAGTAGGCAGTTGAATACTGACCTACGCAACCAATACTCCGTCACCCTCACCCTCACCTCACCCCCTTTATTCCGACACCCCTCTTTTCTCCCCTCCTCTACCTCCTCCTCTCCCATCATCTCTCTTCAACCGTGAAGAGATACGTAACCATGATGCTGGAGATCCTTGCCTGGTTTTTCCTGGCCCTCGCGGCCTACTGCCTCTTCGCCGTTCTGGCTTGCCCAGGCGGCTACATCGACATCGCTGTGGCGGCGATGGTGACAGCGTGGAAGAGCAAGCCGGCCTTCCGCTACTGTACCATCGTCGCAGCCCTCCTATTCCTCCTCGGTCACGATGCCAACGGTCTCATCGACGCGTTCATCGTCGTGGGACTGCGCATGGTGAATATTATATACGCAGCTGGTTACCTCCTCGCGGTCGTCTTCGTCTCTTTGGCGTGCTTTGTCGCGTACGTCTTGGTCAGGCTAGTCCAAGACGCGTACAAGGTGCTCATCGGTCAAGCAAAGCACTTCTTCGAATCGGATAGTCTCAATGTCAAGGAGCGAAACTCCTTGGCAAAACAGCTATCCGATTCGAAGAAGCTGCTCACGAAGTTGAGGACCGCTATCACCAAGAAGAACACGGCAAATAACGATATATATTCGGCTATCCAGAAGCTGGAAATGGACATCCAGCTCTCCGGCGGCCGTTTCTTTCAGTCAGTGGAAGCTCGAGCTCAGGTGAACCATGCGGGTTGCTTGCCCGGTCTACCGCATAAGGTAGACGGCATGTCACAATCCGCCTTGGTCCGGTACTTTACCAGCCAGAACAAGGAGGTTGTGATCATGAAGCACACGCTGGCGAACCTGGCCGAGCTCATCAAGGTGAACGAGAAAGCTGTTGAGAGACTCGAGACGGAAGAGTACAGCCTCGAGCTGCTCAAGAAGGAGCGCATCGACGAGCTCAGGCTCCTGCAAGAGGAGCACGAGAGGTATACCAAGCCTCGTTCCTCCCGCCGTTCTCGTTTCGCGACCCCCTCTCCTTCTTCGGCACCTGTGCGGGCTCGTGGGCATCTCACCCCCATGACCCCCTACCGTCAGCAGCCAATGTTCACAGGCTTCCTCAGAAAGCGAACGACACAGACAGCGACGACCAAAGAACAGCCGTCGACAGCTGAGCCGGTAACCACTAAGAGGGCCGGCAATACCAGCCAAGACGAGCCCTTTGTCCCGTTCGTTGCCCGTGCTCGCCCCCGTTTTACTAGAGAGCGCCGAGACCGATCCCTCTCGCCGGCACGTACCCCCCGGCCTATCCGTCAGCGTTCGGACTCCCCTGTCAACCGACACCGATCGCCCCCAGACACGATGATGCCAGATGCTCCGCCCCTAGCTCCGGCCCCGAATCGGCAGTATTTGGACCCCCGAATGGCGTACGAATTCCAGGACGTGGAGGAGCTGACCGGCAAGCTCATAGGCATGAGCGTCGAATGCTTTGCCATGGACATGGACGAGGAAGAGAAAGACCAGATGATTGGCCAAGGTGCCGAGCCATTCCAGACTCAGTACCAAGCCTTCCCTGCTCTTGCCTCTGCCATCGCTCCTATCCCGGTTCCCGCTTCGGCACCAGTTGCACCCTCGTTCGCGCTCTCCGGTCCTGTTATCCCTTCTCCTGCGCCGCTCTTCGCCTTTCCGCCTGTGTCGGCTACCTTCACTCCACCGACCCCGGTTCAGCAACAGGACACAGTTGCGAACCCGGCCCTTCCTCCGGTGACACCAGCGACGTTTGTAACCCCGTCCGCTTCGGTGAATAACCAGTCGACCCCTGAGGTCATCAAGACGACGGCACCAGCAACCGTGCCAGCACTAGCCCCGGCTCCGGCCCCGGCCCTGGCTCTTAACCCGGTTGCTGTTCTTGCCCCTAACCCGTCTATGATTCTCGAGGACACGACGGCGACTGTCCCCTCGCCTCCTGACTCTCCCCCGGCCTTCCCCCCGGTTTCTCCCCTCGTGTACGAGCCGATTACAGCGGCCATTACCCCGTCCGCGGCAGAGCCAAGGACCCCGCTTACTCCCTCCGCGCCGAAGAAACCGGCCCCGGTCCCCCCAAAGGCATCCAAAGGCAAGCAGGTCGCTCATACCAATGCTGCCACCCCCAGCGAAGCCGGCCCATCCTCCTCTACCGCCGCCACCACCACCGCTACCTCCGCGCCTCCTCCCGCCGATAACCCCCTCGCTCTGGAGAAGGAGCGAGATGATATCCGGCCCGTCACACCGGAGCTTCTCGTTGCAGCTGCCCTTGCGTTCCGAGACCAGTTTGTTCCTAAGCAGCTGGTCGACGCAGGCGTGCACTTCACGCAGGTTCAGCAGTGGCAGGACGGCTACGAGGCTCGCCTCCGTGCCAGTCTCGTCGACCATGTACAAGTCAACCAGCGCCCACCGTGGCCCAGGAACCGAGCGATCGGCATCATCCAGAGCGAGTTCACCCGATATTGGGCAGAACGGTGCCAGGAGGAGATGGAAGAGATCGACCCAGGTTCCTGGGAGCGGTTGCGCTTGGAGCGAGGCAAGTGGCTCATGAAGTACTTGCAACGGACCACAAAGGTCACTCAGGTGCTTCGTCCCGTGGGGCACTGAGTGCGCCTGGTCGTGTCGAAATAAGAACGAAATTGTACGAATACCTGTCGGAGTATAACGCAGTTACCATACCAGAGCGGAGACTGCAAGAGAGCCGTACGAGATCGTCTATTGTCAGAGTACGCCACGCGAGTGGCCACTTATTCTAAGTGTCGATCATTAAGACTGTTTGCTGTGAGAGTATACCCTGAAAGGGGGCACGAAATCCCAAATTGTCAAGATCTTTGTTGTCAGAGTACATCCCGGAAGGGGTCATCAATTCCGAGTATCGACTATCAAGATTGTCTGTTGTCAGAGTATTCCCCGGAAGGGGCCACCAATTCCCAGAGCGTCAATCGTCAAGAGCCTTCACTGTCAGATTATGCCACGGAGGTGGCCATCAATTCCGGATGCCGACTATATCTATCACCTTGTCTTGAGTTTTGTCCAGCCATTCCCGCTTGAGACTCGTGTCTTCTCAACCCCTGTCTCGTTGTCTGCGGGATCTCTCTGGCTCGTTGGTGCGTCTAGAGCAGTTCTGACGGTCATCACACTCTCAATACCATATGCTCTCCTATCCGACTCCCCTTGCTTGCGACCTTTTACAAGCACTCCATCCTCCAAACCATCATCATTGACAGCCCAGGCATCATCTTCAAGCAATTCCCAATCAGGAATTGGGGCGTCGCTGATGAGTTTCTTCTTCAACCTGTCTGCGAGCTTGATCGGATTTGGTAGTTTGAAGCTGCGGACGAACTCATTACCCTCCGCACTACCAAGGAATGTATGAGCAGCACCATGGGAGAACTTCCCCATGAGCGTTGTTGCTTTGCCGATCTCCGCCAAATCTCCTTCCGCTGAGGTACCAGCAGTGGAAGAGGCTGACCGTGGGAAGGTCCGGCCGGCGGGGTTGGTTACCAGAGGGTTACTAATGAGGAGATTGTACAAGTTGCGACCCATGTTGCACACATCCTCATAAGAAGTCTTGTCTCCGATGGCCACACCCTGGGAACAGCACGCCCAGGCGATATCATAGGCGAGGAGTACGACGCCTTCAATAAAAAGAGAGTATGCGGACGGATCCTCTTTTGCAAGCGTGGGAAGAGGCTTGTCAATGAAGAGAGGCCTTGGGCGTGGCGCATTCTGATGATCTCGATCTCGAGATTCGGGAGGCACAATATTGGCCGTTCCTGGAAAAGACACTTCGCCATGCTGGTACGAAGAGCCAAGAGAGAAGATCGTTGGGCGCGGATAATCGCGATGGGGAAGCGTTATCTCGGATGGCAGACGAATGGCAAGATAATGGGACGTCAGCACCAATATGTGCGCAACATGAGCCAGCGACGTCGAAATAACTTCAGGGGAGGCAGCTACAAAGAAGTTAACATCCATTAAGCCAAGAAAAAGGAAAAAAGGAGACGACTTACTGCTCAGGGAGAGAACGTCAACCATGTCAAGTCCACCTATCTCATACTTCGCCGAATTCCCTTTCTTGGAGCGCCGAAGACCATACAGCTGAGCGGCCTCCTTGCAAAGAAATCCTCTTACCGCAGCCATCTCGTCGTACTTGCGGTTCCATTTATACTTGGTCATCTGAATAGCTTTCTCAGTCTCCTCGAGCTGTCTGGTGCGCCTCGCAGATATCCCACTAGAAGCGGCGGCTAGATCAGACTTCCTTCTCGTAATAGCTTGCTTTCGCTTCTGGATGTCGTCCCTCGCCTTCTCCATCTCGGACCTCAACTTATCCGCCTGAGCGATGATATCATTTGTCCTGTCTACGGCCTTCTTCTCTTCGGACCGGAGATTTTGCGCACGAATAGTTGTGGACTGAGCGGAGAGTTGTGTCGGAGAGGTTTGGTCTGCTATAACAGCGTTGATGCTTTGTTCAAGTGCATCATTCTCGATCAAGCTCTGGGCGTGGGCTAATCGGCTCTCATAAAGACGATTTCTTGCATCGACCGCACAGTAGAACGGCAGTCGCTGGGGGTGATGCGCGCGGTGGCAGATCTCGCAGTTCATGGTGATGTGGAGAGTACGGTCGAACTAAGTCGTACCAGCCAGTTCACAAGTTGCAATACCAGCCGCGACCGTCATCGAGGTTCGTGGGTTGAGCGAGGCGAGTCTGGAAAGCAGTATCACGCCGAACACGCAGAAGCCTAAGAAAGTTAAGGGAGAACGAGGACAAAGCTATTAATCCCGAACGGTGAAACAGCGCGGCAATTTGTCATGTCGCAAGGAGGTTGTGGCAGCACTCGCCGGCGTCGAGGCTGAGATAAATGTCTTGGAGTGTCGTCACAGGGACAAGGGCCTTGTGCAGTGGAAGCTTATCAGCTCCGCTAGGCAAGCACGTACCTTGCGGTTTCCGCCTGGAGGAGTGTGTTCGGCAGGCACCAATGAGCAGCGAACCGCCTAATTCACTACCCAACCATCTCCATAACCCCCCGATCATCATCTGATCCAACAGGCGCACCCCCACCTGTCACTTGAGGTTCCCACTATCAGCCTCGTGCTACCTGCTCCGAACTGCCGGCCCGTGTACTTTCCCAATCGCACCCACCCAAATAGTCAGGCGCGTTGGGTTGCGTCGCGAACTGCGAAAGCACCAGCAAAGATAACGCTCCAAGGAAAGCGCAGGATGTTTCCGTAATAAACGCTCATATCCATGTACCAGACCGTGGCTGCACCCAAAAGGCCAGCTATTCCTCATCATTGGACTCTAAAAAGTAACCATCTTGAGCGAAAGAGCAGAACTTGATCATCAAGCCACTCAAAATTACTACCTAACTGGCCAGCACGCGTCTCTCTGCACGGTGCAACAAGAAACTGCCACAGCAGGCATGTCTACCACACCGCCGTTGGGCCCACACCCTTCCTCCGAAACAGTCGGCCGCGAAGCAGAGGCTATACCAGAGTCACCTATACTTGGTTCTCCTCGCGGCGACACTTATTCTGAGCCTGCTGGCGTCGAAGGAATGATTATTGACTCCGAATCATCTGACTCCAAGCGGCCCATCGCAAGGACACCCGAACCTCAGATGCAGCAAGACCGCGCAAACGGCAACAAGATCGATACTGAGCGATCACCGAGCACCCCCGGTCATTTAGCCCCCTTCGACTGGGAAGAGTTTGAGTCTCGCTATGAGCAAGCTTTGTCAGATGCAAACCAGCAGGAGCAGGACTTGCTTGGCGAGTTTGAGCGGCTTGTAAAGGTAAGCTTCCTTCAGAAGTAAATCATAATACGCAAAAAGCATGCCATTGACAATACCTAGTACTTCAATGTATGGGCATCAGCTGCATCTGCACACGACAATGAACGCGCTCACAAACGGTCAGTCCCTCATCGCCCCTGGCTTAAGTAGCTCAACCTGCTAAGACAACCTCTCAGGCTGCAAACCCGTGAGCGATATGTTCAGATCGAGGAGTCGAATCTGGTCCAGAAAAAGAAACATTGTAAGTTTCATTTGAGGGTTTGTTTGATCAAGGCAGGCGCTGACCCATCGAACAGTGAGCGAGGTCGTGAGAGCCTTCCAAAGCGCACTAGCCCTACTGAGCCAACCTTAACTCATCGTTGGATTCACTCGAGCTTTTACCTGAAAGACCAACGGTTGCCTGACCATGTCGCTGTTTATTACCAAAGCTTCATCTAAATATGGAAGTTACGACGTTATGATTTATGACCATAGCTGCCCTGCGGTGGTAATTTGAGGACTGGGATCTCATCTTATAAAAGCGTACTCAATAGCATCCTAATACGACCTTGCCTGGCCGCACCTAACAACCTTTTTACACACATTTGTCTTGGATTCCCTAACCACAAACCCGACATCTCACGAAGGTCTACCTGCGAGTACATCTCAAGAACATTCGCTGAGGTGTTCTCATTGTCCCGTTGGGCTTCTGGGCACGTGATCTACCAACGCCTGAAACTAGACGACCATTAAAAACTCCCGCCGCATCTAACAGGCTAATTCTCCATTCAACTGATCGCCATGTCCCGTGGTGAAGCGCAACACGCGCCGCCGCTGCAAGTCCCTGAAATATCCCAGGTTTGTGGACTTTAAATCGACGCTACTCGTTTTTCCCAACTAACCAATTGCTAGACAGATCTTTACTCCTTCCACGAAGCTCATTTCTCCCACGATGCCTTGAACCATTTCAAGGCTCAATTCTTCACTCAGCCTGGTGTCCATGAAGCTCAAGAAGAGGCCGCGGACCAGGACTATGAATACCTGGAAGAGGAAGATGATGATGGGCTTGGTTACTACGATGATGGTGTGAAGCGAACCTTGACGGACGAACAAATCGCCATGTTTCGACATTCGGAAATCGAAGCTCTTCGTCGAGCGCAAGCCATATCCTCGTCTGCTCGCAAGGCTTCAACACCTCTCCATACTAATGCGGACGATCAAGACCTGGAGGCTTCCGATGCCATGGAGCAACTTTCCGAAGGCGAGGTGTCGACCCCCCAGATGGAGCGACAGGCGGATGCACCAAAAAAGAAGAAGAAGAAACGAGGCAAGGGCAAAAGCAAAGATCCGGGTCCAAAGATCGATCTTCGAAAGAGGACTTGGGATGTCGTAGATACAGGTTTGGGCAGCCTAGACTACGACGAGGCCGAGACACCTCAGGCAAAGACAGCCAATGCCCCTCAACGGCGACGCATTTCTTATGATGATGACTGAGACACGTCATATCCCTCTTCCGAGCAGAATCTTTCTCGTCATTGCCGAAGCTCTACACAAGAAGCTGTTTCGTATATCTAGGCCGTCGAACCGGGCAGGCACTGCTAGTCAACCAGGCACTTACTAAGCTTTGCAAGGATTCATTGTCAGTACAATTTCTTCCCAACAAACACCGCAGCCACCCCCTTGCATGATGAGAACATCGTATCGTCATCCTTAGCCGGAAATCCGCGAAAGGTATTGCAAGCCGACTCAGTCGGTTAACGGCCCCTTCGAGGAACATGTCGAATCATAATCTTCTCTCTGATACCCTACCATATCTGCTCAAGCTGGAACATAATCATCTTCAGGGCATAAGGTCATTCACTGACAGATAACCAGATGAACCTTTGCAGCGACAAGTTCGCAAACCATGCGCTCCGGGGTGGCAATTAGAGTCATCAACACAATGGTAGAAAACCATTTACACGATATGGCGAAAACCAGCGCAGAGACTGGCTTGTTTTAATGAGAAACATGATGATGTATGACTCTATGAGATGAGCTTGATCAGAATCATGGATGATCAAGGAAATGGGGCACCGGAACAGAGTGATCGGAACATTATTTTTAGACACAAGAGGTTCCAGATTTGTTGATAATGCATGAAAATACCCAATGCAATAATCAGTCTCAATCCATGATTCTGCCGTGCTTTGTGACAACTCTGGATACGTGATGATGTCACAATCTAGGAAGCATGCGTCTATCCCTCTTCTCTTGCCACGGAGGAAGGTCACTTCAATCAGGTCTTCCGCTACGACAACTAGTACAGAAAGTGGACCAGGACATCAAGTACTTGGCCTACCGGTCTTCTGTCAGGGTATTAGACGTCAATTTCTTAAAGGGTGAAGATACTCAATGCTGAGAGTTGTAATACTCATCAAGCTCTCGAATATTCTGTTTATTACTATAATGCGTTGTTGAGGAGGTAGTGATACCCTCGGCAAACTAACATTTATTACCCTGCTGGAGGAGTACTTTAAATATCATTTTTACGTAGAAGGCATCGAGGAAATCCAAGCTTTGATATTTAATCCTCGTTTACTTAAGTTGCCTCAATAGTGGTGGCTTTGCTTACGTTTATCGCGAGTATTTATGCTTAATTGCGTAATTTATTTAGCTTTCCTCTTATCTCTGCTCGCATTCCTGCCTTCATTACCTAAGCCAGCCAGCCAGCCAGCCAGCCAGGCTACAAAGGCCACCCACTGAGCAGGTGATCGCAGCCCACCACCACCAGGCCAGCCCACTCTTCGACGCAACTTTCCAAGTACCTTGTTACCCCTCAAAATACCCTTCCCACCTCGAACCCGACCCAGCACTCAGGCGCGCGCAACCACGCGCCCCGGACCAGCACCAGAGCCCGCAATCATGGCGCGGGTCTACGCAGATGTCAACCAGAACATGCCCAGGAGCTACTGGGACTACGACAGCGTCAACATCAGTATGTCTTGGCCCCTCCCCGCCCACACGTGCATCGTCCCATCTTTTCGCTGACTTGCGTGACCAGGCTGGGGTGTACTCGAGAACTACGAGGTCGTGAGGAAGATTGGTATGTCCACCTCCTCGACAAGAGGTCGCGACAGCATTGCGATGATATACTGACTATTCCCGGGCAGGCCGGGGCAAGTACTCGGAGGTATTCGAGGGAATCAACGTCGTCAACTACCAGAAATGCGTCATCAAGGTGCTGAAGCCGGTCAAGAAGAAGAAAATTAAGAGAGAGATCAAGATTCTACAGAACCTGGCTGGTGGCCCAAACATTGTCGCGCTGCTGGACGTCGTGCGAGACTCACAGGTAGGTCATATCTTCCCGCAATGTCCTGGGATTGTTGCATCTAATTCCATGTCATAGAGCAAAACACCGTCCCTCATCTTCGAATTCGTCAACAACACCGACTTCCGGAGCCTATATCCAAAATTCAATGACTTTGACGTCAGATACTACATTCTCGAGCTCCTCAAGGCGCTAGACTTCTGTCACAGCAAGGGCATTATGCACCGAGATGTGAAGCCTCATAACGTTATGATCGATCATGAGAACAGAAAGGTAAACGCCATTTGCTCCCTCGTTCAGCTAACAGCAAATCTAACATGTTCGTAGCTGCGTCTGATCGATTGGGGTCTGGCCGAGTTCTACCATCCCGGAACGGAATACAACGTTCGCGTTGCCTCTCGCTATTTCAAGGGGCCCGAACTGTTGGTGGATTTCCAGGAGTATGACTACAGCTTGGACATGTGGAGTTTGGGAGCCATGTTCGCGTCGATGATCTTCAGGAAGGAGCCGTTCTTCCATGGCAACTCCAACTCGGATCAGCTGGTGAAGATTGCCAAGGTGCTCGGCACGGACGACCTCTTCGATTACCTCGACAAGTACGAAATTGAGCTTGACGCACAGTACGATGATATCCTAGGCCGCTTCCAGAAGAAGCCCTGGCATAGCTTTGTCAACACTGAGAACCAGAGATTCGTTAGTAACGAGGCGATTGATTTCTTGGACAAGCTTCTCAGATACGATCATCAGGTTAGTCTTATTTTTTCACATCTCCAAATTTCCAGCATACTGACGTACTTCCCAGGAACGACTCACTGCCAAAGAAGCCATGGGCCATCCATATTTCGAGCCAGTCAAGGATCCGGTGGTGCTGCAGCAGTATCTTGGAGGTGGTGTTGGCAGCGTGCCATCCTGATGTTCATCATTCACGATTCGCACCTCACACTAACTCCGAGATACCCCGGGCAGACCTCCTTCGAAGATTTGGGCTCTGCCATCAACGACTAATCATAACCCCGGCAACGAGAGTCTTCGCCCGTGAACGCTTTTGCAGAGTGTGATCTCGCCGGATGACCATCACATCAAACGATATATGAGAGCACTAGGATGTAACGATGTCGGACCTGATCATGCCTGATTCGATCTGACAATACGACCATTGCTTTCATACTCTTCTGATCACACCCTCTTGGCAGTGGTCAGAGCATTGCTATTGACTTATGGCCCCGGTCATGCCGTGGTAGGGGACGATGGAAGACAAAGTGGCCGACGACGGCGTTCACAGTGGACTATATCCTGAGTGCGAGACTTCGTGGTAGGCTGTGCATATTAGGTCTAATAGGACGGACGTTTCGGCTCGACGGGATTCAACAATGATTTCTATATAATGATCCAGCATGTCATACTTCTTTTCGTGCCAAGTGATGTATATTGACTACCTAATGCATGCCATCGCTTCGATTGACGAGAAGCCATGCCTTTCAGGAGCGAGTTCGCTGTCAGTGCGCCCCTCACATGCAAGTGAAGCAAAAGTCTCGGTCACACTTGAATCCATCCTCGCCGCACCTGCGCATCGTCCCTCCCGGCGTCCGTACCAGCGAGCTGCTCGGACTGGAAACCCTGCTGCCTTTGACCCTGATCACGCTACGAGGAAGCGAGTACCGCCCACCAATACTGATGCTTTTCGACAACTTGCCAGTGGAGCCCAGACTTACGCGTACGGGCGTGCGAGCCTTGCTATGCGAGTTGACAAGCAGGCTGCGGTTGCAATTTGCTTTTCTTGGTGTGCTTGCCGAGCCCATGGGACTGCTTCTGTGGAAGACGAAGCTTCTCCGGCGCGCATCGGAGCTTGTCAGGTCTTCTGTGCTAAAGGATAGCTCATCTTCCTCGTCGTCCGAAATGAGAGACATGATGCCAGTCCTCGCTGATGATAGCTGAGGTGTTGGCTTCTCAGTCTGGGCCTTCTTGTGATTGGGAGTAATCGGCAAGCTGGTCCCCTGAGCAGAACCATGGTCCGGCTCCTGAGAAACGCTCAATGCTGGAGCTGGAACCGATGATATCTCTGGAGCTTTGGCTTTTGTCGAGCTGTGTTGTGGCTTTCTGCTCTTGGTCTTGGACAGGGATTCAGCCTGAGTTTTCTCGGTTGCGGTAGCCTCATCGGGTCTCAGAGGCTCATGCTGCTCTTCCCCTAGCTCTACAGACTCAGCCCTCTCATTGATTGCGTTTGCTGCAGACTTCCGTTGACTACTTCTCTTTGGTGCATTCGAGGCTGCTACTGGGGTTTCAGGTGAAGACCCTTGTTCTTTAGCCACCACTGCGTCGGCACCCTTTGTCACAGGGACAGCCGATTGAGAGGAATTCATCTTCTCCCTAGTCTGCGTGCGTCTAGTATCCTTTCTTCTTGGCAAGTCATCCTCTTCATCTGAAAAGGCGTAAGAAGGGTCCACTGTATTTCTGGAGAATGCTTCGGGGACCGCTTTCGGATTATGCTGCTCCTGGGCCTTGTCGCCTGGATTGGTGGCTTCGGCACCATCTAACGCAGCGTTCCCTGCTGGGATGGTCTCTTGAGCAGATGGCGAATTATCTCGAGAGTTCAGCTCCTCAACAAAGCCTCCCATGCCCAGGTTAGCCGCACTCTTTCTCGGAGTCACTGAAATATTGACCCTACTATATGCATTGGTATCGATTCCTTTGGTTGACAGTTCCACATACAGAGCGCGCTTATGAGGATCCCCCCTCTTAGCCCAATCGGAGTTGCGGTAGAATTCGATCTGTTTTCTCTCCCTTGTAGATCGACGGGCTGGGGTAGTGACAGTCTCTTGTGCTAGCGACCCTGCTCTGTTTTTTCGCGATGTGACAACTACCACTTGCTTCGGGGAGGATGATGCCTGCTGGCTGCGACGCCTTTTGGCACTTGACCGGTTCTTAGAGCTATTTGCATTATTTGTTTGCTTAGAATCATGCACTACCACAACAGTTTTGTCCTTCCGTGATTTGGGCTTGGTGGCTGTGGTTTGCAGCTTGCTTCGGGCCGTTTTTGACGAAGGATCAGGAGGTCGCATGGACAAAACTGTTTTCATCACTTTGGGGCTGTCCCCAGCCGTGGCTTTGCCATGGGTTTGAGGCCCAGAAACTTCGCCGTTAGGAGATGTAATTGTCTTGGTGCGAGAATCTGCATCTTCGCTCACACCCTGCGTCTGCTCCTTACCGCCCTGAGGTGACGGGAGCCCCTTTCTCATGAGCCCATTCCCAGAGACGCCAAGAAGTATGTCATCATCCTCCATTTCCCCATTTTGCCGCTCATCAACAATCTGAGGCCTAGGGAGAGCCTTCCTGATGATAGTTCTTGTTGCACCACGTGCCCCGCGCCCAAGTAGCCCTTGTGGCCTAAACGCAGCAGAGAAAGCGGAAGAAGGGAGCTCCGGGGCTCGCCAAGGAGACTCGATAGGGTCGCTCGGGATAGCGAATGAAGCAAAAGACCTCGGTGGCGTGAACGGAGCGAAAGGCATTCGGGAGAAAGGCATCATCGAGGACAGCCTTGACGAGCCGTCCATGAGCGATGAAAGTCGGGGTACTTGTCCGCCGTTGTAGTCCAAACTCCTAGGAACCAGCGCTGTGGAGCTGCCATCTGGACCTATCTTGCCCCCGTGTAGAATCCTCTCTTCCTCTTCTATCGAGTCGGCCTCTGAACGTGCATCTTCCGTCCGGCCAGCCTGGCTTGCAGCATCGTCCCTAGCATCCTTCATGGACTGTAGATGGCCATTGTCCACAACAATTTCGCCGGTTCGGAGGTCGATTTCGTCGCCCACATCCGTAAAATCCTTCTCGTACTTCTCGAAGATGTGTTCAAAGGTCGACTTTAGCTTGTACGCTGCCTTTGCGCGCCCCTGTTCGAGTTGATAGCCAGGATCCTTGCTCAGCTCGAGCTGCTCGAACTCCTCGGGTTCAAGTCCTAGCTCGTCGTCCTCCTTGTCATCGTAGGGCGCCAGCCCTATTCTCAGTCGTTTTGCTGGCCGCTCCATGGTGCGTTGGCTATCGCAGCAAGCAAAGAGTCGTTGCAGGCGTTCTATCTTTCATGGCGGGGTCGCGTAGAGAGGTGCAGACTAAACGCGCCGCGTTAGAGCACAAAGAACGCGAAAGGTTCGCGGTTCCACTGGAGCTCCGTAGCCAGTAGGGCTGAACGGCGGTTGGCGGCGGGCTGCGTGGGGCTAGCCCAGGCGACTGAGGCAGCTGCGGTGCAGTGGGGTCACACTACCAGGTCACTGGCCTTAGCTCTCCCCGTACTGTACGACGTCAACTGCACTTCCTGAAGCGAAGAGCAGCAAACAGCTTCTCCCCATCGCATCGCTCATACAGAAGCCGTTTGGAGATGTGACGTCGCAACAATGCTTTGCCAGAAGTGCCGCGGTCCTCTCCGCCTGGACAACTCTCTGGAGGATCTCAACCCAGCAGCATATGATCTGCTAGTTGGTGAGCTCAAGGACTACCTATTGACCGCCGTGTTTCTACGCCACTAACTCTAGCATCGCAGCTGCATCCTCTCAGCAGCCGTCCAAGAAGGCACCCGCATCACACGTATCACCTCCTCTCGACAGTGGACGCAAAGCTCTCTATGAAAGGGCTTCGAAGAATGCGGCTCCCGCTCCCTTCAGGCGGCACGCTGGCGCCGGCCACCCTCGCGACAGCTCGGCCATGTCCTTCGTCCTTCTGACCGAGTCGCAAGTGGCAACGCCGCCGAGTCTACCGCCTCGTCGGGATGCCCAGACTTCCGGAAGTCGGCAGGAGAAAGGTAAAGATGACGGGGCCGGTTTGGATGAAGAGGACAAGAGCAAGTCGTACGAGATGGAGCGCATAACGAAGCTCTTCGAAATCCTCTCGGCGCGCTCGGACATCGATCACCCCGTGTGTGTGGAATGCACAGACATCCTTCTCGATGGACTACAGAAACGTCTGGAGACGGCAGCTAGGGAGAGAGATGCGTATGTCGGCTACCTTAAGAAACTACAGGCTGAAGCGCCAACAGAGGAGGAACTACGAGCGCAAGAGGAAGCGCTAGCAAGAACGAAACTAGAAGAGTCCGGTGCTTTGGAGGAGCTACTAAAACTCGAGAAAGAGAAGGCCTCGCTCGATGAGGAGATACTTGCTCTTGAGGAGGAATCGAGGCAGCTCGATGCCGAGGAGGAGCAGTTCTGGCGGGATCGGAACTCTTTCGCGACGAAGCTCACGGACTTCCAGAACGAGCGTGATAGTATCAACTCAAAGTTCGACCACGATTCACGACTTCTTGAGAAACTACAACGATCGAACGTATATAATGACACGTTCTGTATCAGCCATGATGGCACTTTCGCCACTATCAACGGCCTGCGGCTGGGTCGTCTCTCTAATAAGCCGGTCGACTGGCCGGAGATCAACGCCGCTTGGGGTCATGCGCTCCTTCTCCTCGTTACCGTGGCCGACAAGCTGCGTTACAAATTCGATGGTTTCGAGCCACAACCTATGGGCTCTACATCTCGTATCATTCGGTACGACATTCCCTCGCCCGCATCCTCACGTCTAGGAGCCCGGCAAGCCAGCAACGCTCCACCACCGGCGCCTAAGAAGCACGTGCTCGAGCTCTTCTCGTCCGGCGATATGCCCCTGGGTCTCACCTTCATGCACCGCCGGTTCGACAATGCAATGGTGGCATTTCTGGAGCTGGTGCGCCAGCTGGGCGTGTTCGTGCAGCGGCAGACAGCCGCGGACGGTAAGCCGCTCAGCTTGCCCTACCGAATCGAGGGCGACCGCATCGGCGACGTCAGCATCAAGCTGGGTATTGCGCAGGATGATGGCTGGACTAAAGCCTGCAAATTGACACTGACGTGCTGTAAGTTCCTGCTGGCACATGCGAGTAATGTGAATGCGGTGTCGAATGGACGGGGTCAGGCCACTGCCTGAACGAAGTAGACGGGGTATTGGGCGTCATGGTGTTTGGCTGGTACTTTAGAGACCAGGCGAGGCTGTTCATGCTTCAAGGCGTCGTTATACTCTACATGGCTTGGTTCATAGCTTAATGTAGCTCTGCATAGAAGTGAATATAGGTCACAGTCAACTGCTCTGAGTGCAACACGTTCGTGTCATGGGCAAATAGCCTTTGCAGAGCTTGTTAGATACAGCTCAATTCACTTACACGATGATGTCTCGGCATTTTCCCGGTGTGTGGATTACTGTTCGAGTCTCGCAACTGCTACACAAACATGATCCCATTTCAACCCGCGAGAGTTCTCAAGAAGCTAGCCAATAATCATGGCAAAACTCCTCGACCAAAGCCAGGCAAGGGACAGGCACTTTACAAATCATTGGTAAGAGGTTCCTATTAATAGTAACATTTCAGATTTCACTGCAATTTTAACTTCACCAGAGGTCTCTGTGGTGTGGCTCGGGTCGGACGGAAGAGCCATGTATCACTGGGTCATTGCTTCACTGCAATTTTAGTCCTCCCAGGAGCAGCAATCCTTCGCAAGCACACGGCAGAAGAACGGTATACACTCTGTCCTGGACATGCACTGCAATTTTAGTACAACCGAAGAGAACAACTTTCTCCAAAAGCTGCTTACCCACCCAAGTGGCTGCACACGTAGAAAGCTAATGTCCACCGTGCACTCGTTGCCAATAGCCCCATCCGTGAAACGATTCGCAAACATGGTTGACCTGTTTCAATGTTCTGTATATATTGAAGAAATATTTTCTCTACACACTATATCGTGCTGTATTGACATGTCCACTCCCTACACCCTCTCCGAATCGGGGTGATCCAAGTTTGCAAGCGGCACGTAGCCCTCGTCCTTCTTGCCCTTGCCCGTGATGCGCTCCCCAAACTCCTGTACCTTAACAAGAACACTGTCCCAGCCCCAGCCGCGGCCCTTCCGCAGCACGCCCTTCTCGTCGTACAGCGCCTCGTTCATGAACTTGGGCCGGCGCCAGAACTTGAGCAGCAGACTCGACACGACGACGCTGACGCTACTGCACGCCATGGCCGCGCCGGCGGCCATCGGGTGCAGGTGGAAGCCGAGCGGCAGGAAGACGCCCATGGCGAAGGGCAGGCCGACGAGGTTGTAGGCGCAGGCCCATGCCAGGTTGAGGCGGATGCGGTTGAAGATGGAGCGCGCGAGGTGCAGCGCCGCGGGGATGTCCATCAGGTCGTTGGGCCGCATGAGCACCACGTCGGCGGCCTCCATGGCGACGTCGGTGCCGCTTGACATGGCGATGCCCACGTCTGCGGTCGCCAGCGCCGGCGAGTCGTTGATGCCGTCGCCGACCATGGCTACGACCTCGCCCTGCTCCTGCAGCTGGCGGATGATGGCCTGCTTCTGGTCGGGCGAGATGCCGGCGTAGACGTCTTCTGTGCTGATGCCCACCGCTGCTGCAACGGCTACGGCCGTGCTGCGTTGGTCTCCAGTGACGATAGCGGTCTTGACTCCCATCTTGTGAAGCACTGCGATGGCAGCGACAGCGCCCTCCTTGATAGTATCTGAAAGGCAGAGGTGGCCAGCATATTTGCCGTCGATCGCAATGAAGATGTTGGTAGTGCCAGCCGAGGCAGATGAGCTGGCCTTCGAGCGGCTTGCAGCCTTGGAGTTAATCTCTTCAGAGTCCTCAACGGCATCTTGGGGCACATCGACGTTGTTCTCGCGCAGGAACTGCACATTGCCCACGAGCACATTGTAACGAAGACGCTCGGCGTTTGTCGCGGGCTCAGCCGTTGCACTAATACCCCGGCCAACGGCAGCTTTGAAGTCACCAACGCTGCCGTCAATGGTACCTTCGGAATCGAGTCCAAGTTCGGTCTTCGCTGCTCCGAGCACAGCTCTACCCACAGGGTGCTCGCTTCCCATCTCTGCCAATCCAACAATGGTCCACCAGAGACGGCGACGCCATTCGTTGTCTTGCCAGACTGACACGACCTTTGCATTAGCGACGCTCATCTTGCCATATGTGATGGTACCAGTCTTGTCAAGGACGACCTTGGTGACCTTGGTCGTCTTCTCCAACGCAGCACCTCCTTTGACAAGTATACCATTTTCGGCGCCGACGCCGGTACCAACCATAACGGCAGTGGGGGTAGCCAGGCCAAGAGCGCAAGGGCAGGCGAAGACAATGACAGAAATGCACAGCTTGACACAGACGAAGATCTTGCCGCCGCTAGCCTCTTGCAAGAAGATCTTGGGTGGGTTGGTCAAGACATGGCTTAAAACCATCCAGGTTAAGAACGTCAAGAAGCCAAGGATGAGAATTGTTGGAACGAAGTAGCCAGCAAGCGTATCGGCCAGTCGTTGAATGGGAGCACGGGTGGTCTGAGCATCCTGGACTAGCTTCACAATTTGGCTCAACTGGGTGTCTCGGCCAGCCCTGGTGACACGGAAGTCGACCCGGCCATGGCCGTTAACAGTACCACCGATCAGGAAGCTGCCTTTCCTCTTTTGTACCGGCATTGCCTCACCAGTGACCATGCTCTCGTCCACGTAAGTCTCACCGCGGACCATGATACCATCCGCGGGAATCTTGTCACCTGGACGTAGGATAACAATATCCCCAACTTGGATGAGCTCAGTGGGAATCACCTTCTCTTCGGCAGCCGCACCGTCGGTCATGGGAGTTTTGGGTTCTCCGGTGAAAGCAACTGAAAGCCAGTTCTCCGCTGCCTTTTCAGCAGCAATGGGGTCTGCGTAGATCGTAGCCATGGAGGGAGCCAGAGACATGAGGCGAGATAGAGCCTTGGATGTCTGTCCCTTGGCCCGGTTCTCCAGGAAGCGACCGAGTGTAATGAATGTGATAAGCATAGTGCTAGTGTCGAAGATAGTGCTTGGCCGAGTGTGAGGCTCAAAGAGGAATGACACAAGCATTGCGGTGCAGCTGAAAAAGAATGCGCACGATGTGCCGAGGACGACGAGAACGTCCATGGTCGGAGAGCCATGCTTGACGGATTTATATGCAGAAACGTAAAATCGCTTGCCAATGCCAAATTGTACGGGTATCGTTAAAATCAAACAAATAATGTCGCCGAGAAATAGTCCTTCAAAGATCTTGAAGGCGCCAAAGTCCAAGAACGGCAGACACATAGGGAAGATCATGCCGATCAGGAAGACGGGAATGGCGAAAGAGAGCGAGACTCTGAAAGCTCGCCGCCATTCATTGATCTCCCGGGTTTTTGCGAGAGATTCTAGTTGCGCGTTATTATCATCGTTGTCGGCGACAAGAGCGTTGTAGCCAGCTTGCTCGACTGCTTCTACAACTGCTCGAAGGCCGGTAACATTAGGTAGCAGTTGGACAGTCAACCTCGAAGTTGAGAGACTGAGTTTTGCGGAGTTGATACCAGGAAGCGCGACGAGCTTCTCCTCGAGAGACGTGGCAGCAGCCGCATCTAGATTGCCGTAGATCTTGAACTGTGCTGTTGAGGTGGCATCTGAATGGTCTGAGACGTCAAATTGTGTTGACAGAATCTTTGCATCGAAGCCTCTGTCTTCGATGATTTCCACAATCTTTTCTGGTGAAAGTTTGGTCGGATCATGTGTGATGACTGCCCGCTCTGCCAGTAAGCTGATGTTGAAGCGTAGCATACCATCGACATCAGAGAAACCACTTTCGACAGCCGATGTGCAGGCTCCGCAGGTCATTCCCTCGATAGCGACTGTTGTGATAGCTTGAGATGCCTTCTTTGCTGAACTTCCCGACCTTGGCTTCTTCGCACGCTCCGGCTCTTTGCTCTCTACAATAGAGGCATCAAACCCTCTATCCTCAATGATCTCCACAATCTTGTCGGCGGGCAACAGCGCTGAGTCATGTTCTATGACGGCTCTTTCGGAGAGTAGGGATATGCTGAAGTGCTTGACGCCAGTAACTCCTTGGAACCCGCCCTCAACTGCCGACGTGCAAGCACCGCAAGTCATGCCCTGGATACCAACAGTTGTGACCATACACGAGGAAGCCTCCTCGTCATCGACGGCATCTTCGTCATAGAGTCCTTTTGAGGTGCTAAATCGCGGAGTGGGTAGGTCGGTCGCCAGTACCTCAGCGTCGAAGCCTCGGTCTTCTATTATCTCCTGAATCTGCTCGGCGGAGATCTTTTGGGGGTCGTGCATGATGACTGCTCGTTCCATTACTAGTGAGACAGAGACGTTGCCGACTCCGTCCACGCCTTTGAAGCCTGCTTCAACTGCAGATGTGCAAGCGCCACAGCTGCGATTATGTTAGTGAGCGATCAGCAGGATATCTATATTGAGTCACTCACGTCATGCCCTCGACCTTTAACGTGGTTGTCGCCATGTGTGGCCCCGGTGTGCCCAGCAACGGCCGGGAGACCCGGGGACTCCTGGGCGGCACGACGATATTTGCTGGAGCCATTTTCTTGCTGTGCCACTATATCCCACTCTTTCTAGCAGTCGCAACAGCGATTCAACACTGCCCGGAGTCGTCCTGCCTTCCGCGAAGGGCCTGGAGTCTGGAGTCGACGTAGATTAGGGACAGATCTCATGCATCGGCGTAGGGGGTGAGATCTGAGATCGATGTTCTGTCTTGGCGGACTCGAAACTCCAGAGACTCCAGAAGGCCAGCTTCCGGGGATGACCTCAGCTTATGTACGGGCGGGAGACGGGCGGCGCTGCAGCGGCAGGGTAGGGAATACTGATTAATTGTTCGCCAGATGGGTGTACGGGTGTACTGCAGAGCAGAGGAGCATGCGGGAAGAAAAGAAGGCCAAGAAAAGCAGCGGCAGAGAGGCACAGCCCGTGGTAGTTAAGGTATGAGTGAGACGGAGTCTTTGTCAGCTCTGTCCCGCTGGTGCCGGCGATGCGATGGAACAATGAATGGCAGGATGGGGGGGGGGAAGGCCGGGCTGGCTAGACTGCTAGGCTCAGACACCTCTTGCTAAACTGGGGGGGAATGGCCCGCTGCTTGTAGCGAGTTCGTGCGCCGGGACGGGGACAGGGGTCCCTTGACAGGCGCCGACTGCGTCCGGATATATCGAGGAATGGGGCTTCGGCACACTGTACGCTTTGGTATCACGGTTGTTTCGTAGCCGTTCTGGGGATGCCTTCAGTCGTGGAAAAGACAACTCTATCCATGATTGTTTTGTTTTGTAACTTTTGTTTTCCAAATGCCGATTATCTAGAAGCCTCTTTTTAATATTACCAGAGACGAGAATGCAGTCAATCCTGAGTAGCGCAGGTCTCATTTGGTTGCACGCCAATGGTGCCGAGCACGCCATCATCAATCTGTATATTAAAATTGATAAATCGCAGATCATGTCAGCCATCGTGACACTTCAGCTTGTTCGGCAGTGAGTAAGTGTAAGTAACACAAGTGTACGTTCTACTGCCGGTTCTTTCTGCCACAAACCACCTAGATGCGTCTGAAATTTGTGTACTATGCAGTAGGTAGCGTACATTCGAGAAGAGAAGGCCCCGACAAACCTGGTCAAACATGTCCTTGGTCGCCAATTTGCCATTCCAAGTGATCAAAAGTTGCACTCTCCACGTAGGCTATCAGGAGTAGTTAGAAGCCTATAATGGAGACTTGCTTGCTCATAAGACATTGAATACTTGTGATAGCAATCGTACCATTCTTCCTTTCTTTGCCCAGCAAGCCTGTCGAAATACTACAAGAAGCATGGCCAATGATTACGTGGCTTCTCCACGATCCATGCGCCGTGGGGACATAGTCACATAGCAGGCACTTCCAAGGTTGAGGGTATCATCGTGGGTGGCGGCCGTGCAGGGCCGTGCAGGGCCGAAGGCTGCATTCGTCTCCCGCGTGCGTCGTCCGAGTCTGGCTCTATCGATTCAATAGCCCCGAATCCTGCAGAAAATGCCCCGGTACCCTGGGGAACCGAAATTCAACGTCTTTGGGCCCCAGTCAATCAATGGTTATCTGGGATCGCATAGCATCAACCGTATCTGAGGCCATCTCTATGCTTCCTGTAGCATAATTACATTACATAGTAGTTGTACGATATTGTCAAAATCGACGAGTGTAATGCTCTCAAGCAAACACTAAGTGCGGCTTTGACCGGCGCATACACTGTGCTAGGATGTATCACTGTGATATGTGTTTTGTTTCAAGATGCGCCGCTTGCTCCCTACAAGCTTCAAACGCACCCCAGTGCGTCTTCGACCTCGACGAGACAGACGACACAGGCTAAACAAACAGGGGCCTAATGCTGCATGGAAAGGGGACAAGCACTTGCGAGATCTCCCACAATCCGGCCCTGGCTCGAGTTTGGCCTGACAGAAGACTGAGAGCCTTCCCCCCTGACGAGGCGAAACTTACAGTATACATGTACAGTTGCCGTTTTGCCCCGCAGTCTCTAAATGGCCAGGCGTAGCGGATAGCTCAAACAGACCTGACGCAGCCTTCAACTTCAGACGAGGCATCCTGACACGCAAATCACAGAACTCTCGGTTACGCTAGCCCACATCAACCTGAGTCTCACTTCTCACTATTGCCGAAGCCTTGACACGGCGCTTGGAGGATCTTCTGGAAGAAAAGGGGATCCTGAGTGACTGCTGGGGCGCGGAGACCTGCCTCGATCTCCCAGAGCCAAGCCACAGATCCCTACCCAGCCTCACCACCCCACCAAACGGGCTGCCGGCCTTGACGTCGATCCAAAAGCTTAGGCAGAGCTCGCCTCTCTATCGACACCGCCCATCCCGCTCCGTTTGGCCTTTCGGGAGCTCATCATCAAGGTCTAACCCACACAACATGGAGCAAGCAAAGGCTCTGAACGCCTTAGAGGTATGCCCGGCTCCCTCTTCCACCTCCATTATACACGTATAAGCTAACACCGGCTCGCCCAGCCGTTCCTGGCCTTGAGCAAGTCGGCGACCTCGCCCCGCGCCGCCGCAGACCTCATCACGCGCGCGACGTCCGCCCCCGGCACGTTCATCTTCGCCGAGCTGCTCGCGGCGCCGCAGATCCAGGCCCTCGCCGGCGCCGCCCCGGAGCTGGCCGCACACCTCACGCTCCTGCACATCTTCAGCTACGGCACCTACGAGACGTACGCCTCGACGCCCGGCCTGCCCGCCCTCGCCGACGCCCAGGCCTCCAAGCTGCGGCAGCTCTCGCTGCTGACCCTCGCCCGCCGCAGCGGCGGCGGCGACAACCGGGCCTCGCTCAGCTACGCCCGCCTCATGCAGTCGCTCGCCCTGCCCACCCAGCGCGCCCTCGAGGACCTCGTCATCGCCGCCGTCTACGCCGGCCTGCTCGCCGCGCAGCTCGACCCCGCCCGCCAGGTCGTCCAGGTGTCCAGCGTCGCGCCCCTCCGCGACGTCGCCCCCGGCGCCGTGCCCGACATGATCGCCGCCCTGCGCGCCTGGTCCGCCCGCTGCCAGGCGACGCTCGACGAGCTGGAGGCGCAGATCGCCGGCATCCGCAGGGAGGCGGCGCGCAAGGCGGCGGAGAAGCAGCGCTGGGACGCGACGATCACCCGCCTGGTCGAGGACGAGAAGGCCAGCCAGGAGGGGGGAGGAGGGGGAGGAGGAGGAGGAGGACACGCTGCGGGGAAGAAGCCGATGACGCTCAGCACGGCACACGGCAAGCCGCGGTTCGGCAAGAGGGGAAGCAGCCTGCTCAACGAGCCGATGGCGACCGAGGACGATGACGAGGCGATGGATCTAGACGACGACGACGAGGCGGACGGCAAGAAGCGGACGAGCCGGCGCAAGCTGTAGGATGGGGTTTGGGCGTTTGGTTCGTTCAACGGTCCCGAGTGAGAGTATATTCACGGAAGGGCCGAGCCACTTTCAGCTAGATGACTTGCATGAAGACGGCAGAAAAGCACTTCACCAAGGCTGAGGGAAGCATGGATAGAATGGCCTTTGAAGTCACTTCGAAGACCAGTGGCCACAAATAGGAATAATCAGCACGGCCACAGGCTAAAGCCACCAATGACTGGCAGAGCTACGCATAGCGAAAGGCTTTGCCAGAGAGAAGATCCAGAGTAAGGATCCTGCAGTCCGATTAGAATGCTTAGACGAAAACAAAGCATTATTCACTTGAAGACTTGATAACTCCTAGTACGAGTAAAATGGGATCAAGTAATTTATACTGTTCATTAGACTGCCATGTGCCCAGTTCTAGATACTAAGATAGCAAAAAGCTAGGCTTGGTATCTTGGTGATGGCTCCATCTAAGCTACTCTCAGGCTCATCAAGTAATATAAAGCCTAGCTCCTAAAACAACTCGGAACACCGTATCGTACAAGATAAAAATCCCACTGGTTAATTATGAAATGCCTTGGTAACGCCATGTGGCCCTTATTTGCACTTCCCTTCTTTCAACAAATGGTATCCTAGACAAACAGATTCGCAAAATGTCATAATGGTCGTTAAGTCCGATATTTGTACAAGCTCCTCGTTCCGGCTATGGCCAGATCATAGTCTCTTGCCAGGGACCAGGATGAAGAGCACCAGAAGAGCTGCGTCAATGATGACAGTGACGGCCAAGACCATCAGTGCACGAGTGGCAAGCAGCCTTCGGACGTACGGCTCTCGAACTCGAGAGAAGTTGAAAGGAGTGTACTCGCTCAAGCCGATTAGGGCAAGGATAGGGTCGAGAGAGTACTGATATGAAGCTAGGAAATAGACTCCAAAAGTGAAGGGAATGATGAGCTATGAGATATTAGCAAAGCATATTTGATCAAGGGTTAGTGAACAACGTACGAAAAGCCTAGTTTCGCGTGACTTGTCTAGAAAGATGAGGACGAAAGCAGTCCAGAAGCCACCAAACATCGCAACAAGACCGATGATCAGTCTCATGATGAGCGTAGGCGGAATCAGGTTTCCAAGAGCTTTCTGTCTGAGAAAGCCGGGGAAGGCATCTCGTTCCATAGCTTGGAAGACATAGTCCTTGGCAACATCAAAGACCTCCGGGTCATCGCGGCCAAACTCCTCGATCGCTCTGGTGACATCCTCTGTGATAGACCCGGGGAGGACAATCTCACGCTCGGCACCCGGAAGCAAGAAGGTGTATAGGATCTTCTCAGCCGAGGCCCGAATATCCTGTCTCGCGACAGTATGTGCTGGAGAATTAGAGTCGGTCGTGACATCATGCGGTGTGCTGAAGTGCGGGCTGGGTCGCTGGCGACGCTCGTTGCTGCTCTGGGGAGACTCGTGGATTCCCGGCGTGCCGCCTCTCTCCTCGCGCAGGAAAGCAGACATCTGCGCATCTTGATCCTTCTCTTTGTCCGTAGCGAACATCGACGGGCCAGCGGCGGGATGGTTCATGTCACCGATGTTCTCCAAGATCGCGGATGATCGCTTGGAGGTCGGCTTCTCTCCTTCGGGCGTTCCAACCAACACAGAGCGGCGGAGTTCGCGAACGTAGTGACGACATAATGTCATGTGCTGAGCAACATCAAGCCTGGATGATATCAGTATAAAAGCCTCAAGTCAAGGTGAAAACACCGTGATACACACCAGAAATCGAGGTAGTCTACAGATCTTTGCTGATCTCTCATGTAGATATAGAAGGAAAATAGGTCGACGGGAGGAAGGGTCCGGCGACTCAAAACCTCAAAGAGGGTTGGGAGTCGGTTGCGGCCCATGTCAGGCACAGGTGACGGGGTATGTATCGATGGATCGGCCATCTTGTTTATCTCAGAATACCTGGAGTCTTGCGATCACAAAGGTATTCAGTGTATGAATTCTTCCCGAGAGTAGTCCTCGATTATCGCTGTGTGTTCGTTTTGGATGAAGGATGAATGTTTGTTGCCGAACAGGTCGTCGATTTTGGGGAGAATGTAGCCGGTTGTTTCACGTCACCCCGTGCTATCCCTTATCTTCGTCTCGATTGAAGCGACCAGGAAGACCACGGACAAGAAAGAAATAGCGAGCAGATCTTGTGCCCAAAGCACAGAAGTTAGTGAATTGGCTGTTAACAGCAGCTCATTGAGCAGAAGGTGAGGAGAATTGTTGGCATAAACAGCCTTTTGGCAGGTTGTTTGGGGTTCTTGGATTGCAACGCAATAAACCTGGAGAGACACGGTCGGGCAAGACAGCTAAACCAAAGTAAGGTAGGCGGAGAAACGGTACTTGAGGAATGCGGTAATATGGGTAGAAAGGGCAGGTACCACCCACCAGCCACTTTTCAGCGTAAGATCGTCAGTTTGAGCGACTCCACACCCAGCAACTTAATTGGCCAGCTCTCCTTCCAGCCGCAGTCTGCTCTCATTGGCCACACAGAATTTCGCACCTTCCTCCCACAAAATCTCGAAAATCAAAATTAGCCCAAAACCGCCTACCATTTCGACAACCCATCGACCAGATACCCAGACACGCCGTCAAGTAAGCCCGCCCACGGACTGCCATCCGCCACCAGAACGAGGAGAATATCATAAATCTAACCGTCATCTCCGTTACAGAATGTCGTCAAAGGGAAAGAAGCCGGCTACCAAGCCCCAGCGATCCGCCATCGCCGACGTGGTTGCTCGCGAGTACACCATCCACATGCACAAGAGGGTGCGTCAACACCACTCATCACCTCCCGATTCGCCCGAGTTCCAGGACGCCTGGAGAGGGGAATTGAGATATTCTGGAAGACTGAGGGCTGACTGTTTCATTTAGCTGCATGGCGTCACCTTCAAGAAGAGAGCCCCCCGCGCCGTCAAGGAGATCAAGAAATTCGCACACCAGGCCATGGTACGCACCACCCTCACGAGAGCAGCGACCCCAACGTATCGATCTATCATCAGCGACGCACCGGCTCGAAGAAGATCGTGGGGCGCCACCGAGTGGGATCAAAATTGCTAACTCGTACTGTCTTTAGGGTACCACTGACGTCCGCCTGGACCCCCAGCTGAACAAGAAGGTGTGGGAGCAGGGTGTCAAGGGCGTTCCATACAGACTCCGCGTACGCATCTCCCGACGAAGAAACGACGAGGAGGGCGCCAAGGAGAAGCTGTACAGCTACGTCCAGGCCGTCAATGTCAAGGAGCCCAAGGGCCTGCAGACGGTCGTTGTGGAGGAGTAAGGCGGACAAAGTCGACAAAATCTGGGTCTGGTCAAGGTGTGGCATTGGGCTTTCCGGAGTTTCGTACGGCATTTAGCTTCGCATTACCACCACTAATAAAGGGTCAATATTGAGAAGCACGTCAAAAGTACCGATGCCCTGTCTCGGGGATGCAATCCGATTTGTGTGAAAAGGTCACCTCAGTGGGATGAACAGATATCTCGATTACAGTGCTACCAAGGGTGAAGCCAAACACCACGCCTCTAATCAAGTGTGCACTCGGCGGGATCGGTCGAGTGATTGACCCGCCGAGGCAATGCTATGCTGCTGTCCAACTACTCATGACTCGGTGCCCAGTTGGAATGATGATCCCCTTCCTTGACAATGAACTGCCATTACGAAAATGCATGCATACTAGTACAGGGTAACTCTTTGACTCCGTTCTCCAAATCTCAACAATGCACATTCCATCTACTCGTCATCAATGTCCTGGTGGCGGCCCAGGACCTTGCGCTTGAACTCGGCAGGATCCTTGTCCCAGAGCTCGGCAGCCTCTCCATTCAAGGGTGAAGCACTAACATCGTTGTCAACCATTGAAATTATAGGAACAATTGTTTTGCGAGATGGCTTACTTGTTCGGCTCGCCCAGCAAGCTCTGGAGGCTAAGCAGGACAGTCTGCGTGTTGTATGCAGCCGTCCACTTGTCCTTAAGAATGTCCAAGCAAATGCGCCCTGAAAAGTCGACGTTGGGGTGATAGATAGGAGTCTTAAAGAGGACCGTCGGCGGCGCATACGGGTAGTTGGCCGGGAATGCAAAGGTGAGCTTGAAGGTAAGACCAGCATAAGGCGTATCGTCCGGTCCCTCGATGGTGGCTCGCCACGAGAGCAGGTTGCCGTCAGCAGAAGGGAAGGCGGAGATGCCGGGAGCGGGCGAGGTCATTAGCTGCATCAGCTCTGTTTGTAGTCTATCCCATTCATTGATTGTCAGCCTCATTTCGACCCAAGCTCAAAGATCTAAGGACAATGTCGTCGTGGCGCAATGTGTGATTGTGCCTACCTCTTGGTGACGCTCTGTGAGTCTGGGCCCTTTCTTGCTGCACCGAGCTTAGCGGCTTGCAGGCTGCCAGGAGCAGAGTTCTGTGTATCTTCCATTCTGGTAAACTCCATGTCAATGATGGGGACAAGGTGCCGGTGGGCTATAGTACAAGGAGCCGGCTTGAAGAGAGACAATTGACGATAATGGTCGATCTTGAGATGCGCCAGAGAGCGACAAGTCTCTCCTGGAGGTGCAGTGAAAGAGTTAATATATGAGCACAGAAACTGGGGAAGAGAGGACCACAATGTCAGAATACAGGGAGAGGTTAGGAAGTGTTGGATGCAGAGGAAGATTGGTTTGTTAGAGGATCGAGGCCGGGAAGGCGTTGGTTGCGGCGGATTGGACGGACGGGGAGCGTGGTTCCTTGCATGACACCTGGAAGCCCCATCGTCCATGTTTACCGTCTCCCTGGCTGCCGCAAGATCGCAACCCCACCACGCCTCACACAGCAACCACGCCCTAGCCAGTCAGCCAGTCCCCTGTAACTCCCCTGTGCTTGTAAGTAAAAGCTCGGCCCGCGCCTGACCTGGCACTTTGCTGGTCGCTCGGCCAATCGACTCGCGACCGGCCACTCCCACTTCTGCGAACAAAACAATTCAAGGGCCATTTTCATTCGATCTCTGGACTTAGACCCGCCTGCCGACTACGTTATTATTTACGCGCGAGAAAGCCACTTTACGCGACCGCTCCCTCCACGCGTTTTCGCCGCAAGACGCCATCAAATTGCAGTTGCAATGGTGAGTAGTATTTGTTATTTTATGTGCTAAATAGGAAACATGGCATTTGCATGCAGTATCTTTGCCAGCCAGAGTTTTAGATAGCGTCGATTGGGGATGTGCTGCTGAGAATGCATGAAAGTCACTTACACACACACCTACTACTCCACTATCCTTGTCTTAAATCCATCCGGACTTCACCCTCAGGGCCTCTCATTGACTACCCAGACTGCACACCTGCTAATCCAACATGCAACAGTCGCAGCTAGATCCCCTGCCAAATGACTTGCCCTTCAAGATCATCTCCAAGACCATTGGCAGAGGCGCATATGCATCGTGAGTCGAGTGGTCTCGTGACCAGGTGGAAACACCTACTTACAGAATCACAGCATCAAAAAGGCCATTCCTTTAGACGCCCCAAGCCCAGTCTTCGCCGTCAAGCTGGTGCACAAGGGCTACGCCATCAAGCATGGCCGGATAACGGCAAAGCAGATCGCCATGGAGGTGTCGCTGCACTCGCACATCGGCCAGCACCCCAACGTCATCGAGTGGTTCGCTACGGGCGAGGACGCCGTCTGGCGCTGGATTGCCATGGAGTACGCCGAGGGCGGCGACCTGTTCGACAAGATCGAGGCCGACGTGGGCGTCCCCGAGGACATTGCCCACGTCTACTTCCTCCAGCTCATCAGCGGCGTCAGCTTCATGCACTCCAAGGGCGTGGCGCACCGCGACCTCAAGCCCGAGAACATCCTGCTGTCCGAGACCGGCAGCCTGAAGCTTGCGGACTTTGGCATGGCCACCATGTTCGAGTACAAGGGCGCGAGGAAGCAGAGCTCGACCATGTGCGGCAGTCCGCCGTACATCGCTCCCGAGGTCCTGACGTGTGCGCGAGTGGACCGGCGAAATCCACAAGCTGCGAAGTACTCACCTGATCTAGTTGACATCTGGTCCTGCGGCGTCATCCTGTTCGTGCTGCTAGTAGGAAACACGCCATGGGACGAGCCGACCGCGAGCAGCTGGGAGTTCGAGGAGTACAGACGCACCCACGGCCGGAGCTCAGACGCATTGTGGGAGCGCATCCCGCCCGATGCCCTATCACTGCTCAGGGGCATGATGAACGTCGAGTCGGGCAAGCGCTTCTCCTTCGCGCAGATACGGCAGCACCCGTGGTTCACGCGCCGCAACGAGCTGCTCACCGACGACGGCAAGGTCTCCGATCCCATCCACCTTGCCACGCAGATGCTGGCGAACCTGCGCATCGACCTCACGCAGGAGCCGACGCCCTCGCAGCGCTACGCCGCCGACACCATGGACATCGACGGCGCCTCGCACGCCGCAGACGACTGGTCCGCCAAGTTCTCCGCGACGCAGCCCGAGACGCCCATCACCGACGTGCTCTTCGACTGGGAGCGGCCGACGATGCGGTCGCTCGGCGCGCAGTCCATCTCCTCCACGCAGCCGGTATCGCGCGCCGACGCCGCCGTCATCCACACCCGACCCGGCGTCGTCAACGCCGCGGCCGCCGCGCCGCACACCGTCGACTACCTGGCCGACGAGCCGACGATGAGCCAGTTCAGCCAGACCCCCGGCGTGCCGCTGTCGCTGACGCAGCACGCCCGGCGCTTCCGCGACATCGTGCCCGCGTACTCGCTGACGCGCTTCTACTCGCACGTGCCGCCCCAGCTGCTGGTGCAGATGCTCGGCGACGCCCTGCACCAGCTCAACGTGCCGCTGCCCGCCAACGCCGCCGCCATGGCCAACCTGCACTCGGACAGCATCGCCTGCCTCAAGGTCCGCGCCGTCGACGGCCGCCACCAGCACCTGCACGGCGAAATCCTCGTCGAGAAGTACTACATCCCCGAGGGCCAGGGCCAGGAGCTGCTCGAGGTGCGCTTCGTCAAGATCAAGGGCGACCCGCTCGAGTGGCGGCGCTTCTTCAAGAAGATTGCGCTGCTGTGCAAGGATGGCATCTACAACGCTGCCGCCTGAGCATCGTTGAAATAATTCACATAAGCGAGGGGAATGATCTTCATTCAGCATGAGAGTTGCATCTGCATTGCTTGTCAAATATCATCATACATTCCTGAGTAGAGAGGACTAAGGGCTTGCATCACAGCTGGGAGTAATGGATACTGGAGTTTTATTCTTTTCTTCGCCGTTGGGTAATGTCTAAAAAGCTACTAAAATAAAATAAGGCGGAAGGAAGTTCGCCTGTACACACACTGTCTGTCCCCATTCGCCGTGATGAAATGACTTCCATGCTTGTTCTGTTTGACCCTTCCCGACGATGGCGTGGATACCATGCATAAGCCCGCATGCGCCCTTAGGCGCCACAAGCTGATATCCTTGAAGATACGAAAGGTTCGAGGTATAGGTCAAGAGAATATACAATGCTTAAAATGAAAATGATGTGGGTATGAGTGAGTATATCGGTTCCTATGAAGATGATCTCCATTGATTCTCCCTATCCGGCACCGGCACCTATGCTATCTATGTAATAAAGAAAAGTGGTATCGTTGTGAAAGGTGCCTTTCAAAAAAAAGTCCCCAAAAAGAATAAACACCGTCGCCATGCCTGTCTTTGGATGTTGATGATGATAATGCTGGAGACATTTCTGCCTCGTTGTGGGCAGAAGAGTGGAGAAAGAGGTATGTAGATGAGACGTATGCATGATAGAAAGGCCTCGAAAACTGGAGGAAATTTCGAACACATGTGGATGACGAAAGAAAGTCCGAAGAGGCTAAGACTCAAGATTCCCTATGGTCTTGAGTTAGCAAACGTATAATGTTCGGCCACGGCAGCAATCCGTGGCACGAGCTCGTTGGTGATGTTGCCCCACCGATCGTTATTGTTGTTGTTGCTGTTATTGCCGATGTTGCCGCCGGATCGGTTCCAGCTCCCGTTGAAAGAGATACTTGGACCGTCGGGGCAGTAATCGTCATCATTTCTAATAAGTGGACTTCTTTCGACAGACCGGAATTGCTCTAGGTCTGCCTCCATGTCACAGAGATGCAGAATTCCTCTTCCAGCCCACTGGTCGATCATATCGGCTATCTTCTTGAAGCCTGCGGTATGACCGCCGCAGTTTCGGGCTTTAAACCCACAGCAGATGAAGAGATAACTGTGGATGAGTTCATGGAGAAAGGTGGAGATGAGAAGCCTCCTGTTGTATTGCGTGTCTTTGAGAATAGGGGAGGATAGAACGATGAGTGTCTCATAGCCGCCCCTTTTCGCAGCTCTCAGGGCAGTGGTTCCAATAATCCTGCTATCGTACTGCGAGCTGGACGAGTGGGACCAGTCCCATGTCACCCGCTGTGACAGCTTGCCGTGGAAGAATATCTCATTGGCAGCATGGAAGATGCTTGACAGAGCCTCGTTGTCTAGAGGAAAGTCTGCACCTTTGATGGATTTGGGATGAATCAGGCTCTTCAGAATACGCTCGCACTTCGTATCTCGGCGAACGCTTGCCATATATTCCTTGACTCGCTGAGCAGCAGCCAAGTCCTCTTTATACGAGAAGTCGTCACATGGCAGGGCGGAGCGCGGATCCGAGGCGATAGATCGGCCCGAGTGAGTTCTCTCCATGAAGTGTGCGCTCGCGAAGTGCTCTGGTTCTGGGTCTAGTAATTGGCCTGGCTGCAGTTCCGGCTCCGGTGATGCGCTTCCGGTGAAGTGGCTGCAGCCGTCGTAGTCGGGTTCTCTTGGTGAGGAGCCCTCCTTAATGATGAAGAAGACATTGTTCGACTCTGGCATAGCGGCCCAAGGTAGCTCCGGGGAGTCGACACGGGAAACCTGCTCACGCAAGCGAGGCCGCTTGTAGAGAAGGGGATCCGCCGGTGGGAGATTGTCAAGGACGTCGTCCGCGTAGATAAAACGCCGCTTCCCCGGCATGAAGGAGACAGAGAGTACTTCGAGTTCATCAGGTGATCCATCAAGGGGTCGAGGAGATCCCCCGCCGCCGGCCCATTGAGCCATTGGACATGCTTAGACTGTGGAGCAGACCGAGAGGTAAAGCGGCAGTGGCCTGGGTGGGAAAACGACGACGATGACTGACAATGGTGTCGAGTAAGGAGACCCTATGTATGTATGGATGGATGTAGGTAGGGTAGATGTGGTGTGGTATGTTGTGGTATGGGAGGTATGTATGAACATGAACGGTGAGAGGGGGCAGGCTATTTACAGCGCGCGCGCGTCTCAGATGACGATGATCAATGACAACTGGACAGACAGGCAGTGAAGTGTACAGGACATGAGCTATGGAAGATCCGGGAGATATGTAACACCACTGAAGAGTCGTTGTCTCAAAGGCGGACCGCCTCACTTGCCTGCCATGGCGAATAGTTTCTTGGGCGGTTTCGACCTAAGGCAGGGCAGCGAGGGTCAACCTGTAAGAGATACAGAGGGAGTGGAGTTGCAATGAGTGTTAATAAGAGGTTTAGAAGAGTTTGGGAGACGAGGTCTTCTTCAATCAAGAGAGCGCGAGGCACTCAGGCTGGGTCGAGGGGGGATTGGGAGTGGACGATCAGCCTAAGATATGAGGGGCCGGACAACAGAGCAAAGCATGGCATTCCCTGGGTGTGCCGCTGTGGCATGCCATGTGCGTGTGTGTGTGTGTGTGTGTGTGTATGCCTTAGGTTGGTATTAGGTAGGTATTCTGAGTACCGTACTGTATTGTACTGGACTGGAGTGTAGCCAAGTCAGAAGAGAGAGCAGCAAGAGCAGCGCCTCAGCAGGAGCACATGCCGAGCAGCGAGTCAGGTTCGGAGGCGACGGGAGGGGAGAGGATAAGCGACAAGATGTAGATCTGAGGTGGAAGTGGAGGTGGAAGAGGGCTAATAGTTTTCAAGGTAGAATGAGGAGGAGGGAGATGGATCCCAGAAGCAGAGCGCCAATATTAAAGAAGTGAGGTACATACGGTGAAGAGGTATGGTACCTAATCTAATGTACGCCGTATTGAAGGGGGCTTCTCTTCCTCACGATGCCTTCCTAAGACACCCAGAGGCGCCAGCCGAAGAAGAAGAAATCTGCAGAATGCGATGCGCTGCGGTGTGTACGGAAGAGCAGAGCAGAGCAGAGTATGTATGTACAATAATATGCGAGATATGGTGATCCCGGGAGCAGAGCACGAGCACGAGGTCAAAGGCACAAGGTAAGCTAGACAAGCTTGCAAATCAAAGCCAAGGAAAGAGCTAAGGAAGAAAGTGATGCAAGAGCTTTGCTGTTGCTCTCTTGACCTGAAACTCCACACCCACCAAAATAGCTCTCTCTCTGTCTCTCTCTCACTGTCCCTCTTGCCCTTCTCCCTGATGCTCGGATGGCTGCTTGCTTGCTTAGTTGGTGACGATGGTGCAGTTTGAAGCTGGGGCACCTTGGTGTGTTGGGTGGTGTGAAAGTCTAACCAGTGGGCTACCTGCTACCTAGGTAGGGATCTAGGGAGCCAGGGACGGGACCCAGCCATGGACTCCAAAGAAAGTCAGGGACGGGCGGGCGGGAGAGCGGTGTGCTCCCTAGCGTTCCCAGCCTGCGTGGGTGAGCGTGCGGCGTCTGCAGTAGCACAGCAGGCTGTCAAGGCAGTTGCAGCGCTAGCGCTCAGCGTTTTGGAGCAACCGCCGTTAGTGCCTGCTAGTGCTAAGATTCCCTCATCTTCCACCAGCGTAGCGCTGAGATTGGGATCCCCACCCGGTGAGCAGCCCGTCTCCGGGTGGGTTACCCAGAGTCTGAGGGTCTCAAGATTCTGAGAGAGTTACCAAGAAGCTCAAAGCTCAAGCGAGACGATCCCAAGGGTTCCTTCCAAGTTTCCAGGGTCCTTCCTTCCTCCACCTCCTTCCCTCCGTTTCAATCAGTCAATCATTGGAAACCAATAAGCAGACTACAATCTACAAAATTGACTTGAGGGGGCCCCGCCCATTCCATTCCAGAAGCGACGATGGACGGATGACGGTGTGTGGACGGGCCAATGTACGAGGACGTTGAGTCTTGTCTTTGTTGCCTATGGTATGAGGGTAGGTAGTGTGTTGAGCTGAGTTATGCTTGCCTGTTTCATTTGCATTTCATCACCTCTGCCGGTGCCGAATGCCACCTCACTCGCTCCTTCCTCCGCCTCAGTCACACATCAAAACGTTGACTTACATAAGTTGAGTAATTGAGGCAGGCACGCGCCGCTTTTGCACGCTGTCTGCCGACACATCAGTTAATAGGATGGCGATTAATTACTACGCAAGTAGGAAGGTGAGGAGCATTGAAGAAGAGGAGCAATCACTGCAGCAACAAGCAGCAGGTGGCGGGTTCAACAAGGCCCAGACTGGCCAAAGTGGGAACTTGTGCTGCATCTTGCTGTTCCGAGAATCCTATCCTAGGCCCCCTGTGAACTGGAATTGGAGGCTGAATCAGTATAGGATGCGCAACGCCAACACAATGCCACAATCAGACAACAAATGGGACAATACCGCACTGCATAGTAATGATGATGACGATGCTTGCTACTGCCAATTCCTCAAAAAGATGAGGCTTTGACCCTTCGACAGGCCCTCAAGGATCCTAAGACAAGCCTGACCTTGCTAGCACCGCTCGGCCTGCGTTGGCCCCTCAAGCCTCTCCGATTTGGCGAGGTTGACCGCGGTGCGCCAGGGTCTCCAAGGGCGCCTGCCATTGGCTATCATCTCGAGGTCGTATCCGGTTATTGGTCGCCTCAACTTTGAGAGAGATCTGCTGGGACCCAATGACGCAGTGTTTCTTTTCCCTCTCGCCCTGCCCTGCCTTCAGTTCCCTGGCCCGCCTGGCCCTGCCTGCACTCTGCGCATGCTTGCCGCTGGCTGATACGGTGCACGCATGCTTGCTGCAAAATGCAATCCGTTTCCCCTCCCAAAATCCAATCCAATATCCACTTGTGATGGGCTGGCTGGATGGGGAGGAGGAATCTCGCTCTTTGCAAATGATATGTGAAGGCCGGGTGGTAAACCCTTGCCAATAGTGCCACTCCATGTGAAGATAACATCTGCATGCACGCACGTACGCTGTAACACACTCGAACCACGCGACTCCAAAAGTCTCGAACTCGGTCTAGATGCTGACATCGACAGAATCGAACGGCAGCGGTACGACGACAGTATCAACAGCCTCTGTCCAATGTGATACATCTCAAAACGATAGGTTATAGCCAGTTCGAGACCGGTGGAATCCCAGTTTGCGTGACTCTTGAGACACTATCTAGTCCCCAACAAAGAGGGTTCCATCCGTGCATATCAAAGCTGTCAGGCATCAATTAGAATTATCAAAGTGTTGCCGCTGTCTGTATCTGTTCGCATGTGTCAACGGTTCTTCAACCAAAAGGTCAGCCAGATAATGCAGTCTGAAAGAGACATGGGTTGATTGGGACGTTGGTCGTGGTGTAATGCTATACGACCCATGGCTGTCGGGTTACGATACCGAGATCGTGTGTCGGTGTGCTGCAATGATCAAAATTATACACCAACCCGGCTCCTGTGCAACCGCGCATCTAGCCCAAAAGGGGGCGATGGTGAGATGTATTGCCTCTATATAACGCCTCTAGACTCTGCTGTATGGATCCACGACTCATACCCCTTTATGCAGACACGCTCGAAACGGGTTGTCTTACCCTTGTGTCATGACGGCATAGGATACCTGCGGCTCACAGCCCCTTCGCCTTGTTCTCGCAACGCTTGGCTCTGGTGAGTTCGCGAGCCGGCCCCCAGCTAACTTACGCTTGGATCTCATGTAAGCCGTTCACCAGTCTATCCGTCCCGTGTTGCTCGTGCTTCGTAATACAAGATTCGTGAATCTACCGTACATACAGTCACCGAAATTGATGTTAGCCTCAAGCCACCCCGCGACGGGCCGCTCGCTCACGCCCTCAGGCCCAGGTTCCTGACGAATCGGACGTCGTCAGCCTGCCTTTCCAGAGCGCGACGCATGCCTTCCTTGTAGAGTCGTTCTTTCCGTTCCTGGTCCAGCTCCTCAGCTGATCTGGCTCGCTCCTCAAAATCCTCGGCCACATATCCGGGCTTAGATGAGAAGCCCACGAGCCCGAGCTTTTCACCGGTCCAGAACAATATGTCATTGTCGTTGACTCGGTCAGTGCCCCTGTCGTTCTGCGTTGACAGAAGCTTCCTGGCAATGTCGTCAGAGCCCGGCATGGAGGAGAAGAGTGATGGCGCTTGTTCTCTCTCCGAGTGACCTATCTTTGCTCTCCGGACCTCGGTGAATCCATCCCTCTCAAACCACTTCAGCTTGCCAGACCCATCTGAGAAGACCATTCGTGTGCCATGGTTAATGACTGAGAGTAACTTCGAGGAGGAGGCATTATGCCGGTTCTTGAACGTCGAGTTCTGCAGACCACCTGGTAGAGATGGGTGACTTGACGATGGCGGGAGCAAGCCGTAGAGCTCGAGCGAACCCTTTGTGTTGTATTCACCGCATGCAATCAGAGTCCGCCCACCGGGGGTAGTCTTGGACGTCTGTACCTGATCCAACGACAAGCGGCCCTGGCGACGTTGTTCGCTGTCCAGCGTTGAGAAGGGGTAGGGCAACGACGTCAAGCTGCATAGTTTCGCGCCTGAGTGGACAGAGCCCCTGATCGACGGAAACTTGCGCCGGTCGTAATGCAGGATGTTGGAGAAACGGCCGGCTACATATATATCATCTGAGAGATCTTCCTCCGCCCCGGGGCGTTGTAGGTGCAGAATGCTCAAAGGCCCAGGCTGCGAGAGTGAGGCGTACGGCGGTAGTGGCTCATCATCAAACAATGCTCTGAGGCTTCGTTCGTAGAACTCTTTTGCCCCAAACTGGTCGAAGTCGTCGATCCTGCCGAGGCCATCAGTCTTTAAAGGGGCCCGCATTCTGTAGTCATGAAGATGAATGCCCAGGCTAGTGCCAACCGTAAGAGGCACACTATGGTGTGCAGTGGATAGAGATGTGATCGACCATGGGAAAGACTCGCACCCGACTACCGACAATCTTTGTAGATCCACCTCGATAAGGTCTGTTGCCCAAGTTAGGTGGTTGCTCTTTCGGATGGGAGAACATGAGGCTTACGGCTCTGAACTGCGAAGAACGCGCGGTATCGCGAACTGTCCACACTGACACATTCAGTGACACCAGAATCGATTCTCTTAGATCGTTTGCTGTTGTCAGCGCTAGGCCCGTCAATGAAGAGTATGCCTGGTCGACTTTTGGCCTGGATTGCGCCCCTCCTACCTGTGGTCCCATTGACGTCCCAAAGACACACGGAACCATCATCAAGAGGTGAAACCGCAAAGAGTGATCTGGGGCCACATGGATCTTGGCGTGGGTTATCGGGGTGGTACAGTGCAACTCCACGAGCTTCAATCAGGGCAGATTCAGACCCATCTTTCAGCAACGGCTGCTGTAGCCAACTCACGACAACCGGCGCATGTCGCTGGATATACTCGTCATACCAGCTCACTCTCTCGGATGGATACGAGGGGTCCCAGTTGGCCATGATTCTAGTCCTCTCTCGTTTCCAGCTTTCCGCCGGGCGCGGACTTGGACTGCTGTAGATCGCTTCGGGAGCAGTCCCACTGACAGAAGCCGCAGCCTGCCGTAGGGCGCTCTGCTGCAGTCCATTATCTCCCTCCCATGTATAGCGGCGGAGGCTTAGAAGCTCAAGGAAGGAAGATTCTTCGTAGCATCTCGACCGCCAGAAGCTATTGTCTCGGCCGATAGTTCGGAAGTGTCGTGACACTAATTGCAGTTTCGTGATGTGTACAGGTTCAAGGACTAGAGCAGGCTACTGTTAGTTCTGCAAAGCTAATTTGCGAGACTCCCATATCTTACAAGAAAGAATGTAGAGAAGAATCTCCTCAGGAAGGCTGGTCAAGCCTATGCGATCCATCTCCCGACTAGCTTACTGAAGGCAGCCGGAAGCCCCGCCCGCATCCAGCTCCTGGGTAATTGTAGTGTATGATATGGAGAATTGAAGCAAGGCATGCGAAAATATATTGGGCGTGAGGGAGATATCGAGGCTCAGTCAGGCCAAAGAAACACAAATGGCATAGGAGTTCTTGTGCGAGGTCGGTGGTTAGAGGTAGATAGGTCTGTATGGATTGGACGAAGGATCTCCTGCATCGGGTACACAGCCCCTGCGGGAGGAGGGCACCGGGGAACCTGGAGGTGTTATCGGCTCTTATCATCTATCTTATCGAGATAAGCGAACCCCGCCTCGCGTCCTCCCGAAATGACCACCTTGTGGAGCAGAGCCTCCCATCCGCTGTTGTGCTCAAGGTTCATCTCCCCTACTCCAGGGTAATCAATGGGAATTTCTCAAACCCACAGTACTAAATGGGAGAGTTATGATAGGAAGAGCGACGACGAAATCGCTCCGATGCCGAGTCGTCGCATCCCTTCGTGTACCATGTAGGGTCGAGGTGAAGACTTATATATTTTCAATGTTTTCAAGGTGCCGTCAATACCTCGCAAGACAGAAGTGCCCAGTCAGTAAGACGAGGTAAAAGATATTGACCTGGCAGTGGAATGAACTCAAGTCAGATGGAGAATGGGGGCAGTTTCCAACTCCAATTTGTTTGATCTGAAGACGATAACTACCCAGCAAAGAGGAAACTAATATTCACGAGGAACCCGGGTTTTAAGCGTGACGAGCTTGCATACTGACCACTATAGTACGGAAGATGATCGAGGGTGGGCCCTTGCTGTAGTGACAGTTCTTCTCGGAAGGAGGTTTCCTAATAGAAGATATATATATGTATTTTTTATTAGATTCCGCTCAGATCACAGTGTCCAATATATAGTAAAATACACAAAATGAAACGTAATACCATTATCTCTCCTCACAGTAACCAATTATCACAGTAATTTAATCGAGTATATATAGTTGAATTGTTGAAATATCTCGCTGTCCATTACCGGATAATAACTGTGGTATTAAACATTCCTTGCTTTCTTGGCAGTGTGGTACAACGAAAACGTCAAGTTACAGCCCAAAATGTGGCAATCTCCATGTTCGATCATGATGAATATCTCCATGTCAAGATTTGGTGCGGCGAAGGACAAAGACATGATCTACTAAAGCAGAAATACAATCTATAATCGAAGGTAACACACTTCGCTTCTGCAACATCGCTTCGACTCCAGTCACTGCCGTTGTTGACATCCATGGATGCTTTGGGGGCAATCTAGTTCCTTGGATTCCCCGCCTAGCGACCTATCGTTGAATCAATTTAAGGCGGCGGTCATCCACATCTACACAGCCTGATCAACTGGCGGCGAGATGGATCCGACAAAGCGCAAGGCTGGCCCAGAGCTGGTATCTAACCCATTCATCAAAAAGCGCAATCTCGAGTGGAGGATCTCGCCACCACCTCTACGCAATCCTCATCGTCAGCTGAAGGTCGGTGCAGGGAGCATTGATGAGAAGCCTGATGAAGGAAAAGATGCCGGCATTGGGCCGCCGCTTCCGGCTGATGTCAACAGCAATAGCGCAGCCATCGAGGCCGGCGATGTGAAGATCACAGACCACGCCGCGCACTTCAGCCAGCTCCTCTCGGAGTGCATCTTCTCCCCGTACCCGGAGGACACGCCTCGCCTCTCTGTCGCCGGCTACCGCGCCCTCTACGAGCGCAACTTCGGCAGCCCACACGGAGCACACTTCGTCATCCACCAGCATGACCACCCGGTGGCAGGGACGCATTACGACATACGGTTACAGATCAACCCGACCTCATCTGCGTCGTGGGCCTGTATGTACGGCGTTCCCGGGGACGCCAACTCTACACGGCCACTACGCAACGCCACCGAGACCCGCGTGCACTGTCTGTGGAACCACCTCATCGAAACAGCGAGTACCGCGACGGGGAGCCTGCTCATCTGGGACACGGGCACGTACGTGGTGCTGGAGCGCCGAAGCAAGCACGCCCCGGCGGTGGATCCGGAGTCGCAGGAGACGGACGGTGGCGGTGGTACTGGCTGGGGGAAGCTCACTGAGCAGGAGAAGCTTGCACGTGCGTTCGCGGACCGCAAGATTCGTCTTCGACTGGATGGTGCGCGCCTGCCGCGGCCGTATGTGCTCAACTTGCGCTTGACGAAAGATGAGGACGCCGCTGGTAGGTCGAAGGCGCAGAGGTCTGCTCAAGGAACGCCGCGCCGGCGACGGCCGAGGGCACCCCTATCAGAGACCTCGAAGACGATGGTTGTAACCAGTAGTAGCAGTGGCAGCTCGGACGAGGAAGGGGCCATTGATATGGAGGGAGAGGAGAAATATAAGGATGGCTCAGGCGCACCGGCAGGGAATGACGAGGCCGAACTATCGGCAATGGAGCGGGAGCTGCGTGAGCTCGAGGACGCGGAGGTCCGGCGGACCAATGCATATCCTGGGGCAAGCAATACGATTGGCAGCGTACATCAACGCAAGTGGTTCCTGTCAATGGACCGCGAGGCCAGCGGATTCGTGAAGACGCGAAAAGGGAACCGTGTAGTATGGGAGAAGAAGATAGGAGAGTATACTCTCAAGCCAAGAGACAACATAGTCGATGGCAATGGCAGCGAGAGCTCGGGACGGATTTCCTACCCTTTCTACGTGCGTGGACCCGAGTTTGAGAGGAGCGTGATCACGGGACGGCTAGGGAACGACATCCTTAGCGACGAAGGTGTCACTCGGTTTGTAAACAGAAAGGGCTGGAGACCCGTGGTGAACTGAGCGCTCTTAAAGTACGGGAGCCGCCTGTGTATGACTACTTGCATGATGGCTGTACATATCTACCAACACGTCTGTAGATCATCCTGTAATTTCAAAACTAGACGATTCAGTATTTAGACCTTGCAATACAAAATATGGGCAAAATGGTTGTCGTCATGAAGCAAGGCTATTTTACTCTCTAAATTCTACAAAAGGCACTTCTAAAAAGAGAACACAAAGGCATATTAGACTAATTTGCGCGTACAAGCGAGATGTCCGGTGTTGTTAGATCTGAGAAGAGATCGATACAGTATATCGACAGGTATCAAAATGCGCCGCGCAAGCGATTGAATCCACAATCAGTCAAATAAAACACACTGTGCCTTATGGATGTATCTCAAAACAGCGCCGTTCCGGTATTTCCAGTAAATCCACAAGTGACCATATTATCATTGCCTAAGTCTCTTGGGGAGTCTACTCCGTTGCCGCCTCAATGAGACGTATCCTGAACATCTAGCAGCTTTTACTCTCTGCTGATATTGCTGAGGCACCTAAATGCAATCAAACATATCTGTAAACTCTTCGCAACTAACTGGAAGAAATACTTGGCAAAGAAAGAATACACCAACCATGGACAATTGGCGAACCTTGGGGACGGCAGTGGGAGCAAGGCTTCATTGGACAGCAGTACACCCAATGGTCTACGCAGACAAACTCAAGGAAGATAGAACATAGAACCAAAGAATCATACAAGCTCCTTCAACATTAGATCTGTGACACTCATGCGAAGCTTGAGAACCCGAAGTAAAGCATATTAATGCAATATTCTATGATTGTCTCATAGAGATGCATTGGATTTTAACGGGGTTGCAGCTGAGAACCTCTCTTTGACTGCCTGACAGACCTTGTGGCCGTCGACACAAACCTTCAGGGCGAATGTATTCCAGATGCTGGACTAACTCCCCTTTGGTTGCACTGGAAAGAACGACTTGTACCAAACCCACGTGAAGACGGCAACATAAATCGGTGGATTGAAGGTTAAGTTCCCCAGAACCCGGAAAATCCAGCTGAGTGAGTCAACATCTTTTTCCTCAATTCAACCTATCTCCGAATTATTGGGCGCTCCTTATAAATTACCAGCCCGCCTCAACTTTCTTTGGCATTATATCTTCTCATTTCATCTTTCCTCGGAATACTGGTCTCCGACGTATGCGGTAAAACACCTAACAAGATGGAGCAAACTCGCAACATTTTGAGCCTCCCTCTTGAACTAAGAGATCTCATCTGGGATCTCGTCATGGAGGAGGAGGACATCACGTACCTGACACACACTTGCCACCAAATACGCAGAGAAACTCTGTCTCGCATGCCGGGCGGCCGTTTTATCGACTACGAAACTTTTCAAGATGACGAAGAACTCGGGAAGAAAGTCTCGGACAAGAAGATTGTGGCCAAAGACCTCAATATCATTGCTGAGCCTCATTACTCCCCTGGGTCTGCACTCAAATTCGAAATCAAGTGGATTGCATCTTACAGCGGTCGCCACGTCTCAGGGACATCTCGATGGACAGTTCGAGATCTCGCATCGCCGATGACAAGATACGTCTATTTATTCCAACCTAGGAATGTCACTATCGTCTTCGAAGCCCCGATGACAGGCCACATGCTCCTCGCATTCCTGATCCTACACGCGAAATGGTTGGACATCTCTCGGGTCTTGAGGGACCTTTGGCGGGACAGAATTTGGCCATTTTGGAAGGAGCTCGCAATTCATTTTCGCGGCGGGAAAAACCCAAGTCGGCCCAGGTCTCCGCGCAAATCATTCTGGGAGATGCGACCTACACCGGTCGTTAGTCCAAGGTGGCATGTTCGCGCTTGTAGATGGGAAGGCAAAGTCATGAAGAGAACCGAGCAAGAACGGGAAACGTTCCCGTATTTCTATGAGTGCCTGTTACTTCCGATATTCTCCTGTACATGGGGCTGGGTGCCCACGTCCATTTCCTTCGATTTGACTCCTAGCAAACGTCGAACATCGTTCTACGATGAAACTCGTGTCGGTGGGAAGGTCGTTAACATCGAGTACTTCGGATATCTTGAACTGTTCAGGTTCGCACGTCGTGAACATTGTCTGTACTGGCAAGAGCGCCTTGGCCGGGAATTGAGAGATCATCTGCGCGTGCCGAGCAGCAGTCATTGGGATAGGCGCACTACGGACTTTCGATGGGTCATGAGACTCCTTCAAGACTTCATAGGGGAGCTCCCGTGGTTTCTGGACGGGTTGGTGGGAGGAGAGTTTCATTGGGCAGCAGTATATCGAATGGGCGGCAAAGGGATGCGAGAAGCCCTGTGCCAAGATTTCCTGAAGTAATATCTCGATCGGGAATTCCTAGAGCCGAAGGGTCACGATTGCGACTGTTCTGCTCGCATGACTTCTTGAAGTCACGAAAAGCACTTCCTGTCAGATAGCTCATAGTTGTTTAAACCTTAGTAATGACAAGGCAATAATTTCAGCCTCAAGGCGTATCTATAAAAGCAATATTGGAGGATTTGGTGATGATGATAGAACAGATACTAGAGGCAGCCTGCTTAAATGTCCGATTTTGGGAAGTTGCGGCTGAGATCTACCTTCCAAGGGATTCGCTCCGATGATTGGTCAATGCCATGATCCGGGGCAACTGTCCCGAAGTGGTCTTCAACGCTGCTTGATGTTGGGCAGCCTCAGCCCGGGGCTCCACTGGTTACGAGGAGTTATACAATTCATGGAAGCAGAAGCAGGAAGAAGCTGCTAAGAGATGCTATAGTCAAAGCTCTCACAATGAGGTAAGCACCAGTACAGGAAATTACAGGAGAGGATATATCTTTCTTCATGACAACCACCCCACAAGCTAATGTACCTAAGGCTACACGATATCTCTAAGTATTTGTGTCACAGCGTAACGTCCAGCGAAGCCAAGCCGGCCGTGATAACAAGCCATCCTAAAAACTCCACGAATATGCATCCAGGCTCAGTGTAACATAAAAGAAGCCCCTAGCTTCATATCCTTTGTTCTGGTTCCGCCTCGTTTGCACACCACCTTCCAAGCGCCCGCGTATGTCGCTTTTATGGCCACCTTTAGCTAATCCATACAAGAAAATACAGAAGCACTACAGAGGTGCTTACACCTATTGATCACCGCTGCTGATGAGGGTAGGTGCGATTCTCCTCTTCTTGGGCTCTCCCCCCGACTCCTCCTGCTCGCTCTCACTCGCGTCTCTCTTCATCCCCGCAACAGTGTTTGCGGTGCTTCGTGGGGTCTCAGGCGGAGTTGTGATGGGTACACCGACGACCTTTCCTGAATTGGCCGCAGCAATACTGGGCACGTTTCCTCCAATCAACGTAGGGTTAGTCATGACACCCCCTGGTGCTGTGGATGCTTGGGTGATGACAGACGATGTAGAGTTAGATCGTGCGGGTGAAGACGGTCGCTGGTTTACAAATGAAGCCATAGGAGGAGGTGAAGGGGCTGTAAGTGAGCTGGCGGAGTCTCGATGCCGATGCTGGCCATTGGGGAAGGGTGAAGGTGGCGCAAAGACCGAAGTCGGGGTGGGAATAGGTGTGTTTTGGCTAGAAGTGACTGCCGTCTCCGATGCTTCTGGTCGTTGACGCGCTTTTTGTGAGGCAGTGGGGATTTCACCCGTGTAGACCTGGCCTAGGTCGGATGATGAGAATGAAAGGGTAGAACAAAACCCATCAGACGATGAAATGAGTAGTGTCAGACCATCACTCGACCTTTTGCAGACGTTAGTCACCATCAACAATGCTTGCATTTCATGATTACTTACCATGCCAGATCTGTAAAGGTTGCACAGTGAAGATTGCTTACGATACAGATAGGAGTTTGCTGTTGTGTATCATAGAGCAAGACAGAATCTTGTGTTGCAACGGCATATACCATTCGATAGGGGAGTGAGAATGCAGGCTTGGGACCGGGGGCAGTAGAACCGGTCTCCACATTCAAGGTTTTGGAATTTGGTGTCAATGACTCTGTTGAAGCAGGGGGTGGGGGAGGCTCCATAACGGATGGGACTGGAGAAGGCTTTGATAAGGGCTCTGGTAAAGAGGGTATAGGATCTTCTGCAGACGAAGTATCAATCGTTATGTGCTTCGTGACAGGCGGAGATTGCCGTAGTGTGTAGACAATTGGCGAGCATCGAACCACGACAGACGGTTTCTTGTGCCCAGGTAGATGTGCAATGGGCGGTCTGTTGATACCGCCTCGAGTGTAGATGTAGACTGTGTTGATAACCTCATATGCTGGCTTGGCACCTTCAGCCTGCTGCTGAGTTTGATATTGACCCGCTGGGGTCAGGAGCAGACTGCCATCTGGGGTGAAAGTAAGTCGCCTGAAGAAGGATGTCAATGTCTCATTGGCATAGAGACTGGCGTTCTTCATGCCAATGCTGCTGCTGGTCGGATGTGGTTTAGGAGAAGCTTCCATGGGCATCACTGCCGGCAGAGGCATTGATGGTGCAGGAGACACAGAGCGTCTCGATGCTCTGTCTGAAAATGACGATTTGCGGCTGTGACTGATCACACTAGGGGGGTTCATGGGCAGGAACACTGAAGTTGGTGTGCCTGGCGCTGACGGCACAGGAGAACCTATTGCACCACCCACTGCATAGGCATCTATCGCCGCCAGCTGGGCCCTATAGCCAATTTCGGGTGGAGCAGGACTGTTGGATGATATCCGCCGAGGAGGCAAGTCAGTCTTGGTGTGGCTGGCAATCTTGGGCGGCTTATCGTCGTGACTTGTCAGGGTGTACTGCCCATCCTTGGTCTTGAGAGAGTAGATATGGACTGATCGATCGGAAGATTGGGTCGCGATATACTCATTCAAGGGATCCCAAGCTACGCCTTGCACATAGTGACTGTGCTCAGCTATTTGGCGTACCAGAGTACCTGCCAACAAAGTCAGTATCCACAGAAATAACCAGGACACCTCCTGACGAACCTGTTCCGGCATTGTATATACGAGCAATATTGTCCATACTGCCGATGATGAAATATGACCCGTCTGGTGACCATGCGAGGTCGTAGATCTCTGCGCCGGACGAGCGGCACATGTGCTTTGCTCGCCATGTCTCCTTGTCCTCGAGGCCATCGGTACCAAAGGTCGGGTGGTGGTTTTCGGACGGAACCCAGAGGATGACGTTGCCATCATCTCCGGCGGAGGCAAGGAGTTCGCCTGGAGCAAAGAATATTAGTGAGAGGAAGCGATCATCGGAGCAGGGAGTCCCTACCCTTTGGCGCCCACCGGACGACGTTCACAGCTTGAGTATGCTTTGCAAGAGTGGACAGGTACTCAACCTTTCTGTCCTCACCTTCGCCTTCGACCTTCCAAAGCTACGTGGGGTCAGTTGATGCATCCAAGGTGTGTGGAAGATTGGAGCTGTCAGCTCTAGATCTGGGGAGCAGGGTCACTTACGCGAACATTGTTGTCTCCGCCTGCAGTAGCCAGCCTGCCCTTGCCGTGAGACTCGAAATGGGCGGAGTAGATGGGGGCATTTTGGTCATGCCAATTGATGATAAGCGGAGTGCTCTTCATGGTGACATCCGCTCGAGTTGAACACGGCTACCGCTGCGTGGGCATGTGGTCGAATGTCGATCCGGAATACTGAGGTAAAAGCTGCCACCTGCTCGTAAGAGGCGGGGGATAACAGCAAAGTAGATGGCGATGAGAGATTGAGATTTCGTATCGAAGTTGCTGAGCAGGGCGTAAATGGTGAAGGGGAGTTGAAGAGAGAAGTTCCGTAAATTAAAGTGGTGACCGAGACGGAGACTTTTCGGAAGGCTTGCACGCGCGCCGATCGTCTGTCGTAAACGAGGAGCCGCAACGTGCAGAAGGAGCTGGGCGCACCACAACACACAAGGCAGATGATACCTACTTAGTGTCGATTTGAGAGGTGGACAGGTAGGTAGATCGGTAGGTAAGGTAGCTGTTGCGTAGGCAATTGTCCTCGACGATTGGTGGTGGTGCCGGTCAGTGCTCCGTTTGTGCGGAGCCGCAGCAGGTGGGATGGAAGAATGTTGATTGAGATTTAGAAACGTCCAATTACCTACTTAAGGTTTGTTGGTGGTTAGACCGAGGAGGGAGAGGAGAGGATAGGCGGAGAAACGATGTGTCTTTTTCGCCAAGGCAAGTTTCTCAAAGGAGGAAAGGAAGCTGCGGCAAAGAGATGACGTTTCGGGCAACTCCCAAGTAAATGTGCTGTAACTTCTTGTCGCCCTGCGTTGCGTTGCGATGCGATGCTCTGCTCTGTTTGGACAAGACAGACGAAGGGTTTCGCAGCAGAAGCTCCACGGCGACGACCGTGATTTACTTGGCTTAGGTAGTTAAAGTGCTACTCCTCATTTGAGCTTTCGAGTGGAGTTGTCGGGTGAGGTGTCGCGTTTTGGCGTTTCCGGCCAATCATCACTCGGACCCTTGAATCCTCGCCAGCGCCCACCCGCCATTAAAACTCATTGCTTATTTGGGGGGATTGACTGGATCGCCTTATACTGACTCTTCTGGCACCGCGTGGGTGGTTATGGAGACTCTCGCGTTACTGAATCTCGAGAGCCATGTGACTCGTTGAAGCCACAAAGATCCTGTTTATTACCGCTCTACCGTCTTCTATCAGGGCAGGAATTCTTCACTCAAGAAAAGTATGATACTCTGGCCGACCTGACCTAACCTTGATCACCCTGCCTGGCGAAGGAGGGACTGAAGTCACAAGCTCTACACCTTTGCATCGCCTGCCCGCGCTAACAGCACCAACTGTCCATGCGTGTCTCAGTCTTCCAGCTTTCTAGACGCGCATCTGAACTTATCTACTTGGGTAAGCTGCTGAGCTACACCTATGGTACGATTCCCAATGGGCCACTCGTCCACTATCATCAAGATGTCGTCTGTGTCCTCCCGTTCTGCCTGACGGCTGGGGCAGTCAGAGGCAGTGAGCGAGTCAACAAAACACCTCAAGATAGGCAAGTTCCCGGCAATTGATGATGGTCCCCAATGGGGCGCAAGTCTAGGTCTCCTACACCGACCTTCTCAGCCGGTCCAGGCCCTACCGGCCACCTAAGGCAGGCTTGCTGCATGCCATGCCATGCCATGCCATGTTCACCCTGCTGGTGCTGGTGCTGGTGCTGGCACATCTAGCATTGATGTTAGGACCAATGCGGCCACTGCCTGCCACCGCAGTGCGTCGAAGAAGAGGGACGCGGGCATCCGATCTGCAGCATGACCAGCCTAAGCATCCGCTCCGTTCCCTTGCGCCACGAGCCGCTCCCCCCTTCCCTGCCCGTGCTCCCAGCAAATCGGGAGCCAGCGGCCAGCGACCCGTTTGCCAAGCAACTCCACGGACGGGGTCAACTATCGAACCCCGGTGACCCATTTTCTAATTCCTTCAGGGACACCCTCCCTGAGATCTTTGGCTTTTGGATGGAGTCTGGGAGTTGTGTTGCATTATGTTGGCGTTTTGTGACAGATCGACACCGGCTATGGGTCTCAACAAGAGTCTCAAAAGGTTCAGGTCGAGGGGGAAGAAGGGGCTTCGTGAGCTCTCTGTTTCACTGTGTTGCAGCGTCAGGCAGAGCGGTGAAGAAGAGACTGAGGCACTCTCAACGACCCCATGTCCTCTCAGCAAGCCAACATCGAATCTCTACGATCATTTGACAAGGGCGTCTTGCGAATTCCAGGACGAACAGATCCATAGCCTTCTCAAATTATCGATCTGGAATAATCGTAGCCAATATCGATTGTGGACCACATGACATCGAAGTATCGCTGCTGTCCATCAAATTACTAGTAGATTGTAAAACTTGTTGTTTAGCGAGTTCGCGATCTCAGCTTGATTTCCCTAGAGGAATACCATTGCTCATCGAAGCCCCATTGTTGGTCATTCGAGATTATTCCTGTTGTGATAGGCTCGTGTCTGTGCGAACTATTGCTAGAATTGGACCCTTGAAAGCCGGACCAATCCTCCAGGATCTGTCCGATCTCTTCGTCGATGAGGACATGGCAATTGTCGGCCTACGGTATCATGAGCAATTACACTACAAAGCCTTTATGACTCTTTCCCTGTCGTCAGCACTTTTTCCGGCTATCAAAAGAACAGAGTTGTACGACGACAGTCTGGAAACCGGCGGCTTTGAGAGCCATCCTACAATCCGTCCTCCTTCCCAAACCGGTCGGTGCTGAGATCTACGCAGCAGTTGAATTGGTCACTTTGACTCATCCCGGCTGGACGGTATGCGGTTGATTTTGCGAGGAAACGTCCCGTGCTTACTTGCTAGGCCCTGCCAGCACTCCGCCTCTTTCGACTGTATCATCTCCTCCACGAGCGCTCGCGTAGTTGAGTCTTCACTCCGAGTGCGGCACTCCATATCAGTGATATCACGGTGGTCACTACCTTACTGCATAGTACGGCAGTGCGGCACCTCACGCACCACGCACCACGCACATGCACCTGATGTTGTGGATGCCTTGTCTCAGAAGAAACTATTACTCCGAAGCGCATAGTCGATGCCTTGTCGTCTCATCTCCTGTCCGACAGAAGAGCAGAACCTCAGGCGTTGATGCCTACCTTACCGCGCATCTTAGCTTGGCCTTATCTTGGCGGCCTGCATTTAGGGGTCTCCACTCAGAGCAATACTGCATAGTATACATGTTGATGCCTTCGTGAAATGAAACGGTCCCAGAGCTGCCTTCAAGTATGTTTTGAGTATTCGAATGCTTATCTCTGAAGGATCTGGCTGCCTGGCGTGTCCTCCGGCTCGTGCACATCATCGCAACCCTCCTAATCTCACAGCATCAAGGGTGAGTTATTGGTCAATTGCCCTGGACTGGCCAATTAATGTACTGCCTGACTGGCAATGTCCACAGACTGCGGCTCAATCTGGCAGAGCATGAAGTCAAGTCTGCTAAGCTCATCACCTAAATTCGACATCTCAACTGCCTCATTGAGGCCGCGTGCCGACAAGGCAGCACTATTGCTCGTCTCGAATTGTCTAGGCGGCGATGTTAGCAGATACAGCAACAGATCTCTCCCGCTCACTCGGCGACGCTTCTGAAGAGAGATCAGCACGTTGCTTCCGGGTCTGTGCCCCTGCCCCGCAGCAGCTTTCCAGCGAAAGGGCGGGATGCATGGGGTCCGCCTGATGACCCCCGTACGACCTCGAATTGAGTGCTTGACCGTCTCCGAAAAGGCGGACAAGGAGCTTGCGTGGGTATTGTCCGAATTGCCTACCCAACCAACCTCTTAGTACACTCAAAGTAGGTAAAGTAGACTCTTCAGATTACATTACCGACTAATGAGACTGGCTCGAACAGGCGCCCCAGGAGGCGGGTGCAGCAGGCGTGGTTCATGGAAACACCTTCTAAACTTCGCCTAATGTGATGCAGCCAGTCCGAGCTGGCCGTATCTAGGTAGACTGGGATTGTATCGCGAACAAATCGGGCTTTATGTCGCCAATATCAAAGCCGGGGCCGAACATTCTCTCTTCTCGTCTAGCCTCCAACTCGGATCCGTTCTACACACTACCACGGCCCTAACACTGATACCGGGTAACTCACATATCCCTACTCACCTTCACCGCATGGCTCTTCAGTTTCTTGTTACCGTATGGTATATAGATGATGTCTTTACCGACCTACCTACCTACCTACCTACCTTACCCAACCTTCTCTTCCCCGAAGTCCCACCACCAGTCCACCAAAGCCCACCATCCCGCCCCCTCTAAGCCCATGTTTTGTGCTTACCCCGACAGGGTCTGCTCATGCATCTGCAGTTGCGTCGCATGCGGCGTTCCTTTCAGACTCATTCACCCTCTCCCGCGCGTATTTTACAGAACAGTCGCACATCTGCCCATGTCCATCATCACGCCGCCGCATGAGTCAACGGGCTGCATGTACCGGATACGGGCAGCAGGGCACGCAATCCACCCAAGTTCGCCAGAGTCGCTACCTAGATACCCTGCCCTGCCTTACCCAGTCGAGATACCTATCCCTGCTGGGATCTGTTGATACCTTTAGATAGTAAGATAGCTAAAGTGCATGAGGTAGGTAGGTAACGTAGTTGATAGACCGGACGACCGACCGACCTACCTACCTACGTACGCACTCACTCACAATTACGAACCCCCCCAACAAACACAAGTACTTAAGTATACTGTCTCTTGCATCTGGGTGCCTCATCTGTTTGGTTTTCCTTCCTTTCGACTCTTTTCCCTATTTTCGTGACCCCTCGTCGGCCCGATCCATAAAAAACAGTTGACGCGCGGTGAGCTTGTCGATTGACAGTTACGTACCCAAGACGCTTGACTTGAGCTACGCAATCGGTCTACAGTATTTCGGGTTCGACTGGCTGGCTAACTGGTGGAGAGTTGGACGTTTTCGTATTTACGAACACCCGACGACAACATCATCATCACTTTGGGTGATATTCTAATAATCTTACGAGCTTCCGTATCCGTGTGACTTTAAACGGTCTCGCGTAACATAAGGCTCGAGTTTTCAATCGGGAGGAGGATTACTACTCAGCAAACAAGCGCCGAGATACACAGAAAAAAAAAAGAACGGAGCTCAACACCAACACCAGGTGCGAGGTGCAGACCACCACGCACTGCACTCGGCAATTTGCGCCACCATGCGCTACGACTCGATGATAGTTGCCGTTGGGACGGGCGTCGGTGTCATTGGCCTCCTGACCATTCCGGCCGCCTCAGCATTTCTTCTGCAGCTCTCCAAGCGCGAGGCTAAGGATGAGACATACCAAGACTTAGATGGCAAGAGCTCTCCCGAGGCCGTAAAGGCCTTCTCGGCCAAGGTGCCCAAGGTCTTCATCTGCCTGCTTGCGGCGCTCGGTTTCGGCATCGCTGTGGCTCTCGCTGTTCTGTCTACGCTTCATATTGGCAAGGATGGCCTATTCCTGGAGAATTGGCTCAGTGTCGGTGCTTGGGTGAGTTGAGAGTCTTCACAAATGCCAAACCCGGGAATGAATCTACTGACTCCACGTAAAAGGCTCTCCTCCTGTTCCAGGCGACCGCCATTGCTTCGAGCAGGAAGTCGGTCCAGGCCTACAGTGATGGCCTATACTCGTTCCTGTCGTGCATCATCCTGGCCGTCATGATCCTCGCGCAGGACACGTCCATCATCGCCGTCCTGCTCAAGCACTACCCCGTGCTCTTCGCGCTGCGCATCGTCGAGACCGCCGCGGTCGTCTTCCTCGGCGCGGCCAGCCTGTTCATCCCGCGCCGGCCGGACGTCTTCGACGAGGAGGGCCGCCTCGTCGACCGCATGTACACCGTGTACGCCTTCTCGCGCTTCACCTTCGCCTGGCCGTACAACGTGCTCTCGCTCGCCGGCAAGAAGAAGAACCTCGACATGGCCGACCTCCCGCGCCCGGACCACTTCACCCGCGCCAAGGAGGTCTCGGCCGACTGGAAGGCAAAGAACTTCAAGCAGCGCCTCTGGCTCTCCGTCATCCTCGCCCACGGCGGTGCCTTCGCCCTCCAGTGGGTGCTCACTCTCGGAACGGCGGTGCTTAATTTCGCCCCGCAGTGGGTGATACTGCAGCTTCTGCGCATTCTAGAGACGAAGAAGCGCAGCGACAGCTATGGCGTGGAGACCTGGATGTGGGTGGTCTGGCTAGGTGCCGTTATTGTAGCTCAAGCGGTAAGAATTTATCGCTATTGAACATCCAAGATAATCACTAACGTGTCTATATAGTGGGTTGAAGGATACGTCTTCTGGCTCTCGTGGGCTGAGCTCACCATCCCCGTCCGAGCCCAGCTCGGAGCTCTCATTTTCGAAAAGTCTATGCGCCGGAAGGATGTCAAGGGTACCGGAAGGTCTTCCAACAAGAAGGCGCAGGTCGAGCAGACTGCTGAGCCTGTCGTTACTGGCACTGCTGGGGAGTCGACCACGGCAGACCGCCCCGAGGTGCCAGATGAGTTGGAAGATGAGGCAGAAGCTCTCAAGAAGAGCAAGCAGAGCACAGTCAATCTGATTGGTGTCGATGCGAAGCGTGTGTCCGACTTCGCCGCCTACCAGAATCTGTTCCCCGGAAGCTTATTCAAGCTGATCATCTCCCTGGCTTTTCTGGTCAATCTTCTGGGCTGGCAAGCTCTTCTTTCTGGCTTCTCAACCATGGTCGCCATCATGCCGGTCAACATCTATTTCTCTAAGCGGTATTCGGAGGCCCAGGACAAACTAATGAAGGTTCGAGATGAGAAGATGGAAGTCGTGACAGAGGCTCTTCAGGGCATTCGACAGATCAAGTTCTCTGCGCTCGAGCCAGAATGGGAGAAGAAGATCAGCGATGTTCGAGAGAAGGAGCTGAAGAGCGTGTGGGCTGTCTTCCTCGGCGACACCGCGCTCCTGGCCTGTTGGGTTACTAGCCCAATCCTCCTCTCAGCAGCCTCTTTGGCTGTGTATGCAGGCTTGAACGGAGCCTTGACGCCATCTGTCGCATTCGTCAGTCTCGGAGTATTCAAGGCCCTCGAGGTGACGCTCTCGGTCGTGCCCGAGTTGACTACCGATCTCCTAGATGCATGGACCTCCATCAAGCGAATTGAAGAGTATCTCAACAGCCCCGAAATCGAGAAGGCTCCTGTCAAGGACTCTGACGAGGTGACTTTTGACAATGCTTCCATTGCCTGGCCTGCGGAAGAGAAGTTGGACGACGACGAGAGATTTATCCTACGAAATATCACCGTCACATTCCCGCGAGGCGAACTGTCCGTCGTTTCTGGTAAGACTGGAACGGGCAAGAGTTTGATGCTTTCTGCTATCCTTCGAGAAGTAGACATCCTATCCGGATCTATCTCTCTCCCCAGAGCACCACCACTGGCAGACAGGCATGACAGCAAAGCCACTAAGGCAAACTGGATTATTCCCGAGGCAATCGCATATGTCGCCCAAATTCCCTGGATCGAGAACGCCAGCATCAAGGACAACATCGTCTTTGGGCTGCCCTACGATGAGGAGCGATATAATCAGACTGTTGAGGTTTGCGCGTTGAAGAAGGATTTGGAAATGCTTAGTGACGGTGAGAACACAGAGATCGGAGCCAACGGTATCAACCTCAGTGGTGGCCAGAAGTGGCGTGTTACTCTCGCAAGAGCCATGTACTCGAGAGCGGGTATACTTGTACTAGACGATATCTTCAGCGCTGTCGATGCTCATGTCGGTCGCCACATCTTTGAGAAGTGTCTCAACGGCGAGCTTGCTACTGGAAGAACTCGCATCCTGGTCACCCACCACGTCGCACTCTGCGAGCCGAAGACTAAGTATCTAGTGGAGTTGGGAGATGGAGGTGTCCTCAACGCAGGCCTCCTATCTGAATTGCAGGAGGATGGCACGCTTCAGCAGATCAAGAGCCACGAACAGTCAGCAGAGGAGATTCGGGAGGATGAGACCATAACTGCTGTCAATTCAGACGAGTCTACTGATGGAGAGGAGGAGCAGAACGGCGCTAATGGCGATACTCTGAAGAAGGTCACGTCCAAGACAGTAGCACCTCGGAAGTTTGTGGAGGATGAGAAGCGTGAGGAGGGTGCGGTTAGAAAGCACGTTTACGGGGTCTACCTCCAAGACAGCGGTGGTATCCTGTTCTGGGGCGGCTGCGTTCTCGTTTTCGTCGTGAACCAGGCATTCTCTCTTGGCCGCTCCTGGTGGCTGCGAATCTGGACAGGCACATACGAGGAGGAGAGCATAAAAGCTTTCCACACTAACGTCTCTAGAGAGCATGGCTACACTTACCAGATCTCTCTTCAGCAGACACCTCATCTCCACACCATACCGACCGTATCAGCAGAACAGCGCAGCCTCGAATTCTATCTCGGGATCTATGTATTCCTCGCCTTGGTGTCTTCGATTATCGGCACCTTCAAATTCTTCTACACGTACATTGGTTCGATTAGGGCCAGTCGCAAACTCTTCGCAAAGCTCAACTTTGTCATTCTACGCACTCCGCTTCGGTGGCTCGACACCGTGCCAGTGGGCCGTGTCCTCAACAGATTCACCTCAGACTTCCACATCATCGACTCCCAGCTTGCAAACTCTCTGAGCTTTGGAGGCGGTTCTTTCTTGCAGCTTCTCGGCGTCATTGTCGCAGGTCTGTTCGTGTCCCCGTACATTGTCGTCCTAGCTCTTGTCCTGCTGCTCATGTGCCTGTACTACGCAATGGTCTACCTCAATGCCGCTCGACCGGTTAAGAGACTGGAGAGCACGACCAAGTCACCTGTTTTCGAGCAGTTCGGCTCCGCACTTACTGGTGTCGCGACGATTCGCGGCTTTGACAAGGCGCAAGTCTACATTGAGCGCATGTATAAGAAGCTTGATGATTATTCGGTTGCTACGTGGCACTTGTGGCTCTTCAACAGGTGGATGGGCTGGAGAATGTCGTTGATCGGCTCGCTTTTCTCAGTCTTCATCTCCTCGCTCATCCTCTTGACCCCTGACATTGACGCCGCCTTGGCAGGCTTCGCTCTTGCGTTCGCCTTGGACTTCGCCAACTGCGTCATGTGGACCATCCGTCTCTACGCCAACGTTGAGCTTAACATGAACGCAGCGGAGCGTATCATCGAGTACACGGAGCTACCGACCGAGTCTCTTGAAGGCAAGAGCCCGCCAGCTGCTTGGCCGACTGAGGGCCGTCTGGAGGTTAACGAGCTTGTCGTTAGCTATGCCGCTGATTTGCCCCCTGTCCTCAAGGGCCTGACATTTAGCGTCAACAGCAATGAGCGAGTTGGCGTTGTCGGCCGCACGGGAGCGGGCAAGTCCTCGCTCACACTGGCCTTGTTCCGATTCTTGGAAGCAAGGTCTGGAAGCATTTACGTTGACGGGCAGGACATCTCGAAGATCAAGCTCCACGATCTTCGGTCCCGCCTGGCAATTATTCCTCAGGTAAGCTCTTATCTAGATTATAAGCCGCAAGACCAATAATGTCAAACTAACTTGATCTTAGGATCCTGTCCTCTTCTCCGGCACAGTCCGAAGCAACCTCGACCCCTTTGACAAGCACAGCGACTCGGAGCTGCGCGACTGCCTCGAGCGCGTGCACCTGATCACCTCGGGCAGCACCGGCGGCTCCGTGACGCCCACCTCGGCCGAGCCCTCCTCGCCGACCGCCAAGAACGCCAACGTGTTCGAGGACCTCAAGTCGCCCGTCTCCGAGGGCGGCCTGAACCTGTCGCAGGGCCAGCGCCAGCTGCTGTGCCTCGCGCGCGCCATCGTCTCGCGCCCGCGCGTCATGGTGCTCGACGAGGCCACCAGCGCCGTCGACATGCACACGGACGCGCTGATCCAGCGCTCCATCCGCGAGGAGTTCACCGACGCCACGCTGCTCGTCATCGCCCACCGCCTGAGCACCATCGCCGACTTTGACCGCATCCTCGTCCTGAGCGACGGCCAGGTCGCCGAGTTCGGCAGCCCCCGCGAGCTGTGGGAGAGGCCCCAGGGCATCTTCCGCGCCATGTGCGACGAGAGCGGCGAGAAGGACAAGCTGAGGGGCATCGTGTTTGGTCAGCAATAGAGAGGCTTGGACAAGAAGCGGTGGTGATAAAAAGGGGCTTTTTTGGTATCGCCTTCGATTTGTAGAGAATGCTTGTCGTTTTACATTGTACTGTACATAGATCCTGGGTATTTCCTAGTAGAATTCCTCCACATCGGGAATTTCTAAAAAAGTCAGCCTTAGAGACGTTTGAAAATGAAACAAATGGAAAATAAGAGATGGAGGATCATCTCTCAGATTATTGTCTCATAAAACGTTCACAAACTGTCATTTCCCGCTTTATGAGCGCAATGAGCAAATCAATGTCACATGAGTAGCGTCCAGTTTCATCAATGTCATTGCGGTATCTGGCACAAGCTATGCCTTAACTATTCACACAAAAGCGGTTATCTTGGAAGTCGACCGGCTTAAACCAAAGGATCATCACATGAGCCTGTCCTGCAAGGAAAACACGAGCAACGGCTTCTGTAGATACAAAATCCTCGAGATCCTTGCAACTCCCCTATACGCCTTTGGTCAACTCCCCTTTATCCGTGCTCAGCAAATGCCTCAAATAGCCATCTTCCAGATGCAATTTTTGGTTCAAAATGAACGACCGAAGTTGGTTTCCAAGCATGAAATTCCCCGTGGATAGCAGCGCGCCTGAATGGGCATTCTCAGGGTTTACTGCGCTCTCTTCGCCTTATGCGAAGGCTTTGATGAGAATGAAGAACGCATAAAGAATCGTCGAGATGAAGCCTTCAGGTACCCACGATTTTTGTGTGCTGAAATACTGCAGGAGAGAGCAGCCCGTGTCGTATCATGACGAATGCTGGCGATTGGACATTGAAAGAAATGAATATGAACAGAAGTACAGCCGTACTGATACATAGATACCGACAGGGATGGTGTTGAGCAATGATCGTGAAGCATCACCAGTCATTCCAGGCTTCCGTTGCAATTCAAGGAAATTGTTGGTTATCGGGTCCATGGCAAGTATCGTGCATACGTCCGAGAGTGCAGGAAAGCCTATGAGAATAAAGCAGTGTATCCGTCCATTTCATATGATCGTAAATGAAGTCGCAAGTGGAGCAGTTGCGACTCTTAATGGAACATGATGCAGCCTGAGGCTTGACCTAACGGGTGTACAAGTAGATCAGAACGGCGAGCATGGCAACCCACGCGATTCCAGTGAGCCACATCTCGATCTGAATGAAGCTCTTCTGACGTTGAGTCAATTCATGAATTTCACCTCGAGTGTACCAGGCCAAGGCGGAATCGAACAAGCCGTTATGAATAAGAATCGAGATGAATGGCAGGAGGCTCAGAATCGTCATGCCCGCGAACCACACCTTCCGCTTACGTTTGGATTCCCAGGACACCCACCCATCGTGACCACGCATAGGAGGCGGTATCAAGCCAAGCTCAGGATCGGCATCCCTACCTCTCGATGCGAGGCTACGGAGCGAGGGGTCTGTTCCCTGCTGTATGCGGCGACGCTCGTCCCAAGTATAAAGACGAGGAGCATTGTAAACGGGCCTGGGAGATGCATTCGAGTGGTCAAGACTTTTAAAGGAACCGACGGATTCTGCTCCAAACGGCACCGCACCGTGTGCAAGAGGTGTAAGGGATTGTGATTCAGAACTGATGCTAGTTGCAACTGTGTTCTGACGTCCGAGAGCGTCTATCGTATGAATTAGCGAACATCACATGTTGTAAACAATGAGTCAACATTACCTCGTACCAGCCGGTTGAGTAAATGGCTTCGAGGAGATTGTGGAGTGACTCGTTTACCCGCCGGCCGAAAGACAGGCTCAGGCGCCATAGGTAATGGGGAGGGAACTGGCGAGCCCATGCCGGTAGCTTTTGACGAAACGAAACTTTGGCCTTGCTGCAGTCGAGCTCGTCCAGTCGCAGTCTCATCATCTAATCCGCTAGCTCTTCTTTCAGCTTGGCGTCTGGCAGCTTCTGAAAGGGGGATGAGGTTGAAGTGATGGAAGCTTGGAGTATTGTCCGAATTTGGAGTAAACTCAGCCGCTGAACTTCCCACAGTGTCAGCCCGATCACGCGTAGGTGACTTTGCGGTGGTTAGTTGCTCCTTTGGAGTTTCAGGCACGAGCAGATTTGGTGCTGGTGATACCGGAATCTTTGCTATTCCGCCTAAAGACCGGCGTTTTGCTGGTCGTTGGTCGTCCGGATCAGATAGCTGGATGCTATACCGGGCAGACCTCTGAGACTTGCTGTACGGAACCTGAGAAAATCGCGGTCTTCTGGGGCTGCTTCGTCGGAAGGGATTTGATAACTTTCTCACCAAGGAAGTGGAGGGTGATTTGTCCTTGCCTGCACGGGAGCCTCCTAGATAAGGACGACTGGTGTTTTGAACAAAGCCATTCACTCTGTGAAAACCAGAATTTGGGACCAGCACGGGAATCTCCGTGTCTTTCAAGTTTCTCACACGATAGCCAAAGTCCCACGACAGTTTTCTTGCTGGGTGTTGGACGATGCGTTCGGTGGAGGGAAAATGGCCATATCCTTGATATGAGCTAGCCTCGGAGATATCAGTGAAACTGTTGGTCGAGTTCTGCTGGTCATAGTTGTTGCTCCGGCCATTGTGGAAGGACAATCCTATACTGCCTCCTGGAAGTGCCGCGTGGGAGTTCTCTATGGTCTCCCATTCATCACCATCGCTCGCAACTTGGTTATTTGATGTATTGGTATTCCATTCTTTGCGCAGCCACTCGAATGGTTGGGGGTGTCTGGGAACCTCCGGCTTCTTGTCAATCTTATCAGGGGCACCCTCCTAAGGGGCCACCCTTTGCACTGCAACCTTGACTTGATCGGAATCCGCCCCAATTGCCCACTTTGACTGGATCGCCGAGGTGTTGTAGAATGATTCTGCTAGCTTATTTCCAGATCCTGGTCGTCGCGTTGCAACGTCAATTTGGTAGACTGACTGCGGTGAGTTATCAAACATTCGTGCTCGAGATATCGTCTTAAGCGGCGTACCATCGGGACTATATATAGTGCCCATGCTGTGTACGCTCAGTCCACTGACATGCCTCAGGGCTGCGCTGACCTCTCTTTCTTTCGAGGGTTGCAGAAAGACGCCGAATGATTGTCTGTCGTATCTGAAGGGGTCATCGTCAGAATCGGTTGTCAAGTTGCCAGTTGATTTCCCTGTTCCACTGATGAAGCTACTTTGGTTCATGCGACGGCTGCGATTTGAATGCATGCGATGGGGAGGAGGTAGCAATGATCCAATTCCGCTACCGACGCGATCGGCAGTGAAGTGACGAATCTCCCCTTCAACCTGCTCTTCAACCGTCACATTGAGAGATTCTCCAGACTGTGGGACCCGGGCTCCTCTTAGGTTCATCGCGTTGGCGGAAGCTTTCGCACCTGCACTCTTTGATCCAAAAATGGTGGGGATATAAGCAGGACGGGGGGCAGGCAATTTGGGAAGTGATGTCGTAGCTACGATCTCTGGATGATTTGGCGTGAACAGGGTGTCTGCTTCCATGTGCGGACCTCCTATTGCATCCTGATCATCAGGGGTGGGAGAAGTCAAGTTGTTTCGCAAAGGCAGCCGACCAAGCTTCGTTGGCGTATCCTCACGGGTATCGGAGAGGTCAAACCGAAACGCCACTTTGTCTTTATGGGAAGGCATCTTCGAATTGAGCCTCGTAGAGAAACCATCGTCTTTGGGGCGCTCAGAGGAAGGTATAACACCCAATGAAATTGAATATGGAGACTCAGAGCGAACGCGCTTCTTGTTGTGGAAAGGGAAAGAGGAAGATGACGAATCGAGCTCAGATGAAGGTATATACTGGTTCAGTATACGCTCCACTGTACTGTCAGAGGCTTGTCTGGGCCCTTTGATGTCGGGCAGTCCATGGTCGTTGTGGAAACTGTGATAATATGTGTTGACATCGGAGTTGATTGAAACGGAAGACCCCGGAGGCCGACAAGCTTGGCGGTCCACTGGCTGTGAAGCAGAGAAGTCTAGTCGACGCGTCTTGGGATGGGTCAGGGACCGTTGTGTGACATGAGCCACGGGTAAATCAAGGGAGTCGCTGATCAACATGTTCGTGCGGCAGCTTGAGGTCGTGGCGCGCATATCTTGCAGAGGTATATCCTCAGAGGAGATTGTGTTGTTACCGGATGAGGCATTACGCGATGTAGAATGCGAGCCCATTCTAGAGGTGATGTTGCGGTGTGCCTCGTCCAGACTTGGAAAGAAGTGCCCCTTGGGCGTTTCGCCGGAAGGCATGACCGCCGATTGTGCCACTTCTGTTGGCGTCGAGGATCCATCCTCTAAGGCAGGAACCTTGGTAAAGGAGTCTCTAGCTTCTTGGCTGCCTATAGATGAAGACATTGTCAAGCAACGAGGAAGTTGGTCTTTCTGTGAAAAGGGAGGCTGCGATGAGTCTTGATTATTGCGGTTGCTCCCTTCGTCTATTTCGGTACGAAAACCATGGAATGTCCCCATGGAAGACCCCTGTGCTCGAGACGATAAATTATCGAGAGCACTGGATCGTGAAACAGTGCTAAGGCGACAGCAAGGAGAAAGGCAGTTCAGGAAGACGCCATCTGGTGCGTAGATGGTGAGGCGACGTCGTGTTGTTTACGTTTGGCGTAGTGTGGAGGAAGGCTGGAGGAATTAGGTAAACTACCAGATAACTGGCGTGGTTGAACCCTAGTGTGTATGATAATGAAGGTCACACCCAGGTTGGGACGAAAATTTCTGGTAGGGTGATCTAAGAAGAGCTTTGTCGTCCGGTCAACTTGGCCGGTGATCTCGTTCACAATGCCTTCTCACCCGTGTAATCAGGAAAAGGGAACACAACTGCCCTATCCTGGAAGCATGAGAGGGAACCTTTACTTTTTCCAGTTACTTCATGGTTCGACAGTCTACCGCCATATATATGTTGCGATAGAAAGACTTCTTTAACTTCGACCCTAAAATATTGAGTACGAGACGTTCATTTAAAAGTAATAAACAGAGTTGGTGCTGGTGAAAGAAAGACGCAGTAGACAAATAAAAGAAGTCACAAGGCACCTCGACTCAACAGTTCAATGGGGTTTCGGGAACCATCGGCTTCTAACGTATCTCCTAAGAATCGAGGAATAGTATCGAGTTCAAGTACACTCTTTGGGTGTGGTCTAAGGTAAGAAATAGTTGTGAAGAACGCAGCAGGACTTCGAATCGCGATTTCACTCGAAACGTTGGAATAATTAGCGGGAATGCTGCAAGACATTCATCACAACCATGGACAGCACCGTGTGTCAATGCTTGTGAACAAATCACCTTCATCTGTGCTGGTATCTTGTCATAGTCCAAAGATTGATTAGATCTACAAGAGGTATCAAAATGCGCCGCCGAAACAACTCGATTCCAACCAGACAAGCTAGACGATTTTGTATCTTTTCTGTGCCTGATGTTCATTTGACGCCGTCCCAGCATACCCTGATGTACCCACAATGGATCATCTTATTAATGCTCAGCCTCTTAAGGTCATCAACTTCCCGTGCCGCCACAATTCAACGCAATCTTTCCAATACCATTGCTTACTGCTGATACTGCTGAGGCACCTGCGTGCCCTGAGCCTCGTAGTGGCCAGGATGAGGGGCCGGAACGCCCTGCTGAGGCGGCGCCGCATACGGCCCTGTCTGCTGCGCGACCAGCGGGCTGGGCGTCTGCTGGGGGTAGTAAGGGGTAGGCTGGGCCATAGGCGCGCCATACGGCTGCTGGGGAGGAGGCGTCATGGTCTGCTGGGGATAGCCCTGCTGTTGCTGCATGTAGACCTGGGGCGGGACACCCTGAGGTTGCTGCTGCTGCTGCTGCTGCTGCTGGGGCACGGCAGTGTACGAGGGCATGACGTGCGGCTTCTCGGCCTGCACGGGCTGCTGGACGCTCGACGCGGGCATGCTGCTGGGGGCGACACCCGCGGCGGTGCCGCTGCCGATGGGGTTGCAGTGCAGGCCGGCCTTGCGGTGACGGTGCATCATGATGGAGTGGATGATGAGGGAGATGGAGAACAGAACGCTGGAGACCTGTTAGTCTATCGACTCTCATATAAAAGAAGTATTTGTCGGTGTTGACTTACAACTCAAGGCCGCCCAGGCCAGCAGCTGCGGCCAGGCACGAAGCCACAACCAGGTCCGTGCCAGACAGAGAGTAGCAGTAGTAGTAGTCGCAGTAGCCCTTCATGTAAGGCGCAACCTCAGAGGCGAGGAGGGCGAACGAGGTGATCCAGAAGATGACCATGAAAATGTCCAGGGACATGGCCGCCCAGTAGTTGTAAAGCTTGGGGGCGCCAAACTCAGCGACGATGTAGTAGATGCTGATGATGATAGTTGCAATAGCCTGCAAGATCGGTGTTAGTCAAACTCGTCCTATCCATGTGGTAGTTGTCCGACTCACAGTGAAGATGTTCAAGCTGTTTCCGTCGAAGATGATCAGAGACAGTGAGTAGGCAATAAGACCGAGGATGATCACAGCAATGACCAGCTGGATGATGCGAATGGCGATGAAGCCCTTGGGGTAGATCGGGATATGCTCCCGCCCCGCGGCGCGTTCAGTTGAGCGCGAATTCTTGAACATTGTGAATGTGGTATGTGAGCCAAAGAATATACAGTACCTAACTCAAGCCGACAGGAAAGAAGAATCGAATATGAAGAGAGCAAGACGAAGAAGCTTGCTCGAAGGGAGGAAGAAGCTGTGGGGTATATGAGAAGAGACGGGAAGAGAGAAACCGGAGTCTTAGTCCTGAAGCCACCCGAGGGCTCTTGCGGCTTAAGAGTTTGTCCAACCTCGTCGACGCTTGACAGGGGAACGAGGATATTTGGTTCAAGCAGCCGCAACCCGGCTTGAGACATGCCGCTTGGCCCCTTGATGCCAAACAACTAACACGAATTCTGCCTTACGCGCTTGCAGTATTAGTTTGGCCTAGACCCAGGGGGGTTTAGATTTTGTGGCTTGGCGATGTTCAAGCTTCCGGCCCATACACAGGTAGTAGGGCGCCAGATGGTTGTGACTCCAACCCAATACCAAGCAGGTAGTCCAGTCTAGTGAGAGAGAGAGGACAAGGTCTTCACAGGTTCTCAGGGGACGGATCCTGTATCCGCGGTGCTACTCGTCCTTCCATACCGACACTCGCACTGTGAAGGGAGGGAGGAGAGTACTGAGTAGTAAGAGAGCGCCTTGAGGCATCCACAGTTGGGCTGAAGTGACAGATGTGACACGATGGCGCGGCTGTGAGTTTAGTCTAGCAGCTTGTCTAAGACAGGCTGGTGCGGGCAGTCAAGAAGTGAGAGACAGCGGGCACTGACACCGGCACTGTGCCAGGTTCAAGGTCTCCCTCGCTCGCCATTGTTGATTTGTTGTTGATTTGGCCATACCCACATAATACCGTACCTACTGCATAGTACACAGTCAAGTAGCTAAGAGATGCGGCTGAAGAGTCCGCCAAGACCGGACCCTGTCGCTGTGCAAAGCAGACCCAGTTAATGCCCTGCGCAAATGACGATCCTCAAGGGACCCCGTGTTTTCGCCTATTCCCAGTCTGGAGAAAAGAAGCGGGAAAAATTCCGCATCCCACGGCATTCCCATGTTGAGTCACTATCCGAGGTGCCCTCTGCAGTTGTAGAGCCTCAGACTCTCAAAATGCAGGAGAAAACCAAGCGGAGAAGACTATCTGATCAGTTGGTGCCTGGTGTATTGACAATGATGAAGTACAGAGTTGGAGAGCTAGAAAGGAAAGGCCATCAGGTTAAGAGATGCAAAAACGGGCAAGACAGCAAGCCACCGATCAGCCACGGCGCCATCAATCAATGCAAGGAAATGGACGATTGCTCATCTACCATCTCCCAAATCTTCGCATTGCCAGCCCGCCACATAATTCTATGCAGTAACCTGTTATTCAGTGCGGCTCGGCAGGGCGCCGTTGACATCCTTCAAGCCCGCCATGTGGAGTTTCCTTGCATCTTTAAACAGCGGGCTCGCTGGGCGGGATCAACGGTCAGCGACGGCGTCGATGCAAGCCCTCACAAGCGCAATCCGCAACCCGCACAGCGGCCAGCACAAAGTCAAAAGTTGAAGACCTACCTACCGCGCAGAGTAGGTAGTACCCAGGTTGTAAAGAGAGTTGGGAGCGGCACAGTGCGGATGAGTTTCCTTGCCAGCCGGCTCTTGATATGCCAGGTCTTGCCAAGCGTCAGCGCCACAACTCCACACCCGGGACGTCGTGCCCCCTAATGATTGGAGTTCTGGCGGCGTCGTAGGAGCTAATGCGTTATTAATGGCTTCAATAGTCTCAAAAGGCAGAGAGGAACACACAAGGAAATGCACCTTGTACGGTCTTCCGACCAAAGTAGGAGACTAGGTATTCATTCCCTGCCAAAAATAAAGGACACGCTGCCAAGAACGCCGATGCACGGCATATTACCAATCTTAATTCAATCCTTAATTCCGACAAAAAGTCCATCTCGAGGAACGCGACTTCAGTATCGAAATGGACTTCGACAACTCGGTGTTGCACGCATAGAGAGAGCCTGGGGGCCTTTCTCGTGTTATCATGGGTGCTGGTCCCTGTGGCTTGATTGGAGTATGCTTCTTCTGCTTCTCTAAGGTTGCTTCCCGCGGCGGCATGTCCCCTCGTGACTGGTGGAGGCTGGGGCTGAGGCTGTCCTGTATCACAATTCCCTAGGTAGCGTACCGTATCAATCTGATCCTGCTTCCCCTGCTTCTCGCATGGGACTCCCGTCGGAATGGATCTCCTGGAGGATATCTCCAGCTGAAGTGTCCGAGATTGGACGTCCAGGCAGGTGACCTTCAATACCTTATCAACGCCAGCCAGTCAACCCCCACCCCTTGGTATCTGAGGCACACAAGCCTTGAGGCTGAAAATGATTTATTGCCTTGCTATGCAGCATGATAGCGCATGCAATCTTAATGTTTCTCGCACATTATCTGTCGGTACTTACAAGATTTCATTTCATGCGTGCACATCACTCAATATAGACTCGAGGCCAGACCCTACATCCCGGCGCCACAGGTTCAGCCTCAGAGCATTCCGAACATGGTAATCCCAGCCAAGATCACGCATTAGCAGAGCAATGTTAGCTAAGTCAAGCTCATGCCTGTCTCGGCTGTAGACTTTGGCGTTTGACTTGCAGCCAGCCTCGAGCATCTCTTAGGCGCTGACCTTGAGTGCATCAGCAAAAGAAACTCGACTTGTGCTAAAGATGATGTTAATTTCCAACGTGTCAACTGCTGCAATCCAGTTTGTATTCATCATGACATAGTCAAGCATAAAGGTAGGAGAACTTCTTGTCATCATGCTACAGCCACGCGTGGGTTTGCCCACGAGCAACCCGCTCTGATTTGTACAAAAGTATATACGTCCTTCAACGAGCCACGTTTGCAACAAGAGGCTCTCTGTGTCTTCCCGCCCGCTATTATTCGGACCTCATTCCGCTCTTCTATTTTTCCATTTCCTTCACACATCAAGTTCGTCATTCGATCCTCTCCCTTGGACGACCGAGGTTTCTACAGCCAAAGACGCACAATGTTATCTATAACCCCGACCATGAAAAAACCTAATTGATGCAACCATGACAATAGCCACCTGGCGGGCTGATATAATCGTCGAACAACACGGAATATATTATACGCCCGCCATAAAAGGACGAAGCTGAAGCGAGCCGGAATTGGGGTATCAAAGTTCGCCGATGTGGACGAGTCGCGAAAAAAGTAAGTGTAACTGTTGCAGAGCGAAAACTACCGCTTTGCTCGTGAAAAGGGATTAAAGGGTGAAGCGTAAGTTGCTCATGAAAAGTCGTCAGCGCCATTAGACATGACAAGTCGGTCGATTCGTTGGACCAGCTCCTTGGTCTCTCTTGCAATCTCAAAGGCGATTGGCGGCAGGATCTGTGTCCACATGCGCCATTCACGATCTCCCGGTCCCTTCCCATCGGCGGCGAGGACTTGACCTCGTTCACCGGCCTCAATTAGCCTCTGTCGGCAGTCCGCTAGACGTCCAAGCATTTCATCGCCGTTGCCATTCGCCTCGGTCTCAGAAACGACCTTGCCAACGACCCCAGCAATAGAGTCGATCTCGTTACTGATCTGCTGGATATCGGCGTCACTGCGAATCGAGCCGACAAGGTTCTGAATCGTTTGGACTAGGACGGCAGTTTGATCCTCAAGGTATATCTTCAATGCACATTAGTATCAAAAACACTTTTAGGAATGACATCGGCTTACCTTGAGATCCTCCGCGCGATTGTCTTGCTGGAGCATGCCATTCGGAGCTGGAGGAAGGTTCTTCGAGATGCCAAGATAACCAACACCGTTATCATTTATACCGCGTGACATGGGACGTCTGTAGGTCTCTACGGAGCCACGGGGAGAATTAACAGGGCTGTATGCAGAGGAATCTGCGCTCCCACGGTTACCACCGAGACCTTGGAAAGGAGGAGGCGGTGGGAGAGAGTCCTGGTCCTGGAATGATCCCTGGATCGATATAGAAGTCTGAGATGTCTGCCCATTGCTCCTTGGTGAGAAAAACCCAGTTGAGTCAACAGGTGTCATGGTGCCATCGTCGTCATCCTCGAGCTCTCCAGCAGGTGTGGCCCGAATCTTGACAGTTCGAAGCAACTCCACCAAGGCGGCTACGAGGTGTGAAGCAGCAGCATCAAGCAGGGACACAGGAGACAGGCCAGCAGCAGCAGCGAAATTCTTGGCCGCAGTGATCAGGTTATTCGCGGTTGATGAAACTCGGCCCTTCAGAGCCTTCTGCTGTTGTAGAACCTCCTCATTGCTCGGCGCGGACTCGTCAATGTCTTTCGTGATACGCCGGACGCTAACCACGACTGCCTTCATCGACTCGATAGCCCTTTCTGGATTGTCCACTCGGGCGCGTTGCAACAACTCGTCGATAGCGATCTGAAACTTGGTGACGTGAACATCCTTCACGAGACCATTTTCTGTAGTAAATCCCTTCTCTCTGATGTATTTGCCAGCATCCTGCTCAATCGTGAGGCCCATCGATGATGCGCGTAAATTACGGAGCTGCGTCTTAGTCCGTGCATATCGGTTACGCCAGTCTCGGACTTCTTGCTCCAGTTGCTCGATAGTCTTCTCCAGCTCCGCCTGTCTCTCCCAAGCGGAACCGCTTTGCTGCGACAGCAGCTTCATTTCTTGGAGGAATTCGTGTGCTTCTCGACGAACTTCTTCGGTGACAGCTTGTTGTTCTCGAAGAGCCATCCTAAGTTCCTGGTTTTCGCGTTCTAGCTCCGCATCGCCAGGACCAGAGCTCATATTATTGCTCGAGATTTGAAGATCTTCAAACTGCTCCCGGAGCTGCCGAGTTTCGCTTGCATGGTCGTCCCTTACACGGTCCAGTTCTTCCCTAAGGGCATCGTTGAGGTTTTGCGCCTCTGCGACCTTGTTCTCCAAATTGAGGCGGACATCGCTCCACTCCTTCTTCTCCAGATTTGCGGCTGTTGCTCTGGAGCGTTCTCCGTCAAGTATATTGTTCATTTCATCATCTTTCTTCTTCATTGCGTCTTCCATGCCGTCAAGCTTTTCACGAAGCTCTCGGACCTGTGATTCATAGTCTTCAATGAGGCGCTTATCGGTCTGTTTCCAGTCAGTGATGCCATACAGCAATGTTAGAAGATGCTCCATACCTCAGAAAGAGCCGCGCTTTGCTCGGTAACTCCACTCTTTTTGCTTTCCCTATTACTTGCGACCTGATCGAGGCCATAGCCATCTCGATCATCGTTTCCAGGGCTAACATCATCGTCCTCTTCCACCATAGTACTCTTATTTGGCACAATCGTATTACTCTGGAATTGCTTTGGAAGAGGTCGCTCATAATTATTAGACGGGATACCGGGTGACGGGGGCACATCGTAAGCATCAGCTATGGAAGCCGCTGTTCCGCGTATAGAGCTCGCCTCGGACGGCCGTCTGACACGGCTTTGACCTCTCGGAGGGAAGCCACCCATGCTGCTCAGCGGCGTCTGGGATCTACTGGGAGGGCCGCGGACAGATGCCGGACTTCCCATTCGGGGGATGTCTCCTGCCGAAAACCTTGGGAATCGTCGTTCCAATTCACAAAATACATCCGTGGCTAGATCGCGAAAGCGCGGGGGCCCTAAGGACGAGAGCTTTTGCCGTGCTTGGTTTCGCTTGGGGTGGAAGTTCTCCTCTGGTAAGAGATAAGTCGGCGGCCCTTGGTTTGGAGGAGCATTTGGCGGTCTTCTGCTGAATGCCTGCCTCCGTATTAATTCGTCGAAAACATCTGTGCTGAGCTCCAGAAATTGAACACCAGTAAGGCGTTGCAGCTTGTCGCGTGCCTTATTCGCCGGCGGATTCGGCTTGCCGTCGCGCGACGTCTGTGATAGAAAGCGTTTCAGAGCCACATAGTGCTCCCCCAATATTGCCTCTGTGTTTATGTCCATTTGACTCCTTGCACTGTCCCTCCTGGCGTAGAGGTTTGTACCCGCACTCGACCGGCCGATCGACGGCGGCGGTGAGGGCCCGCCCGCACTCCTAGGTCCGGGTGGGAACCCGTTCATGGCGCCGACAGATCCCCCTGAGTTCGGTGGTGATATGAGATTACCGCGACTGTTAGGATATGGACCGTCGTTGTCCATGGAAGGGTATCCAGGCCAATCGCTACCGGCTATAGACACTGGTGACAGCGGTGCATTGCGAGAGGTCATGGTAGTCGTAGCTGTGTCGAATTGCAATTTCTGACGAGAGGGTGCCGGGCGAGTAGGCAATGGTTCCTCCACGCGCGATCACCCTGTCGCGTTGTTCAAAAATATTTCCTTGTGCAATCTTCAGTCCTGCCACCTAGCTGGTTCGGGTCTCCAAGATCGACCTAAGAAGATGTCGTGCAGCGTAGGACTGCGCGGGGACCGGATTTGCTTGCCCACTCTCCAGATGTCGCAGCAAACGTGGGATTGAATCCGCGACGTAGTGTCAGCGGATATGTTGGAGTATGAAACGTGAAGGTGGTCGGCAAGGATATGGCAGCCAATGACTGATCGGTGTCGCGGGAAAAAGGGGGTTGGCAAGTCCGTGATCTCGTGGTTTGGGCGTCCGACTTGTCAAGCAGTTTTGCCTGGACAGCAAAAAATTAAAAGAGAGTGGGATATTGGAGATCGAGTTGCGCTTTGTTCCTTGACGGTCTCAATTGGAAGATTGAAGCTTAGTAGGTAAAATAATCGATGGTCGCACACGGACGTTGGTCGGTGGGTTTGTCGTCAAAGACGAGTTTCGCGACCCCCGAAGCCTTCGAGCTGCACTCTAAAAAGTAGGCCCAACGGCACAAACGGTCGCGCAGAGAGCGCGGGTGGGTAAGGAGCGAATTGAGTTGTATGGAAAATGAACGGCAAGGACTGGCCCGTTGTGGAATTATTGTAGCTGCACTGCGTGAAGATGGCAGCGGCCGTGGAGTGTCACGTAGTAGGCTGTGGAAGTGAGGAAAGACGGGAAGGCAAGTATCCCAGGTTTGTGTGTCCCCTTCCCTCCGTTGCGTGTGAGGGAGTCGAATCAGACTCGGCTTGTTTGTCTTGGAGTGACGAATTGGGGCGGAATTTTGGACTGGGAATGGCGCTGAACGGTCTCCCAGTCTGTCTCGGCTGCTAGTGGATGGGGTGGTGGGTGGTGAGAAGGCGGTCGTCCGGCCACTACGGCATAAGGTAGATAGGCCTAGTCAGGTACAATTGCTGTTGCCCACTCGCGCGCGCTACTAGCAAGTGCAGTCGGGGCTTCTTCGTGGACCAGTCGCTGCACAGCACTGGCGATCCGTCTCGTGGGTTGATTCAGATTCGGATTCAGTCTCTGCCAAAACAAGCAAGACTTCGCTCCTGCCTCATGCGGGCAACAGAATGATGTGGGAAAGAGCGATGATTCTACGTGCAGGACAAAGGGATGATGCGCGCAACAAAGAATCGGACGTTGAAGAAAGAAAGAAGAGGGAAGGAAGAACCCGCAGGGAAGATGCCACAGCAAGCAACTACCTCCCCACGCAACAGTTTGCATCCATACTAAGTTGTGTAAGTACCTCTCTCCCTGGTAGTGTATGCATGCTTGCATGCCCGCTTCCTACAGCGGTTTGTTCAAATTTCATCTAGAATCGAAATGGGATGCATTTATTAGGGCCTATCTCGCCTAAGTGTCAAGGCCGTGGCTGCCAACGGGCAATTTTACACAGTAGGTATGGTGCAGAAGAGCCGGGTCCAGCGCCGCCAACACCAGTAACAATAGCAGGACCAGGTCTGGAAGGCCTGCAAGGTCTCACCCCTCCGAGCCACTCCAGCTGGCACCGCAGCAATTAGACTCAGATTGCCGTAGTAGCACGCAACCCAAGCCCAAGTCCAAGCAACGGGGCGGCGGGAGAAGGCCCCTGGGCGGCCTGGCAGTTGGAGATGCAAGCTTGAAAGAATGGCAGCAGCCCCGGGCAGGAGCTAAGCAGCTTAAGCTAAGGTAAGCGGGTCCAGGGGTAATGGTTAGTGGGTGACTTTGGCAGGGGAAGCGCCAGGGATGGCGCAAGCCTTTCGAGAATGGCTGCCAATGGCAAGAATGATCGGGGAAGCCCAGCCTATCAGCGGCCGCCCTCCTGCGTGGGTGGCAGCTGCGCCTGCTCCCAAATCTCTTTTACCCCTGCGCCAAAAGCGCTCTTGCCCAGATCCACATCCACCAGGCGGGTACTTCGACGTTGGTACTCGCTTCCCTCTCATTTCACCCCAAATGCTCAACAGCGGTCAAGTCTTTGCAATATCATGCATCTTATCTATCGGGAATTAAGGAAGATGCTGATGTTAAGTAAGCTTGATCATAAGGGTGCAAGTTATTTAGTAATGCATGCTTGATTCCTTATCATATCGCGACTCTTTGCTGGATGTAAGATATACTTAGGTAGATATGGTTCGTCCTAGCCTGGCGTCCATGGGGAGATGATCTTTGGAAAAGTTGTGTCTTCGATTTTCAGAAAATCGCAAGAGGGAACCAAGCTCTGATCCTCCACGTGTCCCTTGTAAGAGATGGACAACGTTATGTAACGTGCCGACGAGTCGCTTTAGTATCTAGATCTGGCTTACTCCTTGTAGCCCGCCGATCACTCGGTCTCGACCGAAGTGCCCATTTCCATCCTGCTCCTCGCGTGACCTCGGTATCCGAAGGGGAAAAAATACTAACGGGCAGCTCGAGACTTTCTGACTTACCTCTGAACAGCCTGTAGCCGCAATATATCTAGAGCAAGTGATCAAGGGGACCGAAATCGACGGACAAGGCCGGGCAGGTAGTCGCTGTGGTGAGACGCTTGTATTACCTGTCTGCCGGCAAGGAGTGGGGGAAGCATCATTCGAAGAAAAAAAAAGTCTGGTCGAGCCGTCTCTGACCTAACAAGCATCACATCCCCCAGACCCATTTATGCCGAAGACCTTCACTCTGCGCATCTCACGTTTGATGGTCTGGACGTTTTCAGACACCTGAAGCATCATAATTCCGCCCTCGTTCTCGATTGGTCGTCGCGAAAAGACAACAACTCGACCCAGGTAGGTGAACTGCACTTTCTTGCATAATTATTCTAGAAGACAAGGCACCGGCTTCGCAGCAGCCAGGACCGCGTCATCTGCGGCCAGATCGAGCTTCCCGTCCCTCCCGTACGTGCTTGTAATCGAAATCGCAATCTCGGTCAATGGAGCCTCACCCGCCACGGACCCCTGTACTCGCCTCTTGCGGTGTAGCTCATGCATAATTGATAGATAGGATTACGACAAGTCTTTGCCAGGAGCTCTTGGGAACGATAAAATTTGCTGATTGGGACGGCTGGCAATGAGTGTCCATTCATATTCATATATACAGTATTACATATGGCAGCTTACCTTGAACCTTCAAGCTCAGGGGAGTGCCAGTTGGGTATCATTTCATATACATCATACTCATCGCATCAAGCCGCGAACCGGGAAGCCCGCTAAGACTGAGGTAAATCACCGGGATTGGCAGCAAATGTTGGCATCTGATCAGAACCACGCCAATGTCCAGGTAGCAGGTAGGTTCGGCCACCTCTCTTGCCAGTCCGCGATGATCTCGGGCACCCGGTCGTCGAATCCGGATCTCGCGGCCGCGCTCCCGCTATCGAAGGAGGCCGATCCTACCGCCTCGCGCTCCTCTGCTGCGGCCTTGTTCAGCGAGTTTGCCAGGTCCAAAATGCCCTTGCCGCCAATAGAGGCCTCCTCGTGGTTATCCCTGATGTCGACATTGATGACATGGACGGGCCGATTTAGAGGTGAGCCCCGGCTGAGCAGGTCATCAATGACAGCGTCCCAGCATCTCTCTTCACACGTGATGACAACGTCGACCACGCCGCCCTCTGTACCATCGCTCCCCATGTCTGCCTCGTGCTTGAGCCGCGGCATGCCCACCTGCCAGTCCTGCCATCGTTCCGGGCCCCATTTCACGGTGCGATTCCTGCCAATCATGTTCAAGAGGCCGTTTGCCCGATATAGTCTGGGGTCCTTGGCCTCCAACTCTTTATATATGCTGTCGTACGATGTCTTGTTGAACTGGTAGACATTGGGCTGTGTGATTGTAGGTCCTGGAAGTCGGACTAGGGAGCCCGTGCCGAACGAGATCACGGGGTAGTTCGCCTGGGAGAGTCGCAGATGGGCTTCCATTGATCTACTACTAATCAGAGACCCGTACGTGAATCTTGGAATATGCTTGATAATACTGACCTGTTTTGATTGCTAGCACAGACGGTGGAGAATTTGAGCTTGAACCCGCCATCTGCAGCACCGTTATTCAGAGCCTCCGCCGGTGCTGTAGCTCCGTTTGCGACCTCCATGACGAAGGGAGACGATATCGCCCGTGGAGGATATGATTTCTCCTCACCGACGCGTGATATTACGATTCAACCTTCGTCACAAGAATGGTTAGCTTGAAATTAATACATGAGGATACGTCACAAGAGAGCAAACGTTTGAATTGTGATCAGATAGAAAAAAGCGTAATATAAGATTGTGTCATCAAGAGATTCAGACAGCTCCAATAAAAAGAATCATCAGGTATCGCGAAAGGGGGGTTCTAGAGACTGCTGGGTTGCGTTATGAAGCTTACCTTTCGCCAACGGGCTGGTCAATGGTTTTTTTTCTTCTCCTGCACAAACTAGCGAGATCGTACGTGACGCCCCAATTGCCTAAGACAGACACCGGCTGTTTTGGGACGAGCTCAAAGTTGTAACGGCAGTGAGATGGTCTGTCACCTCTGCATAGCGGCTGATTGAGCCGAGTGTGGTGTAGTTGTAAAAGACTCGTAGATGATGAAAGAACTGGTTGGTTGTGCGGAGAATACCGCGAACGGGAATTTCAGATGCGGCTCGATGGAGCCGGGGAGGTGGAAGCTTTGACCGTGTTTGATTGGCTGGTAGACGGCGAGGAAACATGAAACACTCGCACGGAGCCCTTTGGGGAACTCTTAACTCTGTTCTATTTGTAGACACTCGCACAGAAATAGCAGCCGGCCACGCGGAGATTGAGTGGTGTGGAATATACCAAGGTGAATGCATTTCTTCGAAACCATCGCGGATACCTCAAAGGGCATCTCCCTTGCTAAGGTGCATGAGGTTGGACATTGGTGTATGTTGTATAATCATAGAATATTTGCTCACCGACAATTAAGGACGTCTCACAAGCAACGTTAGCTACCCGCTTGAGCAATCATGCTTACTATGCATTGTGTCCGAGTTGCGAATGCCCAGTTAGGGAGAAGCCATCTCATTTTGAACACACTAGGCAGTTCGTTCAAGGTTAGAAAATCAGTCATTTCTCTTCGGTGACGAGTACCACGCTCCAGTTGGTTGTCGCCCACACACTCTAGAAGGCAAGTGACACTTGCGCATGCAGCTTGCATAGCATCGCTGTTTCATCCTCTTGCGTCGGTGCAGCCCAACAGTCTTGAATTGCCACGTATGAAAAGGGCGTATTGTATATACGTATCGGCGGATGGGATCATCTAGGGCAGTGAGCTCTGAAGAGTCGTCGATAAACTTTCCCATGTTTGTTGAGATCCTCGTCCGCTCTCTTTCAGATCCCAGATCCCAGGCTAGTCGGCCTCGAGTTCGGGTTTTATATTACAGTATTGGCAAAAGCCCCATTGTTCATGCCCCTCGGCTTAATTACTGTTCCCAAATATACATCAGGTTCAGTCGCATGGGCGGGGCTCTGTCGATCTTGTTGTATCACACGGGGTCCTACTACTTACGTCCTTCTACAGACAAGAGGGCAGGCTCGGTGCCGTATGATTTACGCAGGGGAGTGTCCGTGGATAGCACAAAGAGACCGAGTTTGCCTGCATACCGGAAGTCTAGTTCTCTGGCCAAATATTCTGGATTGGCTTATTCGTCCGAATTGATTTCGGAGCTGTGCGTTCCCTGCCCTCCACGCCGGCCCCCAGCCAGCAGCATCGAAAACTAGATACCTCCTCCTTGCTTTCTGGGCGCAACAAGAGGCTCTGCTCCGGCTGTTACCTCGACGAGGGCGGGTATTCCAATCAGATCTCGCCGATTCAGCCCTCGGCGCCTCCACCGCCTTTCCAAAACCCTGGACGCCGTCCAGCTTGTAGCTGAGCAAGACGACGGACGCCTGCTTGGTGCCTACGGGTTGGTTGCAGGTGTTCAGCAGCCAATTCGAAGGAAGAGCTTTGAGGGGTCTTTGCGGCGGGCTTTTTGCTGCGCTGGCGCCTGACTCGGGGGAACAGCATCCAGTAAGATTTGCTGTGCGCCGCGCTTAGCACAGCCTAGGACAGGCCCCGACGAACCAGATCGGAGCCAGCCAGCAGTCATTCCTGTCGACGGGGGACTCCTGGCGGGTGTGGGAACGCTTCCCTACCAACCCTACCTTACCTCCCCGAACAAGCGTACCCCATTCATTCAATGAGACACAGAGACACAGGCGACGAGACGGACTGATTCTATATGTGTGTGTCGCTTTGGTTGATTCACCCTCATCATCCTATCTCTACTCGACTACCTAGGCGACCTACCCGGGTAGTGTGCCTTAGATCTATCTGATTACCTTAGCTACCCTACCCTAAATCCACCTGGACTCGAGGAACCCTTCCATACCGTTTAATCCATACCATACAGGCTAGGAATAGGATCGTCAACCCATTTCCAATCCCTCGGGCAGGCTAAACATCCTCTTTGCGCTCTCAACACACCTTTTGTTTCTTCACACTCCTTCGCTCGTTGCGCATACTTCCGCAACTTCATATTTGCGTCTTTAACGCCGTCTGTTTTGCTGGTCGCAACCCGGCTCCGTGCATCTCGAGCGACGAGCAAGCCCCAGTGGCACAAATCATCGCACCGCTCCGCATCGCACCGCACTACACTACTATCACCTTAGCCAGCCCGGACTGGCCGCTTTTTGGGCCCTGCGCAGTTGTCGTTCCTCAGACTCAACACTAGCGGCAACGTCGTCTGCTCTGACCACCTCAATCTCGAAGACGTTTTCCGCGAGGCGCACTTGAGCCGTTGTGCTGACAGACGTCGTGGCGGTGACTAGAGCGTCAGATTCTCGGGTCATCCGCTCGCGACGACGGCCTGCCTCTCCTCCCGGCGACGACCGCCTCATTCCTACCTCTGAAAGATGACGGCGGTTATGTCGCCAAGCTCATCTCCGGCCACCTCGCCGCCTGCAGTCACCTCGCCGTCGTCGAACGCAAATCACCCGCCGCTGCCTCCGCTGATTACCTCACCACCCTCACGAAGATCAACACTCCCTCGCCCGATGTCGCACGCCTCCAAGAACAGGCTGTCGCAGTACTCGACAGGCTCTATCCCGTCCAGGTCTCGACCGCCCTCTCACGTCTTCCCGCTCTTCCCCTCGAGCCTTCCGTATGCCCTCGTCCGAGATTTCGCATACCTTCCCAATCACCCCATGCACTATGGGCCGCCACCAGAACCGGCTTCTGGCCTGAGTACACCGGCGAGCGAGTCACAGAGAAGGCTTTCGGATCCCCCAGCGTCTTGGGAGAATAAGCTTAGCTGGGACACCGAGTCTTGGGGAGAGCAAAGCTTTGGAAAGGCTAGCAACCTCGCTCCTATTCATTTCGGCGACGGACCGCCATGGAGCGAGGATGAGGATCTGCAGAGCCCAGTGGTCAGCTCGCGGCATCGCAAGCACAAGTCTTCGTCTGCCGCATTCACTCAACATAGAGCCCGGGTCGCGCGCGAAGCTGGCAACGACGGGGGTTCAAGCATTTTGAATCCCGAGAACTTCGATCAAGAACGAGGCTACTATGTCAGCACCAGCGGGGACGGCAGCGAAAGGTATTACGTGAATCAGGGCGAAGAAGCGAATGGCCCAGGAGGAGAATACGTAACATACCCGCCCGATCAGGCTCGTCATCCATCCCAACCATACCAAGTGGTTGGTCAACAACCACGACGTTACGCTGCACCCGATGGCGGCTACCGTTCTGAATCTGAAGAGTCTAGCCCCGGAGGTTCTCCGGGTTTCCACGAGGAAGACCAATCGAGGTATTCTCGGGATTATCAATTCACAATTACATCACCCGATGAGGAGATGCACGGCAAAGCTGTCGCTTTGTTCGATTTTGAGAGGGAGAATGAAAATGAATTGCCCCTGGTGGAAGGCCAAATCATCTGGGTTTCGTACAGGCACGGGCAAGGCTGGCTAGTGGCGGAGGATCCAAAGACCCAAGAAAGCGGCCTTGTTCCTGAGGAGTATGTCCGACTGCTTCGCGACATCGAAGGAGGTATAGCAAGCATCACTGGCCAAACCGACGCAGGGTCTGGAAGCCCCAATGATGCCGGCACACCAACACAGGCGGAGCATGCCAGTTTCGGCCACACGCCAACAGCCAGCACCGCATCCAACTCGAACGGATATCACCAACCCATAGTGTCCACTTTCTCAACTTCCAGCAAGGATCTAGATCCCTATCCACAACACCTCCTAGGCACGCAAGTTGGCCAAACCCCACCACAGGTCGTCCACTATCACGGTCAGCGGGGTGGAAGCCAGGCAAATACCCCGACCGTGCTTACTCATCAAGATGTTGGTATAATGAGACGAGGGAGTCAAGGGAGTCAAGAGGTTCCAGGAAGGAAAACAGATTCTGGAACTGTCCTCGAGACGCTGCCGGATGTCAAGATGGATTCCCCAACCGATGATGACGACGACAAGGACAAAATGGACATATGACAATGAATCAGACTGTCAGAATTTCATCTTTGTGGCATAGGAGCCCAGTAGCAGAACGAGGTCAACAATCCGAAATTGGGGCGATCCCCATGTAACTTTACTTTGGGCGACGAGCGTTGCGTTGTGCAATATTTACCCTGGGTAGTATGGTGGAGGCGTTTGAGCACTTCATGAGTGGCAGGGAAGAGCAACACTGGACGGTCATTTCCGCTTGCAACATACAAACGGTTCACGATTCCGGATCATGGGATACCTTGGGCATTAGTCCCGGAAAGGAGTCTTAGCATGGTCTCTTTATCATCATTTCTTGGGAGGAAACAGTGGGCTGCATGTTGTGAGGTGCACTTGTGAAGGGGGTGCCTAGGTGAATTTAGATTCTTCCCAGTGTGCTAGTCCTCATGGACTGGATAGGGAAGCGTCTTGCTGTTGGTGCATTTGTATCGGACTTGTGGCAAGTCGCGATCTTGTATGATCTTTTGAAGAGAGAAATATAACTAGCACCACGAAGTTGGTGTGCTGATTCGGACTTAAACCTGGTGTTTTCGCGAGGTACTTTATGCTCTATAACATATGACCCAATCGCAAATCCGGCTTGATGAATGCCATGATCCCTGGCTTAATCCATCATTGTCAGATCTCATAAAATCTTGTGTCCCAATGCTTGGAGGCTTGGGGAAGCGGGTGATCGACACCACATATGGATACTGTAACGGTTAGATAGGCGCTGGGGAGGTGAGCTGAGAATAGCCAGCTCGGCTCGGGGTTAGGGTTGAGTCGACGGAAGACGTCATGGTGTGATTTTAGAGCTTGAAGTCGGCATCCACATCAGGATCGGAGCTCCAACCTCTAACCTCGCCCTCCGAAACTGACAAATCGGTTCTAACAACCCGTCCAACCGAAAGATTACCTTACTTTGAAACTCATTGGCGGTTCTGCATCTGTTTGCGAAACTCAATTGACTTTCTTTTGACTTGACAAGATCTGTTCCTAAGCTTCTTTGCGATTAGATCACATCATGTTCGCCGCAAGGACCGCCTGCCGCGGCTTTCAGTCCGCGCAGCCACTGAAGCAGGTACGTCACTGCCGGCAACGATATATACCTTCGCGCCCAGCCATGACTACTCCCTGATCTCTTGAGCTCTGTTCTCCCAGACTCTCGTCAAGGTTGACTCACAAGGGTGCTAACGACCTCTCCTAGCAACTGCGCAAATACGCCACGGAGCCCCCCACTCCGACACCCCAGGCCCCGAAGTCGTCCTCCAACACCTTGCTGTACGCCATCGGAGCCGCCGCAGTCGGTGGAGGAGCCTATTACTTCACGCGCCCCGGCGCCGCACAGAAGGCCGAGGCGAAGATCAAGGAGGCGGCCGGTGCTGCGAAGGATGCCGTGCCCGGAGTTGGCGCCAAGAAGGCCCTAACCGGCGGCGACCAGGGCTTCATCTCCCTCAAGCTCGAGGATGTCGAGATCGTCAACCACAACACCAAGCGCTTCCGCTTTAAGCTGCCAGAGGACGACATGGTCTCTGGCCTGCACGTTGCCAGCGCCATTCTGACCAAGTACAAGGCCCCGGATGCCGAGAAGCCGACCATCCGACCGTACACGCCTGTTAGCGATGAGAGTATGTGGATTCATCTCCAGTATCTCCTTGAGGATTGATCTTCTATGAATTATGGATATTTGAACTAATTGATATTGTAGACGCCAAGGGATACGTGGACCTGTTAATCAAGAAGTACGAGGGCGGCCCGATGAGCACCCACCTCCACGACATGGCTCCCGGCCAGAGACTGGACTTCAAGGGCCCCCTCCCCAAGTACCCTTGGACCGCGAACAAGCATAACCACATCGCCCTCGTTGCAGGCGGCACCGGCATCACGCCCATGTACCAGCTGGCTCGCGCCATCTTCAGCAACCCTGACGACAAGACCAAGGTGACGCTCGTCTTCGGAAACATCACCGAGGAGGATATCCTGCTGAAGAAGGAGTTCGCCGAGCTCGAGAACACGTATCCGCAGCGCTTCCGTGCCTTCTACGTCCTTGACAAGCCCCCCAAGGAATGGGCTGGCAACAAGGGCTACATCAACAAGGAGCTGCTGAAGACCGTCTTGCCCGAGCCTAAGAGCGAGAACGTCAAGGTGTTCGTTTGTGGCCCGCCCGGCTTGATGAAGGCCATCTCTGGGCCTAAGGTCAGCCCTCAGGACCAGGGCGACCTGACGGGTATCCTGGCCGATCTGGGCTACTCCAAGGACCAGGTTTACAAATTTTAGAGATGATAAGTTTGAAAATATTACGGTGGCCGGGCGATGAATGACGCCACGTGCTTTTGTACAATTAGACATAGAGACACGGTATCAAAATGTCAGGTCATAGCTTTCTCCTCGTTTTCGTGCATGCATATGCTTTACAAGATGGAGAGTTCAGATCTTCGGGTGTGGGATTTTTCTCATTTAGTAAACGCTACAATCATTGTCATCTTGACAGAGTTGAACAATCAAGTCCCTGCTCTTATCGCCATCATAGTCGTGACGTCGTGATACTCCTCGATGATGAGGTATTCACTCGCCAAGCGCCACCGCAACGTCAACCTACGCAGGGCCGACTTCACCTCCTCCAGCGCCTCCTCCACCTCGGGGTTGCCGCCCTCCTTCCACAGCCAGTGGTACGTCGCCATCGCGCAGTACATGCTGTCCAGGATCAGGGGGCTCACCCGGCCCAGCTCCGCGGTCGTCATGTCCGCCGTGAACTCGAGCAGCGTGCGCCCGAACTCGAGGATACGGTCCGAGCTCTTGCGCAGGCCGTCGATGGCCTCGACCTGCATCGCCAGCTCGGCCTCGCTCTTGAGCGCCGGCCCCGGCGTGCCGTACTGCTCCCGCATCGTCTCCGGGCAGCTGTACGCGTCGAGGATCATGATGACGGTCGACCACACGATGCAGCGCGCGGCCATCCGCGCGAAGAAGGGGCTCGAGTCGGCCGTCTCGCTGGTCAGCTCGGCCTTCATCTCGTTGTCGATGTATGTGCAAAGCTGTGACAGCTGCTCCGTCATGCGCGCTACTTCCGAGATGTCAACGGCGTCGCCTTCGTTGTTGAGCGCCCGCAGGCGTGTGTCCCTGATGTAGTTCCTTGTTTTCGAAAGGAGCACTGACGCTTGTGCGAGTCGTGTGAAGGGACCTTGTCGGTCTTCCAGGGGAGTTGTCACGCGGCGCTGAAAGGCGCGAGCCATGTCACCATCATCCTACCATACCAACAGTCATGTCAGTGAAAAGCCTCGAAGTTATTTTGGAGGGGACAATCACTGACCCAAGCGACATCATCGACGGGCAGTGCATCAAGATCTGTTGGCTCTGACAGTGCGTATCCCTTTTTACTTCCTAAGGAGATCGCTCGGTCGAGAATGTAAACGGCCCACCATGCTCTCCTCCTTTCCTCAGCCTCTGTCCACGTTGTCTAAGATATTGTTAGCACAGGGACTTGCCCAGGTGGCTACAACAGATCACTCACGCATTGTCCGAGAACGAGGCACGAATCACTATATGAAGGGATGCCCAGGATCTGTGCGTACCGCGCACAAGATCCTATAGTCATCCAAGCGGCGGGATAGATAGAATGACCAAACTCATACAGTGCAACGAGAATCATGGCCTGAAGGTACAGCATAGACATAGTCCCGCTGGACTCGAGAAGAGCCACAAAGCGCTTTGAAGTGGCGTAGAGAGGATGGTCTGCGGCCGCGAGACCTTCGACTGGAGGTGTTGTGACGAGCTTCATGGCTAGGAAGAGCATTGCAAGATCGGGTCCGCCGTCCCAGAGGGGTATGCCGAGATTCATCCTCTTTTTAGAGATGATGGGGAACCAGACATGGACTGTGCTAAAGTATATGGATGCAGCCTCCTGTACGCCTTCCCCGTCGCTAAGAACCTCGAGAACTTCCTTATGAGTTGTCAGTCACCGATCGAACAAATCGTATGATATCAAAAACACAGCTCATTCAAGTCGGAATATGATTGAAGCAAAACACCAAGGATAATCCTCATTGGACACATAAAGCACAAGCTACAGGCTGGGAAGGTGTATTTTCATCGCCAGTTCCGACCATACTATCATTTCCCCCGAAATGAAGGTGCAAACTCCTTGCATGAACTTACAGGAGGAATGTCAACAGGGGGCTTTGGTATCATCAACCCCGCCCAACGAAAGGCGTCGATGTCAAGGAACACAACGGAGGGGAACTTGCTGAGAGACGGCAGCCACAACGGGCCTCTCGCATTGGCTTTTGAAACGTTCGAACTAGGGCTGTTTGATGAGTTGTCCTTGTCGAGGCGTGCCTCGATCATTGCCAACTTCATCTGCAAAGCTGCGAAGTCGTCTGCCGTCGGAGTCGACGTGAACTCGGTATAGTCACACGGACGGTTCATCCGCGCGCAAAGGCTACATGCCGGAAGGCTCTTGTCGCACTTGCGCTTCTGCTTCTTGCAGGTCGAACATGCTTGCGGCGCTCTGGCGACGCCAGTGAGGCCGTCGTAATCGCGGGGGAGGAGAGAGAGAGACATGATGGGGTCACCAAGAGACAACCCCTCTCTTCACGATCAGGGTGAGTTTGTGAACCCTTATCTCTTTCCCCGGGAAACAGTAGATGTCGGAGGGTATTGATGTAGATGGACGATTAGTCGAAGCTGAAGTGCGTCCAACACAATTATCTGGAGTGAACGTATGAATGATAGTGTGTGAATTCGATTAGCTAAGACCTGGAAGAGCTGAGGTGGACTCCCGCTACCTAAAATTCACTGACTCTTGTAGTGAACGGCAAAGCGAGATGCTACCGGGGATAGGAATTTAGAATGCATGTCAGCAAAAAAGCCGTCTCGACCACCTTAGTGCTGCAGTAGCGCAGCCGGTCTTAAAATAAACTTTAGAGCACTGAGGTAATCATTGCGCATAGAATATCGTCAAGATGAAAAAACGGCCCAATATCCTTTATCACTTACTATGCACATGGCTACGATTTCGCTACAATGTTGCAAAAAACTGCTACATCCACGATTGAGTTATCCTCATGAGCTCATCACCCACCCTTGATTGATCCAATTGAAAGCATCCTTCCGAACTTGTCCCAGTAAATAAATGTAGGTCTTCCTATGATTAAAAGCTAGGATATGAAGTGTCAACCTCATGGGTGCGACAAGTGGGTTGCATGTGTTGAGATTCTCAAGCAATGATATACCATATCTGATAATTCATATTAGCTCTAAATAAGTGCATCTCAGTGGGCGACTTACGCGCTCGATGAAGTTTCGTGGAACTGGTTTTTTCCATGTGCTTTCCAAAGCATCAATCTCAGGCTTACCTCCCATAAGGTCCATCTCAGCGAGCGGTACCATTTTCGTTTTCTTGACAACCTTCCAAAAGACGAATAACAGAACAAAGATTCTGCCGATGATTAGCATGTGTGGGTATTTGAACTCTCTAATTGAAACCTTCACTTACGGGATGCCTATATAAGAAACCAGAAAGTCGCTGACGTTCCATCTGCCACTCATGAAAACCGGAAATCCATTGAAGACTAGTAGAATGGAGAAGAATGACAGGGAGCCCCAAGCCAGGTATGGCTGGAATGGACCACGAAACCAGGGGTTCTGGTCTGTCAGCCCTTGCACCCTTTGAGCCTTGTGAAAGCGAATAAATGCAAAGCAAACAGATATCCAAGTGAGGAGGCCAGCGACAGTAGTAAGATTAGCAAACTACAATAATTCAATCAGCACATTGATTCAATCAGACATCTTTTTGGAAGCCCACCCAGAGGAAGACGGTTGAGCCGGCTACGGAAACAGTCATGTATGTCAACAGTGAAATTGATCCTGTGACTAGAACGCAGTATATCGGAATACCACTGAAGACCATCATTAACTATCATGAGATTTTCAACAGAGAGACTCACGTTTTTGTGCATTTAAGCAACTGTCTCGGCGCTTGCCCATCCTGCGCAAGACCATAGAGGTATCGACTTCCAGTATATAAAAATGCGTTCGCAGAAGATAGTGCCGAAGTCAGAATTGCCGCATTGATGATGTCAGGCAAGACTTTGATCCCGGAATTTGTGATGCCAATAACCCAAGGCGACCGAGCCACTCCTGTGGAACTGGCACCTAGCAGATTCGGGTTGTTTGATGATACAATGCAGCTAATAGCCAGAGATCCCAGCACATAGAAGAAAAGAATACGGTATATGACTCGACGTACTGCCTTAGGAATGTTCCTTCTGGGGTCCTGAGCTTCGCCACTTGTTGCAGCAATCATTTCAACACCAGCATAAGTAAAGGCTGCGAAGACTAAGACTTGGAAAAATCCAAGAAATCTTCCCAGTGCCCCTGTTGCGGGGGCGAACTCCTTCATGACTATGTACAGCGTCAGATTAAGAGATAAATTTGTTCCGAGTGATAGACTAGCGTACCTCCAGGATCCTTCCAATAACGAAAACCTAATCGGTCGTGATTCGGACCGCCTCCTAATATAATCACTACTGCCAAGATCAGGAGGCCAAGAATGGTGATCAATTTGATCGAAGCGAAACAGAACTCAGCCTCGCCAAAGATCCTGACAGCAAGAGTATTCAAGACCAAAATGAAGATGATCATCAACGTAATCCATACAGCAGGCTAAAATCAACAATTAGCATGTTTTATGAGTAAAAAGTGGATATAAGGATGTTAGAGGAGGCTCGATACCGATATTCCTTGAGCTCCCGGCCAGTAATTTATCAAGATCGACGCCGCGCTGAGGTCCAGGCACACGACAATGGCACAGAAGTACCAGTTCTAGATGTATTTGACGTTTTAGTCAGCAATCACTCGGACGAAACGACTAAGATTTCTCACATTCCATCCCACAGCAAATCCTAGCGCTCCATCCACAAAGCGAGTACAGTACTGGGGTATTGCACCTGGGATAGGAAGCCAGGTAGCCATTTCACCTAAAGATAGCATCATCCCATATACCGCGACTCCGGATAGGGCGAATCCCAGGACTAGACTCAATGGTCCGGCTGTCGCTAAGGACGAACCTATACCGAGAAACAAGCTTGTTCCGATGCTTCCGCCTATAATTTGACAGATATCAGTTTCGAATATTCGAGTTGAGAACTAGAAACCAGGTACCGAGGGCAATCAGTTGAATATGGCGACTTTTCAGCCTGTAGAAATATTAGAAATGCTCCAGGTAAAATCTCCAGGGCACGAACCGTCTTTCCACATGGCCATAACGAACCACAATGTCTTCCATTTGCGTAGAAACTACTCGAACACTTTCTAACCCATCTCGAGATTCCAAAGCAGTGTTATTCTTGGTCTCCATAGACAAAAATCAAGACTGTAGTCAAATTGAAACTGATTGCATTTATTTACTACTCAAATGTTGATTATCTACATAACAGGAACGGATCATGTTGGCTCTTAAATAACAAGATTAGGACACCTATCACTAAAACTGAAGTGGTTTGTTGGATGATAGGGGTAGCTTCAAGATGGCACTAACATCAGGCAAAGGCTACTTATCTTCTAGCTGGTAAGTCTCGATAAGATGGTCATGGTCGACTATGCCTATCTGGGGTGAGATGGCATCTTTCGCCGAGCCCTATCAGGCCCCGCAGTGAGACTAATAGAGCTGTTTAGATAAAGGCGTGGTACGCCACTTTATACATGTCGTCCTTTCAAAACCTCCACTACCGTTACAAAAGCAATACAATTGTCATTCTTTACCGAGCTACAGAAGGGCCGTTTTCCGAATGGGCCGCAAGCGCGATCGTACATTCACGGTAACTATACCCTCTGACGGCGAGGACTGCCACCTCGACCCAATCTTGACGATCAGATGTTGCTAACACGTTTTGTTTCAATACCAGGGTTGCTGGAGATGTCGGAGTCGAAAGGTGAAGGTATGAAATGTCACAGACTTTGTTCCTTATCTTCAACGCCAAGGACCATGTGCTGAGGCTGGTCGTCTTAATAGTGTGACGAAACGAAACCGGAATGCCGAGCTTGCAAGCGTATCGGTGCCCCTTGCACAGGATATGATGTCAAATTCGTCTGGGTAGAAGATGATGGATCGATAAGCACGTCAATGGGTCGGCGTGTACTGCCTTGTGGTACGAATTCATCATTTCTCCTTATCACTGAACAATAAATGTTGGCCAATGAGATTTACTAACCTATCAAAGAGTCAACATGGAAAGGGTTCCAGGTGCTGCCGAGCGATGTCGTAGATCACCTAATAGCTCAATGTGATGAGATTAGTGATGGTCTAGATCAAGGGTTGTCGACTATCGTATCCTGTGAGACAACGAGCCAAAACCCATTTTCGGTGATAACGCTGGACCTTAACCCTCAACAGCCTGACGAGCTTCTCCTGGAACCAGCGGTGATCGAAAAACCGGTCGCATTCTTGGAGCCGACAATATGCCTCTACCCAGACTGGAGCACGGACGAGAAGTTCCTATTTCATCATTACGTGAACCACGTCTCAGTAATAATGCTGCCGTACGACCACCCTCGAAATGTATGGAAAACTCATTATCCAGCTGCAGCTGTAGAACTGGCTTCCTCGGGGCAGAAATATCTATATAATGCCATGGTTGCACATGCTGCTTTCAATGTGGCTCGTTTGGGCGGCGACTTCATGGGCAGCATTACAAGTCTAGGCGTAAAGCATTACGGGAACGCGATTCAAACTTTAATACCCACGATTGGGTCTGAAAATCTCGATTTTCCTACAACAATGGCGTCCATTATGACTCTCATGTTCGCAGAGGTACGAAACCAGATTCTCATTGCCTGAATTAGCTAATTAAGTTGGAAAGCTTTATAATGGCTCAGCTCAGCTTTGGAGACGCCACTTCGATGGAGCATGGACTCTGCTGGATCGGCATTGCAGATCTGAGTCCTGGAAATCTACTGACTTGGCCTTTGTCACACTTCAAAGTCTAAACATTATCAAAATCGTCGATGATACTTCTAAAGTCGACCAAGAAGAGCGGGAAGAGCACACTCTCTTGAAAACCACGACATTACAAGCAATATCTCCAATTTTGTCCACATATTCTTTTGGATTTACAATTGGAGCACCTCGGCCGATATTGGATTCTATCGCACGTATCACGCAGCTTCGAAAGAAAAGACGCCAGGGAAATGCTAAACAAGAACACGTTGACGAGATGTTGGCCAGTGAACTCAATGTTTTAAACCGATATCGTAAGGAGCAAGGCCCTGAATCTGACTGCTGGGCCTCAAATCGAGACAGCACACTGGACGAAACAGTCGAGGCTGCTGCACATCAGAAGCAGGCTTTTATTCAAGCGACCTACATATACCTATATCGTTCATTGCTCGAAGCACCTCCGGAAACAGTGAAGTCTTATGTTGCAACGACATTTGCTCATGTCTTTGCTTTCTTTTCTACCAGCGACGGTAATTTCTCTATATGGCCTGCTTTCATAGCTGCGGTGGAGGCGTTTACAGAGGATAATATAGCGGCGGCAAGACAGTGGCTCGAATCTGCGGTCTCCTTCGGTATTGGAAGCCGTGAGTCCATGAGATGTATAGTGGAGGAGGTGTGGCGTCGACGTAATACAATAGCTCAAACATCTGGACTGAGGCTTGGTCTCATTGCTGTCGATTGGCGAGAGGTTATGCAAGAACTTGGTATTGATATACTACTAGTCTAATCTGCAAATTTTGTTCAGGTGCGTTGAACAAAAGACGTTCAGATACCCTCTTGTTGACAAAAGATAGCTAATTCACGACAGGTATCAAACTACTCGGCTCATGTCAGCCGCCCATCTAGGCTGGATATATAGTGCCTCAGCTTTGACAAGCTCGCGGCCATCGCTGGCGTCCTGAATGACTGCCTTCACCCAAGCCTTTCGCCCTTGAATATTCGCTGTTTCAGCATGGACCATGATAACACTATCGACGGGGATTGGACTCAGATACGCAAGCTCTAGCTTTGCCGTCACAGCAATTTTTCCGGGTAGCCGTGCAAAACAAGCACGACCCATGCATTCGTCCAGAATGACTGCAGCTATGCCTCCATGAACCATTCCAACATGACCTGCAAGCTTGGAGCCAAGTCGGTAAAACGAAAGTAGGGACCCGGCGTCATCGTCTAGAAGCACATAGGGTTTGGCGATAGTATCCGTGCTTGCCAAAGTCGACCCTAAAAGACTATTTGGTAGATGCTTCGGTTCTATCACCAGCACTGTGCGTGTCTCCTGCACGTGGGGCGATTTTCGGCGAAACTCCTCTGTTGCATGATGTTTGGCGACCATTGAATGGAAAGATTCGATGATATCGATGTCATTGGAAGAAGACCCTTCGCTTTGATCAATAAGAGTCATAGGGTCAGCCATGATGACAATGTTGGAGATAAGGATATTACGAATGAAAAAACTGTTCCCTAAGCCCTCGTTTCAACATGTGATCAACCACTGAGTAACGGTGTTATTTATCATTAACCATTCAAGCGACGAGGAATGAGTCAATCTATCTCACTATAGCTGCTTCGCAAAGAGAATGATCGCTTAAAGTCGGTTTATGACTCTTTAGATTTTAGTGCTTGTCGGCATACGTTGCCGTTGAAGCGTCATGAGGCCAACATGCCTATGTAATCATTCTATTGCCACATTTTAGATCGCCATAAATTTCCTTACGAACACGATTGAATGATTTACTACATGACCTTACTAAACTATTCTGTGAGAATAATTGCTTATCTCTGATTTGGGTCGTCGGTATGGATTGCCAATTGTGAGCTAGGTCCACGCGTTCGTGATTTGAGATTGAACTACTCCTGGCTCGGTATAAGTTCCCTCAATGTCCGAATAAAGAATTTGGTCGAATGAGCCGCCCAACCGCAACCCATTTGTGTCAAGACTATTTTGAGTCGCAACTCGCCAAAAAGAACCAAGAAATGACCAGACACGAAGATAAAGGTTTTCAATTCCTAATTTGATTATTTACTGTTTCTCGGCTAGCCTGACCCCTTGACTCCTTTTCGGAAGCTTAGCCCAGTTCCTGTCGTAACTTTCCCCGACCGCCTTGTATATCTTAGCACCAAGACCAGTCGCTATGAGTTGACTCACATGTAAGTCAAAAGCGCGTTGCTAACTCACTCAACCTTAGTAGAGAGTCTGCAAAATAGTCTTTTGTCTTCATATAATTGCAGCACATTTCTCCCCGAAACTGGATAGTCACGGTGCAACACATTGCCGTCTTTCGAGCTCAGATCCCCTGCTACTATACATCGGTTTGCAATCACCATGTCCTCAAGCTCTGTGGTCATAGAAAATCCGGCTGCAGGAATTGTCAAAATCATCTTGAATCGGCCTAAGGCTTTGAATGCCTTGAACGCCGAGCTATTAGACGGGCTCGTGAAAGCCCTTCGAGAGAACTCACACGCGCGTGTCATAATTCTGGAAGGGGCAGGGGACCGATCGTTCTGCGCCGGTGAGGACCTCAAGCAGACCCTAGCTCCAAAGACGGGTACGGCACAAGAGCTCCGCGAAGCATTTCACCAACTTCAAGACCTTACTCGCCTCACATCAGGCTCGCAAGCGGTTGTCATCGCTGCCGTCCATGGATTCGCCATCGGCGGTGGCGCAGAGATAGCCCTCGCAGCAGACTTTGTCATCGGAGGGCCCGCAACGAAATACCGCTTTCCTGAGGTCCCTATAGGTCACGCTGCAACGGGTGGCATCACTCTGCGTCTCTCGCATCTTGTTGGGCTACTCAAAGCAAAAGAGTTGCTTCTCACTGGGCGCTGGGTCGATTCGGCCGAAGCTTTGAAGATTGGGATGTTGACTGAGATTAGTGAAGACCCAAAGTGTCGGGCTTTGGAGCTGGCAATTCAACTCGCCAAGCTCCCTGCTACCTCTTTGGCGGCGTCTAAGAGTTCCCTAGAGCGTTCACTGTTCACCAATATGGAGGCTTGCCTGCAAGACGAAGTCAATGTAGCGAGTTATTGTTTTGCACAGAGCGACGCTGCCAAAGCCTTCACAGATTTTGCTGCTCGTAAAGCCCCTCAGAGCAACGGCAAGGAAAAAATTAAGAGCAAGAGTGAACCAAGATCAAATGGAACGAGTGTAGCAAATATTGCCACACCTTCAGCTGTCCGAACCCCTATCCGAGATATCAACACTGCGCTTGGTGAAGCTATTAACAATTTTTCAGACCAGACTTTCCTACGATTCGCTGGTCAAGATATCACATTCAAAGCATTCGATACTATGGTTAGCAAACTCGCTGGAGGGTTGAGACAGCTTGGTCTTGAGAAAGGTGATAGAGTGCTTGTCATGATGTCTAACAGTATCGAAATGGTCTGCACCTGGATGGCTGTTAACCGCTTGGGAGCGATATGGGCCCCTGTCAACACAGAGCTGAAGTCTGTCACACTGAAGAACGTGATTCAAGCAGCTCAGCCGAAGCTCGCCATCGTTGACTCCGGTTTATGGCCCAAACTTAACTCCCTAGCGGTCTTAGACAGCGGCTCTGTTATCCTCAACGGCGAATCCCATGATCCGCTTGCAAATCTCTCAGATCTTTTCAACTCCAGGAATAGTGTTGATGCCCTGGACTCCGTTGTCGTATCACCTAATACGACAGCTGCATTTCTTTACACTAGTGGCACAACGGGAAAATCTAAACCATGTGTTTTGTCTCACGAATACTTCATCCTCCAGGCACAAGTACTCATCGAGGGTTGCGGGCTCAGGTCTGATGATGTACTCTACTGTCCTTTCCCATTATTCCACGCAGATGCCACTGCTCTTACTGTGATACCGGCAATTCTGCTCGGCTGTGTCGCCGCTCTCTCTGCACGCTTTAGTGCTAGCCGGTTCTGGGATGAGATCCGCAGCACGAAAGCGACGGTATATGACTTTATGGGCGCCACATTGGCGCTGACATACAAGCAACCGCCTTCGGAACGCGATCGTGAGCACAATGTTCGGCTGGCTTGGGGCGTACCCATCCCTTACTTTGCCGAGGACTACGAGAAGCGATTTGGCCACTCCCTTGTCACTCTTTACGGTAGTGTCGAGGCTAGTCTTCCCGTCTTCCAGGATCGCAACGGGCAGCTGCCTCGTGGCTCTTGCGGAAGGCCGAGAAAAGGCATCCAGTTGCGGATTGCCAATGAGATGGATGAGGAGCTTCCGGTTAACACCGCGGGCCACTTGCTTCTTCGGAGCGACCAGCCTAACGCCTTCTTCCAGGGCTATTTTAATGACCCAAGTAGCACGGCTGATGCACTCCGGGGGCTCTGGTTACACACGGGCGATCTCGCAAAAGTGGACGAGGGGGGCAATGTGTACTTCGTCGGCCGTGTCAAAGACGTAATCCGGCGGCGGGGCGAGAATATCAACGCAATGGAGGTAGAGGAAGAGTTTCTTCAGCACCCTGACGTGGTAATAGCGGCTGCATTTGGAGTTCCGTCACAGCTTGGGTCCGGAACGGAAGAGGATCTCAAGGTTGTGGTGACTCTGCGCGCTTCCAGCACGCTGACTGAGCGAGAGCTCTGGGAGTGGGCTGGACAGCATATGGCTAGATTCCAGGTGCCGAGTATCATCGAGTTTGTGGACGAGATTACGAAGACGCCAACGGGCAAGATGGAAAAGGGGAATTTGAAGCCAGAAGGCGGCTGTAGGTTTGACTCTCGAGATGTCAAATGATGGAGCGCGTTATTTTAGGCGTGCCATGGCATGTGACTTCAATATCAGCATGAAGCCGAATTTATCAATTGATTACAACGAATCTGTAGTATAGATGCAGTTTCCACATGCCCTTGATTGTTGAAGCTGAGCGGCTAATAACGCGATTCTGTTTTCTACACTTCTTAGTTTCATCGCGTGGCATGAGAGTTGGTCGCACTGACAAAAGACATGAGGTATATCATCATAAATGATTGTATTCATGTAAATTTCGGGTGTCAGTCGGATCTGGTCCACCAACGAGAGTGTATGGTGTTCCCAATTTCAAGTATTTTTTCTGCGGTCTCTGATGACAGTGGAGGGGTAAGTTGTGCTGTCGCGTCACGGTGTCTTTAGACGTGATTGATTGGCACAGAATACTGGTTGGACCCCTGCTATTACGGCGTCTCATAATGGCATGGTTGTCGCCGCCATATTCAATGCTGAGGGGCAAAGTTTTGGAGCTGCTCAAATGTTTTGAAGTCATCGCGAGCAATAATGGCCGACTCGCAAGGCCGAGGAAGTACACGTGGACGACGTGCCCGCGGATCATCACGAGCATCAGGCACATCTTCAGCCAGGTCTTCCGCCGTCTTTGATGACCACATATACCTGGCGCCGCCGCACTATAATCATAGCTTGCGCCCGGCCGAGTCCCGCTTCTCACTAAATGAGCAATTCGCAGCGACACGGCGTGACTATGAGTTTGGGTTTGATGATGCGTCTTCCTTTCTGGAAAGGTCGACCATTGCATCTGATGTGCATTACGATGTCGACCAGGACAGAACGTTGACGCTGGACTCCGACCTCGTTGTCATTCCACCTACCGGACCTTCGTCTGCTCCCCAGAGCGATCGCATCTATCGAACGTATTACGAGCTGCTTTGCTTATCTCAAGATCCTGGCGCGTCACCAAGTCAAATTCGCAGAGCGTATTTTCGACTCTTCAGCTTGCTTCACACAGACAAGCTGATGCCCCAGTATCAGCAGACCGCCGATGCCTATTTTTCGGATGCGCAAATCGCATTTGAGACTCTCATCGAGCCATTGCGCAAGATTGACTACGACAATGCTATACTCAGTCTAGGAGCAGATGAAGATGAAGATGATGGAAGCAGTCCGAATAGGCACGAAGACGAGTTGGATGAGCTTGGTACGAAGCAACGTTCTTGGCTCAAGAGACTACGCGATCGGCAGCGTCAAAATATAGCAGACTTTGGCATCAGCATCGATGCCTCAAGGCTGTTAAGTCGTGCACATGTTTCTCGGCGACAGGATCATGACGGGGCACGGTTTCTGGATCTGACGTTTACCAAGTCAAATACCATTGGTATACCTGCATTGGGCCGTGCGATAGAAGCCAGAATCCAGTCTATTCGCAACACTCTTGATTTGCAAGCGGGAGACAAGCAAAAGGAATTTCAAGTCTACTGCAGCATACCTACGGTGACGGTGGCAGGATCTGTGTACGCTCTATTCGACAATAGAGCTCCGGCGCAAGCTACACTCCTGGCTGGCCAGTACCACCCCGTACTTCCGGGGAGCATACCGAGGAACAGATTCATGACGCTTGTACCACTAAGGATATCCCCTTTTGTTTCGGTTAAGATCCGTCAGGAGCTATTCTGGAGGCCTTCTCGATTCACTGAATCCGGACATCTTGTCCAAGAGGCAACATTGCCAGACGCTGTCGTTGAGATCGAGACAGATTCGCTCCAAGGGTCGTCTATTACTGCACGAATTTCACATAATGTTCGTCTTCAGGATAAAGAACAGCCGCTGCACGTGGAAGTCAGCCTGTCTTCAATACGCTCCTGGCGTCCGGGTCCACCACGCCTAGGCCTCGCACTCCATAGGCGTGTGCGAGACGGGACAGTGTTTGCTTGCGTCGACAGTGGGACCTGGGTAACACGACGCTCGAGGGAGTGTCAGTACTTCAGCGACTTTTCCAGATTCGGCAAACGGACTCGGCTTGCCTCTACACTCTTTTCGTCGCCGCCCACTCTTGAGGTGGGCTTCAAGTTCAGCCCTCATGATATGGGACTGCGCGCTGGCCGCGGCTTTACGAAGCAATCCGAGGGCGGTATTAGAGAGCTTGATACCGATATTAATGTCAACGAGGAAGGTTCCTGGACTGTGTCCGCGGCACTCACCTCTGGTTCTCTAGCCGGATATTTAAGATATGGCCGGGACCTCCTATCAACACCCAATGGCTCTAAAGTAAGTAGCAGCGGATTTCGCATCGAGCTCGAACTCTGTGCAAACAAGTTCCGAGATGGATATCTTGCTGTGAGAAGCCTCAAGAGCCTGGGTCAAACCTCCAAGCTTGGGGTCGAGGTTGGTATCAGCAGTCAAGACCTGTCACTCTCACTGTACTGGTCTCGTCTCGGGAACAGAGTCATTGTACCTTTCATAATAGCAAATCGTGCATTCCTCAACACGGAATTGCTGTTTTGGTCCACCATTCTCCCATTTGTGGGCTTCGCAGCACTGGAGTTCTCAGTATGGCGGCCGTGGAGATCGAAATCCACAGCTCAGAGTCGAGGACTTCGGGATCTTAGCCGAGAGGAGTTGCAAGACTATGTTGCGAAGAGGCGAGCCGAAGCTGACGAGTTGACCATGGTACTAGCTGGCCCCGTTGAGCCGAGGCAAAGAGCGGAGCGCCAAAAGGGCGGGCTCGTCATTGTAAGTGCGAAATACGGAGTGAAGGACACATCATCTATCAACGGCTGGGCATCAGAAGAGGTTGCCGATGTCACGGTGGCACTAGCTTCGCTAATTGACGATGGCGAGCTTCTGATACCTAAAGGTCTCCGGAAATCTCACCTACTTGGCTTCTGGGATCCGGCACCGCTTAGAACAAAGGTTCTTCACGTGCGATATCTCCACAGAGGCAAGGAGCAGGTTATTGAGGTTCGCGGTAGGGATGAGTTGAGGCTGCCATGAATGATGGACTTATGATTGGACGACTGTTCATGTACGGGTAATAAGGGGTTGTATGATGGATGTGTGTAGCGGTGTTTGTATACGTAGCATGTGCCAACCACACTCAATTCAAAATAGCATTCATGTTAGTGCTCATAAAGTCCACGGCTTGTCCTGTATTCGCTAACACACTGTACTTTCGTCTCTGACTATGAAGAGCATGTAAGGAATGATGGTCCTCTTCGGACTTTGCCCACTTCTACAGTACGTTCCTATGGAATGGAAGTTTGCTAACATTTCAGACTACCTGTAGTACCAACTGAAGGAGGGACGAAACGAGACGAACGACATGGTCGAAACTCGCGGTAATGGAAACATCGCCAACCATACAGAAGCGAGGTCTGCAGGAACTAGAGGTCATCGCTGGTGACAGAATTTCCGTCATCCTCATCCTCATCATCACTGTCGTCAAGGTCCTCGTCCCAACCCCTGCGGCGACGCAGGAAGTCCTTGAAGCCTTTGCTCATCTTGACGACGGCCTTGATGTGCTTCTCAGTGACGTTCACCTTCTCCAGACCATCCTCCATGGCTTCCGTCTCCGCCAGCGCCACAGCAGTCTGCAGCGCATTGCGAATCTCTCTGCCGTTCCACTTGAGAGCACGAACATCGTCACTCTCATAAGCGTAGTCGCGCGCGTTGAGGGACACGTACGCCTTGCCGGATGAGTCACGCTCGAGGCGGTCGAAGTTGTTCTGCCAGATGCGCAGGCGGTCCTCGTCCGTCAGCTTCTTGTAGTGCAGCGCGACGTGGATACGCGAGGTAAACGCAGAGTCGAATGCCTCAACTCGGTTTGTCGTCAGGAACAGAACACCGCGGTAGTACTCCAGGGCACGCAGGAAAATGGACACCAGGCCGTTGCGGTGAAGGTCTTTGGTGCGGCGCTCCTCAAGATACACGTCAGCTTCGTCGAGCAGCACGAGCGCGCCATAGCGCTCTCCCAGCTGCAGGAAGTAGTGCAGATTGCGCTCGACAGAAGAGGAGCTCATCGAAGTGCTGATATCTCCGCTGGTAAGAGACAGAAGGGGCCGGTGGGTAAGCTCTGCGACGCACTCGGCGGTGCAGGTCTTGCCGACACCAGGGGAGCCGTGGAGCAGGAAGATCCGTCCCTCACCCTTGTTCTTGACGAAGTCATTGGGCCAAGGGGAGACCTTCCCGTCAGCGCTGGCAAACTTGCCGATAAGAGCCTTGACGGTCAACTTGATCTCGTCGTCCAGGACGAGATACTTGAAGGCCTCTCTGTCGGACTTGACATCTTTCAAGTTCTCGACGCTGACATGTCCCCAGCGTCTCTCGCTGAGGATAAAAGCAGGAATGTCTGGCGACAGAACAATGAAGTAGTTGCTGTTCTTTGGTGGCTTGTCTTGATTGGGATCCAAATCCTCGAAATCAGCGAACGGCCCGGTTTCTTCTCTATCTCCTTGCTTGCTGCAGGGCTTGCAGCTGCAGCGAGGGCCGAAGCGTGGCAGCTGGTCTTTGGTCGGTGGAGGGGCACCTCCGCGTCCTGGAGGAGGCGGCATTCTTCTGCGCTGTCCATCTGGGCCCATGTTGATGAAGCGCTCATAGCCATCGGCATCTACTATGACTCTTCCAGAGACGGTCCCGGTCATACAGAAGTCCTTGTCAACTAGCTGACCATCATAATCCTTGTATGATGGGCGCTTTGACAAGTCCCAGTAGATCTTGCCGAGTTCGACTTGCTTCTCGGTCATAGTCACATCGGCCTCTGGCTGGATGTTCTCAGGGAAGAATGCGGCAGGCACAATGTTCAAACTGTGAATGGCCTGCTCGCCAGGGAATGAGCGGACGCTAAACGAGTTCATTACGCGCCGAAGCTTGCCATTTCCAAAGCGGATATTCCAGCACTCGACAGTATAAGACATGAGCTTGCCCTGAGCATTGGTGACGTTGTCGACAAAGCTGATGAGGAACGGGACCCAACTGTTCTGAATCTTGGCGTAGATGATCTCTCCTGGCTTGAGGATCAACCACAGCCAGTCGAACGTTGTAGCGGGAGGGTTGTTCCTGTGACGATCCTCTTCATCACGGATGCGTTCGCCGTACGTCTTCTCGAGGAAGTTGAGAAGAACGTCGATATGCTTCGCGGTAGTTGCAACATACTCGGCATCGTGGCATGCAGGCTGAGCAGTCTTGTAGCGAGCGAGAGCCTCACGGTGATGAATAAGGACATAATAAGGAGCATCGATGGTGACGGTATCGGTCAAGAAGTTGGCACCGGGATAGTAGCCCACCACCGCATTCAAGGCGTTTTTGAGATGCGTGGAGTGAATCACCATCTCGGTTGTCTCGATCTTGGTGATCTTCATCTTGTCATCTTCCTCATCCGAGGATGCTTCGCTATCCGTGTAAGCAGGTGAATACCCGCCATATCTTGGACGACGCCGGTTCCGGTTTCTATTGATAGAAGCAGAGACCTTCGTGAGAATTTCGATGACCGGCTTCTTCTTATTGCCCTCATCTTCGTTCGCATCCAGCGAGAGGTCCAGTGGCTTATCACTTTGACGAGCTAGCTCAAGTTAGCAATGATAGATCTCAATGAATGGCATTGCTATATAACTTACTGTCAACGACTCGTCCACCTACATCTCGGTACTGTACGACATAGAGAACGTCAGGGACTTCCTCCTCATCCCCCTCATCACCAACGGTGTTCTCCTTCTCCTTTGAAGGCGAACCAAGCTTTCGCCCATGAGCAATGAGATCCTTGATGATGGAGGACACCTTGTCATGGGATCCAGCTTTCATCACGTTGATCTCCTCGAAACTCGCGACGGAACTGTCACCATCGTCGATCTGTGAATCAATTAGTACGGATTCATTGAGCAGATTGAGACAGAAACATACCTTGTTCACGTTATTGCCAGGCATACTGGATGTTATTTTTCTGAGATTTGGTGATAAGCAGGGCTTACGCAAATGGAGTGTAAAAACGTATAAAGCAGAAGAGTCCGGCTGACTAGCAGACGACGAGAGGGAGGAAGACAAACGTGATAAGAATACAAGAAAGAGAGATGGAAGAGAGGACTTCCCCAGGTCATTGACCTGGGAAGGCTGTGTGGGCTATATACTATATAGCTCGAACGGCAATTCGAGGCTGCCGTAGCACGACATCCTGTGCCTGCACGTCGGATGAGAAGAGAGACAAGCTGCCTGATAAGATGATTCACCCATAATCAGAGAGTAACCAACAGGAGGCTTGAGCTCGGTTCGAAGATCTCACAGATTGGCTGGGGTCTCGAAGGTCTGCTCCTTGGAAGCCGGGCGAGGTGCATGCAGTACCTAGGTGGGTATCGTACGCTGATAGGGCTGACAGGTATCAATCATCTCTGACCAGGCAGCAGATGCGGGGCTTCCATCCTCTTACTGTTGACTATCGAAAGCCCACTGAGCCTCATGGCGGTCGAATAACCGGACAGGGCAGCGAGGCAGACATGTGTGCGCAGCCGCTTGGTCCGATCACTCGCACTGCATGTATCCACAGATCTAACGAATAATCTACGGCTCTGAAGAGTTACAGCTCCGTTGCGCATGAGGAGGATGCTCAAGTGACGGGATGTGGTCGCAGCTACGATTTGGCCCCCAATTGTGCCTCTTTTCACTGCAGTTTTAGCAGTGATGTAGTGGAGCTTCCCCTGGCCAGATTGCCTCATTCTTGATCTGAAGCGAGAACATTTGTCCAGAAAGGATGTAGAATATAGAGAAACCCTTGAGATTGCGTCTTGTAATAGTGATCTGCTATGTCGATTGTGTTATCTTGGTTGACTGCACAATGATGGTGTCACCAGCCCAAATAAACGTATCAGATCAAACGACGTAAAGGATGGCAGAGACATTTATTTCATATCCTTTTGATGTACCTTAAACCAAACCTGCTCAAGCACCCAACTCCCGAAAAATGTGCGGAAATGCTGCCTCCATGCGACACAGCTCTAACTTTACGCATAGAGCTTCTTCTCATATGATTCCATATTCACACCTCCCTCAAGTTGAGCACTTGCAGTCCGTATCTCAAACCTGAGAAAGCCATTCTCCACGTTCTCGTGAAGCTCTTTCAGGCTCTTGATACCGGCGTCCTGCATGGAATGTTTCAAACCTGCAGCTAGGTAGGGCACGAACTTGCCAATAGAACTGCAACATAGATTAGCTTGAGATCTTAAGAAGTAGGTTGCCGGATCAGCTTACCCTCTGTGCGCCACGGCACCAGACACACCCTGAGCAACCAGCACACTATCGCCCTCAGAGAAGTATCGGGCAGTGCCAGCATTGCTCTTCTGGCTGTCCTTGCCGCCACCTCCAGCCTTTTTGTCCTGCATAGCATCAATGCTGCCCATTCCTCGGTAGGCCTTGACAAGCTTTCCCTCCCGGGAGACGAAGGAAGTTCCTGGAGATTCGGTGGTTCCAGCCAGGAGACCACCCATCATCACAGTGCTGGCGCCAAGTGCAAGACCCTTTACAATGTGACCAACATTCTGGATACCGCCATCTGCGATGCAAGGCACGCCAAATTTGGCAGCGAATGCGCTTACGCTGTGAACTGCAGTAGCCTGTGGACGACCGACAGCCATAACTTCCTGGGTAATGCAAGCACTGCCGCTTCCCATTCCAATACGGAGGCCGTCAACACCAGCCGCGATCAAAGATGCAGCCTGCTCCCTTGTCACAACGTTTCCGCCAATGACGTCGAGATCAGGGAACTCCTTCTTGACCCATTGAATCATCTCAATCTGGTACATACTGTTACCTTGGCTGCTGTCAAGGATGACAATGTCCAATCCAGCCTCCACAAGCTTTTGTAGCCGGATCTTGTCTTCGGGGCGGGTGCCGATGGCGGCAGCGCAAATAAGCTGCTTAGAATGCGGCAGCTTGGAAGCGAGAGGGAAGTGGAGGTTCTTGTTCAAGTCGGAGCGGGAGATCATAGAGACGAGGTTTCCGTGCTTGTCTACGATAGGGAGCTTGCCCTTCTTGGACTTGGCCAGGATCTTATTAGCTTCGGCTAGAGTGACGCCGTCGGGAGCAGTGATGAGATCCGTGACCATGACAGTTGAGACGGGTTGGTTGGGGTCCTCCTCGAACTGAATGTCACGGTTGGTGACGATGCCGAGGAGCTTGGAGCCCAGCTTGCCAGACTCTGTAGGGCGATCAATTAGCGGCAGGCCTTGACATGTCTAAAAAGCTAATCTCTTTCTCTTCAATGTGCTATTCATACAAGAGTTTTCTCCCCATGACTGATTCGTCTATACGGTGGAACGAAAGTTAAATGGTAAAAGATATAATCCTTTGCGGCGTCCCCAAAGACCATGCTGGGATAAAAAATGTTCAGAACTAAACTCACCAGTGACGGGGAACCCTCCAAAACCCCACTTCTCCTTGAGAGCCTTTGCCTCCTCTACAGTGGTCTCCCTAGTAATGACGACTGGGTCCAGGATGAAGCCGTTCTCGTATCTCTTGACCTTACGGACCATATCTGCCTGAGCATCTGGAGAGCAGTTATGGTGGATGACTCCGAGGCCTCCCTGCAGAGCCATGTGGATAGCCATTTCGTGCTCGGTGACCGTGTCCATGGGTGAAGACACAAAGGGAGTCTTAAGAGAGATCCGCTTTGTGACTGGGGAGTCGAGAGTGACTTGTGAAGCGGGGAAACCGATGTAGCCCGGGAGAAGGAGGAAATCATTGTAAGTCAGCCCGCCGTGAACTCTGGCGTTCATGAGGTCCCGGATGTCGAGGCCATCACGGGTCTCATACTCCTTGAGGATCTCATTGGCCTTGGTGTAGTCAAGGACCTTGGCACCAGACCCATTGAGCTGAGTTGCTGCTCCGTTGGCGGGGGACATCTTGCTGTGCGATTAATGGGATTAGGAGATGTGTGAAGCAAAGACTTTTGAGGTCGAAGATAGTAGGCAGTGAAAGGACAATTGGCTGCTCAACTGACTACGGCTTGACGATATTATCTTCTCCCCATTAGAAGGAAGAAAGAAAGAGAGACTCGAAATCGGCCCCTCAGAATTTTTTTTGTAGCAGACCGCCCCACCTACCGCGACAGGAACAGGACCCTTGCAGCAAAATGAACGGTCAGGCAATGCGGGGCACACTAACTGAGACGCGTTCTGGCTTACTATGGTACACTCGAATGCGCGGTGAGTCTAGGCATATTTTTTAAATGATTAGCAGGTCTTGGGAATAGGCTTCTGTTAGCACATTTACCTATTGTCGCCTGCAGATGCTAACACGATAAAGACAGGGACGACCTGCAAATTCTGCCATGCCGATAACAGGGCGGTGTGATTAGATAAGCGCACAGACCAGATTTCGCCCAGAGTCGGGTGGTTTGCATCGGTTTGATTCGGTTGGTCTGTGCTTTGTGGTGGGCGTGTGTTCCAGGTTTCTGGTGTGGTAAGGCAGGTGCCACTAGCAACCAGCCCCTTTGGGCAAGTAAATAAACAAAGCAAGAAAAGCCTGGCAGAAGGCCGGCCGCCGTCACCGTCACAGCCATCTGGCATCCCACCTCAGGTGAGCTCCAGCCTTGATTATCCAGTCCCCCTGTCAATACCTCCTCGCCTACCGGCACTCATGGCCACCTCTCCGCATTCCCAATTCCAGTCGTGATAGTTAATATTACGGTTGTTTTAGATGGCAGCGCCAGTGATGGCCTAGGAGATTACTGTGGAATCTTGAACCCGGTTTCATCGCCATCATCGCGACCTTTTCCTACACTCACTTTCATTCTGCGCAGAGCGCGCGCATGTCTTTAATCTCTCAGTGAGGGTTTCGCTTTGCGCATCTTGCCCAAGACTTGCCCTCTCGAAGCGGTGGCGCTTTTTTCAACACCAGCACCCTGCACAACTCGACCCCAAAAGCGACCAGCACGCCAACCTCTTCTCCCTACTCGATATAATCCCAAGTCGAAAGAATTCTACAAATAAGGACCCATGTTGTCGACGACTTCTTACCATCTACACATCAACATCAAGAGAAGTAACTCTCCACAGTGGTAGTGCAAGTCGTCGAGATGTCGCACCGGCCGCATCCCTTACGGCAATCGCAGACTATTGACTATCCAGTCAATCGTCAACCGTCGACAACTTCGTCATCCGCCTCCTCCGGATACTCGTACGCTTCCGAGAACAGCAGAGCTAGCACCTTCTCTTCCTCGGCATCCAGTGGATATGGGATGCTGGGTCACAACCGCGCCAAGAGTGAGGTAGCCCGACTCCCACCCTCACCAAGTAGTCCAGATAGCTTCCACCTCAAACCTTCGGCGGCGGACAACATCTACAACATGGCTCGCCAATCCCTCAGGCCGTTGCCTCAAGCACCTGCCCCAGCACCATCGCCTCGCGGTTCATATCGCCATGAACGTGGCCAAAGTGTAGACATTGGAAAGCTGTCATTATCGGACAGGGAACGGACATCTCCAACCCCACCTGCCCGAGTCTCAGCAATCAGGCCGAACTCTATGCTTCTCACGCGATCCGACTCTATCAGTCGAGGAAGCACCGCTGTTGCCCCGGCGCACTCGCCTCTTGTCCCTGTCCACAGCGCCCCTCTCGCGAGACCAGACCTTGAAACCCTAGGGCGATCGTCAACTACGCAATTGCGAACACTATCAAAATTAGCCCAGTCAGGTTCAGCCGATGAATTTGCAATCACCGCCCCAGCCCAGGAGGTAGTCGGTCTTCGAGGCCGACGAAGACTTCAGAGGGTTGATCAGGGAAGCACCGCAAAAGCAGGACAACGCAGTGGTGGCTATGGCTGGGAGGGACGGAATTGGATGGACAAGCAGCGACAGTTCTTGCAGGCATACGAATATTTGTGCCACATAGGAGAAGCCAAGGAGTGGATTGAAGACATCATTCACAAACCAATCCCACCAATTGTTGAACTCGAAGAAGCTCTCCGGGATGGTGTCACCCTTGCTGAAGTCGTGGAGGCTCTAAATCCTGATAGAAGATACCGGATTTTTCACCATCCTCGGCTGCAATACCGGCATTCTGACAACATTGCAATCTTCTTCCGCTACTTAGACGAGGTGGAACTCCCAGACCTCTTCCGATTCGAGTTGATTGATTTGTACGAGAAGAAAAACATCCCTAAGGTTATTTATTGTATACATGCGCTGAGTTGGCTTCTTTTCCGCAAAGGGATAGTCGACTTTCGCATTGGCAACCTGGTCGGTCAACTCGAATTTGAACATCATGAACTCGAAGCCATGCAGAAAGGACTAGACAAACTCGGCGTTAGTATGCCGAGCTTCGGCACGATGGGGGCAGACTTTGGGGTTGAGCCTACCCCCGAACCTGAAGAGACGGAGGAAGAGAGGATCGACCGCGAACTGGCAGAAAACGAAGATTCTATTGTCGACTTCCAAGCTCAGGTGCGGGGGGCACTGGTTCGAATGCGCTTGGGAAGCACAATGCAAGGACTGTGGGATTCAGAGGACTGGCTGATTGACCTTCAATCTCGGATACGCGGAGACTTCACACGACAAATTGTAGATTACCGACTTCAGATGAGGCGTTTTGCTGTAAATCTTCAAAGCGCTGCTCGGGGGTATCTCGTTCGGAAGAGACAGACGCAGAAGGAACGGTATTGGAAGAGTATGGAGGGAGATATCCTAAAGCTCCAAAGTCTGATACGGGCTGGTAGAATCCGTGACGAGGTACGAGAGGCGCGATCTCAATTACTCAGAGTGTCCGGGCCTGTACGAGATATCCAAGCTGTGATCAGGGGATACCTGACCCGCAAGGATATCAATACACAGAAGCGAGAAACGAAGCGCATGGCTGGGCCCCTGAGCGGGTTCCAGGCTGCTATTCGAGGAACGCTTTTGAGAAACAGGCTGAATCAGGAAAGGATGTTTTTGGAAAGACAAGCCCGCGCCGTCACAGGCCTGCAGGCTGTCGCAAGGGCAATGCTGACGAGAAATCAGGTCGCCATCCAAAAGGAGCACCTCGAGCATTTCACACCGCTATGGGAGTCACTTCAAGCTGCATGCAGGGGCCGACTGGCGAGAAATAGCGTTCAGGCTCTCAAAGCAGAACTTCGACAACACTCTCAGGCAATTGGCAATTTGCAAGCCTGCATCCGCGCCAGTGCTGTGCGAAGAGACGTTGCTGAGACGCTGGAAGGCTTGACCGAGAACGAACCCTGTGTTGTCGACCTCCAATCCCAGATCCGTGGTATGCTAGAGCGTCAACGACTTGCTTCTGACCGCCAGGCACTGGCTCGACAAACCCCCAAGATCACTGGTCTCCAAGCGCAAATCTGTGGTTTCCTCTATCGTCAACAGCATTTCGAATTTCTCGACAACCTCCGCGCCAACGAATCGGAAATCGTGTCTCTTCAAGCCTTATCGAGAGCCATGCTACTAAGAGCGAAGGTAGGAGACCTATTGGCGCAACTGGAAGAAGAAGAAGAGTCTATCATCGCAATTCAAGCAGCTGCCAAGGCATTCATCGTTCGAGCCAAGTTCGTGGAGAAGAAACGATTTTTCAAGGAGAATATGCAAAAGGTTGTGAAAATCCAGAGCTTCGTCCGAGCTAAGCTTCAGGGAGAGGCGTACAAGAGCCTCACTACCGGAAAGAACCCGCCCGTGGGAGCTGTGAAGAACTTCGTCCATCTGCTCAATGATAGCGACTTTGACTTTAATGAAGAGGTCGAGTTCGAGCGAATGAGAAAGACGGTGGTCCAGCAGGTGCGACAAAACGAAATGTTGGAACAGTATATCGACCAGCTTGACATCAAGATTGCTCTGCTGGTCAAGAACAAAATCACCCTGGACGAGGTTGTGAGACATCAAAACAACTTTGGTGGCCACACGGGCACTCTCCTCGCAAATAGCTCAATGTCGTCTGCCAACCAATTCGATCTCAAAGCTCTCAACAAGAGTTCAAGAAAGAAGCTCGATTCTTACCAGCAGCTTTTCTTCAACCTTCAAACTCAGCCACAATACCTGGCACGCTTGTTCAAGCGCATCCGCGAGCAAGGTACCGCCGAGAAGGAGTGCAAGAGAGTGGAGCACCTGATGATGGGGCTTTTCGGATATGCCCAAAAGCGAAGAGAAGAGTACTACCTCTTGAAGCTGATTGCGAGATCCATGCGCGAAGAGATCGATGGCTGCCAGTCGCTTCAAGATTTCCTCCGTGGCAACTTTTTCTGGTCTAAGCTATTGAGCAACTATGCTCGCTCTCCTCGGGATAGGAAGTACTTAAGGGACTTGCTTGGCCCTTTAATCAGAGACAACATTATCGAAGACCCAGCTTTGGACCTTGAAAGCGACCCAATGCAGATCTACCGATCGGCAATCAACAACGAAGAACTGAGAACAGGACAACCAAGTCGGCGACCTCTGGATATTCCCCGAGAGCAGGCAATCAAAGACCCTGAAACAAGAGAGCTCTTCATTGATCATCTTCGTGATCTTCGAGAAATTTGCAATCAATTTTTGTCGGCCCTCGAAGAGCTTCTGCCTCGACTGCCATATGGCTTGCGTTATCTCTGTCAACAAATGTTCGAATTCCTTTGCCAACATTTCAAGAGAGAACCCCAACATCAACATCTGCAAACTGTTGGCAACTGGTTCTGGCGCTTTTATTTGCAACCAGCACTCGTTGCTCCGGAGAATGTTGGCGTAATCGAGAAACAGCTCAGCCCATTACAAAAGCGGAATCTCGGCGAAGTTGCAAAGGTTTTGGGCCAGATTGCCTCCGGCCGCCCCTTTGGCGGAGAAAACATCTATCTACAGCCGCTCAATGCTTTCTTGGCAGAATCAATGGAACGCCTGGGCAGTATTCTGGCTGATCTCATCTCTGTCCCGGATGCCGAAAACACATTCGACATCGATGAGTTCAACGATCTCTATGCTAAGAATAAGCCGACCCTCTATATCAAAATGACTGATATCTTTGCCATCCACAACCTGATCGCCTCGGAACTGCCATACCTTTGTCCAAATCGAGATGATGTACTTCGCGAGATCATGCAAGATCTTGGTAGCGCCAAGAGCAACGAGAACGAGATGACCGCTGCTGGCTCCTCCGATATTCAGATGTTCTTGACTCCCAAATTGCACGATATTGATGACCCCGAAGCTGAGGTCAAGGCTCTGTTCATGGAGACGAAGAGATGTGTTCTCTACATCATTCGGGTGCAGACAGGAGCCAACCTGTTAGAGATTTTAGTCAAGCCAATATCACCAGAAGACGAGCACAAGTGGCGAGTCGTTCTGCGAGATGACTTCTCGGCGGGAACCAACACTAGAGGAGCATACTCTGACGCTAATATGATTGACGTGACGAGGATGTCGTATTATGAGCTTAAGCGTACCGCGCTGGAGAACGTCTTGAGACTGGAGCACATGGGGCGTATTTCCAAGCACAATTTCTATCAAGACATACTCAATGCGATCGCCCTCGACATCCGGACAAAGAGCCGTAGAAGAGTGCAAAGACAGCGCGAGTTGGAAGGTGTTCGTCTTACGCTTGGAAACCTGCACGAGAAGGCCAAGTATCTTGAACAGCAGCGCAAGAGTTATGACGACTATATCGAGCAAGCTATGGCAACCTTACAAAAGAACAAAGGGTATGTATTTCCGATATCAAATTCGACCTCTCAGCAGTCACTAATAATTTTACAGCAAGAAGAAATTCCTCCTACCCTTCACTAGGCAATATAATCACCAACGGGAGCTGGAGCGCAGCGGGCGAGTCCCCAAATTCGGCTCATATAAGTACAGCGCGCGGCAACTCATGGACAAGGGTGCGCTTGTTAGCTGGACTGGTACGGCAGATCGCGATTGGGACAAAATCAATCTCACCATCTCGTGTGACGAGGTTGGTGTCTTTTCAATTGAAGGATCCCGTGGCCACATTCAAATCCCAGGCGCGAGCGCACTGGTGCCTATCGAAGACCTACTCCAGGCGCAATTCGAGGCTCATCAGTTCATGACTCTCTTTGAGGGCAACCTTCGGCTAAACGTTAATCTTCTCCTGCATTTGCTTTACAAGAAGTTCTACAGAACTCAGTAGACTGTGTAGAGTGTGTGCCGGGAAGCTGTCGAAGATGAGGCGGATTGTTGAATGAGATAACGGATACATGATACCAGGATTGCCTCATGACGGGAACGGGAGATAGGAGCGTGAAGTGAGGAAGGGGTGTTCAGGGAGTGTTTGATGTCTTGCGTGTTTGCAGCAGCATTGGAATGGGAAAACGGAAATGACTTTGGCATTGCTTTGGACATTGAATGGCTTGATGTGCATTTGAACGTTCGCATGAAACTGTAAAAGGTTGTTGTTCAAAGTACATATACAACACTTCTTGACATGCCATGGGCACCACTCGGTAATCTGGCTGGATCCGCCTAGGGTTTAGGGGAAAGAGCATCAGGAGGCTATTCCCCTAGTAGCATATATAAATGCCTTTAGATACTTAGATATTGAACCCACATTCCCATTCATCAACTGTCCGTCTTCAATACTGGTCTTGTGGACAGACAATGCCGTAGTGATATGAATTGCTGGGTTTAGAGAGAAATATGTCACAAATTTGGCGCATCAAAGATAAAGTGACAACGTTACTAATAAATCATCCGTCATTTTATTGTCCTGCCTATCTAGACAGCTATATTACCATGCCCAAGACATGCAATGCAAAGCCCACCCCACGTAGACGTGAGCCCATGACCCGTTTCCCAGCCTTGACAAACCCACAACAACTAAGATCATAGCCTGCCGAAGCGGCCTCTGTATATAACGACACCCCTTTTTATGATTGGATATATCCACCCAAACGCCTTGAGAATTAAACCAGAACATCATAAATGGTCCTTCCTTTTTAGTTGATCATCCCTCAATGTCATCATCGCCCTGCTTGAGCCTCCATTTCGGATCGGCGGGATCGCGCTCGAGATCCTGTCCTGACGCAGACATCCTACGTAGCCGCACGTGGCCCGGCGCAGCGGTGGCGTTGACTGTCGAATGCAGCACCTTTGTCGGCTCCAGCGGCGGGACGTCGCTGTCTACGTCGTCCGGCTCGGGGATCGCCGCCGCCAGGTCCGGGGCGTCGATCGCGACCGCCGCGAAGGCGTGCTGCTCGTCGTCGTCGACGGCCGTCCCGTCGCTGAAGTTGGCCTCATCTGATGGGATGAGACCGTCGTCCTCGTCCTCGTCCTCGTCGTCAGAGTCGGGAATGTGTGCGAAGCCGCTGCCCTCGACGATCATCCACGCTGGGATGGCCTGCAGGAAACCGACTACGGCGAGCAGGAACCAGGCCGGCGTCACGTAGCCGCGCTGAACGCCGTAGGTGAAGGTGGTGCCGGTGACTGCTGGACCAAAGGCACGGCCCAGGCCGCTGAAGGTCGTGGCGAAGCCGTTCAGGGTGCCGAGGATGCGGAGCGAGGGCGCGGCATTGGTAAGCAAAATGGTGATGCAGGGGAAGCCGATGATGACGGCGAAGCTCTTGACGAGCAAAATCAGGCTCAGGGCAATGTAGCGGTTGCGCTCGTCCTGAATGAGTGCGCTGTACGGTGTTGCCATGTAAACGATGGGGTATAGAATAGCTAAAATATTATTTTAGCACATAACTCATATGTGATTTGGTGAGGTGTCAACTTACTGGATGCTTTGAAGCAGTTCAGCGCTCCAAACTTGGAGCACAGTGGCGGGAAAAGAAGAAATTGGATGACTCCACACGCAAACCCATAGATTGTGAAAATGGTACCGATACGACCAGAGCTCAAGCCGAATCCGCCAGAGAAATAGAACGGTAGATGGGTGTTATGCGAGTCGGGAGTTTGTTGTGGGTAATTCAAAAAGACGGCCAGAATCTGATCATAGCTGACGGAATGCAACGCGAGAAGGGTATACGCGACAATGCAAATAATGACTTGACGAGTGAAAATCTCTCTCAGTGCCGGTTGCGGGGCAATCTTGTGTTTCTTTGAGGTGTGCAGGCCTGAGTGAGAGAGAAGAGGAGCGGTGGCTTCATCATCGACAAAAGATCTCTTCTGAAGATGCTTGCTCCGTGACTTGCGGAATGGATGGATCAGTTTCTCGCCGATGATCAAACCCCAATCTCTGTCGTGGCGCTTGGTTTCGAGGGTCTCCTTCAGGAAAAGCACCGCGGTCACAACTGAGATGAAGAAGAAGATGCAGGCCATGAGGTTTGGGAGCAGAAAGGGGTACGTCTTGAAGAGCCAACTGTCTCCGAAAATAGAAGGGTATTGCTCCGCAGGTCTCGCGAAGAACCCTCCAAACGAAGGGCCGAAAACAGATCCTATACTCCATACCAGAGGCATAATCGAAAAGGCAGTCGGTTGCAGTTCCTTCTCAGGTACCATCTCGGCCACCATTGTTCTGATAATACCAACTGGAGCAAGTGTGTCAATATGAGAGAGCTGCAAAAGTGCAAGGGGATCTTACCATTTCCATTTCCACCTCCCATTATAGCACGTACTGTGATCGCCATAGGCAAGCTGGTGGACATGCCCCAAATAATGAAACATATCATAGTGCTGATCAAGCCCAAACATATTGTCGGTTTTCGTCCGATGGTATCTGAAGCCTTTCCCCATGGTACAGCCGTGACACTCTGTGATAACGAGAAAACAGCGCCCGTCAAACCCGCCCACCTCGCCACGTTGTCCTTCGGTATGCCGAAACTCTCGATCATTTCTGGAAGATAAGGGAAGACGGAGGTCAGGGCCAGCGGCTCGGCAAATCTGGCAACAGCTGGAAAATGATATTAGCAACAAAGCCACAAGGGGGAGAGGTACCTGAAGTATGGTTTGCTTCAATCCTGTTGATGTCCTGCCCTTTTGGCCCGTCGTCTTCATGACTCCGTGGTATTTGTCTGTAGCCCGTGAGACAGCACTGCGCCTCTAACTCACCTGTTGAATGGGAAACATCGAGTAGTCACTACACACAACAGACGAAATCACCACCGGCGTGCTTCACTTGAGGCATGGAGACAATAAGACGACGGTCTTGGAACAGACCGGGTATGTAAGTACGAACGACATATGCTTACCCAGAATCGCCAGCTGCTTCGCAGGCAGCTTCGGCTCATATCCCTTCGGCATGCTGAACGGCGGCTAGGGTTCGTAATGTAACCAAAGGTGATATATTGCTTATAACTAGCAAGGAGAGAGAATATGGCACGCTATGATGTCCACCACTGGGTAGTCTCCTCCTCTTCGAGACGCGTTCTCGCGTATAGGGCGCCTCTCGTGGGCTTCCCGAACGTAGGCCTCGCCGCAGAGTCTTGCGGCGAAAGCAAAGAAAGGAATGACGCTGCCTTCTTAAAACGCAACTGAAGGGTCCTGTTGAGGGAAAGTAGAATAGGTCACCAAAAGACACAGAAGTCGTTACTCAAGGAGAGAGGAGAAGAGCGAGAAATGCAGCGAAGCGCCACCTACGGTACTTAAAAGGCCTTGGGAGTCATAGGGAATCGAGTGGAAAATTCAAGACGGCGACGAGCCCGTCATCTGCAGACTGCAGCCCTCCAGAAGCGGCCATGCACAACCGGCGGGCACTAAAAGAGGCTGGACTCCAGCGACAGCCTGGGGTGGCTCGGCTATTCTCCGCCGATACCGTTGGATCTGAGTGGTCCGGGGGCCGTTCACGAACGTTCAAGACCAGGCCCGGGCTGCACACGGTGTGCGGCCGAGATGCAGATTATGAACTCTGGATCCTCCCATCTGCAGCGTCTGCATCGTCGAGGCCCGCATCGCATGGAACCTGACCTATTCGAAGCGCCATTGTGACAGTCCAGCCTCCCTCACCGTACACAGGAACGGTATACGGAGCAGTAAGAGGGTGTCGTCGAGGGAGCGCCTTAGTGATGCAATGCAGAGAGGGTGCCCACCGCGAGCGAAAAGAGTGGCAACCGCGTCCGTTGTCGGCCATGACATTGGTCATCCGGACAGGTCCATTGGGAAAAGCTTTGCGTGCCGGTCGTGTCTTACCCACATTTAGCTGCGAGGCTACTGTCCTCCCCGCCACAACCCCCTGCTACCGATCATACTGCCAGCCAGTGAGAGCCCTGCACCACATTGAAATCGGAGGACGCCGTCGTCTTGCCAGAGGCAGAGAGACCTGAAAGTGTTGCTTGATGAGGAGCGCCGCTGCCGTCTGTTTGCCGACACCCGCGTGGTGTACCGTGCTATAGTGTACCGTGATGTCAGACGGGTTGCTCTAAGAACTGCTTGGCTGCTTAGTCTTGTTAGACAGCTGAAGTATCACATGTTTGTGCAACTAGATAGTGTTCAACCATCGGCGACTACACTTTTGCAGCAATGGAGGATACCAGAGTGGTTTTGAAGAGCGGATGCATGTGAAGTACCAAGTAGGTAATTGTATGCGGCGGGGGGTTTGGTTAGTCAGACAGGCAAAAGGTAGGCAAGGAAGGGCTAAACACGGACAAAATGTAGGCCGATCACCCTATCAGGCAGCTGCATTGAGACAGTGATGTCAACTGCCCCTTCCATAGCGACATCAAGCTCCAAAGCAAGCAAGCACGGCATTGACGACCCTTGCAGCTTCCACTTCAGTTCCACAAGGATGGTCCTTATCGCGCAGATACGCTGCAGATAGAGATCCATCTCACCAGCTTCACATACATGACGTGCTCGTCTTGTTCCCAATTCTCCTCTGGTCAGTTGATTGTTCTTGTCTTTCAATAGTTTGCTGTCTTGTAGAGCTTAAAGAACAACCCTCGCGTGACGGTGGCGACTGGCATGCGTACAGGCCGCATCACCCCCATTCTTGCATGAGCCTCAAAAAGCTCGACTTCATAACTCACCATGTCGCTCTTGAGTAGAGCAAAGATGCTGACAAGCGAAAAGTTAGACCCCTCGGTTCATAACGAGAAGATGAGTAATGAGAACACCCCGCTCATCGCGACCGTCAGGGTCGGACCTGCCCGTCGCCGCTATCCTCACAATGTTCTGCGCCGATTTTGTGCCATTGCCCTGTCCTCATCATTGATCTTTCTGCTTTTCGTGTTTCTCTTCACTGTGGTGTTCTTCCCGACACACAGACACCGCAGACATGATTGGGATTGGTCATGGCCCGGCTGTAAAGACCGAAAGGTTACCTATGAGCAACTGAAGGACATTCTGCTCGAAACGCCTGATAGCGACAAAGCGAGAGAATGGAGCGAGTACTACACTGCAGGCGCGCATCTGGCTGGCCAGAACTACTCACAAGCTGTATGGACCAAGGATAAGTGGGAGGAATGGGGTATCAAGTCAGACATTGTAGCATATGATGTTTACCTGAACCGTCCTGTTGATCATCGACTTGCCATCTTGGAAAAGCCCAAGAAGGACACTTCAGCATGGAAAGTGTCTTTCGAGGCTTCTCTGACTGAAGATGTGCTCGATAAGGACCCAACTACCGGATTCGACAACAGCATCCCGACATTTCACGGCTACTCTGCCAGCGGGAATGTCACAGCACCATTTGTGTACGTCAATTACGGAACTTACCAGGATTATGAGGACTTGGTCAAAGCCAATGTGAGCTTGAAGGGCAAGATTGCTATTGCTCGATATGGTGGCATCTTCCGTGGCCTGAAGGTCAAGCGAGCGCAGGAGCTGGGCATGATCGGAGCAGTGCTGTATAGCGACCCAGGCGACGATGGAGAGGTCACCGACGAGAATGGAGTGGAGCAATATCCAAAGGGGCCAGCTCGAAATCCTAGCAGCGTTCAGCGTGGTAGCGCACAATTCTTGAGCATTGCGCCAGGTGATCCTACTACACCCGGCTACCCATCAAAACCAGGTGTTCCACGCGGCCCCGTCGACAATTATATACCAAGCATTCCGTCTATACCGATCTCATATGCAGACGCTCTCCCAATCTTAAAAGCACTGAACGGACACGGTCCTGCAGCAAAGGACTTTAATAAATACTGGACCAAGGACCTTGGCTTGGAGTACAAAGGCGTGGAATATAATATCGGACCTTCTCCCGACGATGTCGTGCTTAACCTATACAATGAGCAAGAGTATATCACAACTCCCCTTTGGAACGTTATTGGCATTATCAACGGATCAATCCCAGATGAGGTAGTCGTCGTAGGCAATCACCGGGACGCCTGGATAGTTGGAGGCGCTGGCGATCCCAACAGTGGTTCTGCCGTCATTAATGAAGTCATTCGCAGCTTTGGCAAGGCACTAGAACAAGGCTGGAAACCTCTGCGCACCATCGTCTTCGCTTCATGGGACGGTGAGGAATACTCGCTTATTGGCAGCACAGAATGGGTCGAGGAATACCTACCGTGGCTCTCCCATGCGAATGTTGCCTACCTCAATGTGGATGTCGGAGTTCGCGGCCAACGATTCACGGCTTCCGCAGCACCACTGTTGAATCAGCTACTATATGATGTTACTTCCCAGGTTCAATCCCCCAACCAGACTATTGAAGGGCAGACTGTCCGCGACACTTGGGATGGGACGATTCACACAATGGGCAGCGGTAGCGATTTCACCGCGTTCCAGGACCATGCCGGTATCCCATGCATCGACATGGGTTTCCAAGCTGGACCAAAGGACCCTGTATACCACTACCATAGCAACTACGATAGCTTCTACTGGATGGAAAAATATGGCGACCCGGGATTCATCTACCATCGAACAATGTCGCAAGTTCTAGCTCTGACGACGGCTCAGCTTGCTGACAAGCCTGTCCTATCATTCGAGGCGGCAACTTATGCCAAGGAACTTGACAACTACGTCAAAAAGGTGGAAGACAAGCTGGAATCGACCTTGTCCATATCTGCAGAGCAGCCCACTAGAGAGGATGAGATTGTCGCTTTCCGTTCAAGGCATCACCATGACGGTGATGAGGTTGTTGGCGATGCCGACACATTCCGTTTGGCATTGGGCCGACTTCACGACGCCATCGGCGGACTTCTCGAGGAATCGATCAAGCTAGACACCAGGGCCGATGAACTGAAGGAGCAGATGAAGCAGGAGATCCCATGGTGGAAGTGGCCCAAGAAGATCAAGCTCGGCTTTGAGATCCGCGGCGTTAACACCAAGTACAAATACCTGGAGCGAAACTTCCTATTCCGGGGTGGCCTGGACGGCCGTGAGTGGTTTAAGCACGTCGTGTTCGCGCCAGGATTGTGGACTGGTTATGCCGGTGGTAAGTCTCCCTGCTGTTGATGTAACTCTCACACTGGGAACACAATGACACTAACTGGGGAATAGCCGTGTTCCCGGGACTCGATGAGAGCATCGACTCCAAAGATTACACGAATGCTCTGAGATGGGTGGATATCATCGAGAACTCCATCAACCACGCCACAGGTAACCTGAAGTCGCACCACTAGGGGCACATCAATGTATTTCGCTGTCATAATGAATCAAAGAGGTAGAAATGCTTGGAATATAAACACCAAAGCACACAAATACGAAGCAAACTCTGACCGTGTAGATACAAAAAGTGTGTATTGTATGGATAAGTGCACCTAAGGTGCGATAATTAGTTGATTGCTGAAACTATTGTCGCAAGCTCATTTGTACGAATTGGCGTAGTGCCTGGATATCTCAGGGAGGAGATCAAAGCCAAACTCCGGTGCTATGCTATGCCTAAGTAAAGATCAAACAGCCGCCTTCAACTAGACGCCAGCAAAGGTATTTCCCACAATCTCCGCGCCACAAATGGCGCCCTTCTCCTGCTCGGAAAGCTGCGCCGTCCAGAGTCGCAGGTCCTCCAGCGTGATGTTGTTCTGGGCCAACCAATCTGGACCCCTCAGCTTCACAACCGTCCCCGGGGCGCTGCTGCCCGAGCCCCCTGACTTGCTCTTCTCCAAGATGCCGAACCGCAGGGACACTTCGGTAACGGTGATCATGATGCTGACGACGATGAGAATAATGATGATCCACGTTATGGAGCTCATCTTTGCGTCTGCGACCGAGTCGGACAGGATCTCAGCAAGGTCGAGGAATACGCGACATCGCTCGTTGAGCACTTTAATGCGCGGGTCGATCTCTAAGTATTCGCGGATGGCAACGTAAAGAGGATGGAGATTCGGCTCCGAGTCCCAGAAGAAGTTAGGAACATCAAGAATATTTGACGCTGAAATGATGTTAGATGGGCAACTAGGATACTTGGGGTCGAGTGCGTTTACTCACAGAGGTTGATATCAACACGGCTCTTGAACAACCGACCAAGGATTTTGACGATCTCTGTCCTTGTCATGTTCAGTTCACCGGTTAAGGCTAGTCTCTTCGGGACATGTTGAGCGTCCAACATAGTCTCTGACATCTTCTCTTCGAAGAAGCACAGCTTTGTGCTTTGTGCGATGGCGTGACTAATGGTCAATTTAACCATGTGGTCCGAACGAGGCAGGAGAGTTATCATATCGTTGAACACTCTCGGCCGTTTGACGTCGGGGCTGTATTCGAAATGGAACTCCTCAGTCTCATAGTCGCTCTGGTCCAGTGGCCGTGTGACCAACGAGAGACCCTCCTCGTTCTCTGCAAAAGTGAGGTCTGCCAAAATGTCCTTCTCTTGGTGCTCTGTGAAATTCCAGAAGACGACAACGCCGTAGGAGTACACGAACATCTCAGCAAAGTTCTTGGCGTCTGGTACGAGCCTGTTGATGGGGCTTCTCGGGTGGTCCTCTTCAATCCTCCTTTGTAAATCTCTATCTCGTTCCTCTGAGCCGTTGAGATGCATGTGGTGCAAATTCGGCGGGCTGTTCTGTGTACCCGAAATACCGCGCTCGCCATAGGCGTAATCATCAAAATAGCCCTCGTGCTCGTCTCTTCTTTCGCTTCGCTCAATCTCTAAATCCAGGACAGTTTTGCCGGTGCCTGGAGTCTTCAAAATCGGTCTACTCCGTAAACGATATCCATCAATTCCCGCGAGAAGAGGAAGATGATAGACGACATATAAGCAGTCGTCGTAGAGCTTCGTCTTGGCCTCATGTTTAGTGCGTAGGAACTCTGCAGTAGCCTTCATTTTGAAAGCTTGGGCAGTGCAATATGCAGTCGCGCGTGAGACCTTCTCGGCACGCTGAGGCTTCGGCAGTCTCTCTGCATAGCTTTTGCCTCGGATTCCACCTCTTTTCTTCAATACATCGAGCTCCTCGTCTTTGAGGGGTTTGTCTTCCTCCTCGGCCGCTTTGATCAGGGCATTCCGCTCCGCGAGCGCATCTAGTCCCTCCTCGCCGGAAGTATCCTCATCTTCTTTCTCATCCACCGTTTCTGGGAGTAGAACTAGCTTCTCGCTGACCTTTGTCGTCCGAGATGGTACGTTTTGCTGTCCCGTGCGGCCGGATGCTAATGTTGGTAAGCCACCACTGATGCGACGCGCTGCCATACGCGCTGCAGCAAGAGAGCTGCCCTGCGGCCGCGGGACTGGTGGTATGCGAGGTTGGCCAGATGGAATCTCGGATGCATGCTGGAGGACATTATCGACGGAGAAGTAGCGCATGGGCATGCGGCCGGAAGCTGTGGCAGAGGTACCAGGCCGCTGCGACGTGCCTCTGGTTGGAGGCCGTTCCCTGGAATCGGTCACCTGGAAAGCAAATGTGAGTTCTATGGCAATGCTTCAAGCAATCAAATTCATTGACGAGGCATGAACCTACCAGAACGGAGGGCCCTCGCTTTGCAGACATCGTGTCGGTTGCTGGTTCGTCGCTTGATACTGCCAATAACCTGATTGTTTGCGCGATTGTTTGCGCGATTGTTTGCCGAGTTCTAGATCAAGTCTACATGCTCAAGATAAAAGACTCAATGCAAAGTAGCCTGTATATATACATCGGCATCAAGTTGCGCGATTGTATGGGGTGGTTCACTTGAGATCCAACTTGCGCAGATCAAAGGATCGAGGTACTGAAAAGTTGAGGTTGCACCTGAATCGCAGATGCAGGCCAGTCCACAGAGCGAGCTTCCCCACGTGCGGCCGCTAGTGATCGACGTCATTCAGGCGAATATCCACTATCATCCAAATGCGGTGACATGCAATTGTTAGCCGCACTTCACCTCTTCGACCCCGCCCACTCGCCGCTCTTTGTCTGTGTGAGTCCTAACAAGATATTTCACAGTACTCAACCTCTCTTCAGAAAACTAGAGTCATACGGATCAGGTTTTGATATCAACAATTTTCTTGACAATATAATGGCTCAATCGGATTAACGGTTGCACCCCATCCGCCTATTTTTTTTTTCTTCTCAAAGTCTAAATAGCTACTCACAATTTCCACAAGCTAAGAATTTGATCAAATTTCTCCAACTGAACAGGATCTGTAGCCCATGTTGTGAGAAGTCGTACAACTGCATAGTCGTTTTCTAGGTTTTCCCAAACATAGAAGAGGAAGTCCTGTCGTAGGAGCTCCACCAGAGCCAACGGAAATAAAGCAAACACCTGATTCGTCTCAGTTGCGGCAAAGAGCGAGAATCCTGCTTCAACGATGGACCGAGAAAGTCTCATAGCCGCCTGATTAGCTGCAAGAGCAAGGTCGAAATAAAGATTGTCTTGGAACAGAGTGGCGAACTGAACCCCTATTATCCGACCCTTGGCCAGCAAAGAGCCATGTTGCTTCACATAGAATTCAAATTCAGCCCCAAGCTTCGGGTCCTTCACAATTACAGCTTCTCCTAGAAGCGCTCCGTTTTTGGTTCCACCAATCCAGAAAATATCTGTTAACTCCAGAATGTCGTGTAAGGTCATATCATTGGTCAGGGACGCCAGCGCCGTGCCAATTCTAGCTCCGTCAAGGAACAAAATCAAATTGTTATTCTCGCATACTTGTTTAATCGCCTTGAGTTCGGCTTTCGAATATATCGTGCCAATCTCGGTAGCATTAGAAATGTAGACGAGCCTCGGCTTCGCCATGTGGGGGAAATGCCAGTTATCGTCGAGTGCCTTGTTGATCGTGCCTGGCGTCAATTTGCCATTCTCCGGCCTGACATTGATAATTTTATGTCCGCTTGCTTCGACTGCACCGGTTTCTCGAGTTACTATGTGACCGGAACTCGCTGCGATGACTGCCTCGTGCGGCCGAAGACATGCTGCGATAGAAATGGCGTTGGCGGATGTTCCGCTGGGTACGAAGAAGATATTCACATCTTCTTGGCCGAGGTGCCGACGAATGCAGTCTCGTGCTTCCTCGCTGTATGTATCGTGACCATAGCCCGCTTCTTGCGAGGAGTTACTCGCTACTAGGGCGTTCAGGAGCTCTGGGTGTGCTCCTTCGCTGTAGTCATCTAAGAAGCTGTATTTGAAGGAAACTTTAGTGGACTTTGGTCCCGGCATCTTTTGATGCTTTGGATCCCAGCATGTAAAGTGTCTCTATCAGAATGGAGATTTGCAAATTGATTAGGCCTGGTACGAGATCAAAATCAGTAACTTCATGACTTAGTGGTCATTAAGTATGATAAATCGATCGGACCCGCCCTTTATCAAGATCCACTCTGTAAGCCGACGATAACCACCACCTTTTCAACTGAAGACGATATCGGGCAAGCCAAACGAAAGAAGCAGTTCCCTAAAATCAAATTATACAGCAAGAGAATCACAGATTGTTCGAGCGAGGAGTGTTTGAGTAATGTGAAAAGAACCCTGGCCTGGACACAAGCAAAAATCGATACTGATTGCCGAGTATACCGCTAAAGCATCTCGAGAGTATCAACGGAACCTTGTTAGTGTGCACTCTAGGAGCTTTCATCCAAGCAGTCAGATTCCAGCTCGACAACAAACTCCACAAGGGATCGAGTCACTTCAGGGGACCAACCAATATCAATACCATACCACTAATAACGTGATAAGACCGCATACTTCCAGCCAACTACCTTACTCTAAGCTCCCTACAATAACCTTGAATCTAACGTGTATCCCAATACTTCTCTCTTATGAGTTTCAAATTCGCATTTGAGAACTCAGTTACGCCCTTGTCGACTGCCTTTGTCCTCGTACGAAGTGTCTTCTCCCCCTCGCCGGTCATTGCATTTTGCCCCTCAACCTCATACTGCTCCTTCTTCACTATTGTACCTTCGACAGCCCAAGGCGGTACCACATGCCTATAAGCACTTCCCGTCTTTGTCTCTATCATTTTCATTATAGCTTCCGTATTCTTCTTTTGCAATTCGCGCGTAGAGAATAGTGTCCTAGCAAACGCAGAAACACTATTTCGTATTGCGTCGCCACGACATCTCCAAAGCACACAATTCAATGCCTCTTCGACACTCGGAACCCCAAACAGCCTTCCGTCAAAGTGCGCAGTGCCGAGTACATCCGTGTTCTTCACCGCCGGTTTCGGACAAGCATCCAGGAAGGCGGCAAGGTGCATATTAAAACGCACACTAGTGAAAGAGGAAGCTAGACTGACTATCTTCTGAACACGATCGTTGAAGCTGCCAACCCCGGAAGGGAAGACTAGCGTTATCTCATCGGACTGGGTATAAGCGAGGCTGGAAGAGGGGAAATGCACGAGCAGGTCACCGCACGTTGCTACCATGGCATCGTGAAGCCGCTGGTCAAACGGCCGGGCAAAATTGGCTGTGAATTTCGAGAATCCGTGACCATCGAGTCGTAATATGACCGGCACGCCCGAGGCCAACTTTAGATTGTTTGCAGCCTCATAGGACTTCATGCGATCACCCAGCGCAACTCGTGGAGCTTCTATACGTGAGTCTTCGGCCATTTCTGTTGCTCATTGAGTAGTGTAAGGTCGATAGTGTGTTCAAGTGCCAAATATTCAAAATTCGAGAAGTAATTTGGTCAATGTAAAACAATTCTAGGTGGTACTCATATTCCATTCTATAATGACTATATAAAGATGCTTTTTGCGATTTGCAAGTGAGTCAAAGAAATGTGGAGCTGCAGCTTCAACTTGTGGCTATGCATAGCGATGTATCACAACTCAGCTCTTTAGCCAAAGGAAGATCTTCTTCACAGGTGAATATCTGCACTAATGCGCCACGAAACTCATATGAATAGCCTACAAATCCAAACTAAGGTTGTGGTCCACCAAAAGGAGATCCTAAGGATCAGCACCACATCCAATTACAATTGATGGTTTAACTGAGACTCAATTGTATCAATCTGTCTTGAAAAGACTTCATAACGAATTTGCAGCCTCGTGGACATAACCGCTTGGAAGCTTTAACTCTGGTAGCTCCTGATATAAATAGAGTACCCAGCCAATTTGTAAGTAACGTTTGAAAGTCATTCTCGAATGCACGAAGGTGTCGGCTTTAACCCGTGCCACCAATGGCTCAGCCACGATAAGCTTACCACAGAATTCCACAGACCTGTACTTTCAAATAAAACAAGGCCGAATTGTAATGAGTGTGTGTGAGCAACACCATGCTTTGGTGACTGCCTTGGTGCTGGTGGCTTGTGTCCGGTTGGCGAGATCGACGAAAGTCAGAAATATAGATCAAGGACGGGTGGGTTATGGGGAGGTCAGATACGCCATAACCGAGCTACACACACTGTAGCACGCCCATCAGAATGCACAGCCACAAATATCTTCCACCAACAGCGGGAGCCTGCTCCTATGCTAGAATATATCTTGCGAGACTCAATTTCAGCCTGTTGTTGTTACACTATCACCACCTGTGGTTGGTTTGTTTGGATGGGTATAGACTGACACATGTGTAAGGCGATCCAATTTGTTCACCCTCTAGAAGCAGTCGTATGCGGCACTAAATTGAGGATATTCTTCCTTAACGAGACCTCATTCATTCTAATTGCTTTGAAGGCCTTGATATACATTGACAGGTACACTTTTACCTCTAGTCCGTGGACGAAATCTCCTGAAAAAATTCGTTCTTATAATCAGATAAGTTGAAAATTTACACAACGAAAAAAAGACGGAGACAATAGTACGATAAATAACTTAGATAGAAAAGTGATCCACATTGCTTACTAAAACCATGTGCTCTGTTCAGTGGCCAAGGAGGACTTGGTAGTCGTTGAGGATTCATCTAGATCCATTGTACGCGTGATTATCTGGTTTTAAGATAAACAAACTGCCGTGTTTTACCCATGACTTGGTTAGCCCAATCAGAAACTCGCTGCACAAAGATGTGCTGTCCTCTGCAGAAGAGGCAGCCTACCACATCAAAACTTGAGAACCGTTGCCAGGAAGGCTGTGCAAACTGGATAATGATATGCACAACCATCATGCAATGTTTGTCGCATGTTTCTCTTTTGCTTCTAACCGCATAGACTTCCGACAAGATGTGCTTTCAGCTCACTGAGCTCTATCATGGATGTAGGTGTATGTACTACCAGCACGCTGCCGACAGATGTGCGGCGTATGGCCGACCAGGCCACAATGTGCAACAGAGAACAATCCTCGTCGGCTATACTTGTTCGGAACACTCTCCAATCTCAGCGGGCTATTCGACAACCTCACGTCTTGTCCGCTCAAGTAATCCTCGCAAAACTAGCATAGTCGGCGATCAAATTCGGTCTGCGGGGTCGGATCCCCCGCTTACCACCTGTTCTCAAAGAGGTTTGCTAGATGATGATGATGGTTTGTCGGCAAGCTTGGCGCCTGATGGCACCGTCGTTACCTTTAATAAACATCTCGCAACAGGCAGTAAAACGGATAAGATACAAGCTGCAGGGGGTAGAGCTTATTCTTCCATTTCGAAGAGGCTCAAGA